AGGGGTTTTATAGGAGAGGCGTAGCGAGGGGGGGGGGGGGCATATGTCCCCGGGTGCCGACCTTAGGGGGCGCCAAAGTGGGTTGGAAAAAATTGCGCGAGGGATGGGGTGGAAATCGAAAGTTTGAGGGGATGCAAATCACCGGAAAGGGCGCGATTTGGCGCTACGGGCTAGACTGTGAGCAATATGCCTATATGATTGCATTTAAACTGTGTTTATGTTATGAGTGTTTTGTTTGTTTTTTCGTTTGTGTTTTTTTTTTTGCGTTCGTTTGTGTTGTATTTAGTTTTGTTCTGTTCCCAAGTTAGTACATTTAAAAAAGATTTACCGTGGCGGAGCACGGGATGCAGCTAGTATAATATAAGCGGGCTGTGGTGTGTCAGTCCTTCCTTCCTTCCTTCTGTCATCGCTATAGTTTTTGGAACCATAAAAGTTAACATTCGCACCATGCTGTGCTTTTCAGTGCACCGCAGTGTCTTATTATAAGTATTAGAGTAGGGTTTGTTTATATAGCGGCATAGAGCTATTTTATAATTTCCACTGTGTTTACTCTTTTGCATAACTTAAAGAAAATATTAAATACACGCACATTGCTAAAACATATTAAAAGGATCAATGTCAAATATCATCTTCGTTTATATTCCTAGAAAAACTGGATACATTTTAATAACATAATAACAGTACGGTAGAAAAAATCAAATTAATTTAACTCTTTTCTAATTTTGACAAAGGAGGTAATTTAAAAATAAACCGGTAGTGATCTCCCCTAAACTTTCTCGAATATTCTTATATAAAACAACAGGGGATGGTAACTGGGGATATAGTTATGATTTTTAATCCATTTTAACCCATATTATCCCAAGGTCTCAAATTTTTATAATTTTTTGATATGGTTTAGCTTTTGGGCACTGAATGAAGGAATGACTATGGATTTTTTTTTTAAATCAATACTTTTTTAAATATCGATTTTTTAAAAAACGTCCCATAAATGGGACGCTAGCAACGAACGGCCCCATGTACATTTATTGAAAAATAAAATCCTTTCCACGACATTTTGCTAATCACGCAAAAATTAAGCTGTATACTGATTTTGTATTGTTAGACCAATGTGTACATTGTTTAGGACAGCTAAAAATACTGATAATGATCAATTGGGTTAGCCATACCATGGTCTAAAATGCAGAAATTATGTTCACAAGTCTAGTTTTCTTTCAATCTAGCGTTTATCAAAGTGAACAACAATTGGAAATAAGTAAAGCTGTGACTAGTACATCTAATTATACACACATGATCACAAATATTGTTATTATTCATCGAAACTGTAATATAATTAAATATAAATAATTGATTTTTTGGGGGGCGTACTTGAAATTTTCAGGAGTGGGGACTTAAATTTCAGGGGAAAGGGTGGACATTGGTAAAAGTATGTTTTCTATATAAATTCCATTTTGTTTTGTGGGCAGAGCCCCCCCTCCCCTCCTCCGAAATGATGCCAGAAAGAAACTCTGCCCTCAGTGAATTTGCAAAAGATGATCCGGTCCAGTCCCAGATGTCATCCAGCCATCTTCTCTTTTGTTACCCTCGCTATTCCCCCCCCCCCCCCCCCCCTCACAGGCGTACATTAGGACATCAGACATCTTATTTCTAGGGCACGGATCCGTCTCTGGGGGCTTATATTGAGAGTTCATGGCTCTCATCTATGTATGCACCTCACTATGCGAACAGCTCCCAATCTAACACCAGGAATCTCCTTAAAAAGTTAACAAAGTAAAACCGGTATCGGGAACCTTTGGAGGGGAATATTATTGGGGCATGCAACTGTACACAGCTAATTCACATTTCTGCTATCTGTAGCTTAAGCTCTCTTATATGAAGTGAGTTAACCAACCCCCATGACTGAATCATTTCACCTAAATCTTGACCATTGTTATTATTCTGGTTTGTTATAATTTTAATATCACGCGCTAGTAAATTTACAGCAATACTAAATTAGTTTGTATTCAATGGTATTAAATGCTTCAGTAAGTGTAATTCTGAAAACTTAAAAATAAAATGTAAGTTTTTCAATATTTGCAATTTTTTTATACAATAATATATAAGAAAATATAGCTCAAGGTCATAATTAAAAATATAAATATCTATAAATACTACTTAACACACCAAAGTCAACAGTTAACAAAGTCAACAATTGTTTCACCATAAATAACCATTTAACATAAATATTTACATCGGTGTTTCTCGCTAGTGTCCAATAAATGTGACGTTTGTGTAACAATCTGCATAAATAGAGGTCAAGGTCATAATTAAATATCTATAAATACTACTTAACACCCCAAAGTCAGCAGTTAACAAAGTCAACAATAGTTTTACCATAAATAACCATTTAACTTAAGCATTGGCATCTGTGTTTCTCGCTAGTGTATAATAAATGTGACGTTTGTGTAACAATCTACATGGGGCCATTCGTTGCTAGCGTCCCACTTATGGGACGCTTGTTGTACACTTGATATAACGAAGTAGTAAAAAAAAATTGTTATTCTTAAATTTTTATCAGATAGAAATATGGTACTGCTTCAAGTTTCAAATGTATTTTGCACTTAAAATGTTAATATTTTAGAAGATATGCATTTTCCTGTGCGCATGTTCTCTTTTTTCCGCCATTTTGACAAGTCCTGCAAATCCGGCACTATAACATTTTTCTAAATTAATTTTTTTCACAAAACACACACAAATTCAATAGTCTAGCCATTTTCAAATACAATGAAACATAATTTGTGTTTTAACTAGTTTTTAATAAATTTTAGCAATTTATTTTACAAGCGTCCCATAAGTGGGACGCTAGCAGAATATGGGTTAAATACTGAAACTTTTAAAAATATAGAATAGAATCTCAGTAAAAAACAATTGCGCACCAAGCGAACGCCTAATAAAGGTGTGTATAATAGTGCGCAATAGTATTAGTACTTAATAAATTTACATTAGTTTTTTGAGAAATCGGAAGTAGCGTATATTACTACTTCCGGTCAACGGAAATTACTCAAAATTTAATAGAAGGTAGAGAATTAGATTTTTTACTTACATGTGAAATTTCATTTATCTATCTGAAATAGTACTCAAGTTATAGGCTTTTGAAAAATTCAAAGTAGAAAAAGTACCACTTCCAGTTGTCGGAAATCGCTCAAAAGTTGATACGGATCTACGATTTTGATATAATACTTATATATGAAATTTCATCAACCTAGCTGTAACGGTACTCAAGTTATCGTGTTTACACACGGACACACAGACACACACACACAGACACACACACACACACAGACATACGGACAAGATTGCAAAATTATGTTTTTCCGTATCAGTGAGGTGTAAAACGTCGAGATTTGTAAAAATCTCGATTTTTTTTTGCACGATTACAATACTTTCTCTATACTACGTATATACGAGAAAGTAATACATTAAACTCACGCTAATAAAAAATGTGAATGCAAATATACGTTCGTCATAGAAGGAATTAGTGTTGCAATAATATAATTAGCAAAATGTGAATGCAAATTATTCGGATGTGTAAGAGGAAATTATAGTTAGAAAATTATAATTAGCATGGATTGATAAAAGGCAATCTTTTATTTATTTTATTCACTGAATGTAGGCCCTACCGTTTATTACTTATAATTTTTAATCAACTATTCAGCACTATATAGCGTCATCACGTTCATTAGGTGCGCAATGGTTTTAGTTATGAAACTCAATTGTAAATTTTTAAACTTTAAAGTACTGGAAAAAAATGCGTGAATGGATAAAGTGAAATATTGTAGGTAAAACACGAATATTTTAAATACTGCCTATTATTTATGCTGATTTCTAATTATTATTCTATCTTTCGGGTTTTATAGGAGAGGCGTAGCGAGGGGGGCATATGTCCCCGGGTGCCGACCTTAGGGGTCGCCAAAGTGGGTTGGAAAAAATTTGCGAGGGGGGGGGTGGTGGAAATCGAAAGTTTTAGGGCGGGCGGGGGGGGGGGGGGAAGGGGTGCAAATCGAAAGTTTTAGGGGGGTGCAAATCACCGGAAAGGGCGCGATTTGGCGCTACGGGCTAGACTGTGAGCAATATGCCTGTATGATTGCATTTAAATTGTGTTTGTTATGAGTGTTGTGTTTATTTTTTCGTTTTTTTTTTGTTGGTTTTTTTTTTGCGATCGTTTGTGTTGTGTTTAATTTTGTTCTGTTCCCAAGTTGGTACATTTAAAAAAGATTTACCGTGGCGGAGCACGGGATGCAGCTAGTATATATATATAATCGATTTTGGGCTTAAAAGAATATTTAAGTTTAAGTAATCAATTAATGGAACTGGCAAAAAGCATTTTCCTTCTTTACATTTTGCAATTTTTTTGCCATGGTGTAACCCCCCTAAATTAATATAAAATGTAGATCTCGTTCTACCATTTTTCCTTGGCTAATGGAACCTTACGGCAGGAAACGGAAGAAGATATTAGAGTCTACGTCCGAGTAAACTCGACCTTTGCCCTCATCTTTGTTTACCATCTTTGACAAACTACAATAGCTAGAAGACCAACTTTATTCAGTCGCTAAGTTATTAAAATATTTAGTATTATTTGGGCCTTAGGCTATTATATTTAATTATTACTATTATATAATAATATATATTATAATAATACTAATACTATTAAAGTAAACTATTAATACTATTATTAAGTAGGCCTATTACTAATAATTAATTAACGTCTTTAAATAAATTTGTGCTTAACAGTCTGTCTGAAAACAAAAATTGTTCTCTACCTAGGCTACATACTATTTTACTATTTTACAGCTCTACACTCTACACTAGTCTACACATACTTATACTAACATAGGCTATTAGCCTAAGTATTATTATAAGTAGGCCTACTAATAATTAAGTAGGGCCTAGCCTATGTATTATGTATTATACTATTAATTATTAATTAATGTACTATTAAGTCAAGTACTATTAAAGTAGGCCTTATTGCTATTATTTTAGCAATAACAGTAATTACTAAATTAGCTGGTAAAGGCTAAACAAAAGAAGGGCACTAAAAAGTGACTGACGAAGGCAAAGGCAGTAAAGGACACTAAAAAAGGTATACTAAATTGAACTAAATTATTAATTAATAACTTGTATTAGTAAAATTAGATAGAATAGATCAGATATCTATTATGTTATTAAAATATTATATGGTTTTAGGCTTTAGGACTTTCATTAGGTACCCTACGTAAAATCGGCTGAGGCTGGTAATGCGAAAAAAAGGTTACTTATTTATATAATATATATACAGCCTTTTTGATGCAGTCTTTATAAAAACTCGCCATTTTCTGAGGAATGCCGAACCTCACTGTTGGAATCGAGTTTTTAGACAAATTCGATACAGATATTCTAGTGTAGTCGTATTATATGTTTCAATGAGAAAATTACCGCCATTATGACAATCTTAAAGCTAAAATCGATCGCACGATTCTAATGAATTTATCTCTCAAACATGTCCCGTACGGTGCTGTCACATTTTAAATAAGTTTACGTATTAAACACATTCTAAGTGTCTTGCCATTAGCTTTAAGTCTCCATTAAATAAACAAATATTATTATAACGGTTTTATGGCATTCACAAAATCCGCTTATGAGTTATCATAAATGTCAAATTCCCGAGCTAGCGCTTCGGCCTTGACAACGCCATGGCGTCAGTTTAGCACCGCATTACCTATTATCGATAAAATACGCGCACCAGTGCCAATAGCGTAGTTTTCAAAGGTGGAAAGAATTTAATTGTGGGTGGTACATGTTAAAACTAGATGAAATACATTGATCAAGTTATCTATTAAAAACGATAAGCAAGAAGCTTAGGCTTACATTAACTAGTGTCAAGCATTTCACACATATCTACTTAGATTTAACTTAGATTAAAGGCTTATACTTTATACTATAAATAAATAAGTAATAGGCCTATTTCTTAGTATAACTAATGCTATATGTATTGAGTGATAAAGTAAGTCTGGGCCTATTATTGGTTATGATAAGTAAAGAAGCTTGGTGATAAACTTATTTAATTATTTGTAATAATTATGCCTATGACATTAGTAATTAATAAACAAAAGTCAGGCGCAGCAATTGACAAGTATTGTTGGGCTAGGGGGGGGGGGGTGCGTTGAGTACAATACTAATTAATAAGGCAGTGAATTTAGAATTTTTCCATTTAAACTTAATAATAATAATATGATCCCGTCAAATCTCGACATATAGGCTCCCGACATTTAGGTTCCCGACATATTGGCTCCCTATATATGGACTCAGGACATATTGGCTCCCGACAAAGCGACTCCCGACGTATTGGCTCCCGACATAAGGGTTCACAACATATTGGCTTCCGACAAAATGTCTCCCTACATATTGGCTCCAGACAAATGAATCACATTACCACTATTGGCATAAAAGTAATCATTTGTCCTACATCCACTACCACTATTTTCTCTTTAGAATGCCTGTATGAAATTGTTTTTCATGAACCAACATCAATTCACAAAAAAATCTAGCCCTTAACAGCTAAACTTAACAGAAAAGATCTGTTGGTTAAAAGCGAGCACAGAAGTGTAAATGTGTGATATACATGATGTTTACAGGTTAACGACATTTTGTTTTGATAACCTACAAGCATACTTCTGCTTCTGTTGGGAATGTACAGCGTGAACCCCTCTTCCCACACACTGAGTTGGAACAGCCTATAACCGACTCACTTATGGAAGTCATAGATAGATGACCCTTAACTTAAAACATACTGTTTCTTATACTAAATAAAATAATATAAAAATAAGGCCTGTCGAACAAGAGATGCATAAGTTATATTATTACTTAAGAGTGTTGGATAAGCTAACTCTAAAGAATATTGATGAAGGGGTTCCACTGGCAGGTGTCATATTCAATGAGACTGTATTGCCGGGAGACTTAGTCTCTACGGAAACCGTATTGTTAGTGGTCCATTTGTTGGGAGCCAAATTGACAAGAGCCTATTTGTCGTGAGCCAAAATGACGGGAGCCTATTTGTCATGACAGGAGCCATTTTGTGGAAAAACTAAATGGCGGGAGCCTATTTGTCGGGATTCGTAATGACGGGGCCGTTATGTCGAGAAACTAAATGATGGGAGCCTATATGTCGGGAGCCTTATTGACTGGAGCCCTTTTGTCGGGAGCTTATATGACGGGAGCCTATTTGTCGGCAGCCTATATGACGGGGTCAATATGTCGCTGGCCCTTTTGACGGGGTCAATGTGACGGGGCTCTTATGTCGGGGCTGATTTGTCGGGGTCGTATTGACTGGGCAGTTTTGTCATTGGCCGTTTTGACGCAGCACGGCCTAAAACTTAACACAAAACCAACTCTAGGCAACCTAGAACATAACACTAACCCTAATCCTAACCCTGACCATTATACTAACCCTTGCTCTAAATCTAACACTAACCCTAGCCCTAACTTACCCCAACCCTAACCAAACCTAGCCCTAACCCTATCTGTAACTTAAGCTATGTTATTTACTCCGCTGGGTAATGTTGGGGGGAGGGGGGGAATGTCCAGGGGGTAATTGACGTGGGGGGGGGGGGGGGGTTTAATGCCCTGTTCCCAGTAATACTATTAGTAGGTCTGTCAGGCTAGATTTATTTGGCGTAGATTAATTATTAATTTATAGACTATTGGTTAGACCTATTATAATTTATATAGGCTGTAGGCCTATCTATATTATACAAGCCTACTATTTGACTTTAGGACTTTCTTGGGGGGGGGGGGTGCCAACTGATAGATTAAACCAATCAAAAAAAATTCTCTAAACAATTTTTTCTAAGTCTTTAATTTTTAATGGTGTTTGAATAATTTCATATTAAAAGGCCAAAGAGAGATTGAATCCTCTATACTTTTCCAATTTTTTATTTAATTATTTATTCTGATTTAGCTTTATAATATGAAATGTCGTGATTCGGGCAAGTGTTTGTTTTCTCTACTGTTTTAAAAACATGAACTTAGTATTGAAGTTTCAGATTTTTCTTAGTCCTTTTGAGATGAGTTATTCAGAACAAACCAAAAAAGATCTGAAGTTTTTTCATCGGGATGAAGCTAGTTACAAAGTCAAAGACGTTATCAAACATGAATTTTTTATGAAGGAAACACAGCATTAGTGTATATGAAATCGCATTGAAAATTGCCAAGAAAAAAAAAACTCAAAGAATGAGAAAATCTCATCAAACCCTGCATGTTGAAGATGGTGAAATTAATGCTTGAGGATTCCAGTGCATTAAAGATCCAACAAATATCTGTCTAAAAATACTACTATATGAATGAGATAAAACTTTCACAATAGTTTGTTTTTCAAGTTAATGAATCAACAGACGTAAGCTAGTTTTCACAGTTGCTTGTCTGTGATATATAACAATTCAGATGAACTTGAAACTACATCAAACATTCGTTTTTTAAAACTTGAGGATTAAATTGGTTTGTGGAATGCTGTGGGGTTTATACGGATGGTTAGCCAGCAATGCTTCTGTGGGGCGCCGGGAAGGGTCGCTACACCTCTGATATATATATATATTATATATATATATATATATATATATATATATATATATATATATATATATATATATATATATATATATATATATATACATATATATATGTATATATATATATGTATATATATATATATATATATATATATATATATATATATATATATATATATATATATATATATATATATATATATATATATATATATATATATACATACATATATATATTCACATATATATACATACATATACATACATGATGTTGCCTTGCACCGCAAATGTTAAAAATCAATAACAGTTAAGAAGCCAGCTCCTAAATTTCCTCTACTACCTATTTCCGTTTGCGGATAAGCATTGGGTATTGTAATGTTGGTTGGGTTTGGATTTGGTTTGTTTTCGTTAGCGTTTGTGTTTTCTTTGTGTTTGCGTTTATGGTTGGGTTTGTGTTTGCGTTGTGTTTGCGTTGTGTTTGTGTTATGTTTGCATTTTTTTTTTTGTGTTTTGGCTGGGACTGCTAGTATTCAATATAAATCAATATTGTTTTACTGCCACCCTCCCCCCTTCACTCACACATACACCTCTACACTCTAAGGCTGTTTCATAATGAAATGCTTGGATAAGTTTAGCATGGATAAGTTACGAAGCAGTCACATCCAAGCATTGACTAATATGATAATTTGCAATTTTCCAATATGGTGTCGTTTCATTCCACTTTGGTGGAAGGTGTATTTTGTTAGACAGTACATTGTTTATTCTGCAAAAGTTGCAATTAGTTTCACCCTCCCCTTTTGTCTAAAGGACAAAGGTGTCAGTATCTGCAAACATGATATTAATCCACATACAAGAAGCATTTAACTTTAACAGTCATTAATTCAAGTGAAAAAATAATTGTCTTTATAATAAATTATTAAATGTGGTGTCACCTCCACCCAGTAACAGTTATTAAAAATACTCAGCACATTTTTTTCCACAGTATTTTTTGCAAAGCTTCAGTTTTTTTTGTTTTTTTTTGGACTGGGCTTTTTTTTCACAAGCAAGGTTTATTAGTATTGTTTCCTTCCAATAATAGGTTGAATCCATTTGAGTTCACCTTAATAACAACACCTTTTCAGCTTTCAAATGTTTGTTGTCACAAGTGCAAAGTCATCCATGCCAATGGAAAATCCTGATGGCTGTTGGGGCTGGCTAGTTGTTGTCGCAGCATTTTTTACTCAGTTCATTGTCTGTGGAATAACGTACAGCCTGGGAGTGTTCCATGTCATTTTTAAAGACATTTTTTATGAAAGCCATTTTGATACCTCCTGGATTGGTTCAGTTCTACTTTATGTCACTGCTTTGTCAAGTAAGTGTACTAAACAAAAAATTACTTCTTCAGATTTGTATATTAAAGTAAAAGTAAAAATGTGTTTTAAAACAGTATCGTTTCACTTTTGCAATAATACTGAGCGTTCTATACTGTGGAGTTTGATGTCCATCAAACAAAAAGTAAGCAATCCAAAACAGCCAGAATTGCTGAGATTATTTCATTTTTTCAAATTATAAAATAGCAAACATGCCTTGTAAAGCACTTACTTAAGGCAATACCTTGAAACTGCAATCAACTGTATTCTTTTTTTTATGAAGAGATCATTGCATATTTCATTAAGGGTCATCCATCAATGATAAATATGTTATTTTATTTGGTCCAACCCTTTCCCACATCATAGCATTTCATCACAAACATTCACCAAAGCTTACTTATGTACTAAGTAATTAAATACAACTGTTATCTTGATTACTTATTACATATATACTAAGTAACTAATTAAATACAACTGTTATCTTGATATATTTAGTTAAATATGATATCAGCAAAAGGCTTTGCTATATTATATTACAGGGGGTAGAGAGTGGGATAGAGCACTATCTTATAATACTGCCTTGCATTTTTTTTTTATTAATTACTTTTTTTTTTCAAAATATTTTTTCTTGTTATATAGCTGAAGAGTCAGTTGATACTACTGGCTAACAAATTCTTAATTTTAAACACAATACAAAGGCTTTGTTATTCTTGCTAGTTGAGAAATAACAATCATTTTTTCTCTAAAATTATGTGATTCCCATAATTTATTTTCAAAATCATAGTTTTAGTACCAAATGGGGGTGGGAGGTTGGTAGCAATATATTTTAAAATAAAATAGCTATAAGTAAATATAAAAGTATATTAATAAAAAACAAATAATTATTTTGTTGATAGTTATGAAGAAGAAAGGAACTTATTAACATGAAAAATCAGTTGAACTTACTATACCAAAATTGCATCATTTTTTTTTCCAATATTTGGTGGAGGTTGGGGCAGGTGATATCATTTTACAGACAACTTATTACCTTATCTTTTTTTCACTTGTAAGCAATTGATTTAATTGACTATTTTATTTAATGGTATCAAGGTATCATGTTTCGCTTTGTAACAAGCAACTGGGGCTGTCGTGTTAGCATAATTCTCGGTGGAGTCCTAGCTTCTGCTGGTCTTGCACTTTGTATGTTGGCTCAAGAGATCTATCAGCTTTACCTTTCTTTTGGATTATTAACTGGTAAATATATGCCTATTTAAGAATTTGGTTTAAACTTGTTAATTCTTTATTGTTGTTGAATTAATATTGACTTTTAAAAATGAGTTTTAAACTAAATATATATCTTCAGACTATTACTCCAATAATAATGTGTAGCTTCTCATGACATTATAACTCACCGGACCAAGACAGCATAGTTTATTGGGCCCAAACTTTTCCCTTAATTAAATAATTAAATAACAGCTATCACCTGAGTGTGTGTTATAAATGGGGTCTATGTGTCGCGCAGCTATGCAGTGAAAGGGTGCACTACCATTATATTCTGTCTAGCCATTCAATAGTTCATCCCAAAGCTTGATGACATCAACGTATACAAATGATTTGATTGGATGATGTTAATTGACTCTACTGTTTATTACACGATACCAATACTTATAACAACCTGTACAAATGATATTAAGACTTGAATACATATACGGCCTCACCCTAAGACTACAAGGACAAGACTTCTTTCAACTTCACTCAAAGGACACAACAATCCCACACTGGAACATCACTTTCTTGCTTTTTGCATCACACTTTCACTCATTCAATATACCCCCGCACCAGCATTTATGCGCACCAATTTGCCTAATCAAACATACATCATAACAGTAAGGATCCCATCATCCTAATCCTGCAATAATTGTATTTTAACTATAATTACAGGTCTAGGCTTTGGATTAGCATGTTCACCATCAATTGTAGCTGTTGAAAGATACTTCATTCATGGAAGATTTCAGGCTTTAAGTGTTGTAGTTGCAGGCATAGGAGCAGGAATAATAACATTTCCTTTACTTATTCGACATCTTCTTGTCCACTTTGCATGGAGAGGAACCATGTTGATTCTAGCAGGAATAGCACTAAATTTATGCGTCTGTGGAATGATAATGAAGCCTTTGAAGTCTGATAAAGAAATTAAGCTGATGCCAATGCTGTCTTGCTTTGCTCTCCGACATCCATTGTTTCATGGAATGTGCTTTGCAAATCTTTTTTGGAGTTTTGGATCCACTGTTATTTATATGTATTTACCCTCATATGCAATGAGTAGAGGATCATCTTTTGAGGCTGCAGTTTTTCTTGTGTCTTGTGTCGGTATTGCTAGCTTTGCTAGTCGAATGATTTTTGCATTTATGGGTCCTAACAGTACACTGGATGAGGTTACATCTGCTCTTTGTCCTGTGGGCTTGGGTGTGGTCATTACTGGGATATCACCTCTTCTCTTCAAAGATTACACTGGACAGATTGGTTACGCTTTGCTTTTTGGGTTCTATAGTGGCTTTTGGACTACATTTTTGTCCCAAGTATCTAGGGAGCTTTTGGGTCCTGAATACATAGCCATGGGTAATGGTTATTTGTCATTTATGATTGCCTTGGGTGCTTTAACTGGTGGACCGCTTACAGGTAGGTGTTTTACTTACATTTGTTAAAAATATTCTTCTATCACATTGGAATGTATTTTAAAAGGTCAAGTGATTTACATTGTAATTTATTCAAAGCAATAATTTTTCAGGCCTGCTGCTCCAACATGAAAATGATTTCAAATATGCATTTTATCTTGCTGGTGTGTATTTTTTCTTTTAAATTCAGGTCTGATATTCCCATAGATAATCACCTAACTTTAGTTTTTAAGCATTTCTAATTGGAAGAAATTAAGGGTTTTTCTGTAATTGACTAATTAAGAATGTTCTATCAATTATTTGGCTCTAATTATCTTTATTTACATAAGATATTGCAGACTTTTTATAATTTGTGATGTTTACAATTTATAGGGGCCTGCTTGCTGTGGAGTTCCATTGTGATGGTGCTGTTTAAACTCAAGCGCTGTGCAGCTAGACTTGATTCTGCCATGTATAGTGGAGAGGATTCAGATTCTCTAAGGAAATCAGCAGCAAAAGAGCAGAAAGTTCCATTGATTCTTGATGAAATTTCTTCAAAAGAAGTGAAACTGACTATTTCTGGGAAAGACATTATTGTGTAAGCACTAATTCTAAAATTCTAAAATGATTTATAATTGGGATTTTCAAGTATGAAAATTAATTTAGTGTAGTCTATGTCATTGTTATGATTTGTTCAAATTTTATTTAAGTCTTAATTTATAGTTTTAAATATAGCCTTTAACAGTAATACAGAGTTGCTTAAATTAGGAAATTATTTTGGTTTTTTTACTATGCAATAGGTGAAACAATAATATCTAGTAGATTTTTAAAATAATATTAGACTATAACTGCAACAATCATTTTTTTTTTTTAAATTTCGGTGTGTAATTGTATATAGAATTTGTAACTAATATTAACAGGGACAATGTAATAACTTGTGTCTGATCACACGACTGCTGCTCCAACACTGACCAGTGACTGCAGAAACAAGAGATGGAACTGAAATTTACTTACAGTATTATTCTCAAAGAATAAATGACAACTGTGTTTATTGATTATTAATGGAACTTAATTAGTGATTTATATTTGACATCTGTTTTCTATATATAGTCACAATATTTAGGCCGTTAAATTAAAAGTTCATTGAAGTAATAAGTATTGCTTATTTCCAAAATTATTATTGGTGATAATAGTTCTCTAAACTAAAGCCTAACTATTTTAAAACATGAATTGATTGCAAATATAGTTTTATATTCATATTATAAATCAGTTTCACAGATTTTCTTTTTAAAAGAACCTAAAAAACAAACCAGAGTATAAAATGTTTTGCTTTTGGTTCTATTCTTGATTGATGAAATGTGAGTCATTGATAATTATTATATTGATCAAAATTCTTATTTTTTACATGTATGTATATTTCCCCTGTGTTCAGATGAAAATAAGTTTTGTTCTAAAGAAAGAAATGAATTGCTGAAAATTAAGGATATTATTACTAATCCTAATGAACGATCAGTTAAAATGATCAGTGATATAGTAACAGGACATTTTATACTACAAGATATTTTCCTAGACATTTCTGTCTCAGAGATTAGAGAAGCTATACAAATTTTGAGCTTAGTTTATACTCTCAGATTTTATAAAAAGTACTCATCTACATCCATAATATAAGATTACAAAAATTAAGTATTGGCTGATTCTTTTGAATAAAATAAAAGATATTATGATAAATAGACTTTTTGCTGTTTGCACAATAACTTTTCCAATACACTTGACGCCTTTTGGTAATACTATTTTCTTTATTTTTGTGCTCTATAAAGTTTAGTTTTTTATATGTAATTATTGCAATAACAAAGTAGTGTCACAATATATGATGTAAATATAACTACATTTTAAATGTATATTTATTGTACCTAGTCATTCTACCATCTCTTACATGTGTGTGTTCTAATTAGTTATTGTACATTTTTGTAGAACACTTATTTTGGAGCTTCCAGATTTTTATATATCAAATATCATATTGTTTTTTTTACAAGTTTATAATAAGTTGTAAAACTTAACAAGCTTTAAAGAATGAATCAGTAAACAAAATCATGCAAGCAGTTACCTACTTCAAAACATGAGCTTGTTTCAAAATTAAATCTCTTCATGACCGTAAAAAAATGTATTAAAGATTTCTCCAAGAAATTAGACATAACAAGGTATTGGAATTTTGCTTGTTATAAAATAATGTAAATATTGTAACTTTCATGTATTAAAAAAGTTTTCAATAGAAAGAAACGTTGGTGCCATAAATAATCTTAATCTTATACATAGACTTTATTGTGCAGTTCATGTACTAATACATTTTACTTTTTGTTGCCTAATCATCATTTTATCATTTAAGTTAACTGCTGCTTTTTCAACTGAAATTTAATTTCCTTTTATTAAAATGATGCTCATATAGTAAAATTAGCAAATAGTTTTGTTTAAATATTGTTAAATGTGTGTGAATCTTGAAGATTGTTTGCTGCTTTCAGAGTTTCTTCCAAGCATTTATACCCCCCCCCCCCCCTCTCCCGAACAAAATGTAATTTATATAGTAAATATATACTTTTAACAGTGTCCGCCTCTTCCCCCCCCCCCCCCCCCCCCCCCCCACCACCGGTATTTTTAAGTCTGGAACTACCAGATTTTCATTGTGACAAAATTTGAACTTTTTAAAGTCAGACCCAAATGGCGGTAACTTTGAATTTTTTATTTATTTTTAATTATGCACATCAACATAGTTTAAATATATACATACAAGGAAAGGAAACAAGTTTAACAATGTCATATAAAATATGAGATGCAAATAGTAAGGTTTTCATAATGAATGAGGATTAAACATCAAAATCATGATGTGAACAAAATGGTGAATAAATACAATGCTAGTAACCATACAACCAGAAATCTCTTTAAAGTAGGATTGAGTTGGGGTGAATTTTTCCGGGTTTTGTCCCTTGAGTGGCCAGAAAATGATTCTATGTTTGAGATGTATACTAGCGCACCCGTGCGTACTAGCTCTAGGGTGCTCGTTAAAACTAACGTGGGCGCCAAATCGCACCCTGCCGGCAAACGCGTCTGATTTTTTTTTTGTAATGAACGACTATTACGCCCCATTTTATCAATTATCAATCGCACTGTTTAAAACGAACGTAGGCGCCATTCCACTCTTGGGAAAGCTCAGGGCGTCAAATCGCACACTGCAGGGGCGCCGGAGGATGCGCCTGATTCGATATAGTCAACGATTTGTGTTGCCCATTGTGTTTTTAGTGTATAGCCTTTTTTTAAAAAAAAACGAACGTATGTGCCATAGTGCTCACATGGGACCCTGTGGCGCTTTGGGTAATGCAATAGCCGGGGCGCTGGCAGCTGCGCCTGTTGAAGTTTTAACGTTGAATATAGTTGTACCCCTTACCCGCTATGCAGGACGCCCGATTAACGGATACCAAGTGCTAAGATAGACGATGTGGAACTCTGGGTGCCAAACCAAGTATTTACAAAAATCGCACCCTCCCGGGCGCCGCTCATAAGAATTTTTTTTTCACGTAGAAACCTTAGGAGTATTCTTATCAACTCCCCAAAGTTTCATGCCAATCTGAGGAACGATGTCGAATCGCATCCGACTTTTATATTGTATATACCGTATATCAGAGGCGGGGGTGCGGGCCGCAACGGAAGACACCATTTAGAGGGGTGACACCAAGAAAAAAAAACTGCAAGATACATAGAATAAGTATGTTTTTGCCAGTTCAATTAATGGTTAAAAAGTATTTTAAGTACGTAATGACGATCCCGACAAGGGGGGGACGGGGGACCTGACATCATGACGTAATAATGTAAACTACAGAGGGTGACACCATGAGGTGCCGCACTAGTCGACACCCGGCCTAGCGACGCCACTGCCGTATATAGAGAAAAATCGCACCCTTCCGATGCGCCGCCCTTGCGAAATTTAAAAAGTTTTTTTTTTTACAGAAACCTTTCCTTGAGTGTTTTCGTCAACTCCTCAAAATTTCATGGCGATAGGATGAACTGTGTCTAACCGCAACCAAAGTTTATTTTTATATCGCGTATATAGAGAAGAATCGTGCCCTGCCGGGGCGCCACCTGCGAGTTTCTTGGCGATCGGGTGAAAGGTGTAGTGAAGCAGAAATGATGGACAAACACACGCACACACCACACTCACATATATATACTCACACACACACACACACCGACACATAGACACATCTTATTTTTAACGCATCAATGTTATATTACTTTAAGGAGCTTTAGCGTGGGGCAAATAGGGGTGTATATATGTTGGGGAGATAATACAAAACGTCTAAAGTATGATTATTGAGATAAGAGTGTGGGGGTGGGGGTATTGTTAGTTTAATCTGGAAGCTTAGCTTTAGTAGGTTGTCTCTTTTGCTTGGTTTGGTTCGTCTCTAAATACAATTCTCGTATTGCCTGTTTCTTTGTTGTTGTTTTTTCGCAGTAAACTTATCGTGCGCTGTGTCATTGTTTGGGTGCCAGCTCTGGGGGTGTAGTTTTATCTGCAATTTTTATGTGAATTCCTTAGCAGTAGGAGCATTGTAGGCGATGGCTTTGGGGTGGTAGTTGCGAATTGATCTAGCATGTCTACTGACATATTTTCTTTGCAGATTCTGCAGTTTAAAATTAATAAAAATATCGCTGTGTACCTTGTCTAAGTGTTCTGCAGCGGATTAGTTTTGACTTGTTGATAGGTATTCCGTGGGGGTGTTGATTGCTTGTATAACGTTTCCTTTGTTAGCTGTAGGCTAGTGTAGGTGGGTTGGTTGTTGCTGGCTTACCTTAATCATAATTTTTGTTTGACCCGCACGTTTGACATGCTTGTCTGCCAGGTATTGCAATTAACCTGTTTATTGTTGTGTCTTTGTAAGTGATTTTAATATAGTGTGAGATGTATTGTGGGCAGTGGCGTGCAAAATTTTGGACCAAATTTTAATTAATTCATAAAAAAAATATCTAATGAAACCGCACCCAGAATAATGAAAACGCGATCACAACTTAGTCTAGATAGAACATTGGCCAGGTCATCCCGGCCATTGGGCGGTGCGGTTTGCCACCCAGAGTTTCCCAGCGGCCATCTTGCCACCTTGAGTACGTTGATTGGGTGTCGTGCACAAAACAATACATACCAAACAATACATACCAAACAATACATACAAAACCTTGATAGACATTGTTGACAATACCGGATGTACATCTGGGTGTGACTGTGTATATTGGGCAGCGATACTTTGGCTTTGGATGTGTGTAGAATATCACCGCCCTTCACCGATGCCCATTTCTCCCTGAACGTTGAACGACGAAGACGGTACGATGACTATATCAGTGCCATTTGTTGATTGTATATACACATTTGGATGAATTTGGCAAATTGATAATTCTGCCTAAGTAGATTTTTAATTTCCTTATAAAAAAAACTACTACAATTTTACCCCGTTGGAATCCCCCTTAATGTGGATGCCCGGGGCCTGGGCCCACCCCCCACCCCTCTGCACGCCACTGCCCACAATACATCTCACACTACATTAAAATTACTTACAAAGACACAACAATAAACAGGTGTGTGGACCTGTGACAGTGGAGGTCTATTGAGATTCCACTAATTATCCCAACTGTGATGATTCGAAAAGGAATAAAATAATGAAATCTTAAACCTGCGGCCTAGAGGCGGGATTTCCTAAGCCGTGGACGAATACCTACATACATGAGGTTTGCACACGCATCTGTCGCATTTGAGTGCCGGGAGGAAGGGGTCGCACAACTTGGCACAAGACCTAACAAAGAACGACACACATGCTCCTGCATCACTTGGTTACATATATATATATATATATATATATATATATATATATATATATATATATATATATATATATATATATATATATATATATATATATATATATATATATATATATATATATATATATATATATATATATATATATATATATATATATATATATATATATATATATATATATATATATATATATATATATATATATATATATATATATATATATATATGTTGTTACGTACCCCCTTCTCTAATCCTTTCGAACTATTCAGGGGATCGTAAACAAGAAGAAGAAAAATAAAAATAAATAAATGCCAACTTCAGTAATCTCTATTTATTCGCCACAAAATACAACATCTAACATTAACCCGCCACCACATGGAACACAATAGGAAAAATACACAACTATCTACAACAACTAAAGTACTTAGTACGACTACCCTACTTGTCCCTAACCGTCTAGCCTAGCCTAAGTCTAAAACATGTTGTGGCTTTCCACTAGCTCACAGAGACGACCCATGTCTGTCTCCTCTAGACCTAGCTATCCGAGACGTGTCCGTCCGTCTCCGTGTGTGTGTCCCCGAGTGTCTGTCGAGAGTGTCCCCCGTGTCCCCGGTCTACCCTCCTAAAGTACTCGTCCCCCGCTATACACCGTGGGAACGATTTTAATTAAGGCCTGACCCTAGGTCATATCCGTCCATGACGGTCCCCTCCGATCTGGAAGGTTTTCCCAGCCGTAAACCACGGACCGTCACTAGCCTAGGTCAAGCATCAACGGTCAGCCCGTGGTGTCACCAGGTAATTTATGGGCTGTTGGCCACGTTACTACCCGAGTCCCGAAGACTCCAAGTCTGCCACGCCCACAGCGTGTAATCTAATCCGTGGTGTGGCCGTCAAGACCCCCAGACTCTCACGGCCTATGCTGGCCAGTGCATTAACATGCCTAAGCATTTCATTTTAATTACCTGGCCCTCCTCGATGGGGCCAAACCCAGGTAAAGATCACTTGGGATCGTAACAATATATATATATATATATATATATATATATATATATATATATATATATATATATATATATATATATATATATATATATATATATATATATATATATATATGCGCGCTTTGGCCAATGTCCTGGCCAATGTTCTATCTAGACTAAGTTGTGATCGCGTTTTCATTATTCTGGGTGCGGTTTCATTGTGAGTAACGTATTGTTTAGCTATTGTTTGTATAGCATTCTATATGCAAGGCGACATGTATCAAAAGGGCCGTCAGACCATGAGACAGACATAGCAGATGGCTGTCAAAAGAAAAAAATGTAAATCCATGTTACTTTCCATATATGGGCTACAAGGCATAGCCAAAGCCAAGGTTATATTTATAAAAACTGTCTAGCTCCAGTTGCTGGCACTACAATAAAATTTATAAAATCTTGCATGTTCTCTAATTTTCAGATAATTCTTTGTTGAATCGCAAGCACCGTGGCTACACCATTTTCCTTTATAAAAAAATAAAGCTGTGTGCCCACGATCTACGGTTTTTTTTTTTACTTTGATTACTCTTTATTTTAATTGTCTGGGCCGCAGACGCTCCATGTCAAAGGTCATGCATGTTTGGTATAAATCCTTTACATTTACCTTGGCGAAAAAATCTCCCCCCACCCCCCGACCCCCAACACCTTTTTCTTATTATACGGTTACACAATATTGTAGATACAATTGGTTTATTTTCTTAGTGTAAAAACCCGTATTTACAATTGGTTTATTTTCTTAGTGTAAAAGAGTTAGATCTAGATCTAGATTTATCTATTCACCAGTCCAGTCTAAATAGTTCCGAGTTTAGTAGGCAAAAAGCGCCCCCCCCCCCTACCTCCCCAAATCTTGGAACTAGCTGAAGAGCTTTTTTTTTTTAATTTAAAAATTACAAATTTGAATAATAAAAGGAAAAACAAGATTAAAAAATAATTCATTGATAGTTTTACGACGTTCTATAACAGAAGACTCATAAGACCCATGATCAATTATCATCGTTGTGATTTTTTTTAGTGATTTGTGAAAATAACAAAAGTATTTAGAGATCTAGACGATGTGAGATTTTTCAGTAGGTTATTGATCTAGGTCACGGGTTCCCAACCTGGGGGTCACGACCCCCCTGGGGGCGGAGGCGTAGCGACCCTTCCCGGCGCCCGGGGCGAACTTTCAATTTGGCGCCCCCCCCCCCGCTTATATATATATATATATATATATATATATATATATATATATATATATATATATATATATATATATATATATATATATATATATATATGTGTGTGTGTGTGTGTGTGTGTATATATAATTATGTGTGTGTGATAGTGTGTTTATATATAAGCTTGTGTGTGGGTAAGAGTGTATTTGTGTGTGTAAGCGTGTGTGTAAGCGTGTATGCTACAGTCCGGACAAGGTTTAATAATTACATTGTATGATTTTCATTCCTTAAAACTTTACGATAATTTAATTCCCATTAAGATGCGTTTAACTTTTTTTGCGAAAGATTAGTAATGTCAGTAAAAAAAATAAGCCTGATCTGTGTTAGAGGGTAGTTTGTAGCTAACGCTAATATGTTTAGACCAGCCTTTTATGTTCTAGTTTTGAACGATCTCTGTTGTGATATGGTACATAGTTGGATTCGAAGTTTGTTAGAGTAAGGACACACAAGTGACATACAAGAAGAAGTTATCAGAAATATTTATTGTTCACATTGGAATACGACATGGGTATTTCGTTGATTGGTTGATGGTATGACAAAACAAGCTAGAGAAAACAAACTGGAATCCAACGGATGTTAACAGCTCGTAGTCTTGGATTTCGCAGATTTGCCCTGCCTTCTCGCACACAGTTTCTTCCAGGCATCTTTTCGGGGGGTGGGGGCCAAGCCCCCCGGAAAAATTTATACGCCCCCCCCCCCCCGAACGAAATGAAATTTATATAATTTATATATAGAAAATATATACTTTTAACAGTGTCCGCCCCCCCCCCCCGAAGAAAGTTTACCGCCTCCCCCCTCCCCCCGAAGATTTCAAGTGCCCCCCCGGAGAAAAAAGTCTGGAAGAAACACTGATCAAAAGTATCTGATCTCTCACGTTGAAGTTGAGAGAATCGTAAGAATCTTTCAAAGAACTAGTCGCGTCTTTTTTTTTAACAAAACTGGCTGGTGAAATTTTACATTACGCGTTAATACACTTGGTTTCTTTACTAAGTGTTAAGAGAGTTATCTACTCACCAATCCAGTACAAATACTTGCGATTTTTGTTAGCGAAAAAGCGCCCCCCCCCCCCACCCCACACACACACACTCATCACAACCATCTTGGACAAAGTTTGTAGAGCGGTTTTTAACGTAACTAACTTTTTTTTAAAAAATGTTACACAATTATACAATGCACAGTACAATTCGTTTCTTTCTGAGAGCTAAAGGTTGTTTACTCAGAATCCTGTGTAATTTTGCTATTTTATTTAGCCTAAAAGCGCCCCCCTGCACCATCTTGATAAAAGTCACTAACGTATTTTACAGTTCAACAATCGTACAATACGTTTTAATACAATTCGTTTCTTTTAATAGTGGTAACGTTTATCGACTCAACAATCTAGTGTAAATTCTTCCGTTTTAAGTCTCGAAAAGCGCCCCCCCCCCATCTAGGAAAAGCTTCAAAGCGGTTTTGCCGGTCACTGTTTCTTAAGAGTATATGTTTTACATTAAGAAATCAAGATAGAAAACAGTTAAATCAGTATGTAAATGCGTGTAGCCATTACATTTCTTAACTTAGACAGTTTATAATTCAAAACTGCAGCATAAAATCAGCTTTAAAAAATTTTTCCCACCCCTTTTGGCGCCCCCATAGGGTCGGCGCCCGGGGCGGCCGCCCCCCCCCCCCGCCCCCCCCTAGCTACGCCTCTGCCTGGGGGTCGCGAAGGTCTTTCTGGGTGGTCGCCAACTGGTATACTAAACCTTAGTAATTTGAAACACAACATAAATATTTAGAAGAATTTTTGAAATTCGGCTTCATTAACATCACTGGAAATGTAATAGAGAAGAAACAAAGCGCACTGTACAAAGTTGTTCTCAGTCACGAATCTATGAAATCTTTAAAACTAAAACGTCATTTGAGACAAGTCATTCGGAACACACCGGAAATATATGGAGTTCTTTCGTCGGTAAGAAGCTAGTTGCAGACGCCAGAGACTTGATCGAACAGGATGTTTTCACCAGCATTAGTGCAAGCATCAAATGAAGTCGCGATAGAAAACGCCAAGCAAAAAAAAAAAAAACAATAGGAGAAAATCTCACCAAAAGCTTCATGTACTTAAATGTTAAATAACACATTTTTATTGAAATTACGCTTTCAAAATTGTTTGCTTTTCAAGTTGATAAATTAACAGACGTGAGTTCGTGTTCGCAGTTGCTGTGTCTATATTCATGCGGATGATAGCAAAGAAGAGTTGCTCTTTTGTGAAGATAACATGGAGAAAATAAATAGGCTTACCTTTTTGAAACTGGATGATTAAAATGGGTTAGAACGGCTGTGGGGGTTCGTACGGATGGCGCGCCATCTATGTTTAGCTCAAAATCGGGCTTTCAGAAAACAAAAAAGATTTAGCTCCCTAACCACTACCCTAACCAATTGACATCAAGAGTTCATTGCTAGTATAAGGCGTAAATTATATAAAATCTGGAGCCTTCAAAGAACTGAGAAAAAACATTAATATAGATCACGAGGTTCTACTCTTCTACACTACAGTACGCTGGCTGTCAAACGAAATGTTGTAACTTGAGTTTTTTATTGAAATCTGAAATCAAATTGTTCTTGGAAGTGCAAAGAAAACATGACTTTTTGGTATATTTAAAACGACATAGAGTGGTGGTTGGAGAGAGTACCATACCTAGCAGATGTGTTCGAACATCAAGATAAGCTTAACCTGAAGCTTCAGGTAAAATGAACGGATATTATAACTTTCCATGATAATCTTGGGGTACTTTTATCAAAACTGCAAAATCGGCGAAGAAAATAAATCTTGGAAATATTGTAAATTTGAGTTATTTAAAATTTCGAAAGAAGCGATTTCTGGGCATCTTGAATCTCTTGAAAACGGACTGCATCGCTATTTCTCTGAGCTGAAAAAAAGAAGAATCTGCATTTACGCATTACCTATTCTCTTCTTCCCTTGATGTTGCCAGCATTCCCGTTGAATTACAAGATGAGTTCTTTTATTTGCAGAATGATTCAGAGTAAGATGAAAAACGGCAGACACAATTTTGGTGTAGTATTCACCATTCGTACCCAAACATAAGATTGATTGACTTTTCGAGAATACATTTTCAACACTATTCTTCGATTAAAAACAAAATTAAGATAATTATAATGACATAGGTTGGCGTTAACAAAAAAAATGTAATTAAAAAGTTAACCACGAAGGTTTAGTGAATAGTATGCAATTTTACTCACGCTATTAAAACAGTTATCAAGAGTAGTTCATATTGAAAGTCTACTAGAAAATCTTATTTTAGTGCTTATTAATTTCCATACTAATTTCGGCTTTTTAATTCTATGGGGGTCGCGGGTCACTTACTTTTTATAAAAGGGGGTCGCCACTCGAAAAAGGTTGGGAACCACTGATCTAGGTCTAGTTCTATTATATTGACAGAAAAGCCAGCATATTGATCGACTACGGGTCGGCGTGGTCGAGTCGGTAAAAGCTCATGGTTGCTAAACTCCAAAACCAAACAACTGCTGCCTTGTAGCTTGTTCTTGGTTGGACAAAGGCTATGGAAGCAAATCCAAAAAGAAAAGCAGGCTGAAATCGGAGTCAATGGCCTCAATGGCGCATAACCAGTTGACACGTATCCTTAATTATGATGGAGGCGTGGTCGAGTCGGCTAAAGCTTATGGTTGATAAATTCGAAAAAGTCTCGAGTTCGAACCCTCTGGCAGAAGGCTCCATCCCTTCCAACACTAAAAAGAAGAAGAAGATCGTGTATGATGCTGTTCTTTTAACTTTTACGCGATCTGTAAAACTCGCAAATCCGTTATTTCCGTATCTCAAATTTAGCTCTTAGGCCTATTTGAAAACAAAAAATGCTTGCTCTAAGAATCTCGTATGTGGGGGTACCAGTAGGTCGAGGTACCACACAGCAGAGAATAGAGAACAAGTAATAGACTAAATAGACGAAATAATAATAAACCTGCCCCTATCTAGATTTCTAGTACAGTAAGCTACTGGAAATCAACATTATTTGCAGGAAAACGTCGATACTTTATTTTCATACACTCGCTTCAAAAATGGCTGCGCCCATATTCTGTAGGCCTGAGTGTTATTAACTCGTTTAACATAATGATGACAACTAAATCTAGATCTAAGCCTATTTAATTTGTTTAGTATTTTGCTTTGCCTTATGTATAAATTGTAGATGTATGTGTGTGTATATATAGATCTATAGGTAAAACTCCATTTTAGCGTATTTTATTTCCCCCCCCCCCCCCCCCGCTTCACGTTCACCTCCAGTTGAGGTATTTTATTATAAACTAGGTAAAATCTTAGTTTAGCGTCGTAAATTCGGCCAAAACTAGTAATGTGGGAGAGAGTGAATTAATGAATATGTCATTAAATATGAGTATATTTTCGTATATTTTGATAAAGTATTATAGATAATTGAATAATAGATCACCATTGATGGTTAAATCAATTTAAATATCCTGAAATTAATTTTTATCAACCCTGTTCGAGATAGTAAATTTGCTATTAAAAACAGCAGCCATCTTAAGAAACTGTTATTTAGAGTAGCTTCCCTTACATTTCTATTCATATGAAAATGTATTTAAATATGATCGTCTTGTTGTATAGTCCGTATTACAAAGCATTTTTTTTTAAATGTGAATTTCCTAACAAACAACTTTATTAATTCTAGAAGCATTGTCAGATGCAACTTGTATTCATGTATTAAATCACGTTTTTTTTTTACTAATGTTTATTTGATCTTACTATTACTAAATAGTTGTGAGTTTTTTCTTATTGTTTGAATGTTCACTATTTTCATTTCAGGTTTTTCTTTTTATCAATTAGCAATTCTATCGTAACTTATGACATTTTTTTTTTACTTCTCTTTACCTTAATTAAACCCCAACCTCCGTCATATTTTTGTCGTCAATGTCACAACAAGTCATAATGTAAAAAAATTACGCTTCACAAAACAATGAGCCAGTCCACCCCTTAAGTGCGTGTTGTCATTATGGTCGATCGCAAGTCTCCACCTGCCAGACACATGTTGGTTATCCTTTGTTGTCAAATTGTCAATATCAAGTACACAAGTGAGTGATATGGGGTTGTCCATAAATGATGTCACATATGATTTGCTACGGGGGTGAGTGAAGATTTGTGACGTCAACTCAGGCGGCTTTGCAATTTATGACGTGTCGGTCTCATGAAAGGAGGAGAACGGGGAAAAATACCTAAGTGGTTGATGGAGAACCTCTATAATGCTTTGTTCAATCAAAATAACGATAAATAAGCATTAGTATACGTATACCTTGCTCAAAACGAATCATCACAAGTGTTTGAGACATTTGGCAAAACGGTCTTAACACATCCCCGTCAAAAAGGCTTGCCACCTAATGCCTGCCGACGAATAAGCCGCGTCTAATGCGGGGCGTTAGGAATACGGCAATTAGCATGGGCCGCGTTAGAGCACCAGTAGGCTATCGCGCTTTGTAAGATGACGTAAATACTTAAATTCAATTTCGCTAAACTGCGGGAAAATTTAGTAATGTTCCATCGTTTGAGGAAATTTATTTTCTTGGACTTAAATTGAAATATCATGTTGACTGTCTGGCTCTTAATTTCCGAATATCACTTTTAATGTATCAATATTCAGAACTATAATTTACTTTAATATAAGTGTCATCTTATCGTTTATTGTGGTTTTTATAAAGCGCAGAGCAGCTACGAAATCGGACGGGCATCCTGTTTTCACCAAGCTTCTTTTGGAGCTTAATATGGGTAGTCTAGTTCTATACGGTGTGAGCTTAATACATTTTTAAAGGGCCGAAAGTCTCAAGACAGCAAGCTTGCAGAAATAACTACGTACGTTTAAATGGACGAGTGATAGATGTGTTAGGGGCTGTTTAATGAACACCAACTTATGAAATCAAACTAAACGTCGCAAAAGCGTCAAAAAGGCAGTGCTTGTTGTTTTTTTTTGTATAAAATTAGCCTAACGATCGGCGGTACCGCTACATGACGTCACGTGCGAGCGTTAACTCGGTGACGATGTGCTAAGTGGGGGAATGAAAAAGGTAGGGTTCAAGAAATGCGACTCGGCAAGCTTTTTACATTTCTTGACCCTTCTTAATAGTTCTTTCGTCCCCACTGAGAAAATGGATCACCAATGAATGACGCGTCATACTTCTACAGCTGGTCTTTCTCACACAACCATCCCGTTTTCACGAAAAAAAACCTGACCCGTCTCCAAAATCACATCGCTGAGTTCTACTCAACCTCTCCCCACTACAAATCACAATTTCTATCTGAAACAATATGTTCATATGTTTGCTCTGTAATAATGCACGCTGTCATTACTATCTTAAGAGCGACGTCATTTATGAGCGATCTAATATTGATTTGCTTACTGCAAATAAAGTGTTCAAAAGTTCGACCTCCCAACAATTGTTGTGGTCTTGGATGCACACTATTAAGTCTGATAAGGTCTATTAGTCATTCATGTCAACTATATTAAAAAAGAAGAAAAATTACTATACAGGGGGTCATCCATAAATGATGTCACGCCTTTTTTGACGATTTTTACCTCCCCCCCTCCCCTCCGTCACACGTCATCACAAAAAGCCAGACCCCCCCCCTAAAATGACGTCACACCTCAGCCTACAACCCCCCCCCTTAAAATTGCAGTTGAATTGTTTTTAAACAGCTATATTTTTCCAAAATCTTGTCTGAACTCTGTCAAAATAGAGTATTTTAATCAATTGTTATTACAATGTATTAAAACAGTTTTTTTAAAACGCAAATTAACGTCTAAAATTCGTTTTGTAACATTGCTTTTTTAAAATGCAAAAGTGTGACGTCGCACCATCTGAACCCCTCCCCACACAACGTCACAAAATTACGGACCCCCTCCCCCCTACGAGTGTGACGTCATTTATTGACGACCCCCGGCATATATTAAAACAATACAAAACAATCATATTAAACCACAAAATCAACACAAAAGACATGCGAATAGACAATTTATTGTTTTTAAAACATGGCCGCTGCTTGTATTTACTCATTGTTGTCTCGAACGGGGTAGTTTAAAGTTTATTCCAGGATATTTATGACTGGTTTGGTCTTAGATTGTGATTTGTTATTCAATTATCTGTTATGTTATGTAAAATATAACATATATATGGCCAAATGAAAGAAATATTCATTAGTTACCCCTATCGCACATTACTAGCTACGTTGGAATTTACGACGCTAAACTAAGATTTTACCATAAACTAATATAAACACAACGGCAACACACAAAAACGTTAGGAAAACACTAGATCTAGATCTACTTATTTTTTATGAATGTGATTTTTAATTAGAAAATGTAAAAAAAACATAAACGCATTAGGCATTAGTTCAATCAGTTCATATCTTTTAGTTTTGGCCGATTCTAGTCGGAATAAGATACGCATGCGATACGCATGCGCAATGGAGAGAAACTACGACTTAGCGGCGATGTTTTCGATGGTACTGCGCATGCGTGTGTTAACAACCGCAGAACCCTAATACCAACCCTAGTCCTATCCTTAACCCTATCCCTAGGTTTTTCGATTCGTGAAATCTCGTTCTCGCGGTTTTGAAGCACCAGTGTTTTGGGCGGCCATATAAAATATCGAATCATTTCTTTCTCATGAAGTACATGATAGTTAAAACTAAGGATTGTATCGTAATCGGATAGATTTTCACTCGAAACTGCCCATGTATTTACGGGGCGAATAATTAACATTTTAATAATGGCAGCTTGACCTAATTTCTTTATTTGTATTTAACGAGGCAGTCGAGAGAAAGTCACGCTGACCTAGCTTGCGTTTCAAGTCGAATAAACTAAAAGCAGGTGCGTTCTACAATAACTTTATTGTAATATACAATTTGTATATCATCTTTACTATCAAATAAAAATAGAATTGTTTAATATAATTAGGGTGGAAACAATGCTTTTGAGGGTGTAAGTAATAATGCCATTTTATTATATTCTTGTTTGGTGAAAACGAGGCGCGGGAAAATGTGTGCCGCGCAAGAATCCAATCATTTGGCTAGATTTATGACTGTTTTTTATGTCATACCTAAAAATAGAATGTTTACGCTTTCTTCGTTGATGATCGTTTTTATTATTTTTTAAATTGAAAGTATGAATTATTAGTTAGATTGCGGATTTTGTAACTTGGTATACTTACCTTTTATCAATTTAAAAAACATAGCATGCTAATTGTGAACAAATATAGTCATAAAACACAGAAATATAAAGTTATAATTGCGATGTGCCACACCCGGGCCACACCCCCTCAAGAAAGCATGTGTTTATTAAGCTGTTTATCTCACTTTACAACAGTAATTAAAATTAATTTTCAAATTTTTATCACTTATTGGGTAAGATTAAGCACATGTTTACCAAAAATAAAAATAAAACAAAAGCAAATTCTGTTTTAATGAAGGTCACGGGTGAAGTTTTTTTTTCCTTCTGTCACGTTCAGTGGAGGGTGCCACAGGCTGACCTGACTTTGGAATTTTTTTCAGTAATAATGACTTTGCACAGAAAGTTAAAATATGCTAAATTAGCTTAGTTTACTAGTGTTCTAGCTATTATTGATACATTTTTAATAAAAAAATCATTCTGTAATTCTCATCAAACAGCCTACTATCCCTAATCCTATCCCTAACCCTAATCCTAGCCCTAATCCTATCCCTAACCCTAGCCCTAATCCTATCCCTAACCCTAATCCTATCCCTAACCCTATGCCTAATCCTACCCCTAACCCTCATTCTAGCCCTAACCCTCGCCATAAGTCACTGCGCATGCGCAGAACTATCTTTTGCCGAAAAATCTTATTCCGAGTAGACACTTCGTTTAGTTTTTCTTACTAAATCTAAAATTTACGCAATTTTCAATATAAACATGACCACTGAATAATAGACATCCAAATTTAATCCATTAGGCACTAATTTTGAAGTTTTTAGTTCATTTTAAACTAAATTACTTAATTTAATATTTATTGACACTCACTGCCATGGCCAACACATCTCTCCATGACAACTCTTCTAACCCTTGATGCTAAAGAAAACCACAAATCAGGTTAGACTTTTTAAGTGGCCATGCACCCAGAGTTCCTCACTAGTGATCTCAAATAGCAGTCACGTGGTTTTTAAAAAATAAAAATAAATTGGTTGTGATATGAGAGCCGATCTTATAAAAAAAAGTGCTGACAATATTTGCTTTCTTTTTACATAGACTGATAGACTTAATAATGCTTTACTTATATGATCATTTTTGTACCTACATAGTTGATATTTTTCAAATTCTATTAATTTTAATGAAACCAACTTTTGAATTTAGCCTCCGTTCTCCAAACCAAATTTTAAAATGCTTTTCTGGCATATCTAACCCTGCCACCTATTGTTTGTTGTTATGACACGGAAATCCCGCCATTTTGCGCGTGGTAAACATTTTTAAATTTAATTAGTAGAAGGTCTCTGGAATTTGGCCAAAAAATCGCCGGAAGTCATGCGTCCGGTCCGGACGCCATATTGTTGTTAGCAACCGACCACGCCTCCAAGTTAGCGAGTAATACTAATATCTTTTCTTTTCACTCACCAAAAGCACGAACGAAAAAATTATTTCCCACTATTTACCTGTGATTCTGCAGGAATGTCTTGCAGTTTTGTCTCGCCATTTGGCGTCTTACTGCTGCAATTTTCCAAAACCCTCTGGAAATACCCCCAATTAATTGGCAATATGTCAGTTCCTAGTCTGCTATTATTTCATGCAAAATATATAGGCCTATAGGCTAATTGGGAATAAATTCTTACAATCACAAAAGCATTTATTGTGACTAGGGAATGAGGTATAGATTAAGGCCAGATACCATACCTATTTTTGAAAACTAAAATTTTTTTCTTTGAGAATGGGTTTATCACGCATTCTGATAGTAACACCATATAACTATCTAACATGAAAGTTTCAAACCTCTACAGCCAACAGTTATCCTTTTATTGTGATATGAAACATGGTACCCCCCTTCCCCCCTCAAATTTTCACACTCAACTTGGACAGGGACTATCTTTGAGTGTGTGCTACGTCCTTTATTGCCCCCAAGGTACCATAAACTGGACATCAATCTATCGGCCAAACACTTTTTTCTTTGTTCTAAAAATAAGTGGGATAAGCGTTGTTTTCTAGAAAGTAAAACTTCTCTGCAAACTCCATGTAAGGCCATACACGTACAAATAATGAATGGGAAGATATTTATTGATATTATTGATCAATCATATTACGGCACAGTTGATCAAAACAATTCATTATAGATTAGCAAATAACCATGTGGGCTGAGTAGCTATCTTTTTAGTATATAAACAATCGCCTGTCTTTGTTTATTTACTTTAGCTGGTATGAAAATAATATACTCTTTAATTTGTTGTTTTAAAATTATACAACAGCATTTTCTGTTAATATGTGAAACTTTGTCAAGAAAAGTGGCGTTGATTGTCATTGGATCACCATTAAATACTGGTTATTATGTTTTAGTTTTATACTAAGCTGAAACAATGCGTAATGAACATGCCTGTACTGTAAGTTTGAAGATGAACAAATGCCCATTCCCTCCTCTCATGCTCGTTAGTCAACCAAGGGTCAGTTTATAATCTTGTTACATCATAAACATCATTTTTGTTACATCGTGTTAGTGTGTATTCCCTTTGTTCCATGTAGGGCTTACAAGCAACAGAATATAAATACAAGATGGATTGCTGATAAGCATTAACATCCTACTTGACCCTAACCACATGGACGTGTTATTTACGGTTGAATGATTATTTGTAATTTATGGCTCATCAGACCCTCACTCAGCACTAACAAGCTGTTGAAAGGGGGTGGGGGGGGGGTTGCTTAGCTTCAAGCTCTGAACCCAGGAATGGGTGGTAGGCTGTTACCAAGAGTCAATAGACCTGTGTAAGTTAAAATTTAAGTAGTGATAGACATGGTATTGAAGTGAGAAGGCTAACAAAGAGAACTTAATCTGGTCAGTTAATAGTTGCTCTTAAAATAATACTTGATGAATATGATAGTTAATATATAATAGTCATTAACACATTTCCTCTAGTATGTATAAATACATTATTCCTGCTTATAAAAAACATACTCTATCTGAAACTTACAACAGAAATCAACATGTACTATTTTAGTCAAATGGCTCTTCCACATAAAATGACGTCTTTTATTGTTTTCTGTAAGAGGAACCGTAAAGTGCCATTTTCCACCTCTCTTTTCAAGTTTTCTCAACTTTGCATTTGTACGCAAAATTCACGATTAAAATCGCTAAGGCTTGAACTTGTTGTCATAGAAAATTTTCCACATGCATTCAGCATTATACTATCTACAAACTATGGTTGTACATTAAGTTTACTGCAGCACTTTAGGAAATCTTGATATTTTTGTACATAGTTGTAATTAAAAATTTGAAGCACTACTCAACTAACCTTAGGTCAGTATATTTCTTTTTTATTTCAATAAATTTATTTAGGTAGTAGCCAAGATCACTATGTAGGCTACTATATAATTTAATTCTTTTAACTTAATAAAGCCTTACATTAACATAATTAAGCATTAGTTTAATAAGTAATAGGCCTAGTCAGTAAATTAAAATTAGCCTAGATTTAGTCACCAACTATGTATAAAATATCTAGGCCTAATTATTATATCAATAATAATTATAGGGTCTTACTATATAGAAATTATGGGCCAGATAAAATATATTTAGGCCTAGCCAAAATAAATAATTGAAAATTAATCTGTAGGTTTAACTATTAATAAGCCATGCCATTTTCAATTTTATGTCGAAATCAATGGTAAAGAATAAAAGACTACATAATTTAAGTTAATTATATATTGCTGCCACATAATAACATGAACCTTTTGAAAAACCCATAAAACTGCCACTCATTTATTACGTAATCCAAATGTAATGTACTTTAAACTTATAACTGAAAATAAATGCTGAATGGAAAAATTTGGTAGCTGTACAGTTTTGACAAACATTAAAATCATTATTAATATTTAATTATTATTTCAATTTTAGTATCAGTTTTTGTTAAATGGAAGCTAAGTCTTTACTAAAAATAACTCTTTATCAAATAAATTTTCTTTTTCCACTCCTATAAATAATAGGAATAAAAAATGGCAATAGTTATAATTTGCTAATGAATTTATTATTTCTTCATTATTTTCTTTATCCATTCATGAGAAGTATTAATTATTATAATTAAGCCACGTGCATGTTCTAGATAGTTATTTGCATTGTTGCTGTTATCATAGTTAATCTTAAACTTTTGCATTTTAGTTCGAGGAGCTAAAGGTATTTGGACTGTTGATGGTGCAACATTTACTGCGGACATTGCAAATTACATGTATACAATTTTTTGTTACAAACTTGATACAGTAGGCTTTACATATTTTTAGCTAGAACTAAAAATGAAAATTTTGTACATTCAACATCACATGGTTACACAGATTAAGTTGTAAAATATTATTTTTATTCATTATGTGCGTATTATTTTTATTCATGATGTGCCTGGTTTTCATGAGATATTTATACTAACCTTAAATATTTCAGTGATGAAAAAAACTCTTGTAGGTGCATGATCTTTTCTGAAGATGGATCCAAATTTGCTTGGTGCAATGCTGATAGGTAAATTCTTAAAGTAAATGAGAAATTATTAAATGAAAATATTGTCCTCTAATTGAGGAATCATGATATATGCATTTCTTCAAGTCCATGTCAATGATTTCTAGAATAAATTTAACTTTACCATTAACCTTTAACTTTGGAAAAAGTCTGGAATGTAGACAGTTGAATTTCAAATGTCTTGAAAATCATGCTATTTTTCATTAGGTTTAACGTCAGCTTGATCGCATTTCGTTGTAATGTATGTCACTATTTTACAGAAGAACTGAGTCAGCTAATTAGTACATCTTGGGGAGGGGGGGGGGTGTGTTAGACCTCTGGCTATTTTGTGTGAATTACTGTGAAAATGCAACAAGTTTTTAAATTTAAAGAGTAATTGTTCATTAAAAAACCTGTTTACCTCTTGATTTGACCCGATGTTTTCTTAAAGCTTGTCAGAGGCAGTCATAAAATTTTTTATGGGAAAGGCTGGGAACTGATTCAATCAATGTAATTTGTTGGGTGTATGGCAAGTATTGATGATATAAAATGGGGTAAAAAAATCTGCGTATAAACGTGACATCATTTTAAAAATTATGGGCAGCCGCTAGGCTAAATGCTTTCAGTATGTAATACAAACTCTGCTAGTGTGGTGCTTTATAAGATTACTAGCCGTCCCGGCCAGGCCCTGCTCTGGCCTCTGTGAAAAACCTATCTGTTAAGGACTCTTACCTGTGTGTTTAGTAATCATCATATACCTGGCATTGCCCACCCTAACCCAACCAACCAAAACTAAAAAAAAAAAACGCAAACATAACGCAAACACAATTACAAATACAACACAAATAAAAACAAAAACCTAACAACAAACCCAACCACAAAGACAAATACAAAGAAAAAACAACGAAAAAGCAAACGAAAACAAACCAAATGCAAACTCAACCACAACACAAACAACACAATCCGGGATGGCTAGTATTATATCAAATGGTATATCTTCTTGTAGTTTGGTGCAGGTGTGTATATAAGAGCTTTCTGGTGTGACCGACAAAAACGAATTCCCCTTTGTGCACAAAAAAGGACTGACAAAAACGAAAACGCAAAAAAAGACAAATAATAACCTTTGGGAATTCCCGTTCCCGAATAAAGATGCCTTTTGTTACTTCAACTGTCTTTGATTAAAAATAATAAGAAGGAAACAGTATGTTTAGTGTATAGAATAAAAAAAAGGCAGTATTAAAAATACCTTCAACATTGCACTTGATCAATCCCCGCTAATTATGTAATTATTTTCCTAACACCAAAACAAAATAATAAAAAGTAAATTCTTCCCCCCCCCTGTTGTAATGATTTTTATAAAGGGAAGTAATTGTGTTTTCCTAATTTTACAATGGACATAATGAGCCTTAAATGTAAATAATTTTCAGACAGTTAGAAGTTTTGAGCCCTAAATGTAAATAATTTTCAGACATAGTTAGAAGTTTTGTGAACATTGATACATTTTTTAAAAATTTGGTTTAATGAACATGCCGACAATTATTATTGTAAGTTTAAAAAATGAAAATTGTTTTACATTACCTTGAATATTATTTTTTTAAATCATGAATTTAGACCATGAGCACTTTAGACATTTAACACTTGATGTTATATAAGTATTGTTTTTTTTATATTCCTTTGTAATCCATGACAAACATACATTTTACAAACATACAAAATTGAACTTTGTATATTAGATTTATAATCTCCTAGTAAAATAAACCAGGAATGTGCCTCCCTAATTTATTAAAATTTGGCTCAAATATGATCATTAATCTTAAAATTACTTCAATGTTGAAAAAGTATTTTTTATAAATTGTGAAATTTAAAAAAGTTTTATACTGGAAATGTTGCAATTAAAAAGAGCTTTTAGGTAACAGAAACTTGTTTTATTTTTAAGATATTTGCTATATTGTGCACTGAAATTTTAAAAATGCAGCAAAGGCTTAATTAGAGTGCTTTATTTTGACACATTAAAGCTGCTAAAAAAGTATTGAGTCTGAAAAATTAGCCAAATTTTGTTTCATGGTTTCCTTACATCCCTGAATAAACAAGTTTAGTTTGAATAATTTAGCACTGTTCTTTTTTTATGGATGTAATCCCAATCGTCAATTTTTAAAAAAAAGTACTGTGTTAGAAATGCTTTTTTACTGAAATATAAAGTAATTGGGCTTGAAAAGTTGAATATATAGGTAAAACAAAGGAAAAATTATGAACACGTTTGAGATCTGTACAATACGATTGTGAACTACTGATACAAAAAGATATTTAAAATAGCTCTGCGGCAAAAATTTTAAAGACAATCGATCCCGCCACCTACCAGTGACAGGGGAGAAAATTCTATTAATTAATAATTTAAAAAATTCATCTTAAATTAAAAATAATACAGGTACTTGATTTTAGTAGTACTTTTAAGTACCATCAGTTGATAAAGGGTTATGTCGGTAATTTTTCTAAAAAGTCTGGAAAGGTCTGGAGTTTCATTTGTGATAATTCTTTGAGATTGCTAGATCTAGTTGCTTTCTGAAGTATCTCAAATCCAAAGCTTGAGCTTTATTTTCAAGATCTGCTGTCGGAGTCAGGATTTTCAAGCAAATATTAAATTATTTTTGGAAAGCTATATCTCTTACAGTTTAAAAAAGTTGTCACATCTTATTTACTTATATTTGGGACACTAAATTGACTGAATCCTATGAAGCCCCTGAGAAGCCAACTCTATTTTGGACAGTTCACTGCATCCCTTGCTTATCCAGAATTGTCTAGGCCAGCCCACTTTTGTTTTCCACCGTGGGTTCCAGTCCAATGCTGATACAGCTTTTGTCTTTGTCTGCTCCCCTTCCTTGTTAGTCACACTTGCCAGAGATTTGAGTTTGTCTATCGCATGTCTTATCTACTTGGTTGTATGGGGAGGTCCTGGTTGTTGTTGTTGATTCTGACAACCTTTGTTTTACCTTAATGATTTCAAGAACTAATGTAGAGGCTTTTTCAGAAAGTCTTCAGTTTGGTTTGAGCATGTTGTTTGTGAGATAGTAGTAGATACGTGCAAAACTGATATCTTCCAGCCTCATGGTGAAGTTCCACTAGATTCCTGTGTTATTGCTTGTAGTTGTATGCATGATCCAGTCAATTGCCATCAAGGATCTACGGACTCTTCAAGAATCATTTGTGGCATAGCGTTGTGGTTGGCGTTTTTTTGTGTGTGTTCACTCTCTTTCTTTTCTAAGATGTCAGTATATGCTTACTTTCAAAGCTCCTTGTTGCTCTATTGTTCCTTCTGCCAGATTTGAGAGAGCTGTATGCCTATTTTTTAAGATGTAGTTTTTTATAGAACATCCATGACTCAGTTTATGTTGGGCCAGTGTATTTGCAGTTTCTGTAGCTTGGGTTGCTATACCCTCCTACTCTTTCAACCGAGTGTGGGACAGACTTTGGCGGAATTTTAATTAGCTATAGTGATTAGTACAATAATGGCGTAATAATTAGAGCTGCATAGAGCATTTTGTGTCTGGGAAAGTTTCCCTAAATTTTTTCATGGTCTCTGAGAATATTTCTGGAACCATTTATGTTCTTATATTGTTTTGATTATAGTACTTTTCTGCTGGACACAAGAACAATGGAAGTCATTTATGATTTACAACAGCCTAAAGTGGTGGCACTCAAGTTTTCTCCCAAAGGGACTGTATTGGCGTGCTGGAGTAATTATACTGGTATTGTATGCTTGGTCACACATTTCAAATTACTTATATAAAACTAAACTATTAAACCTAGTAAAATTTCAACCTTTAACTTCAGTAAATCGTGAGGCCGGTAGTGGCAATCCAAACCTTCATCTTTATGATGTAACTACTGGTGTCGTGAAGAAATCACTTATACAGAAAAAACAACAAAACTGGTAAACATTTTATTTTCATTTTTAGAATTTTGAGGTTTTTTTTGTTATTTGTAAATTCTTTAATGCTGTAATAGATGCATATGTATTTCTGATGGTAACAATAATGTCCATTCTTGTTGAAAGCTGACCACATTAAAAAGATTGCTGTCCAAGATGATATTATTTTATATTTATGTTACTGCCTAATGTTACTCTTATTTATCATTTTAACAGACGCCTTGATAAAGATGGTATAGGTTTTACTAGATTTAAAAAGTTAAAACTTTTGAACATTTAATATGCAGAGCAAAATAAATCTATACATTTTAAATAAAGTTGTTCCTTTCAAATCATTGATGATTTTTTCCCCTTTGATTTTCCAACCAGTGAACAATGTCAGGTTTGAAAGAAATGCTTATGAACTTGAGTAAATGTAGTTTGCTTTGTTATTTAAGATTTCAAGCTGTCACATATTTCACCATAGGTAATGAATGTTTATAACTTGTGCAGTGCATCTTATTTCAGTTTATTCTAATAGGATTTACAGTTTAAAGTTACATTATTGAAACTGTGCAGTATTCAAATATGTTGCCATGCTTTATAGGGAGCCTCAATGGAGTGCAGATGAAGGAATATGTTGTCGCAATGTCAATAATGAACTACATTTTTTTGAGTCTAATAATTTTGGTGAGATTTTCTTTTATACTTATTTTACTTTTGCTTTAATGTAAATTTTTTTGATTAGGCAAGACTGTTGGTACATACTTTTGCACTAGCATTCAGTATAATAGATTGTACCAGCAGTCTGTATAATATTTTGTCTTCATAATAGAGTGTAATAAATGTATGTCTTTACCAACAGTCAGTATAATACTTTGTATTAAGCAGTTTATGCAGATTAAAAAAAAATAATGAATGTTTCCAATGATATATTTTGTTTGAAACCAGACACAATTGTTAACAAACTTCACCTACAAAAAGTCTCAAGCTTCAGCTTAGCCAATAGCACATCTCCATATGCTGTGGCTACATATGTGCCTGGCACCCAGGTAGGTTTCATTGTGTTATTTGCTTTCATCTCTGATGTTTCATTGTGTTATTTGCTTTCATCTTTGATGGTTCATTGTGTTATTTGCTTTCATCTCTGATGGTTCATTGTGTTATTTGCTTTAATCTCTGATGTTTCATTGTGTTATTTGCTTTCATCTCTGATGTTTCATTGTGTTATTTGCTTTCATCTCTGATGTTTCATTGTGTTATTTGCTTTCATCTCTGATGTTTCATTGTGTTATTTCCTTTCATCTCTGATGTTTCATTGTGTTATTTGCTTTCATCTCTGATGTTTCATTGTGTTATTTGCTTTCATCTCTGATGGTTCATTGTGTTATTTGCTTTCATCTCTGATTTAATTTTGCATGGGCGGCCCCCCGGCAGGATGCGATTTGGCGCCCTGGTCTTTCCTGTGAATGCTATGGCGACTAAGTTCGGTCTAAACAGTGTGATAGACAGTGTGATAGGATGGGGCGTTACAAAAGAAAAATCCTGTTCATATGTGTAACTTTAGCGAATGACGAAATCTGCATCATTGTTAACAGGATAATATTTGACACTCTGGGTTATCCTATGAGCACGATGGCACCTGTTAGTTTTAAGGAGCCAGGGGCCTTACGCTGGGCCTATGCGGTAGTGTAATCGGGGGGGGGGGGGGGGCTCCTGAGAGAGCCTCTCTATGTCCCTGACACATGGGCGGTCACCGAAGTGTGTTCTACCTCATTATTTCGGTGATTAATGTGCACTCAAGGGTTTCATGCGGTAGTGTAGGTAAACCCGTGTCCCGATATTTATGATCCAAGCGCAGGCATTGTTTACATTTAAATAATTAACTTTTAGAAAACTAAATTATGGATGAAACCCTTCTTCTATCCCCGCGGATAAGAAGCACTTACATAGGCATTTTCGCTAAAATTATTATAAAAATAATATAAAACTATTATGGATGAAACCCTTCTTATATATTTCGTCGGACTTTCTTCTATTCCGGCGGCAACGCGCAGGGACGGGTACGCTAGTAGTTAATAATATAATATAAGCTACCAATACCTGTTAGAAAACTAAAACCAAATTATATACATTATTAGTCAATACAACACCATGTAAAATGCCCACACTGATAAATATAATGATTCCGTTTAAAACTCGGCTGTTCTATGGTATTTTTGTTGTTTTTAAAACTAATTTTTTTTTTTTTCGACTGTATAAATTTCATAGCGTACATCCAGATAAGTAGATCTATAGATCTAAATCAAATTTGAATGAAATAGTTCATTTCTTCATATTCTAAATTTGGAAGATGTGGTAAGCAAATCTTAATGACGATAATTTCATTAGTATTGTGTATCATTTTCGACATTTGATTTTTAATTATATTTATCTTACAGTCAATGACACCATTAGTTTTGTGTACTTTCCATTTTTTTTAGTTTAACTCTTTGAGCCTGGGCCTCCCTGGCCTAATTTCTCCTATTTCCTGAGCTCCCAAACCGGTTCTCACTTATCTGTTTCTAACTTTGCCTATACTTTTTTAACCTTTTGAGATAATCAAACCAAATTTGATGTCAAGGCTCAGTATCAAACAACAATTCGGCAAATTTCAGAAATCTTTGTTTTTTTTTTTTTTACAAATCCTAGATGGCGGATGGAAGCCATCTTGGATTTCTTCAAAAGCCTACAACTTTTGAACCTTTTGAGATAATCAAGCCAAATTTGGTATCCAGGCTCATGATCAAACAGCAATTCAGCAAGATTCTGAAATTCTTAATTTTTTTTTACAATGTATGAACATAACAATGTATGTAAAACGAACACAGTCGATGGCTGTTGCTCAGTTTTTTGTTAAGGCGGCATTTGTTAAAGAAAAAATTGTACAACAAAAGTTTGCACTAATAAAATATTTATATACTGATAATTGTTGTATATACTTACTAAACATAATGATAAAACTAGAATAACTTATCTATTTACTGTTATTATAATAATAATTATAACCAAAAAAAAAATAATATAAAATTTCTGAATTTTTGTTATTGACAATGTATGTTACGAAATGCAAACACTCACTTTCAACTTTCCCCAAAATCTATTTTTAAAATCATAATCCCGCACTAAAAAGACTTATGTGCCGTTTTATTAAGTATGCCGCCAATTATATTTAAAAAGACGGTATACCAGCCCCTAGGACTATGACACTAGATCATCGGGCCGGAAAATCAGCTTTTCTGACATATATGCCTAATTTTGAAGCCGGTTTTCCAGCATGTCTGGCTCAAAGGGTTAAACTTTTTATTATAATTAACATTATTTCATAATGATATTTTTCTGTTTGTTACATGTGAAATCATTCACTTTGCCAGTGATATTTTTTGTCAAAACCTCTCCAGTTGCACAATTAAAGATGTGTTTTTACCTTCATATATGCCTATTTTTATTTTCCGTCTTTAAATAAAATTTAGTTTATAAGTTTAGTGCATCCAACTTATTATTAACCAAAATTTGTATCTTTAAGTTCTCCATATATTGCTGAAGATACTGATCTCATATCCTCAGAAAATATGTGATGGACACAGAGAGAGAGAGAAGTGCGCACATGGGCTTTTATATATTTGGATTATTTTTTGCATGTTTCTTACTTGATAAATTAGTCTATTTTTGGCACAAAAATAATCACTTGTTTTCATTAGTTTTATGCCTCAGGCTTGTTATGTTTCTTGTCATGTTCCAGGGCCAGCCATCTTTTGCTAGAATCTATCAGTATCCAAACTTTGCTGGGAATAATGCTGTTTTAGCTAATAAAAGTTTTTTTAAGGCAGACAGAGTTAATTTTTTCTGGAATAAAATTGGTAAGTTTAAAGTTACAAATCTTCCTGGTTTGGGCTAAAAACAAAAAAAATTAAATGAATGGCTAATAGACCAAAAGCTATTTTTTCTTGATGTTTTTAATCAAATTTTTCATTAACTAAACATTTTACAAGAGGTAAAAAAATTGGTATTAAACACATTCAATATATTTATTATTATATTAAATTATTATTATTAATTAAAGCTAAGTAGAACCATTATCACCTAACTATTCACTGAACATCTAATCCAGTGGTTTTTAACCTTTTTGGAGGTACAGAACCCCACTAGTTTCATATGCATCATATGTATATTGACAGAACTGTTCTAACTACAGTAGTACCTTGAGATACGAGTTTAATTCGTTCCGGAACATAGCTTATAACAAATTGATTGTAGTACTCCATTGAAATTAATTGAAATACAATTAATCCATCCCAGTCCCCATATTGCCACCCCAGTTGTTTTTAACATGTTTCTTTTTTAATTAGAAAAGTATATTTATACATGACAAATACTGTTTCATAATATAATATAGGATAAAGCAAAGAAATTGGTTTTATAAAGTGTATATTCTTTGGAAATAGCTTACTTAAGACTAAGGGAAATGCTGGTGGAGGTGTAGTCACATGTAGGGTTGAGTAGATTCGCGGAGGAGCTTCACTTTATTCACTTACTCACTTTTGATGCTAAGCGCTTTTGGTCACTTTAATTCACTTATTTTTTACACTACACTTTAAATTTTACCCCAATTATTTAAACCAAAATGTTACTATGTAATGTTTTGCTATTTTTCTCTTCACTTTTCTTTGCTTCTTTCCAGTTACTCTTATCTCAAAGTTTGCTCGCATGTCAAAGAAAATTTAAGCTCGCTCTACAGCTCGTACCTCAAAAATCTCATATGTCAGGGCACTTGTATTTCAAGATACCACTGTAGTTCTATTGTCAGCGCTGACCAAAACCAAATCATATAAGATGGGTGTGTGTCTTGACCTCCCCCTAACCCCTGAGGCTGACTCACAGAATTTAGGGGTTTGGTTGAACCCAGGTTTAGAACCACTGATCTAATTAATAAAGAGAAAAAGTGATGTTTTCAAACATAAACACCTGTCATGTGATTAAGTGAAACATTTGCTTATGTTACAGGAAACAGCCTTCTAGTTCTGACCTCAACTGAAAGTTCAGATAGCTCATATTATGGAGAACAAGGACTTCACTTTTTATCTAAAACTGGAGAAAGTTGTATTGTACCACCACGTGAGTACAGTTTCCCCATATTATTGTAAATATTTTATTTTATGCAACAGTATTTCCTTATAATTGTAAGCATTTCATTCTTATAAACTGTTACCCTTTATAATTGTAAGCATATTATTCTGTTGAATAGTTTACCCTTAAAATTGAATATATTCTATTGTATGGATTACTTTTAAAAAAACAACAATTATATATACATCTTTATGTGAAGGAATTTGTGATATTTATTATGCTTCTTTTTATAAAAACTGTAAAAATTAAAGTAATTTTATCTGTAAGGTTAAGATTGTAGGATTTATTTTCTATGCACTAACTATTGGTTTCTCTGTTAGAAAAGCAAGGCCCAGTATATCATGTAGAGTGGTCTCCCTGTAACACAGAGTTTATTGTTCTACATGGATGTATCCTTATACTCTATGTAGGAGTATTTTGTTTTTTAGTACACATCTATATCAAAAGTTTTCTACCAGTTCACACTTGAAATGTATTTTTACTTAACCAAGAACTATCTTAGACATGCCAGCAAAAACAACAATCTACAACTTAAAATGTGAGCCAGTATTTGACTTTGGGACTGGTCCTAGAAATATTTGTAGCTTCAACCCTCAAGGAAATAATATCCTTTTTTAGCTATTTATTCTCAATGGACACCAGCGAGTTGACAAGAGTCCTTCCGTAATGTTGTTGACATGGAATAAAAATGTGCTTTTTTAGATTTAGGACAGTAAAAATAAAAACTTAAGCCTAAAATTAATTCAGAAATTTAATATTTTTAGAATCAGTGCTATAAAAGTTGCAGATCTAGAGAACTTGAAAATAATTTGTTGAGTTTAAGGCTACATTTCTATTTATTTTCATCAAGCCTAAGTTATAACCCGATGTTTCACTTTTGTAAGACAAACATTGATTGGCTGTACATGAACTCCGTGATCAATTTCTGACAGCCCCACTTTATAGTTTTTTTTTGTTTACAAAACTTTGCAGATCAAGTTTTTAAATGACAATGCAAATTTAAACCCCATGACCTAGTTTTTCTTTTTTTAGCTTACAATGTGTACAATAAAATTTATGGCGGCCTATCAAATAGCAGGATGCCATTGTTTATGTCGCCATTACACGTGAAAACCAAATTGTTTTTGCTTTTTATTTTTATACAGTTACCGAAAATATTAAAAACATCAAATACATCCAATCTTTAGTAAAGTCCAAAAAAAACCCCAGAAATACAGGATTTTATAACCATATTAATTGTAACTATGCCGTGCATGATTTTTAAACGATTTTATGGGCCTCTCAAATACCTTTGAGACTTTTCTCGCTGGCGTCCATTAGTTTTATATTTTAAGGGGAAATGAGCAATTCAGTATACAGTATAATGCATATTTAAAAAATAACTAATCATCTCTGGCTTATCAGTAGAGATCTAAGTACTAAACATGAGAAAACATTTTTTAAATGATTTTTGTTGTCATGGGACTGTAAACAAAGCATCTGCCATTCTGAGTTTTATTTTTGTAAAATGCGAAAGATTTGAAAATAAATCATGATTTCACACATTAATTTTTAAAATGTACTATTGTATTTTATTAACTAAATGAAAATGCAAAAAAACGTTTTTTAAAAAGGCAGATGTCCCGGATTTGAAAGTCTAATTCATTTATGTCCTTGATGAATTTTTTTTAAATTGAGGAAAAAAATTGAATTTTTTTCTATTGATTTTCTTTGATTAGAAATGTTAAGCAAATGTGTTTATCCCTTTCTCTAAAAATTGAGATCAATTTTTTAAAAAGTTGCTGAATTACCAAAATTTATAACTAAACTTGCAAAAGAACCACTCCGATTTCCAAATAGCTTCCATGTTTTGGTAACCAATATAAATGTGTGTCATTTAGTTTGCAATTAGCAGAAAAAAAATAATGAAACAAATAAAAAATTGTTTTTTTAAAGACCAACATAGTATTGCTGATGTAATTTTCAAAAAATTCCAGCTTTCAAACAATACCAAAAAGGTTTAGCTGGAGCAAATATGAAGTATTTCTGCTAGTAATGGTTTTAAAGAGCTGAGAGGCTTACAAAATTATTTATTTTTTTTTTTGTTTTTTTTTTTTAGAAAAATAAGTAACATATTTGTGTTAAATTTTTCTGTTACAGAATAGATTCACACATTTAGAAATGCTACTATTCTAATTCTGGTAAAAATCCAGAGTTTTGGCTTTTTCTCCTGCACATTGCCTTTCAATGTTCACATCATGTGATTAAAATGTGAGCAAATAGATAGTTTTATTCAAAACATACTTATATTTATTATGCATTGGAGATCAGTAAAATATTGTTTTAAATGTGCAATCTATGCAAAGCTAAAAATGTCTGCCATTTTCTAGCTCTGTAGTTTTTCTTACCCTGCCACCTTCCTTGACTAAATCAATCCTCTGTCTTGCTGGCTTTGGAAATTTGGCTGGTAATTTAGAATTCTGGGATATGAAAAGTAAAAAGCAGATAGTGAAAGTGCAAGCTGCCGACACAACCTATTTTGAATGGAGTCCAGATGGTCAGTATATGCTGACTGCTACTACTGCACCAAGACTCAGAGTAGGAAATGGGTAGGTATTGGTCTAATTTTGTAGATTTTAGCAATCTTATCAACTTGCACTAGCTTTTGAAAAATGAGCACATTTTCTGGTCCTCTGACAGGACATTATATCTCTGGTCCTCTGACAGGACACTATGTCTCTGGTCCTTTCTGACTTAGCATATCATGTCTCTGGTCCTATCTGACTTAGCATATCATGTCTCTGGTCCTTTCTGACTTAGCACATCATGTCTCTGGTCCTATCTGACTTAGCATATCATGTCTCTGGTCCTTTCTGACTTAGCATATCATGTCTCTGGTCCTATCTGACTTAGCATATCATGTCTCTGGTCCTTTCTGACTTAGCACATCATGTCTCTGGTCCTATCTGACTTAGCATATCATGTCTCTGGTCCTATCTGACTTAGCATATCATGTCTCTGGTCCTATCTGACTTAGCATATTATGTCTCTGGTCCTTTCTGACTTAGCATATCATGTCTCTGGTCCTATCTGACTTAGCATATTATGTCTCTGGTCCTATCTGACTTAGCATATCATGTCTCTGGTCCTATCTGACTTAGCATATCATGTCTCTGGTCCTATCTGACTTAGCATATCATGTCTCTGGTCCTATCTGACTTAGCACATCATGTTTTTACCCATATCTTCTAGAACATTATTTATTCCCCACTCAGCAAACAAACTCACTGTTTATATACACCATTCCGACTCTACAATTTTCAGATTTCGCCTGTGGCATTATACTGGTAGACTGATGGTTCAGCATACCTCCCCTGGTCAAGCAGAAATTTGGCAGGCTGCCTGGCAACCAGTTCCTCTAGAAGCAAAGTCAAATTTTACTGTCAGCTTAAAGCCTGTCTCTAGTGATGTTGAACAACCAAAAGGTGTTTTAGAAATTTTAATAGTTTTAAATTCTTTCAATCATTAACTTTAGTGAGTGAATAATTCAATATTTTAATGTGTCTTGATCAATACTGTATACAATGAGTAGACCAAATTGTTGTTATATGGTTTTGTTCTGCTCAAGTTCAATCAGCAGCTTACAGACCACCTCATGCAAGGAATTCTGGATCTGCCCAACCCACAGTCAAACCATTGCATGATTATGAACCACCATCAAATGTTAAGAAAATTGAAGGTGATAAAACACCAAGTAAAAATAAGAAAAAAAGGGAAGCTCGCAAAGCAAAAGCTGCCATGGAGGTTAGAAGAATTTTTATTCACTTTACACTATTTTTTAAAGTCAACATTTTATGCAATACAACAGTGTTTTTTTTTTTCAATTTTTGTTTATTGTAAATTTGACTACAACCGATTTATAGGGAGAGAATAAAGAGGAGAATCCAGGAAGTAATACAGTCAGCTCCCAAGTCTCTGACTTTGTCAGCTTAGGGGACCCTGAAGTAGATAAAAAACTTAGAAGTTTGCAAAAGGTTGGTAATGACCCTGTTTCTTTTAAATAGTTTATAGATAGAGAGAGATAAAGAAAGAGATATAAAGATAAAAACATTTTTAAAAATGTGACAAATATAAGATAAATTTATTTTAAAGATTTTTGTTATATTTAAAGTCTTCAACAGTAGATAGCTTAATTTGGAACTAACTTTCTAGTCTGTGTAATAAACCATACAATCTATTACAAGAAATGAAACTGTTTATAAAAATAATGCTGTGATAGTAATATTTGAAAAGATCTTGCCCAGCAGCCTTCCAGTGGTTACCCAGTGGCACTCATACCTTTTTTTTCCATGGCAATTCCAGATGATTACTTGTTATGCTATGAGATGCATTCTTTTGTTGCATTCTTCATATGCAAGCTCTTAATTTTTTGTTTTGTTTTAAGTCTTGTAAAACTGGCTTATTTCAACTTATCTCGGTTAATGTTCAATGCAAGATTGTAGGCTGCCATTTTGTTTAAAACTTTTTGTCAAGATAAATGGAGGTTTCAGAGATCAGCAGAAAATAAGGCACATAGCCAGCACTTTTTCCATGACATGCAATTTTGAATGTGTAATAAGAATGTTATAATTTTTTGCTGTCAGAAAGTTCAGCAGATTGAAAAGTTAAAGGAGCAACAAGCATCAGGAAAACAGATGGAAAAAAATCAGGTAGGTTACCTATTGTACAGCTAGAATACTGTATGCTGATGTTGAAATCTATTAACTTGAAACCAGAAAACCTGAACTCACCTAATCCTATTGATTGTGTGTTATTAATATCTAATAAACTGTGACTGTAAGACATCAGTATTGACACTGTTAGCTAATATCTATAAAATCAAATTGGGGGTTGTTTAATACTTACTCTCTGAATTAGACCGAAATCTGACCTAGACTGACCACAGCCTTAAACTGTACATTATTTAAGTGCTTGAATTAGATCAACCACTTGTAGATGCAACACAAACTTGATATTTGATTAGGAAATAGCTCTGGTGCTGTAAGCACTTGGAAAAATATCAGATTCTCAGAAATTTAAAATTTAGGGGTTAAAAACTGAACCGCCTGACAGCTCAATTTTATTTATATGCGTCAAGAATTTAAACTTTTTATTTTCCCCGTTCTTTGAATACACACATAAATAAACTAATAGAGCTTTTGGATTCTTGAAAAAAAAATGTCTTTAAAATGTATGCTAATCTTTTTCAAATAATGGTGAAGGTTAATTAATTTTGACTTATATTTAATATTTGATCTGTTGCTGACATAAAACAAAGCAATTATGTCACAGTAAAATAATGCAGTTTATTAGTGCCTTAGGTGCACATCTTCCGAGGCACAAAGGTATTTACTTTTAAATAGGGTACTGCAATGTTATTTTTAAAACTGCTATTGAATAGTAAAAGAGGTTAGTTAGTACAAAACATAAATGAGAAACTCAAAGAAAGAGGAACGCAAAGGTCTTCGGAGGTTCAATAGGTTAGAATTATTAAATAACCTTCATAAACTTGCAAACTAGTTGTTTAATGGAAATTATTTTTAAATAGTAATGTGAATTACTCTTGCTATCTACAATTAGATATGTCAAACTGATTTTTTGTAAACGGTCGCAGAGCTTTCTTGAAAGTTGCTATGTCAAGAACTCAAGATTCTAAGATGGTGGATCCCAAATTAGTTCATATATCTCAAGTAGTAAAAAAGTTATAACATTTTTAAAAGTTCAGTTTTTAATATTTTTTTTTCAACATCCTAAAAAGTGCCATATTTGGGAGGTTATATCTATAAAATAGTTAGTTGTAAACAATTTTTTTAAATAATTAAAATGACAAAATAATGACGGGGTTGTATTAAGGTGACTAACTGTTGCAAAATGATACCAAATTTATGTTTATAGGATAAACGGTTCTCTAGATATGACGGTTTTAGTGTAAAAATTGCGGGGACAACTAAGCCTATGGAAAACGAAAGCAAAAATTAGTCATGTCGAGAGTATAGAAAAAAAAGGCGAAAGGGAAATAACTCTGCGTAGGCGCACAATTATAAAATTTTCAAATAAGTATTTATAAATGCATTTACAACTGCATAGAGGAACTTCAGTTTTAAATACGACATCTTGCCACCTGGTTTTGAACGTGAGGGACAGTTTGGTCGTGGGATGACATACGATCACCAGGCCGGGTACCGATCTATCAGTTTAGTTAGCAGGCGTACTACATACTAGACCACACTGTCCAGTTGTGATAACATTTAACAAAAGCTTGGGGATACGGGGTCTGAAAAAAACGTCTCGCAACAATGATCTATGGATGGGGAGGGGAATGTGTGTAAAAAAGAGTGACTTTATTTGTGGACGATGAGGGGCAGATTTAATTCCGTACCACGTTTATAAAAGCAAAAGGTACCCCAGGAATACATAGCTAGTTTATCAACCATACTTTACATACTTTCAACTTCATTTTTAGATGTAGTATTCGAAAAAATCAATCACACTAACTTTACAAAAGCAACTCAATTAGCACCCAACTCAAAGGTCTTTAACTCAGAAAGTCCCCCTCCCCCCATTATACAATCGTTATTTGAGTGTGAGTGGGTATCAAGCAAATAAATATAGGCCTTTGTTTACAATGGTATGTTTTATTCTTTAGCAAGATAAACTAATGTGATATGAAATAAATGAAGACTATCAGTATACACATTCAGCTTGTTACAATGAATGAACACACTCGTAAAATGTGTTTTTAAGTAATATTTCTTATATTGATAAGATTTGGATCCCGCAGTCTACTTGATGAATTTAATAAAAAAAACTGTTCAATTAATAATTTCCACCTTTGGCTTATAATGTTTAAGACAGTTTACATACATCTTAATTTTACATTTTAAATAGACCTAATGACCTAATAATATAATACAAATGTAGCGGAATACAAAAGTGGAGAAAGGTAGTGTCGATATCGCTAACACTTAGGCCTACGGGGTCCATTTTGTTATATGGGTTTTAAAGCTTGTGAACGTCTGAAGAAGAAAGTAAAAATATTTGTGAAAATATCATTAAAAATTCAAATTTTAAGTCTGAATGTTTTCTTATTTTAATTGATCTAAATACCAACGGATATAGCGACAAAACATTAGCGATACCACTTTTCTCGATTTTTAGATTTAAGCCTCTACTATAAATGCATTACGATAAAGATAATTTTCGTTGTTAAAAAAATTAAACTGAAAATCGTAGTCTTACTCAAATTGAACCGAGGGTGGTTATTTTTAGTTTTAAAACATTCTATGTATAAATAAATTTCAACTTTGTGTTGAGTTATTGTATGTCTAATTCAATCATTATTAGCACGCAGGACAGGCCGCAACATATTAGCTCAACTCATACAATTTTTACAATTTTAAAAAGGTTAATTTATTATCTTTGAATCTACTCATTTACTAGTTTAATTATTAACATTCTTTAAGAAAAAAAATGTATAAAAATTGGTGACATAATTCCTATAAAACTAAGGAACATGAAAATGCGGTATCAATACCGCTAATAGGGTACCTAGTTTGTGAGACATTTTGCATAGTCTGCTAAACAGATAAACCTAAAATAAATATGCTAGTTTGAAAGCTTAGTAAAAAACAAAGATAATCCCACTAAAAACAGAGCTAGTCTCAATGTTTTACTATTTTAAGTAAATATTTGAAAACTCACCTTTTAAACTCAATATGAGATTAACAAAAACAAGTAAAAAGTTGAAATAAAAATTATACGGTGGTAACGGTCAATAACCGCTGCTAATAAGGAGGGCATATATGATTGGAATCATAATTGTGTTCTATCGGTTTTTAAACGGTTAACATACCAATGCGAACGACTACATTTGAATTAGAATTTTTTGTGCACGAAAGGTTTAAAGCCTGTGACGTCATATTTTATTTACTTGTGCAACTAGCTACTATAAAAGTATATGACACAAACTCAATCTTTTGAACTCAACACAAAGACACTTACTCAGAGAATAGATTTTTTTCAAACCTCAAAAAAATAAGTACATTATTTAAATTAAGCATTGCAATTGGCTTTTCTCACTTTTTGATAAAATTAAAAAGAGAAGTAAAAATCACAAATTTCATACTTTTTTGAAGCATCACCAAAAAATGTCTGATGAAAAGAGCATACTTGATAATTATATCAAAATGTTGGGGACCAACGCTTCTTTGAATTTAAATAACATGTTTGCCTATAATGTGTACGTTCGAAACACACTTTTAATCAGTAGATCTGTCAAAAAAATCACAAAAAAATAAATTATGACATCTACAGTAGATCAGTATCAAAATACAGACTAACCATAGCTCTTAACAGGTAAACAGTCTTTTTGTCAGTGACTTATTTATATGTGATCCAATGTTGGCTAGAACAGTGATACTTTAAAAGATTCATAAGACTTTAAGTTAGGTTTTAATATTATTTGCACTTCTGCACATTTATTTAACACTAGTCGTACATGCCAGGCCCTGCTCTGACATTTCAGATAAACTTATCTGTAAAGGGCAGTAACTTGTGTGCTGTTTAAGCAACATACACCCTGCGCTGCCCGGGGTTTGGGAATATATAAAATTTTCAATTAAAGGTAACTATGACATTTAAGAAAATATAAAATCAAATGCAAACTTAAACAAAAACATAAACACAAATGGAAACAAATGAAAACAATAACGTAATAGATAATGCAAACGCAAACATTAACACAAACTTAAACGCAAACAATAATGTTATAGCAAACAAAAATATAAAGACATTTAGGAATGGCTTTTAAACAATTATTGATTAACATAGACTATAACTAGAAAGTATTTTGTTGTGTATCTTTCTGGTCACCCATCCGTAAACATATCCACGAGAGACTATTTCAGCTTTATCGTATAGGCTAATTAGTAGGTACTGGTGGCTTTTATTTTTAAGTAGGTGTAGAGTATATTGTGTGTATGCAATGTTTTAACTTTTAAAACATTTAATTTTCCTGTTTTTGTCAATGTTACCTGCTGCAATTGTTTGCGGTGACTTTCAATAGTATTCAGATTTTTTCTATTTATAAATATTTTAATTGCATCACCTGGTGTAGTTGTTTGCCAGGAGAGTGGAAGTAACAAGCACTTTTCTGTTTGACTGGGATACTTAATATTTGAGGAATGCCAGGTGCTATGCAAGTTTATTTTTTAGAATCATGTCAAAGTGTATGCATTGCTATTTTGAGACTAGCTTTATGCAAAGCTCTTTAATTTTTCTTTTAGCATTTAAATTAGAAAATGACTTTAATGGCTGGAGCAAAGCCTAAGGGCTAGTCTTTTTGTATTGTTTAATCAAGAAGGAAATATTGAATAAAAGTTTACACTCAATAATAACTATTAAAACGTTTACACACAATAATAACTATTAAAACAATTGTTCTAAAACAAAGGGTTGGTGTGGTCGAGTCGGTAAAGCTCATGGCTGCTAAAAGTCTCGAGTTCGAACACTCGTGCAGGCGAGGCTTGTTAGCCAGGGACAGCCACTCTTCTATGAGAAATTCTAAAACCAAACAACTGCTGCCTTGTAGTTTGTTCTTGGCTGGAAAAAGGCTATGGAAGCAAATCCAAAAAGAAAAGCAGGCTGAAATTGGCTTCAATGGCACATAACCAATTAACATGTATACTTAATTGTGTTGGAGGGCATCCCTTTCAAAACTAACATTAAGAAAGAAGAAGAAATTCTAAAACTACCGTCAAGATGATGTGAAATTAATGTGCTCACAAGTCCTGCTCATGTTTGTGCTAATATTTTTTTGTACATTTTTAAAAATGAAAGACATGTCTGAACTCAGTTTAGCATATTTTTAATTTATTCCTTTAAAAAATTAAACTTGATAATTAATTATATAAATTTAGTTTGTTTTATTTAACTTTGAAGACTTTTAGCAATTTTTTTCTTATATTCGCAGCTGGATAAAATCAAGACTTTAGATGGAATCCTCCAAGAAATTAATCAATTAAAACTTGGTGGGAACTGATGCTTTTATGGATACTCTCGCCAAAGACAATGAAAGAACTTGTTTACAAATAAGTTTGATCTTAATACATTTCAAGTCAATTTAGGATGGGAAATAAATATGTTTGAAAGATATTGCTTTATGAATTTACCCTTTTTATTTGGATACAGGATTTTATATTTTAACTTTAACATGCCATAACAAGAAGAAAATTTAGCTGCTATTTTCAAGACTATACAAAAAACTTGCATCTCCGGCCTGTGCACTATTTGTGCACTGTTTATTCATACATTTTAATATATCAGGAATTGTGAAAGAATTTAGGTATCAAAATTCAGTTAGGAGCTACTCAGAGAGAGAAAAATAGTACAAGTCATGAACAATTGATGAACTGAGTATTGATGTTAAAAACAATTTTGTTTGGCCACACTGTTTTGAATAAAGCCACATGCTATATATGATTTTATCTCAATTTTTAAAACACATACAAATAATTTCAAGCACAAGAAAAGAACATAACTTGTTATGAACACCTTTTTTTTGGTTAGTATATTTAATTTTATGCTCATGCAATGGATTTAGCAACCTCAGCATTCAAAAAACAAAAAGAACAAAACAATCCACAGAGCATACTATTATATTTGTCTGCTTCATGGGAACTATTTTTTTTTTTTGTAAAACTACATGACAGTAATTGACAGTTACATAGAATATCAAAATAATATATAATAGCACAGCTTTTTAAAACTGAGTGCACATTGAGCAATGAAAAAAATATTGTATGCAACAGTTGCATAGCTCATGATTCTCTTGATGTTGCAAATCATTATTTAACAGTTTTGGTCTATATTAGCTGGAAAGGAGCCTTTTTAGACCATGTATCATATAAACAAAAAGAGCACTTAGTGTATTTTTTCAACTGATATACTTTAAGTTTTTAATTGACTGCTACTTTTTGAAACCTGATTATTTATGAATTTCAAAAAATGTCTTTGGCCATGCTTTACCATATTTTAAGACTATTTTCTTTCCAAATTGTTGAGGGTCAAACATTGAAATTTATGCAAGCTTTTGAACCCTGAATTATTTTAATAAATCATAACCTGTCTCACCTGATTTATTACATACAATCTTGCATGAAACCAAATAGAAAATGTTGAAATTAAGACTTTACAAATTGGTTCCATTGGCCACTACTGAAACAAAATTAGACATGAAAAAAATGGAATTTTATATACACTATTCAGTAATTTACACTCATTTTTATACAAAAATTATGGAGTGAATAAAGAGAAATTTTTAAAAATTGTAAATTATGAGTAATATACATAAAAAGCTTATTAAAAATTGATAGCACCTTAACTTAAGCAAGTGTAAATATATTCATTAACAGAATTACAGCAAGAATACAGTGCTTTAAAAAATATACAAGCACTAGCAAATTAAAGCATTGTTAAAGAGTCAAATGTGGTTCCTTTTAACCCTATTTTTTTCTAAGGATGTTAACTGTCAACTTTTTTGTTGCTTAGCGCCCCAACTTTCGGATGATATAAGCTGAAACTAGATAAAATTCTCAATTTTTTTGTATTACAAAGGAAAGAAAAACTTCAAAATAATGAAAGAATCTTGTAATGCTGAAAGGTTCTGATATTGACATAGCTCACAATAAATTTTCTTAACCCAAAGCAGAGCAAATTTTATTGTACTCAACATTTTAAAATTGTTCCTAGGATGGCAGAAACAAACAATAATGTGTACACAATGTTTATTGAAGCATTAATCACATAATAATATCAGCATACAATTCAAATACATTTATGTCATTCATAATAAATAAACATTTCCTACTGGTAATTTTTTTCAAAACCGAAATTAAAAACCATAATAACCAGCAAAATTTTTTTAAAAAGCACAAAATGATCTGAATAATTCTAAATCATTAAACTAAATTTAAAAACTTTTACAAACCAAAGTTTTTTAATTGTAATTTATAGTGAAGATGCATGAAGTTACTTAGTTAATTAAGTGGAGTAAATTGTCCTACCAAGTGAGTTCAGAAAGCTCTTTCAGGAAGAGGTTCAACAATGGTGAGAGCACATTCATAGAATAGGCCTTTACCTTAATGCTGAAACCACACCCCTGAATGATTCAAATGTGCTTAGTACATTTCTTTTATTCAATGAGATCACACAACTGTTTCATATATGAAAGGAAGTAGTGAGTGTAGTGTAAGTTTATAATGCCAGTTTTCAACTTCAGTGAAACCAAAATCATCTAATAAAATTACTTTGTGAGTAAAATTATTTGTAAGTTTTTGTTAAACCTTTCAACATTTTTCTGAACTACATATATTTTGTAAAATACAACAACTTACATACAGCCTTTTAACTTTTAAAGCAACCTATTTATTTTTAATAAAAACAAACAATTTAATAAATAATTTAGCAAGATATTAATTTCAATACTAGTGTCGTCTAACTAATGATAATGTAAAAAGAAATTGTTGCAATCGTAACAGTAGTTTGTGCTCTGGAATTTAAAATTAGTCTTTATTTTGAAAAGTCATAAATTAGTACTAGTAAAATAATTATAATTAATTGCTTCATGAATAATATATGATGTACAGCAAACTCATGACCATAATTTTTTTTATTTACATTAAAATGTGTTGTACCATAAAAACAACATCGAAAGTTAGGCGCTATCTGTAGGTAATGAACTTCTATATACAAAAATGTAACTGTAAAGAAGTTAAAGAAATATTTATTTGAAGACCAACATAGTTAAAATAATGTTTACCAATCTAAAGTAGGAATATTTTTCATAGGTACTGTTAACACCATCAGAACAAGCCCATCAATGTTCACCAGTAAAAAGAATACTGCTCAATAGTAATAAGAAAAGACATTAAAGTAAACAACAGGCTCTGTTACTTCAATTACAATGCTGATTTAAGACTAAAAATCGAATTGATTAAAAATTAAATATATTAGTTGTCAACTGGTGTTTTCATATTTGTTTCTTGAATGTATGGAAATAATATCTATTGGTTAGCTTCTTGGCTATGGTGTCTGTTAAAAACTAGTTCACTGACGTAGTTTGTATAACATTATTATGAGCTTATCCAAATATTCTAGCTTAGCCCTCAAAGTATTTATTGTAGGATTTATAGTGCAGCAAGAACCTTCACATATCAAGTTAACTAAAACACATGCATTTTATTTAATGATGAGTACAATATAGCTTGTACATTGATAAAAAGTCATTGGAAGAACTGGGTATTAAAGTACCGTAAGGCAGACAAATATTGCTAATCCTTACTAAAAGTATATAAAAGTAAAAGAAATGTGTAGCCACATTTACTTAAGTCCAATCAAAGTTGTGTAGGTTTATAGCTACAACTCACATTGGAAGCCATTACATTTTTACCAGAAATCTAACTCATAACATTTTCAGTAAGCTATAACATGCCTTTTGCTCAACTTCTTGATGCCTAGGTACATATAAAACAAACATTTCATTAAAAAATGTGATAACTGTATGATCATATTCTTAAGATGACAAGTCTTAAATGAGTTGTGAATAAAGTTAAAGTTTGAAACCTATTTTTAAGTTTATAAAAGCGCCATATTTTTTAGTTATAATTTAACTCATTAGAACGGCATTTGGCAGTGTTAAAAAATGCTGTTTTGCAAGTTGTTTAAACAATTTTTTTTTAATAAAATACAAAAATCAACCAAATGAAAAAACTGCAAGAAGTAAATACAACCAAAAATGGCCGCTCTAGCGTTATCATGACCTAGATTTCTGATTAAAAACTTGGATTCTGAAAAACAACTAATTAAATAGAGAAAATTTTATAGGATGCTGGGAGCGTCGTTACGTTATGGCAGGCCAGCCTGTCAACTGCTGGGAGCGTCATTTCGGTCTTAAAGAATTAAAACAAATAAGCATCGCTATTAGTAAGGTTAATAGTTGTTTTTCATTTCCAAATTTGTTAAAATAAATAGCTTTATAAAGCTGTTAGCATTACTGCAGACAAAAATGCTTTTAAAAATCCAACAAATTTATCATTGACTGGAGTCCTTTGCATTTATGGGAAGATCATTTGTATGAATGAAATAATTCTCTTGATACATTTGCAGATCAAAATGGTAAAAGAGAAAAGTCTTGAGGTCATCCATTTCTGTGACATGATATGATAAATTGTTTCCTTCTTAATGGCCACTTTTCTGTGCTTCTTTAGCTGCCATTATTAATGGCACTAAGCTTGCCAATGGTTTAGCTAGTCGTAAAAATGGATGCTGAAATATTTTTAAACAGTGTAGTTATTAAAGACTGAAGTATAAAAACTAGAAAAAATATAGAAGTTACCAGATAAGCAAGCAATAAGTAATTGTATACCTTGAGCAACTCTGATGCAGAAGATCTTTTATCTACATCTACATCCAAACATTTGTCAAGAAAATCTTGGAAGACAGGGGACAGTTTACTTTTTTCTTTAATTTCTGGCTTTCCATTTGTAGCTATAAGATATAATGCCTGAAAACAATATAACAGGTGATTATGAGATTAAAATAGCTCAAAATAAATAAAAATATAGCAATCCAATTAAAAAAAAGCTAAAAATTGAATTCTTTATTAAATAACAAACACGATTCACCTTGTTTTGATTAGTATATACTGATAGAAATCAAGAGTTATTACTCATGCAAATAGGAATTTAGCTTAAAAGACATGCAAACATAACATTACCCTCAAAGGATTTTCATTCAAATATGGGGGTTCTCCTTCTATCATTTCAATTGCCATTATTCCTAAACTCCAGATGTCAACCTTAGGTCCATATTGTTTTCTGAAATAATAGATTGTAGAAATATGTATTCCTTCAGTTTTAATTAGGGCAAAGGTGGAATACAACAAGCTAACTCAAATGGTTTTAGTTGTATACATGTTAGGGCTAAAGTCTGCCTAAATGGAAACTGGCCAGCCCAATTGTGAATATAGCTAATATTTATAGATATAATGAAATCATTTATTTTACTGTGAACCAATTTCAAACAATCTTTATAATGCTGTGTTTCTCGCCAAAATCATGAAAAATAGGTATTTTAAAGAGTTTTTGTTACAAATGGGGTAATTGATTTGGGTGGGGTGGGAGTTAATCTTAATCCAAAACAATTTTATTATGATATGTAGGGGGGTGTATTATAACGGGTGGGCAGGTATTATGACATTGTTGTGTTATAAATATTAACTTCCTCTTCTTTGTTCTAAATTGTAGTGTTGGATGGTGTTTCCTCCAACATAATTAAGTATTATGTGTCAACCTGTCATGCACCATATAGGGTGTTGACTCCAATTTCAGCCTGCTTTTTTCGAGATTTGCTCCCATAGCCTTTGCTCATCCAAGAATGAAATACAAGACAGTGGTTGTTTGATTAGTTTTCTTTCCTAGAGGGGTTGCTGTCCACAGCAATCCAGCCTCATGTGCCTGGAAGATCAAACTCTTGAGCTTTTTGGTTGGGCAACCATGAGCTTTACCGATTCAACCATGCCAACTTATATATAAACAATTTAGATGTTTTTATTTAAAATCTTGCTTTTGAACAGTGAATTAAAAAAAAATTCCAAGTATTATTTAGTCAAAATTTGAGCAAAATGTGAATTAAAAAATTCTGAATGTTTACCTAGTGACAACCTCAGGTGCCATCCAGTATGGTGTTCCAACCATTGTTGACCTTTTGCTCTGCTCAGGAGATAACTGAGCGCAAAAGCCAAAGTCAGCTGTTTCAGAGAGACAATGTTCAATTGTTAACACTTTTTTAGCAATGGAGTTTTGTATTGCTATGAGAGAATAATTATTTGACATTGTATCTCCAATTTTATTTTTCTAATATCCCTTTATAATCTAATTATAAGCAATTCACGAAAAAGTTCAAACCTTTGTTAGTAATTTCTATAGCAATTTTACTATTATGACACACACTTTCATCCTTTCCATTATCTTTAGGTATTGGTTATTAAAATGTTCTTATTCCAATGTATTTTAAATTACTGTGTTCTAAACAACTTAACAGGGAAAAAAGGATTTAATAATTCAAATAGAACGAGAAAAGAAGTTTAGAGTTACTTATACTTTATCTATGTATCTATATGTATAACTAAAGAATAACTAATTTAATAATAATTAAGAAAGTTATTTCAATGTTAAAATGATAAGAAAATTCCAAGATGGCTGCCATCACCATAGCAACGGCAGGACATTTTTGGCTATTTTTTATTTTTTAGACTTAACTCTTTGAGTTATAATTATATGCTAGATATGATAGCATTTTGGAAAATTGCCCATGCCCTTGATATAGGTGACCTTGAACATGTTATTGGTAGTTCTCTAGGGATAATAGCCCCATTAAAAATCTATCTTGACTTAAAAAATAAAATAGTTGAATTCTTACTTAGTTTAACACACTTACTTAGTTTAACACTTCCATCCATGCCCAAAAGTATATTATCACTTTTGATATCTCGATGTATCACTTGGTTATCATGTAAAAATTCTAGTGCTTGTAAACACTAAACATAAGATAAATAAAAGGTAAAATGAAAGTAACAAATTTTCAATACATCAATATATACAAACAGTAAGTTAAAGCAAAAAGTATTTATCATTTGTGGGCTGTTTTTTTATATCATACATTTTAGATCTAAAAATCTATCTTACCTCCCTACATACAGCTGCTATCTGACCTTCATCCATACAAGTTTCTGTAACAACATCAGTTAGAGATCCACCAGCCAAAAACTCCATAACAACCTATATCAATAATGGTTTATTGTTTTATTCTTCATCCTAGGCTAATCAGATGCAATTTAAAAACAAGATGTAATACTGTTTTACTTTATCTTGGACATTATTTTGAGTGTTTTAACAGATCCTTATTTTTAATGTAAATCATGGATTGGTTGTTTAGCCACTGTTTGTGTGTGAACCAGGGCAGGCTAACCCAAGATCTTTTAGCTAGTAACCAAAATGTTTCAGTAACAAAGGCTTTTTATCAGTAACCCATTTTATGCCTTTAAAACAAAAAAACTATGAACAGCTTTGAAGTTGATTTGTTTGTGAAAAACCATTCAGATTCTTCAAAAATGATGCCACACATCCCTCTCCCCAAAATCAGCAATCCTTTTTAAAAAATACTTGCTTCCCTTAAACATTTATAATATAAGCCAGCTGGTAGTGTGTCAGTCGATCCGTCATCACTGTAGAATCTAGACACATAAAAGTAAACACCAACACGTCAAGCACTTTACTTGCTTGCTTTCTCTTATTGTAAGTGTTGGAGTTGGGGTTATTTATGCAATGACTTTCATTTTTTGATGGTAAAGTTTTAACTCTTTTATGTTTTTTTCCACTAAAAAAATGGATACATTTTAATAACAGTAGAGTCAAAAAGCTAATTAATTAAAATGTTTCATAATTATGTGTGTGTGTGTGGGGGGGGGGGGGGATTTTTTAAAAATTCAACTTGTGCTAAATATTGCTATTTAAGTAATATTTTTTTATTCCTACTGCATTTATTATTAGGTTAAGGCTCATAATTAAAATAGATTTGTTAAGATTACTTTTATTATTTCCTGATTAGTCAGTACAGAGTTTTACTTCTGATTTCTTAATTTTTTTTTGTATTTTCTGTATTATTTTAAAAAAATTTACTATGTCGAAGCACTGGTATGCAGCTAGTGAGAATATAACTAGTGAAATTATATGGGTATTTTTTACTCTTAGCTAGCTAATTTTACTCTGCTAAAACATGGGTCACCGCCAATTTTAGCAGATAAGGCACATTATCAATTTTTAAATTAAGTTTACTAGATAAGCTTTAAAAAAGCAAAATAACTACCAAACTAGTTTTTAAAAAAAAAAGGAACTTTAAATGACTCCCCGCCATCACATTTGTCCAAAACACTACTCCCCCCCCCCCCCCCCACCTCCATCCATGACTGTGGTGCCCTTGAAGGTAAAAATGTATATAATTATACACAAGTGTGGCAACAGTTCTATTTTTACATAGTACTGGAGCTAAAAATGCTATTTTTTTCACACAACTTACCCATAATTCTTCTCCTACCAAGTAGCTATCTAAGTAATTGACAATATTTGGATTCTGATTTTCCCTCATCACAAGAATTTCATTAATTATCAATTCTTTCTTTGGTTGTTGAGATAGATTCATTGTTTTAATAGCCACTTCTCTTCCTGTGGCCACTTCTACAGCTATGTACACAGTACCTGAAGCTCTGAAAAATGGCAGATTATATTTTACACAACAATAAAATCTGAATCATGGGAGCATGGTGGAATGCTTTAGAAAAACATACTATATACTAAATAAAAATGGTTTTGTGTTGATGTGTCCCCCATAAAATCAGCAATAAAATAAGCAATTGTAATTCCAATTCAAGTAAGTAAAATGTCACATGTTAATACAAAAATGTTCCAAAAAAAAGCTAATAATTTGAAAATGTTTAATATTCCACAAATACTTTTAAACTGTTCAATTAATTTTTTTATATAGTCTAACACTCTGTATAAACTAACCTTAAATGACTTTGTACTACTTTAGAACAGTTGTTAAAGATTCAAAAATAAACAATATTGCAGATTATAAAATTTTATTCTAATCATTTGATTGTAATGTTTGTAGAAATACAAATTTTAATTATTTTCAATAATTTAATGAGATTCAGTGGTGGATTTGAATGGTGAGTTAAATATTTAGCATGAAAGAAAATATGCATTTGTCTACTTACCCTTGTCCAATTTTTTCCATTTTGGTATATTTTCTGTTTGGATCACCAATGGAAACTATGGTTCTCAATTTCTCCATTATTTCTTCACTTGTCATTTTAGCCTTTTTGGGCTTTTCTATTTTATTATCAACTCCAGTATCTCCTGACTTTTCATCCTGCTCTATTGGTTTTGTATACTAAATGATAAAAAGAAAGTATTAATAAATAAAAATATATAAATAAGAAAATACAAGATTTAATCTGTTTTATAAAAAGCTTGACTAAAATGTGTGAAATTTCTAGTTACAGTAAACGAGTGATTTACTGAATAAAAAAAAGTCAAGCTTACAATAGATTTAGTTTTATCTGGTCGTGCTGGCATTGGTGGTGGTGGGTTATCCTCTTCTTCTTCTTCCCCATCCCCTGAGGCTGTTGGGCTTGAATCCTGTTTCATCTAAAGACCAAGCAGTTTTATCAAATGAATGAAGCATTTTATAGTAATTGTGTGTCTTTTATTAGTAAAATAAAAACAAAAAAAAACACACATTACAAAAAACTTTATAATTGTAAATGGAAGTGTTAATGTGTTTTGATTTAGAGCAATATCTATTTGAAAAAGTCCAAGTCACACAAATGTAGTCATGAAAATAACACCTTTAAGAGCGACACAATTCTATTTAATGATATTATTTATTTATCTAATAAGTAAAAATTTCTTAAACCAGTATTTCTTTCATAATTTAACTACTTTTTTCATTATTTTTTTGTTCATTTAAATTTTGCTAACATTTGCGATTTATTGTTTATGTGGTGTTTTTAAGTCTCACTATGGATGGCTTATGACAAATATTAAATATAAAATGGCTTGGCAAAGTATTTACACAGCAGTATGGTAAAGGCAGGGATGTGACCAGACCATAAAAAATAGTTGTTTTTTTTTTACAGGAACTCTACATGTTTTATCACAGTTAAAGCAGTCTCACATCATTATTGTACTAATTAATTGTTTAATATTGCTAACATGTAAAATAAAAGAAAATTATGTTACTCTAAAACAACTATGAAGATTTGTCAAATTGCAATTTAATGTTTACCTTATAAGCTATTTTTAAAATAAAATTTTATAATTTAACAAAAGTGGATATAAAATTTTATTTTAACATTAACCTAAATTTAAACTAATTTAAACTATAATGATCTAGTTGTACTCTCAATTTCAATTTTAAATTATGCTTTATATTCTTTCAAAGATGGGCCTGGTAAAATGTAGTAAAATGTCTTCCACAATAAAGAGTCTAGATTTAGATTAACTGTAATTTGTAAGTTTTAGTTAATGTGATGGATGTTATTTTAAAAAGTGTTTTGGAATTAATACTTGTAAAAAAATATGAACAAAAATGAACCACTTTAATTGCCGAGCCCCATCCTTTACGCTTATGGAATAGCTGTAGATAGTTATTAGTATTTTACCCCACAAACCTGATAGTCAGGGTCACAGTGAGTTTCACATTAGTTTTGAAATCAGTAAGTAATCATTGCAGGAAAATAACTCATTGAGATTGGTTGAGACGTCATTTTTTTTCCCTAAAGAAGCAGTACCAAACAAGTACTTGAGGGTCATGGTGAGGTCACAAGAGCCACCCTTGCTATAAGGAGAGGTGGGTTAGTCTAGTCCTCATAGTCACCTTTTCGATATCAATTTGAGGAGGCAGAGAGAAACGACAGAGTTGAGTAGCTTTAAAAACACAAAGGGTGAGTTAAAATATCGGTAGATAAATTAGGCTACAGACTAACACACATGGCTCAGGAGTTGCACGTTCCATTTTAAGAGCAGCAACATTTTAGATTACTTAACCTGGTATTTTTTTAAGTATGTAACTGAAAATCTAGGCAGAAAATTTCAACAAAAAATATAAATCAGCAAAATAATAAATCAGCTTAATTCAGAATTGCGACCTAAAATAAATCTAAATCTGGCACCATTAGACCTCGCGTAATCGTCCAATTGAAAAGAAATGGGCATGGTTGATTGTCCGTTTGAGCATTATGTGGGCTGTTTCTGTAGAGGTTATTTCTGACTTTTTAAATTTTTTAAACTTTCTAAAAAAAAAAAAGCAAAAGTCTGCTAAATTCAGAAATTCGCTGAACAAAGTAGGAGAAAATTATAGCTGAGGAAAATTGCAGCTGAAACGGAAACATTGGTTAAGTCACATTCCTTGAACAGACACAACAAATCCCAGTGGAGTAAGAAATTTAGAAAAGAAAGTGGAGATGGATAGGCAATACGTTAATGAAACCAAGGACAAACATTAGCAGAAAAAGCATATCATCAAATCAAAATGGATAATACAAAATAAGGGAGATACAAAAACAATTGACAGCAAGTAAAAAAAGACGTGAAAATTATTGGAATAAGTAAGAAAGAAATGGAAAAAATATTAAAACAAAAGCATGGAAAGATGTAAATAGTCTACGCCCCACTGTGAGTTAAAAAACAAAGAAGATGGTTGGTTTAGATAACAAATTAAAAAGTGCTTATTTTGTATGGTTTAGATGAGTTTTGTTTCAACTCTGATATCATATGAAAAGCCATTGTGGACTATCTACGTTTTGTTACATCATGAATGGTTTAAAATGAGATTTATCATTACCTGTGATATAACAACCATAGCCGAGAGCTTATCTGAAAGATTTGACTTGGATGAGCTTGCACCTGCAAATAAAAGTATTTTATACTAGTACAAACACTGGTTAATAGTTCTACAAATTATTTTGTTTTAAACTGTATGCACAATATATTTTCTTTATGTGCATACAAATTAGCTCACAATAAATTTAAAATAAACTTATTAAAATGCGAAAACTCACTAGAAGAATTTACATTGAGCATAAACTTTTCATCTTGACGCTCTTTAGATGAGGTATCATAGTAGTTTAGAACATCTAGTACAGCTTGTGGATTTTTCTTTTGTTCTGATTTGGAAATATTTGCAGACTGCAACAATTTTGCCCATGATTCTGGCATCCCCTGTTGATGAAATACAATTTAAAAAAAGAGTGTAAGCTTGAGATAACTGATATTCAGTAACTATTAAACATTAAATATGCAGTTATTGTTAATCATTGTAAATTAAAAAATAATCTTATCAAAGTGAAAGCAACTAGTCTCTATAGTCTATAATGCTCTTGATATTTGGATATCTTTTCTTAAATTTTCTTTTTACTTACAGTAAACTCTCCAGTATGTGGGTCAAAGCCAACATGAACAGTGTGCTCAAAGTTGGAAGGAAAAGATATAACAGGCTTGTCATTTGGTAGTTTTGTAACTTTACTTCCTAAAAAAAAATTACCATTTGAAAGACTTGCATGAACTGTAGTAAAACAAAAAGCAAAACAAAAAGTTTCAAGTCGTTTTGAAAATACACAATAAACTGTTTCAAATTTTAAAAAGCTCCTTATGTGTAGGTCTCTGCCTATACTCGACTTTCAATATATTTCATTGTCTAAACTCACTACTTAAGAAAATCTTTTCAAAATAACTCTCTTTAAAACATTTGCCTAAAACTATTTATTTTTATCTATGTGGCTTATCAGTAAATTTGGGCAGATGAAATAGATTATGTTTGTATGTTTCTTAACCTTGGCATATGAAGGGATAATGTGGTCAGCTCTTTGCCCAACCACATTTTGTTTCCCTAATGTAAGTACAAGTTAAGTACCCCTCAGAGCTGGGTGGCTCTGGGACATTCTACTTTCTTTAACTTGAGACTTTCGGGCTAGCAGTCTAGCGCTCTACCGCTAGGACTCTTATTGGTAACAATGCAATAAAGAGGTAAGAAAATATTTTCTGCTTATTGGTTTAAATGTTAATATTCAAAACAGTAATAAAAATTGTTTATCTTATAAATGATACCTTTGATGATTTTTTTCTTTTTCTCTTCTCTGCTGTCTGGTTCTTTAGGTAGTGGTTTATAATCTTGAGATAGTGTTTCTCTACAGTAAAAAAATGTCAAATTCTAAATAATCTATTACTAAATCATCTTTCTATTATTAATTGTATTAACAGTTTAACTCAAGGTCAGTAGTTGTATTTATAAGTTACTGGTGTAATTTAAGCTTAGATGGAATCAAAACCCATAAATGAATGTTTTATCAAAGTACAAGAAATTCTAACAATAAATTAGTTGACATAAAAATAGCAGTTTAACTCAATTGTTGAAGTAAAACAGCAAATACCATCATAAAATAGAATACATGGGAAGATGGTCTACCAATCAGGTTAAGATAAATTAATTAATGCTAGCAACTTTTGATACTAAACAGCTGCTAATTAAAATAATTTGGTTTTTAAAAAAATGATTATTTATGAAATGCAACTATATACTATAGTGTTTCAATGTGTATTACAAATACATTTAATAAAATGCTACTCATATTAGCAAATTGTACACAGCATAATGAATATGAACTTCAAATAAAATTATACTTTCTAAAATAATGTATAAATCCCCTTAAATTGTGTTAGGATTTTTTTTTTAAAGTTAAAATGTTAAAAACTTGAAATAATTTTTTTATTTCCATACTAGATCTCTGTCTAAACAAAATTTCAAACACCTTTATTTTTATGCCACACAATATGGTTAATGTTGCGAAGCAAGAACAAGGATGTAATTTTATATAGAATCTATATATAATTCTCTTCATGGGGACCATAGAAGACACCACGCAGTTTAGCCACCACCCTCATCCCCACCTGTCAGGTGGGTTGTGGTTCACCCTGAATGTTTACCATAGTAGAGCCCCAATAAGGTTCCAATAAGTGACGGCTATTAGGGGCAGATAATTTAGTTTTTAAACGATTTGAAACTAAGGAGAGATAACAAGTTCTGCTTGATATTTTCCTATCCGTCTGTAAACAGCTGCTTTCACTGGGCGGGATGGGGTGGGGTTGGGGGGGGGGGGGAGTGTGGGTGGGGGAGGCATGGCAATGGGGTAGTGTCGAATTCACAAATTATGAATTGTTGATAAGTAGGAAATAAAACAACTAGATAGCGGTGTATGGTACGTCACGGGTCAGCTCTTATAATATAATATAATAAATATAATATGATATGATATAATATTATATAATATGATATGATATATGATATGATATATGATATGATACATGATATGATACATGATATGATACATGATATGATACATGATATGATACATGATATGATATGATATGATATGATATAATATAATATAATATAATATAATATAATATAATATAATATAATATAATATAATATAATATAATATAATATAATATAATATAATATAATATAATATAATATAATATAATATAATATAATATAATATAATATAATATAATATAATATAATATAATATAATATAATATAATAATATAATATAAACCTCTTTTATACAGGAGGTCTATTTACTTTGATTTTTAAGATCAGTCTAGAAACATAGGGTAATTGTTGACCTAAAGCATTTTCCTAAGGCATCTTGTACAGATGCAAATATTTTAGATGGATTGTGTTAAAAACTCTATGCAACAATATGGGGGGGGGGGGGGGGGGGAGGGGGAGGAGAGGAGGGGGGGGGGGAGAGAGAGAGAGAGAGAGAAAGGAAGCTGTATAAATGTACAGTAAAATTAAACACATTCTCACACAACTTCAAGAACGTTAGTATGAGTCAAGATGATCAGCAAATACAGATGTACTTAATGAGCATATACTTAAATACCTTGAGTAAATTTAGCTAAAACACTGTGGATAAGAGTATAACTTCCTCCAAAAGATGAATAAGTAAATTTTAAATAAAGAATAACTTGTATAGTTGTTCATTTTTCAATCAGAATCATAGCTTTTGCATCAGGAAAACTCTGTAAATATTGTTTTTACAATTATCAGTAAAAAGGTGTGTGAGCAATACAGTGATCTTACCCATACCTTATCATTATGTTAAAAAAATATATTCAGTGGCAGCATTGACAAATTATGAATTGCTAAAAAGTAGAAAATAAAACAACTAAATAGTGGCGTATGGTACGACACAGGTCGGCTCGTATATTTTATATATATATACATATATATGCATATACATATATATGCATATACATATATATGCATATACATGTATATGCATGTATATATGCATATGCATGTATATATGCATATGCATGTATATATGCATATACATATATATGCATATACATGTATATGCATATACATGTATATGCATGTATATATGCATATGCATGTATATATGCATATGCATGTATATATGCATATACATATATATGCATATACATGTATATGCATATACATGTATATGCATGTATATATGCATATGCATGTATATATGCATATGCATGTATATATGCATATGCATGTATAATATGCATGTATATATGCATATGCATGTATATATGCATATGCATGTATATATGCATATGCATGTATATATGCATATGCATGTATATATGCATATGCGTGTATATATGCATATGCGTGTATATATGCATATGCGTGTATATATGCATATGCGTGTATATATGCATATGCATGTATATATGCATATGCATGTATATATGCATATGCGAGTAAATATGCATATGCGTGTAAATATGCATATGCGTGTAAATATGCATATGCGTGTAAATATGCATATGCGAGTAAATATGCATATGCGTGTAAATATGCATATGCGTGTAAATATGCATATGCGTGTAAATATGCATATGCGTGTAAATATGCATATGCGTGTAAATATGTAAATATGTGTATATATGTGTATATATGTATATATGTGTGTATAAGTGTGTATAAGTGTGTATATGTGTATATATGTGTGTATAAGTGTGTATATATGTGTATATGTGTGTATATGTGTATATGTGTGTATATGTGTATGTGTATATGTGTATATATGTATATATATGTATATATATATATATATGTATATATATATATGTATATATATATATGTATATATATATATGTGTATATATATATATATGTATATATATATATATGTATATATATATATGTATATATATATATGTATATATATGTGTATATATATGTGTATATATATGTATGTATATATATATATATATATATATATATATATATATATATATATATATATATATATATATATATATATATATATATATATATATATATATATATATATATATATATATGTGTATATGTGTATATGTGTATATATGTATATATGTGTATATATGTGTATATATGTGTATATGTGTGTATATGTGTGTATATGTGTGTATATATGTATATGTGTGTATATGTGTGTATGTGGGTATATGTGTGTATGTGTGTGTATGTGTGTATGTGTATATGTGTATATGTGTATATGTGTATATGTGTATATATGTATATGTGTATATATGTATATGTGTATATATGTATATGTGTATATATGTATATGTGTATATGTGTATATATGTATATATATATATATATGTATATATATATATATATGTATATATATATATATATGTATATATATATATATATATATATATATATATATATATATATATATATATATATATATATATATATATATATATATATATATGTTTATGCATATATATATATATGTTTATGCATATATGTATGTATATATTCAAAAGTTGTGCAGGCTTAAACTGAATTATTCAAAGCCAGAGAGTTATTACTTGGAGCTCAGTTGTTGAGGCACGAAAGCAGGTAAATCACAACATATGATAAGGGTTAAATCAAATATAGGATCGCTATGGATCACCTGACAGCTAGGGTGTCGGAGGCTGCCCCTGTTGCAGTAAGATAATTGAATTAAGTACTACCCCTGACTCTCTGTGCAGGTAGCTGCTGGGAAACTAGGAGCGCTAAACCGTATTTTACTGCTGGGGCAGTAGCCCTCATATCCTTGTGAAGAGTACACTTAAAAATGAATGTCAACACCCTGGCGCACCAGTGAGCCAGTGGATGCGCCTAAGTTTGACCATTAATTCATTCAGTTACAAAGACCCCAATATCATTCAGTAACCCAGAGCCCAATGGATCCCAGGTGCAAAGCTAGGCACACTGGTGAAACTCTGGGCAACAAACAGAAGCCTACTGCCAGGCACAGCCTCTCAGAAATTAATTTTTTTTTAATTGCAGAAACCTTCCCAGGAATATTCTCAGTAGCTTCTCAAAGATTCATGGAGATTAGATTAAGGATGTAGCAAAACATAAAAGACAAAATGAGACATAATTTCAGAATTATGTATATATATCAAATCACAATTTAATCAATAATATCAGTCTACACTCTCAAATACACTGTTTTCATTTTAACGTATAGTGCAATAAACTGAATATTTATTTTAGCATTATTATCAGATTTATTTTAACTTCACAAGCATAACATATGCATTTTTATTTTTGTACTAACTATGCAATTCTATAATGTAACACAAACTACAACATAACACACAAGCAACAAGATTAACATAGCAAGCATTTTATTATAAGTAGAGGTATTCCCAGCTGCTAATGAAAAATATAGTGGTATACCTGCTTGAAATCAAAGATGGCATGCTTTCTAGAGGATTTCCAGGAATTCTTTTAGGAGGCGCTACTTTTGGTAAAGTGGGTACATTCCTGAGTTAAATTTTAATTGTAAATTATTAATTGAAAGACATTGTATATTTTTATTACATTTTACATCATGGCTCTGAATTATTTTTAGCACAAACTAAGCACTGTCATCATTAAACTATCTTTGCAAATGCAGTTTCTATGACATGTTTCAAGATAAGACACTATAATAAATTTGCAACTTAAAAAGTAATTTAATAATAACATTTTAGGCTTACTAAAAAGTTAGGCAATACTCATCAGAATAGTCCAATTCAACATATTTAGTAATTCTATTAAGGGGTGAGAGGTAACAGTTTAAAAGTGAATATCAACATGCAATTAGACAAGTACCATAGATTTCTACATTTTAGCATTAAGCAGGGATAGCAAATTCGTAGACAAATATCAAGCCAATTGGAGGGTACCTCGATCTATGAGAAACCTAACATTGATATTTTAGAAAAGAGCCATTGAGCTTGCGATATTTTGCTTTGAAATAAGAGTAACATGGAAACTTTGACAGGTTTTAAAAAATAAATAAATGGCCTGCAGGTGAAAATGAGGAAGTTTATATCTTTCCATTCTCAACAAACATGCGAACAAGGTTCCAAAACAAATACAATTTGTATCTTAAGGGTGTATTGTAAGAATTGTTGCTTTGATATTAAAGATCATACGTATATAAAATTTTATTGTGTATATTTTTTATACATATTTGAAGTTGTGAGGTAACTAAGCAATATTCGTATTGGGATAAACAATCTAAACAACTCAGATATTTAGATCTCTAAATATTTATGAAAATAAAAACATACAATTATGGGAATCACCACAGAATCAAAACATTAACAGGAGAGAATGGCTCACAAAAATGTTACTGAATCAATAGCTAATCTAACTTTATAATGCAAAAGCACTACTGACAAATTATTGACCTACTTGTTTTTACCATCGTCATGGTAATGTTTCATGGTCATTTCAGAAATATATACTTAAAAATTGTTATTTTTTTGTATTATTCAACAATACCGATTTAGTTTTAACAATGGACAATTAGTGTTTGATGCAGAAGATAATAAAAGTAAGCAAAACATTAATTGCTGTTTTTAATATTGTGGTGATTTCACTCAAAAATGCTCTAAAATATAGAAAATTAAATATTACATCCTACTAAACTAATTTCATTAATTATTTTAAAAAAGCATGCAGGGTGAAAACAAAACCTTCAAAAAATAACTTGATCAAGACAACAGCTAACTAGGCCCGCCCATTTAGTCTGCTGTGTATTTGATTGGGAAGAAATCTAGCAGACGACACGTTTCTGCTGAACGGCAGTGAATCGTGTCACAACAACACTCCTTAAAAACTAACCCACTGTATCACTGAGTTTCAGTCGTATCATTGTAGCCATTTAAAACAATATTGTAGCCATTTAAAAACAAATGTGATTTTTCACAAATTATTTTCTAGGCTAGAGATTAATTTTGATAATTAAAATTGGTACCAAATTGAAGGTAAATAAATTGTTTAAGTCATTATGAAAAATAATGAAGATTAAAAGCTTAGGCGACACCCTAACATACATTTCAAACTTGTTTTAGTACTTCTTTAAAAGGGAAAAAACTGTTTATCCTCTTCAACAACAATAATTATGTGTCACTTCTGACATAAGTGGTTTGATGTATTAGAACAACTTTACATTCCGAATGCAACAATTAATCAACTGCATTCCATATTATATCACTTTTATCGCTTGATTGAGAATTTATTTTAAAACATTATTAAATTAATAAATAAATATTTTAAAAAGTATTTTTTTGTTTTTTGTCATCATATTTCATTCTACTGGCACTGTGAAAATACAAAAAAATTATATGGAATGAATACCTATAAAGAAAAATAATCTTGGTCAAGCTTATATGTGTTTTACAGAGTGACAAAATGTTTTAATTCAGTCAAGTATTGGTCTATTTCTGTTAAATAAAAAGAACTATTAACCTCTGTACCGACTAATCAGGAAATAATATAAATTATCTTAACATTAATCTATTTTTATTATTAGCCTTAACGTATAAAAATCAATGCGGTAGGAATAACACATTTTTTTTAACTTAAATAGCAATATTTAGCATGAGTTGAATCTCTTTTTAATGCCTGCTCTATTTATAAACATTCTAATTAATTAGTTTTATTTGACTTTACTGTTATTAAAATGTATTGTTTTTCTAGGAATCGAAGTGAAAATATCCTTTGACATTGACCTGTTTAATATGTTTTAGCAATGTGCATATATTTAATATTTTCTTCATGTTCTTTTGTTGACGTACGCGAAACAAAAAATATAAGTCGTTACATAAATAGACCCTACTCCAACGCTTGTAATAAGACACTCCTTATTTACGAGAAAAATGGCCCGTTGAGGAAGGATACAATGGGCGCTAGGTTGATAGTGCTGTCTATTTTCTCTAAACTAAAACCAAAATCACCACCTTAAATTTAACCGGAAACAAAAAATGACATTGAAAACGGATTTTTATCCAGAATCGGTACTTTAATTTATACAAAATATAGTCATAGGAATATCCTTAAACCATGCACCTAATCTCATGACAAAAGTCGCATTAGAGTTTCTTTCAGGCAACTCTACTTGGGAGGAGGGGGCTCCCCCCCCGCACCCCAAAACATGTCTACCGTCCCATTCAATGAAATATAATTATGTACTTTTTCCAGTGTCCGCCCCCTCCCAGAAAGTTCTACCCCCCCCCCCCCAATTTCAAGTACCCCCACCCCTCTCCGGGGAGGAAAAAGTCTAAAAGAAACACTGGTCGCATTTGTAGATCATACAAACTAAAGGAAGAACCTGGGCGGGGCTTCGCTCCTACCGGAAGAAATGCATGAAAAAAACTGTGTACGCTTAACACTTTTTGGATAAAAAAAAGTTACCCCCGGAGGAAAAAGTCTGAAAGAAACACTGGTGTCGCGCTTAGCCACTACCCGAAGAATTGCATGAAAGAAACTCTGCAAGCAAACCACTTTTTAGATTAGACACATGAATTAGGCTGTAATTTTATTATAGAGTATCAATGACGACATTTCTTTTGAGCTGGGGGGGGGGGGTCGGCTTAGACATTCTTACGCGGGGGATGGGCTTGGCCCCTACCTGAAGAATTGTATGAAAGAAACTCTTCAAGCAAACCACTCCTAAGATTAGACAACATTGGCTTTTTAATTCAATGTTTACTCGAGAATCAATGACGTAATATTACTGTGTGCATTCTCTGGCTGTAGACTAATTTCTAATTTTCTACTATATGCGCCAATGTGACGTCATGTTTCGTTTCCGTTTTACTGTGAAAGTTTTTATTTTGCTTGTGTTTTCTCTATAGCATTCTTGTCAGATAGATAGATACACAGATAGATACAAAGACAGCGAAACTATTAGTATTAATAGAGGGTTCGTACACTATTTTGAAAATGAAATTCCAGACTTTTTCGGGATAAGTTCCAGACTTTATGCAGATAATGTGTTTGCAACATGTGTACCCTCATTATAAGTACAGTATAATGACATTTATTTTATGCAATTGAGCTAATGTTTATATTAAAATTTTTCTTGCCAAATTTACAGTAAATGACTTTTCTAAGATTGCCTACCCCACTCCCCCAAACCTTAAATTATTAAAATAACTGATTAATATGATGAAATTCCAACACTAAACTTATGTTATTTGTTCACGATCTAATTGTATTGTTTTCAATTAAATTATTACTAAAATAGCAGTCCTATCAATTTGGCATAATAGTGTGAGTTAATTACTTTAAAGAATAATAATTAAGTAATTTACTAATTTAGGTCTACTGTTGTTGAGTAGCCTAGATGTTTTATCTGTTAGCATAAAAAAAGAGTTAATAAAGCAACACTTCTATTGACCAGAAACTGCTGAACGGTTGGAAGAAACCTACATACATACTTTGATATTTTTATTTGAACCTTTGCCTACTTGACTGAATTGAAACTCTAAGTTACCAGTTTAAAGAGAAACCAAAAAGAGTAAATATCACTTTTGGTTAAAGGAAATTGCTCAAATATTGATAGAAACAAAACTATAGTTTCTAATATACACACACAGACGGATATAATTACTAAAGTCTTTTTTTTATAATTCAAGAAGGTGTAAAACATCAAAATTTGTCTAAGTTTTGATAAATTACATTTTATACAAGATTACAATACTTCCTCCCTAAGAGCCTACTCTGTATAAAAGCAAGTTTAAATAAATTAAAATAAAGTTTTTTGCTAATTGACATTTTGTTAAAATAAAACTCTTTTTCTTGATATTAAAACAACACAAGGGCTTACTTTAAAAAATATAATTATCTCTCATTACATAAACCATATAATAGACAAACAAACCTATACATAATATTTTTCTTTTCAATATAAAACATGAAGAGCATCAATTATCATATGAAATTAAGTTGTTGTGTGACTCACCTTGTACTTTCAAGTCTGACTGGTGGGGCTGGTGGCTTATCACTGTTTTCAGACATGATGTAACTTGATACTTGATGTTAATCAATGCTCAAAAAAAGCGTCTTTCACTGATATTTAAAAATATTAATTTAGTTTAATAGTTTAAGCCTAATAATCGCTATGTTTCAATACTTAAATGTGCCAAAAATATGTCTAAAAAATACAAAGGAAAGGTAAGATAAAAAAAAATTAACCATTCCTGAACATGTATTTAAAACTAAACTAAAAAAAAAAGAATTCAGTTAACTTCAGTGTCAGTATTTTAAATAAGAAATTTTCTTCTACCATGAAGAAAAGCTATAAATAAACTGGGAGTGATCTCCCCTAAACTTTCTAGAATATTCTTATATAACACTACTGCGGATATAGACATGATTTTAATCCATTTTTAACTACTTAAAACTTTTTAAAAATTCATAAAAAATATTTTAATAACAAGCTTTTATACACTAATGCACTAAAAAGTATAAAATAAATGAGTTTCTTTAAATATATAGTAATACGCTACTATTTAAATAACTATAAAGAAAAGTGTGGGTCAGTTTATTATCTATTAGATACCTTTACTAATATTTACAAGACCCACACTTTTCTTTATAATTATTTTAAAAAGTAGTGTATTACTATATATTTAAAGAAACTCATTTATCTTGTACTATATAGCGCATTAGTATATACAAGCTTGTTATTAAAACATTTTGTATGAATTTTTTTTCCGTACTTTAAATTTTTTAATGCAATAGAGTTGCATGACTAAAAACCATTGCGCACTTATTGAAATTGATGACGCCCTATTGAACGTGATGACGCCCTATTGAACGTGATGACGCGTATATAATAGCGCTGAATAGTTTGATGAGACAGCCTACTAATTTGAACAAAAATTCTATTAATTCATAAAAAATTAATCAGGCGACCAATTAAGTCAAATTGTATGTCATGTTACATTGTCTTCATGTCTTGACCCATGTACCAACTACGAACTGTATCAGTCAGTTAGAAGTGTCTGAAAACAAAACAAAAAAGATTTTCTGTCTAGCTCAAATCGTTTTTTTTTAGCGAATTTTTTTGTGAGGGGTGGAATCCCCTTGTCTTTGCATTGGCCAATTGTGACAAGTCATGGTATGCCTGAGTAAATTGAGCATAGTTATTTTACTTGCAGTTGTATTTTGTTCATATTTGCAGAGTTTAGCTAGAATGATATATAGAACTTGTATATGCTGTTGAAATGAATAAAAATAATACAGAAGTATATTTTTGTGTTGGCTTCCTTCCATAACCCCAAAAAAACTGTGCTGCGCAAATATGAAAATGTTTCTAAAGCAATGCTTTACAGTGAATAAAAGAACTACATAGTTAGCAATCTAAAGTAAATGACTTGAGATCTGTAATGTGCATATAACTGCCCCATTATTTTGGGCAGGTGAAGTAGAGTCCATCTTTAAGCCATTGTTATAAAACTGCTGCGCAAATATGAAAATGTTTCTAAAGCAATGCTTTATATAATACAGTGAATGAAAGAACTACATAGTTAGCAATCTAAAGTAAATGACTTGAACACTGTAATGTGCATATAATTGCCTTATTATTTTGGGCAGGTGAAGTAGAGTCCATCTTTAAGCCATTTTGTTAAAAGTGAACTGAAGTTATCTGATCAATGTTTTTATGTGTGTATTGTGTATGAATTCTGACTTTCAGCATATAAATATAACTATAAGTAAGGGTATGTAGAACTTTAATACTTAAAATTACAGTTAGCACATAAATCTAGCTAGTTTAGTTAAGTGTAGTGTATTCTAGCAACAGACAGGTAACCTATGTCTGACTCAGCAAAATTTTACTTCAAGCAAAACTAGAACCAGAGTTGAAAAAATGAAAGACAGGTATATTAAAATATTTTTAAAACAACAAGTAGGAGATTTGTTTGTACATTACATAAGAATACTGTTGTTGGTGTATCAAAACTAAAAGCCGGCAGATCGGGATGAAGAAATATAACATTGGCGTCAAAGGGGGCAACGTGACCTACTTACGGTGACTACTTTCAAATGAGTATTTACTAATGTCAAAGTTGAAATATCCAAAAATAAATATCATTTTTATAAAAATGAAATGTATATGCTTTGGAAACTTTCATTATCTAAATGGAAACTTTTAAAAAATCGCGTTTTTAACGCATTTCAAGTTAACCTTTATACAGCGATAAGACCAAAGCAGAGACAGCATGCAATCAGATCACTAAGCCATCAAAACAACTGGAAAACCATTCTACTTTTTATTTAACATTAGGAAATGACCTTTTAAACTTAATTAATTACCATAAATTAAAAACTTATTAGTATGCAAAACCAAATCTCGTGCGCCCGGTATCAGAAAGTAATGGGAGATTTCGAGTCATGTTTTTACCGCGATCTCGGCCGATACCAACAACCCTACTATTAGTAAAGTTATTGTTCTAAACTTTTATAATTAATGTGGTTAATCTACCAATGAATATATCAATATTCAATAAATTAATTAATGGCTTTAAAATAGTTTTTAAATAACAGTGTGCTCAAGAAAGAACAATGTTTACCACCCAAAATCCTATTTTACAGCTCTACACTCTACACATAATGCAGATTCTTCCCAATAACAAATCAGACAAACAAAAAAAATGAGTTATCAAACTTGTAAACTTGAGTTTTAGTAGTCTAGATCTATATTAGGCATTTCGATGTCCGCCATTTTGTTTAATCTGGCCACATCCGAAATTTTTCAAGCCAACTTTTGTAATTTCGGCCATTTTCCATCCAAGTGCTTAGTTATCATGAGAGAATCGATAAATTAATGTATTCGATACGTCAAAGTGGGCTGTTTTTATATTCTATGTTTGTATGGAAAACTATTAGTTACATTTTAACATATCGATCCCAATTTTATCGAGGTATCTTAGCGAGCACGTCTCATTAAACGCAGTAACCGACTTCTTTCAATTAGTATTAATTTTAGCAAGAAAGTAAAGTATAATAAGCTAGACATTAGTTGTAATGAGCATCCTAACCATTCTCAAGAACAAAAATAACAGTTTCATAGAGTTCTTTTCATTGGAACATGCTTAAAAAGCATTGGTAAATCTTGGGGGGGGGTCCCGCTGACACAATTTTTTAACAGGGCGATAGGGGCCGCGAGGTTACCTATTATCGATAGAACCAAATTTCGGCATTTAAAAAAGAGATAAGTTCAGGAAACTAGATCTAATCTAGTAAATAAGTAATGCCAAACTATTTTGATGGGTGGAAATGTTGGTTTTATGGGGCTTTTTAGCTCTTTATAACCAGATATTGCTTCTTGCGTGAAGTGAAGGGGATCTACGCAATTTTAATAATGACGGCCGAGTTTAAATTTTTATGACGGTCCATAGACCATATGCATGAAATATAAAAAATCGCACATTTGATATTACTGTTTAACACTATTCATTGAATTGGCAAGATTTTAGCTTATAGAATGTTTTTTATGGATTAAATAAAATTTAAAGCAATGGAATTAATAGTCCCATTCATTAATAATCTTCCATATTAGTCATTTTCAATTGGGTAGGCCTAATAATAATAGGCCTAATTAAAATTTTAAATAGTAATAAATAGGCCCTTATAAATATTAGGCCCCTATAGAATAGATTTAGATCTATGTATTTTAATGAGTAATTGCTTATAAGAATCTAATAGAACTAATATTTATTGCATCAAGCTTAAATATATAATTATGTTGTAAAATTACTTATGGATGATATCTAAACTTTAGTTACCCCGTTTCAGGAAAAACTGATTAAGAAAATAATTACAAAGATTAAATTGGTCATTTCTCAGATTATAGTATATTATCTTTAAAATTTAATAATAGCTAAAATATACTACTAGATCTATAGAGGCATGGAAAGTAAAATAAATGAAGTCAAAGATAAAATAGAAACATTAACACTTCACTTTAATAATGTGATCTAAAGCAACAGTGATAGATACATTTTTTTAAAAGTCAAAAAGAAAACAGAAACAGTAACACTTTGAACAATGTGACTTAATTTTATAACTTAAACTAAGCAACAGTAATTTTTTTTAAACAGTAGGTTCAGATCAGCAAATAAGGCAGCTGTCTATCCTTCGGTTGCAACACATCTCATCTAGTTTCTGTAGGCTGTCTATTGATTAACCATCCTTAACTACTTATTAAAAGTAGCCTATAACTAATGCTACTAATATTTAGATATTTCAACATAATCCTAACCATATTATATTCCAGTATGAGTATAATACACAGGTATTATTGATACAAGATTTCAGTGCCACCCCCATTAATTAGACTTTATTATATGTGATTGTCTTTTTCTCCTAGCATTTTTTTGACTTGTAAATTTCTATTCCCAACATCCTTAAGCATCTATGTGCTAAGTTTTATCTTTGTATCATCGATAGCAACATAGATATTCAGTATGAAAAGTGACTTGTGGCAATCATAGTAGAACGGCACCGCACTCCTTAATTGGGCTTTATTAAGTTAATTATTAGTTGTTTTCCTTTTAATTAAGCTGTATTTCACTTGCATATTCCTGTTGCCTGTACTCCCTAGCACCAATATGCAAAGTATTATCAATATATCTTTATTAACAACAGAGTTGTGGAGTTTGACAATAGACTAACGTTGCTCTCTATATAAAAACGCCATGACCCTTAATTAGTCTTAATTATTTTTGGTTTTACCTTTACTGATCTTTATTTCAATTGCATATTCCTGTTGCCTGTACTCTCTAGTATCAATATGCAAAGTTTTATCATTACATGTTAAAAAATAACAACGCTATATGAACTCAAAGAAGGACACCAAATATTTTGCAACTTTACAATAAAATATAAGCTGTTTAACATACAACTTAAAAAATTCATAAAAAAAATACTACTGGGCCTACAGTGATAAATCTAGTGGTTTATTAAATGGCAGTTTATGGCCTTCAATATTATGTGTGTTTTATCATTCTGAGATAATTAGGCAAAATTTACCAAAATGCCTAATCTATATAGATTTATATTTTTAAAAGTAGGGCCGCCCTAACTGACTGGGCCTAACGGTGGCCTAACCTGGCTTACTCTTACTCACCTATTTTCAGAACAGACAGTCGAACATAATCTAGAACCTAGACTATCTACTAATCTAGATCTAGAAGTAGATCTAGATCTATATTCTATAAGTCACAAGTAAACTCATATTTAAGAAATTTTTAGGAGACTTATTTTTCTTCAACTTTTGAAATAGCCTAACAATGTGTTACGGGTTTAGTGTATAGATGTCCAGATCAACAAAGTTAGTATGAGTCATGCTGGCAGATGAGTAGGATTGCAATGTACTCGGTTACGGGTTATCGATCCAAAAGTACAAAGTATTGATAACAATTTCAATGGGGTGTGAATTTATTATAAATTTAAGAGTTAAAGATCTAGATCTATATGACCATATAGATTTAAATACGATTTGTTTTGGTATTTTAAGTACAGATCTAATGTAGATCTAAATCTACATTGGATCTGTACTTACACTATTTGAAAAGAAAGTGCATACTTAGTACTTAGACTGAATCTGTTTTAACACACACAAAAAAGTAATTTTTATTAGCTCCCCTGACAGAGAAAGCATAATTATTATATTCTTGCCAGGTATTTGCGGCCAAGAAAGATAAAAAAATTTATGCTTATGCCTATGATTATTTAACATATAAATCAACTGTCTAAATCTAGATTCTATAGGCCTTATATATTCTACTTTTTTTAATCATAAAATATATTTATTAGGCCTAGACTTTTTAAAAATCTTAATCTTAAAACTATCTAGCCATTTTGTAAACAAGTAGACGGTTAGACAAAAAAAAACTTACTTCCAAAAATACGGTGATAGGCCCGTAGAAAAAAAAAACGTGTAGGCCTAGTCTAGACTGTAGGCAGGCCTTGCAAAATGCATGTATTAAAAAAAACAACTTCCTAAAGCATTAGGCCTAACAAAAACAGCTGTATAGCAACAATCTTTTTAAAAGTTAAAAAAAATTGCTAGATCTAGTCTGGAAAATGAAAATTGTGTATGTCTCATACAAAATCTATTCGTTAATAACTTATATTACTCAGTAGTATTAGAGACCTACAAGCACGCCTTCAATAATTACACGATCTGTACGACAAAGATTTATATGCACACTAGACTACCCGTTATCCTCGGATAACTGAGGGTTTCTGGGAGTCATCCATCTAGGACGTTACGTTTATTTGACGATTTTTACCTTTCCCCTCCCCTTCCTACTTACGCGCATCGTCCTAAAAAGCCAGACCCCACATTCAATAAGACGTCAAATCGCAGACAACATGTTTTTATCTCGGTTGAGCATGGGTCTGACCACACCATCTCTTTCAGTGTTTCTTCCAGACTTTTTTCCGGGGGGTGGGGGCGGACACTGGTAAAAGTATATGTTTTCTATATAAATTTAATTTCGTTCCGGGGGGGGGGGGGCGGTAGACTTTCTTCGGGGGGGGGGGGGTCGCCTGGAAGAAACTCGATCTAATCCCTCTTCTTATACTGAGGTCACAGACACAGAAACAGGTGACTTAATTCTTCTTCGTGTGCCCCGTGTCCCGCCAAGTCCCGATAGGCAACTTTATCATTCACATTTTAAAAGAATAAAAGAATTATTATTTTAAAATTTAAGATTGATAAGACGTGTCTCGAACCCGTATCACCAGCATGGTATCAATTACACTATCATCTCGGCCAGTAGGGCACATACAACTGGGTGCAAATGTATCGCCTTAATTTACTTAAAATCGTATAATAAAGTTAAATTACGCGAATAGATGCTTATATTTAATTATATCCTAATTTAGCCTATTCCATTGCTAAACAAAGATTTATATAAAATAATTAAGGCCTGAAATAGTTTAGTATAGAAACTCATTATTGGCCTAGATCTACAATTTACGGCTGGCTTAAGTCTAGTTTATCCGTAGCTCTAGATAAATTCTTGTATTCTAGAATTAGATGATATATTGATAAGTGAACTTAAAAAGCAAATATGTATTTCAAATATTTAAGGACAAAAATAATTTTTAAAAGAAACTAATTTATTTATTGTTTTTTTTTTTGTAACTAATTAATTTTGGTTTGGTCTATCGATAGATCTAGAATATTCTAGAATATCTAGATCCCGGCTAGATAAATTCAATGTAGACTCAAATACGAAGAACTGTCAAGTGTATCCTATTGAAAATTGATAATAGTGTTGGAACCTAATAAAAATAGCAAACAGACGTATCGTTGGCTGAAAAATTAGATTTATAATGCGTTAAATTTTTGAATGGGCAACATGGTCTTCGACGGAAGCCGCTATGTTGGTTTTGAAAATAAGTAAATTAATTAAGTGACGCTACTGCAAATAAAGCTATTGTTCTGAACTATAATTACACTGGTGTAGTATATCAATAAATTAATTGACCTCTTTAAATAACTTTGTGTTTAACAGTTTGGGATAAAAAGAAGATTATAAATACGTATTTTACAGTTCTACACATAGTACAACAGATGCTCTCATGTAACCGAACAGACAAACAAAACAAAAAACTATACAAACTTTAAAATGTAGATGATCGATTCCTGGCGTACCCGTCGCGCTGTGATCTAATCCTACACATTAAAATGATGTTTTCATCCACGCGTTATTAATTGTATATTTGATATCTAAATCTGCGTTAATTGCGAACAATCCCGACACTATATTTCTTGGCTCTTGGGTTTTTTTTTGGACACGGCAGCGTCAAACTCCGTGACGTGCTGTATAAAATTCGTGAATGCATATTGATCACCCACCATCCGAAATAGTGAGCTATAACACCTTACGGCGACCGCCCTTATGTCAGGGGAGTTAATCTAGGGGCCACTAATTACAACAGAAGTGCAAGATCCGACCTCTGGTTCAGTTTAGTCGTCGCATATTGTATCCCTCCGTACCCCTATTGTAAGTTGTTCTTTAAAGCTAATGTAGGCGCCGTACTGCTCATAGAATAGCCCGGGTGCTTCGGATCACGCGACCGCCGGGGTGCCGGAGTCTGTCCTTGTTGCTTTTGTGTTGTATTTGCCCTTGCATTTGTGTCCACGTACAACAAGACAGAACGTTCAAAAGGCAATGCAGCGGTGGATGCTGCCCTTACACGGTGAACAATAGATTTCAATAGGGTCCAAGAAAATGAGGATGACGTGGGCGTTTGAAAACATACTCCGCCAACAAAATGGGAATAACAAAGTAGGATAAGACAAGAGGCGTGTAGCTCATGTTAGTCTGCAAACTCAATCTGCCGATTTTCTAAAAGATCAGATGCAGAATTCAGACCCGCAGAAGTTGGAGATAATGTATTCATCGTGCATCAATATGTCAAATGCTAACAGAGGTGGCGGTGATCCCCAAAGCCCCCTTGCAGTTTTTTATTAAAGTCTAGGCGGATTTTACACTCAACAAAACTTTCCGGGATGGGGGGGGTGACTAAATTTTTCAGGAGGGGGGGTATATTTGCAGGGAGTTTAAGGTGACAGTGAGATTTTGTCGTTTATTATATTGGTCAGGGGCGGATTAAGCCTAAAATTTTTTGAGGGCCCTTTATATATATATATATATATATATATATATATATATATATATATATATATATATATATATATATATATATATATATATATATATCCAACGGAAGACACAATATTGTTATAATAATAGATATGTCACTTTATATTATTTGAGTATGTGTGATCAGTCAACTATACATTTGCAGATCTGACAAAATAGGCTAGCCTGATGTAATATACTTACAGAATCAGAAACACATGTATCATTTTAGGGAGAGCTCATGTTAAATAAACAATGTTTGACATGAAGCAATGACAGCTACAGTTTGCACTGTAGGGCGTGGGCGTTGTTGTCCGACTAAGAGACAAACGCATATTTTCATGAGAGGAAAAAAATCTCATACTTTCGTATTTGTAAATTTATAGGAAAAAAAGCGATTATTTAGATTGTACGAAACAAATACATTCGATGGGAAAATTATTTTTACAGTTGATAGGAGCAAAATTTTGGGGCCCCCGAAATTGAGGGTCTACTGTTTAACTCCTTATGTCAACGAGCTATGGCCTTACGACAAAATTTTCTATACTCTTGAGATAAACTTTGCCGTATCCATTGTCCTACCTGCCGTCTAGTTCCGGTTTTAATTTTCATTAATTCGGCAAATAAAGCAATTATACAAACCTACTTCTCACTTCAAATAACGAATATTCAATACAGGTTACTTCCTGCCTTTTAAAAACGTTTGGATTAAAGCGCCATTTGTAAGCTATTAAAAGGATCACGCACATAAAATCACATGTTGAAGTAAAACATGTTTTTTCTGTTTTGTTAAAATTCAGTGTTTTATTTCATGAAACTAGTTGATCAACCAAATTGTGTGTCAGAAATAAAAATGCATAATATTTTAGGGAACATCTCTTTAAGTATACAGTTTCCGAGCAGAAAGCGACGACAGCCGATGAGGGGTGGGGCGTTTTGAAGTTTTTATGGGGAACAACGCTAAAAATAACTTATTGTATCGTCATTGTATCGTCATTAGCGATTGCTGGTCAGGACTATGTTATTTTAGGGAGCTTCGGCTTTATATGAACAATGACTGGTTAGAGGTGATGACAGCTGGTATTTATAATAAATGTGTGCTCATGTTATATATTTGGAAAAACAATTAAGCAGTAAATTTTGGGACCCCTAAAAATCAGAGGCCCCTAACTGCAGCCCTCTCAGCCTCTCCCCCCTTTAACCCGCTACTGATTGGGGTTGTTCTTAAACGACGTCACATAGTTAGTTAACCGGGAGGGGTGATTGGATTTTCTTAATGTAAAACCATTATTATTCGGTCTATCTAAATGTAAAACAATTATTATTTGGTCTGTCGTAATGTAAAACATTAATCAAGATATCAAATACGAAGCAACTTGTGGAACAGTCCTTGCTTTTAATCGTTATCTTGATGACAAAATGAACTTTAATCTTCCGCTGTAAGATAGCAAAACTAGCATACAACTGACTATAGGCCAGGAAGATAATATTTTGCCTTCGAAAAAATAGCAACTAAGGTAAGCGTTGTATGTTACAAAATTCAATAACAATTCTTAGAAATGATTTTCTTAAATATTGAGTAGATTACATACTGAGGGGTGCGTATATTCAGAAGAAAAGTGTTTGTTTTATTTCAGTTGATGGTTAGTTTGAGTCTTTTAAATACAAAACTGACGAGCTAGACAAGGGACGAGGGGTGTGTGACACAATGATGTATTAATAACCGACCATAGATAAAAGTTTACACTTAGTGTACACATTTTATTTTCTTTCCTTTCGCATCCGTCAACAAAAGAACATGAAGAAAATTTTCTATATGCTCATTGTTAAAACGTATTAAACTATTCAATGTTAAATGATATTCTGGCTTATATTTTAAAAAATTGATAAATATCAACAGTAGGCCTAAACAAGATTATTTAATTTTTAAACAAAATGATTTTTATTTTATGACAGGGGAGGTAATTTAAAGAGAAATAGCTTTTATATTTATACAAACTTTTTTGCCACTTAACTTTTTTTTTTACTTCTTTGCCTAAACGTATTGGTTATTATGTTAAGGACCTTAATTAAAATAGATTAAAGGTTAAGATTATTTATATTATGTTACGCTTAGCCGCCGGCACACATTTTGATGGTAGTTATAAGTACTATCTTAAAGATTAATTCGTATTTGGTTTAGTTTTTTTTGTTCTGACGATTTTGTAGTTAATAACTTAAGGGATTGTTTGATTAAATTTAAGTTTATAAATGCAAAATAATCAATTTAAAAAAAATGTTTATTGTTTACATAGCGAAGATATTTAAAAAGAAAACAAACTATAGGCCTATTTACCTTCAATTTTTTTATCCCGCCGTATTCAATAATGTTACGTTAAATAATTTAATTCGGTGAAAGGTTAAGACTACGTTCTATTCAGTGGCATATGCAAGGGGGGGGGGGGGGGGGGGTAGGGGGGTTTAACCCCCCCCCCCCCAGCCCATGGACCCCTCTGTAAAACATTTTTTACTGTCATAATACCAATAATACATCTGTTACTTATTTAAATCTATTTCTGAATCAGTATGTTCACTCTGAGTTGGTTATCCCCCCCACCCCACCTCACCACCACAATTGTGTAGATAATTCACCTAAAGTGGCTGGACAGTGGTGAATGAAGTTGAACCCCCCCCCCCCAACCCACCCCGAACTGAGGTGTTAAAAACATTTGGGAAAACGCGTAATGAGGTAACAAGTACCATGCCGCCAGAATCTTAGCTTTTGAAACAGGTAAAACTCTGTAAATATTGTTTTTGCAATTAACAGTAAAGAGGTGTGTGATCAATACAGTGATCTAACCCATACCATATCATTATGTTAAAAAATGATCTTTAAAGAACACACAAAACAGTAGCCAATTATAAAATGAGTGATCGGAACTGCAAGACCAATAATTTAGTTTTATGTAAGCTATTATTCAAAACGTTCGACATACTAGATTTCGTTTTTTTTGTAAGATAGAAAAGTTTGATTGTATACCAACTCTGATTTTAAAAAACCTTTTATTATGCTGTAATATTTTAGCATTTATGATAACAATATATTTAATTCTGATTGTAGACAACATATTTTTTGTAAAAAATAATAGTGTGTGTGTGTGTTAAATGAAAAACAATAAGTAAACAAATGCTGTTGAAATTTACCAAAAGAATTTATAATGCTTAACGTTTGGATTAGATGGCTCTCTCAGTATTATCTAAGCGACTGAAGCTTGGATTTCCTCATAAACATGTGGGGGGGGGGGGGGGAGGAACTAGGCCTATTCCATCAGGAAACGAAATATATATATATATATATATATATATATATATATATATATATATATATATATATATATATATATATATATATATATATATATATATATATATATATATATATATATATATATACTAGCCGTCCCGCCCAGGCCCTGCACTGGCCTCTGTGAAAACCTATCTGTAAAGGTCAAATGACCATGACATGTGTGTTTAGTAATCAGCATATACCCGACATTGCCAACCCTAACCATAAACAACCCAAACCAAAAGACAAAAAAGCAAACATAACACAAACGGAAACACAAATACAAACAAAAACACAAACATTAACGCAAACCCAACCACAAACGCAAACACAAATACAAAGAAAAAAGCAAACGAAAACAAACTAAATGCAAACGCAAACCCAACCACAAACGCAAATCATACCAAGACAAAGAAAACTCAAACATAAACACAAAGTGCTCACAGTCTAGCCCGGGGCGCCAAATCGCACCATGCTGGGGCGCCGGCAGAACAGCTTGATTCAACTTAATATACGACTATAGTACCCCAACTTATTCATAGTCTTTCGCACTCACTTAAACGAACGTAGGTGCCTTAATGAACACGGGAAGGCCCGGGGTGCCAAATAGCACCCTGTCAGGGTGCCGGAGGACGCCCGAATTCGATTCACTTAAAGACTATAGTAACATTTAGTATCCATAGTCTATCGCACTGTTTAAAACGAAATTATGCACCATAGCGCTCGCATGATAGCTCAGGGCGCCAAATCGAACCGTGCCGTGGCGCCGGTGGACGCGCCTGTTTCAATTTAGTGAATAATTATAATACCCCAAACTTAACCGCAAACGGAAAGAAGTAAACATAGAGGACATGTAGGATCTGGCTTCTTAACTGTTATTGAAAACAAAATACTAAACAGTACGTTCAGGGTATAAAATAAATAAAAGGCAGTATTTAAAATACCTACCACATTGCACTTGATCAATTCCCGCTAATTATGTAGGTATTTTCTTTCCAACACCAAAACAAAATAATAAAAAGTACCCCCCCCCCCCCCATGTAATGTTTTTTATAAAAGGGAGTAATTGTGTTTTCCTAATAATATTTAATCATTTATTTTCAACATTACAAGGTCAAAGCTTGTTATTAAAACGCTTTTTACAAGCTTTTATTTAACTCACTTCCTCTGTCTGTCGTAAGTCGTCAGTCGTCAGTCTAGACGGAAACGCAGGAGTGAAAATTCGGACAGTTCTACTTGACCGACACGATTCACAGTTGGCACGTGGGTCAAGACATGAAGACAATGCAATCTGAAACTAAATTTGACTTAATTGGATGCCTAATTGATTTTTTATGAATTAATTAAAATTTGGACCGAATTAGTAGGCATGTCTAGCCAACCACACCACGCGCGTCATCAATAGCTGCGCCATCACGACCACGTAATGGCTGCGTTCAAAAACCATTGCGCGCCTACTGAACGTGATATTCAGTAGGCGCGCAATGGTTTTTAGTCATGTAACTCTATTGTAGATAAAACATGTAAAGTACTGAAAAAAAAATTCATAAAAAACGTTTTAATAACAAGCTTTTATGTAATGATGCACTAAAAAGTAGAAAATAAATTATAGACTACTATTTAAATAACTATAAAGAAAAGCGTGGGTGTCTTCCTTAACATTAGTAAAGGTATCCAATAGATACTAAAGTGACCCACGCTTTTCTTTATAGTTATTTAAATAGTAGTCTATAATTTATTTTCTACTTTTTAGTGCATCATTACATAAAAGCTTGTTATTAAAACGTTTTTTATGAATTTTTTTATTACAAGCTTTTATTTAACTCACTTCCTCGTCATTCTGTCTGTCGTCAGTCTAGATAGAAACGCAGGAGTGAAAATTCGGACAGTTCTACTTGACCAATACGATTCACAGTTGGCACGTGGGTCAAGACATGAAGACAATGCAATCTGAAACTAAATTTGACTTAATTGGATGCCTAATTAATTTTTTATGAATTAATTAAAATTTGGACCGAATTAGTAGGCATGTCTAGCCAACCACACCACACGCGTCATCAATAGCTGCGCCATCACGACCACGTAATGGCTGCGTTCAAAAACCATTGCGCGCCTACTGAACGTGATATTCAGTAGGCGCGCAATGGTTTTTAGTCATGTAACTCTATTGTAGATAAAACATGTAAAGTACTGAAAAAAAATTCATAAAAAACGTTTTAATAACAAGCTTTTATGTAATGATGCACTAAAAAGTAGAAAATAAATTATAGACTACTATTTAAATAACTATAAAGAAAAGCGTGGGTGTCTTCCTTAACATTAGTAAAGGTATCCAATAGATACTAAAGTGACCCACGCTTTTCTTTATAGTTATTTAAATAGTAGTCTATAATTTATTTTCTACTTTTTAGTGCATCATTACATAAAAGCTTGTTATTAAAACGTTTTTTATGAATTTTTTTTAAGCATTATATGCATGAAATAAATTTGTTATAATGTTGTGAATAATAAACGTATTCACTGTGTATTTGTTATGCATCAGATGAAGTGTGAGGAGCAGGAGGTTGTTGTAATTGGTGCTGGGGTGTCGGGACTGGTGGCGGCCAAGTGTCTGAGAGATGACGGCTTCAAGGTGACGATCCTCGAAAGAACATCCGACATTGGTGGACTCTGGACCTTCCGTGAAAATGATTACGGGGTTATGAGATGCACACACATGTAAGTAATGTGATGCGCGAGTATGTGAGTAATGAGATACATGGTAATATAAAGTAATACATAATAATATAAAGATTCTACTATTTCAAGTAAATATTACATTACCTCACAAGTAGTTACAAGCGACTTGCCGCGTAGTACAGTCTACATTATTTTGTTGATCAGTACAAAAAAATGAACTTGTAGTATAAAGCACCAGCTGACCGGAAGTACACACACAACTTTCGTAAAAAAAAACCTATTCGTTACGGACCTCTACATTCAAATCACTGAAAACATTAAAATAAAAGTAACATTAAAATACAATGTACAAATCATTCACCCACTCTCATTCACGCCTCATTAAACTTAGTCTCTGCTAGTAATTCTTTTTTTTAAAAATTAAACATAACATAAATGTAGAAAGTAAGGTAGAAAGACAGGTTGGCAGGATGTAAGAGGGTCAGACAGACAGAAAAAAAGAAAGAAAGAAAGAAAGAAAGAAAGAAAGAAAGAAAGAAAGAAAGAAAGAAAGAAAGAAAGAAAGAAAGAAAGAAAAAGAAAGAAAGAAGGACACTTTTTAACATGTGTATAACTTTACAGAGATAATAATTAAAGCTTTTTCAAATCACATAACAATAACATGGTGCGTCACGAATTGCATTTTTTCACAGAAATGTAAGCAAATACAACTACGCGTTCTCTGACTTTCCGTTTCCGGAAAATGTGCCAGATTATCCACATCATTCCGACATGGCACGGTACATCAAAGATTACGCCAAACACTTTGGACTTATGGAAGCTATACACTTTAATGTCAGTGTCAACAGCGTGGAACAAACAGGTCTATTAGAATTATATTTTTTTACGGATTGCTCCCATGTTTTAAAACACAATTTAAACTCCGCCACATAGCGTTATATATTTCAATAGACCACTGTCCCCACAAATTCAATAGTATTCCTGCACCCCCCTCCCTTTGTGATGTGTGACTAGCGGAGGGATGGGCGAGGTTCAAAAATAGTGACGACACATTTTTGCATAGAAAAAGTAAAACAAATGTTAAAAACTTAATCTTAGCCGTTGTTTCGTGTTTTTAAACGGCTACTTAGTAAATTGTTATTGATTTTAGAAATTGATTGATATAAGCATACTCATTGTTGATATGGTCAGAAAATATTTGAGAAAGAAATCAATGTTTAAAAAACAGCTCTATTGAGGGAAGAGGGGGGGGGTATAATCTAAGGTTTGGGGTCTGGCTTTTTGAGGATGTGTGACGATGGAGAATGGGGAGGTTAAATCGTTTTAAAAGCGTTACGTTATTTATGGATCTCCGCTTCATATGTACAACCCCTTAGAATAAGTAGATTAGAAGTGACTCCTAAGCAAGCCTACAAATATAAAAGAATCATTAGTTAAATGAATTTCATTTTTATTGAATTTTATTTTGCAATTAACATCGGACACCTTTCACTCTTGCAGATGGAAAATGGAGAATCAACGCTTCCAGAAAAACTGAAGATGGTTCTGGTGGATCTGAGGAGAGAACTTATGTTTGTTCTTACCTCGCTGTCAGCACTGGTCATCATGCCAAACCAAGCTGGCCAAAGTTTGAGGGGGAGGAGACATTTGAAGGTGAACACCTTCTGAACAATCATTGCCTTGTGCAGGGAATTATGTTGTGCTGCTATTACGACAATTGGTGTAGCATAAGATCTCCAAGATACATAAAGATAACATAATTTAAGAAAATCTTTTACTGTGTACCGGCAAGAAAAATTTTCAGTGCGTGTTCTGGTATTCCTATTTGACTTGGTTTACCTTCAGTGGGTGTTCTGGTATTCCTATTTGACTTGGTTTACTTTCAGTGCGTGTTCTGGTATTCCTATTTGACTTGGTTTACCTTCAGTGCGTGTTCTGGTATTCCTATTTGACTTGGTTTACCTTCAGTGGGTGTTCTGGTATTCCTATTTGACTTGGTTTACCTTCAGTGCGTGTTCTGTTATTCTTATTTAACTTGTTTACTTTTAGTGCGTGTTCTGGTATTCCTATTTGACTTGGTTTACCTTCAGTGCGTGTTCTCGTATTCCTATTTGACTTGGTTTACCTGATTCCTCGTATGACGTGTGGTGCCCCATATTCTATTCCCCACCTGCAGATACAATTCACATAGGTGATGCTTAGTTAAACCTGCTGATACAATTCACATAGGTGATGCTTAGTTAAACCTGCAGATACTATTCACATAGGTGATGATTAGTTAAACCTGCTGATACAATTCACATAGGTGATGCTTAGTTAAACCTGCAGATACAATTCACATGTGTGATGCTTAGTTAAACCTGCTGATACAGTTCACATGTAGACAAATTTACCCAGAAAACAATGATTGGTCGCGACACCCCCATCCAGTGGCAACATTCACCTACTTACCTTTAATGTTATTTATACAGTAACCGACCCTCATAATACATATCGTTTCTATGACGCCACACCCCCATTAGTACCACGAAATAGACATAATTTGACACTACAAAGATGGAAATAACATCATTTTAGAATATGCTTCAACCACGTGTGAGATCTTCATTAATACAATAGCAAAACTCAGTGGCGTAGCGAGGTCGGGTGTCACCCGGTGCGGCACTTAATGGTGTCACCCCCCAGAGGCGTAGCGACCCTTCCCGGCGCCCAACTTTCAATTTTCGATTTGCACCCCCCCGTCAAACTTTCGACTTGCACTCCCCTCCCTCCACCCTTGTCAAGGATTTGTCAAATTTGCTCTTAAAAGACTTTTTAACACTCCACTAAATCAGTTAATTTAGTGGAATTATCATTTTTCTCTATATATTTTGCTATTTTTTGCCTTGGTGTCACCCCCCCCCCCCTAAATGGTGTCACCCGGTGCGGTCCGCACCCCCCCCCCCCCCGCTACGCCACGGGCAAAACTTTACAATGTTTAAATCAGTGGTGTCAATAGATGCCATTGCAGCTAGACACAACGATCTACTCCATAGATACAGTGTTTCTTCCAGACTTTTTTCTCCGGAAGGGGGGGCACTTAAAATTTTCGGAAGGGGGTACTTCCCCCCCCCCCCCCACCCGATGCCTGGAAGAAACTCTGAATACAAATATAAGTCACCCCCATTTACTTTGCGTTATATAAAATATGTACCTCCCTGAATCATAATTTACTTATACTGATAAAATGAAAATAGCCTGTTCTAAAAAATAATTCACAGGTAAAATTGCCCATGCCGTGGATTACAAAGACCCCATGACCAACGATTGTGCTGAAAAGCGTGTGCTTGTGGTCGGGATAGGCAATTCAGCAGTTGATGTTGCCGTCGATTGCACCACTGTTGGAAGGTACAGCCAATCTGTAGACATTTTAAAAACAATATCTTTTTGCTTAATCTGGACCTATATTGTTTGCTTTATTTAAGGTGTATATGAGTTAATTACATAGGCTTTTTGACTAAATAGGGTTTTTAAATAGTTTTTGTATTTTCATAATGTCTAGTTTTTAGAAGCTTTTACTTAAGTCACAGAATTCTGTAGGTCTCCATGTCTGTCTATATCTCTATCTCTATGCAAATTTGTTTTATTTTTAAATGCCGGAAATCAGATTAAAATTATGTTTTTTTTCTTTATTATTCTAATTATAGATTTGAAATGCCTCGTGGCCCAAGTCGGAGCAAGGGGGGGGGGGGGGGGGGGCAGGGGGCAGACCTAAAATTTCCGGGGGAGGGGGCGGACACTGTTAAAATTATATATTTTCTATATCAATCCCATTTCGTTCTGTCTGTTTATAACTCTGTCTCTCTGTCTGTGTCTTTCTGTCAGTCGGTCTGATATTTGTCGTTTAGAGTTATATCGCATTTTTAATGTCGTGTTTCCCCTTTTTACCTTTACCAAAGCATAATGTTTAGTTCTGTTTGAATAACTTATAGATTTTGGTTCAGTTTTAATAACATATTCCGACAAAACTGATATATTTCAGTTCAGTTTTAATAACATATTCCGACAAAACTGATATATTTTAGTTCAGTTTTAATAGCATATTCCGACAAAACTGATATATTTCAGTTCAGTTTTAATAGCATATTCCGACAAAACTGATATTTTATATTAGTTCAGTTTTAATAACATATTCCGACAAAACTAATATATATTAGTTCAGTTTTAATAAGATATTCCGACAAAACTGATATATTTTAGTTCAGTTTTAATAACATATTCCGATAAAACTGATATATTTTAGTTCAGTTTTAATAACATATTCCGACAAAACTGATATATTTTAGTTCAGTTTTAATAGCATATTCCGACAAAACTGATATATTTCAGTTCAGTTTTAATAACATATTCCGACAAAACTGATATATTTTAGTTCAGTTTTAATAGCATATTCCGACAAAACTGATATATTTCAGTTCAGTTTTAATAACATATTCCGACAAAACTGATATATTTTAGTTCAGTTTTAATAACATATTCCGACAAAACTGATATATTTCAGTTCAGTTTTAATAACATATTCCGACAAAACTGATATATTTCAGTTCAGTTTTAAAAGCATATTCCGACAAAACTGATATATTTCAGTTCAGTTTTAAAAGCATATTCCGACAAAACTGATATATTTTAGTTCAGTTTTAATAGCATATTCCGACAAAACTGATATATATTAGTTCAGTTTTAATAACATATTCCGACAAAACTAATATATATTAGTTCAGTTTTAATAAGATATTCCGACAAAACTGATATATTTTAGTTCAGTTTTAATAACATATTCCGATAAAACTGATATATTTTAGTTCAGTTTTAATAACATATTCCAACAAAACTGATATATTTTAGTTCAGTTTTAATAACATATTCCGACAAAACTGATATATTGTATATATTGTACTTCAGTTTTATAGGCCATAAAAGACTAAAAATATGATAACCATGCGCTGCCTCAGTGGCGTCGCTATGGGGTCATTCATAAATGACGTCACACTCTTTTGACGATTTTTACCTCCCTCCGTCACACATCGTCACAAAAAGCCTGACTCCCCCCCCTAAAATGACGTCACACCTCTCAGCCTACAACCCCCCCCCCTCAAAATTGCAGTTGAATTTTTCTTAAAACATTGATATTTTTCCAAAATCTTGTCTGAACTCTCTCGAAATAGAGTATTTTAATCAATTCCTATTACAATTTATGAAAACAGTTTTCTAAATTGCGAAATAACGGCTAAAATTCGTTTTCTAAAATTGCCTTTCTATGATGCAAAATTGTGACGTCCCACCATCTAAACCCCCTCTCCCCCTCATCACACACCGTCAAAAATTTACGAGTGTGACGTCAATTATGGACGACCCCTATGTCGGATGTCACTCGGTGCGGCACTTCGTGGCGTCACCTCCCCCCCCCCCCCCCAAGCAACAAAGAAAATATGTATATATATATACTAGCTGCATCCCGTGCTCCGCCACGGTAAATCTTTTTTAAATGTACCAACAGAACAAAACTAAACACAACACAAACGAACGCAAAAAAAAAAAAAAAAAAAAAAAAAAAAAAAACGAACAAACAAACACAACACTCATAACATAAACACAATTTAAATGCAATCATAAAGGCATATTGCTCACAGTCTAGCCCGTAGCGCCAAATCGCGCCCTTTCCGGTGATTTGCACCCCCCTCAAACTTTCGATTTCCACCCCCCCCTCGCAAATTTTTTCCAACCCACTTTGGCGCCCCCTAAGGTCGGCCCCCGGGGACATATGCCCCCCCCCCCCTAGCTACGCCTCTCCTATAAAACCTTTAGCTTGTCCGCAAACCGAAAGATAGAATAATGATTAGTAAACAGTATAAATAATAGGCAGTATTTAAAATATCCGTGTTTTACCTACAATATTTCACTTTATCCATTCACGCATTTTTTTTCCAGTAGGCCTACTTTAAATTTTAAAAACTTACAATAGAGTTTCATAACTAAAACCATTGCGCACCTAATGAACGTGATGACGCGTCTATAATAGTGCTGAATAGTTGATTAAAAATTATAAGTAATAAACAGTAGGGCCTACATTCAATGAATAAAATAAATAAAAGGTTGCCTTCTATCAATCCATGCTAATTATAATTTTCTAACAATAATTTACTCTTACACATCCGAATAATTTGCATTCACATTTTGCTAATTATATTATGACGACCGTATATTTGCATTCACATTTTTTATTAGCGTGAGTTTAATGTATTTTTAAATTACCTCTTTTGTCAAAATTATAAAAAAGAGTTATATTAATTTGATTTTTCTACCGTACTGTTATTATGTTATTAAAATGTATCCACTTTTTCAAGGAATATTAACGAAAACTATATTTGACATTGATCCTTTTAATATGTTTTAGCAATGTGCGTGTATTTAATATTCTCTTTACGTTATGCAAAATTGTACAAACAGTGGAAATTATAAAATAGCTCTATGCCACTATATAAACAAACCCTACTCTAATACTTATAATAAGACACTGCGGTGCACTGAAAAGCACTGCGTGGTGCGAGTGTTTACTTTTATGGTTCTAAAAGCTATAGCGATGACGGAAGGAAGGACTGACACACTACTTGCCCGATTATATTATAGATATATATATATATATATATATATATATATATATATATATATATATATATATATATATATATATATATATATATATATATATATATATATATATATATATATATATATATATATAAATATATATATATATATATATATATATATATATATATATATATATATATATATATATATATATATATATATATATATATATATATATAATATATGTATATATATGTGTATATATATATATATGTATATATATATGTATATATATATGTATGTATATGTATATATATATATATATATATATATATATATATATATATATATATATATATATATATATATATATATATATATGCCACATACGCGTACATTGTGTAAAAACTTTAATCACTGCAGACTTAACAGTAACGATGTTTATCTTAAATCTGTTATTTATACAGTTAGATGTAGCATTGTTTTCTTTAAAGTTAGCGCGTTTACGTCATGGTATCACCCCACCCCCTTGTAATAATTGACGATTTGTACTTAAAAGACTATTTAACTTTAATAAATCATGAATGGAACTGGCAATGAAGCATTTTACTTCTGTACATTTTGCAATTTTTTGCCTTGGTGTCACCCCTCGCCCCGCCCTCGCTACGTCCCTGCGTTGCTTTAAGAGACCAAAGTATGTAAAGTTGGAACGAAATAGCTGCTTATGAAGAGGGTTAAAATCAAGCAACACGATTGGACACAAACCCACAATAAAACAGCCATTGTGAACTAAATAAAAGCTAACAAAAATTATTTAGGAAATTACCAATATAAGTTAGAACCCGTCAATCAATATAATAAATACAAGAAAAAATGAGACTTTTTATAGTAGCCTACAGTACTAATGAAACTATACGACACATTATGTATCAAGTTAAATTCTTTGATGTGGACAGTGACTTATCCAAGAAGGTATTACGGCGAGGGGACAGTTGTCCAACGTTAAGTTACAGCTATAGACGATGTTTTTTTAAAATCTTTCTATTTATAAATGTTGGCCCCCCACCCCCACATACAAAATCTTGTCTACTGGGCAATAATTTCTTCCCAGGTGTCCAAGTGTTACAATCAGCACACGATCCGGTGCATGGGTCATCCCAAACTACATTTTCGGCTTACAAACTGACTTGTACGCCTGCCGATTTTTCTTCCTATTTCCGAGGTGGTTAGCCAACAACATAATGGCCATGATCATCACTCTCATGACTGGAAGCCCGTGGAAGTAAGATATTACTTTCCTAAGTTTCGCTTTTATTTATTTTAGCAGCGAAACTAAACAGACCAACAACACACACTTGATCTTCCAGTCACTAAATATATTGTCAATACATGTCCGGTTCCCTACATATCCAGTCCCTACATGTCCGGTTCCCTACATATCCAGTCCCCACTTGTCCTGTTCCCTACATATCCAGTCCCTACATGTCCGGTTCCCTACACATCGTTCCCACATGTCCATTCCCCACATGTCCAGACCATGGTGTCCAGTTCCCTGTGTTTAAATTTTCCTACATGTCCAGTCCCCACATGTCCAGCCCATCATGTCCAGTTCCAATATGTCCAACCCATGTTGTCCAGTCCCTAGATGTCCAGTTCCCCTCACGCTGAGTCTCAACATGTCCAGTCCCCACATGTCCAGCCCATGATGTCCAGTTCCCCACATGTCCAGTCCCCACATGTCCAGTCCCCACATGTCCAGCCCATGATGTCCAGTTCCCCACATGTCCAGTCCCCACATGTCCAGTCCCCACATGTCCAGTCCCCATATGTCCAGCCCATCATGTACAGTCCCCACATGTCCAGCCCATGATGTCCAGTCTCCTACATGTCCAGATCCCATGTCCAGTCCCCACATGTCCAGTCCCCACATGTCCAGTCCCCACATGTCCAGTCCCCACATGTCCAGTCCCTACATGTCCAGTCCCCACATGTCCAGTCCCCATATGTCCAGCCCTCACATGTCCAGTTCCCCACATGTCCAGTCCCTACATGTCCAGTCCCCACATGTCCAGTCCCCATATGTCCAGCCCATCATGTACAGTCCCCACATGTCCAGCCCATGATGTCCAGTCTCCTACATGTCCAGATCCCATGTCCAGTCCCCACATGTCCAGTTCCCACATGTCCAGTCCCCACATGTCCAGTCCCCATATGTCCAGCCCATCATGTACAGTCCCCACATGTCCAGCCCATGATGTCCAGTCTCCTACATGTCCAGATCCCATGTCCAGTCCCCACATGTCCAGTCCCTACATGTCCAGTCCCCACATGTCCAGTCCCCATATGTCCAGCCCATCATGTACAGTCCCCACATGTCCAGCCCATGATGTCCAGTCTCCTACATGTCCAGTCCCCTACATGTCCAGTTCCCTACATGTCCAGTCTCCTACATGTCCAGTTCCCCACATGTCCAGTTCCCACATGTCCAGTTCCCCACATGTCCAGTCCCTACATGTCCAGTCCCCACATATCCAGTCCCCATATGTCCAGTCCCCATATGTCCAGTCCCCACATGTCCAGTCTCCTACATGTCCAGCCCTCACATGTCCAGTCCCCACATGTCCAGTTCCCTACATGTCCAGTTCCCCACATGTCCAGTCTCCTACATGTCCAGTCTCCTACATGTCCAGTCTCCTACATATCCAGTTCCCTACATGTCCAGTTCCCTACATGTCCAGTCTCCTACATATCCAGTTCCCTACATGTCCAGTCTCCTACATGTCCAGTCTCCTACATGTCCAGTCTCCTACATGTCCAGTTCCCTACATATCCAGTTCCCTACATGTCCAGTCTCCTACATGTCCAGTCTCCTACATATCCAGTTCCCTACATGTCCAGTCTCCTACATGTCCAGTCTCCTACATGTCCAGTTCCCCACATGTCCAGTCTCCTACATGTCCTGTCCCCACATGTCCAGTCTCCTACATGTCCAGTTCCCCACATGTCCAGTCTCCTACATTTCCGGTCCCCACATGTCCAGTCTCCTACATGTCCAGTTCCGCACATGTCCGGTCCCCACATGTCCAGTCTCCTACATGTCCAGTCTCCTACATGTCCAGTCTCCTACATGTCCAGTCTCCTACATGTCCAGTCTCCTACATGTCCAGTCTCCTACATGTCCAGTCTCCTACATGTCCTGTCCCCACATGTCCAGTCTCCTACATGTCCAGTTCCCCACATGTCCAGTCTCCTACATTTCCGGTCCCCACATGTCCAGTCTCCTACATGTCCAGTTCCCCACATGTCCAGTCTCCTACATTTCCGGTCCCCACATGTCCAGTCTCCTACATGTCCAGTCTCCTACATGTCCAGTCTCCTACATGTCCAGTCTCCTACATGTCCAGTCTCCTACATGTCCAGTCTCCTACATGTCCAGTCTCCTACATTCGGTCCCCACATGTCCAGTCTCCTACATGTCCAGTCTCCTACATGTCCAGTCTCCTACATGTCCAGTCTCCTACATGTCCAGTCTCCTACATGTCCAGTTCCCCACATGTCCAGTCTCCTACATTTCCGGTCCCCACATGTCCAGTCTCCTACATGTCCAGTTCCGCACATGTCCGGTCCCCACATGTCCAGTCTCCTACATGTCCAGTCTCCTACATGTCCAGTCTCCTACATGTCCAGTCTCCTACATGTCCAGTCTCCTACATGTCCAGTCTCCTACATGTCCAGTCTCCTACATTTCCGGTCCCCACATGTCCAGTCTCCTACATGTCCAGTTCCCCACATGTCCAGTCTCCTACATTCGGTCCCCACATGTCCAGTCTCCTACATGTCCGGTCCCCTACATGTCCAGTCTCCTACATTCCGGTCCCCACATGTCCAGTCTCCTACATGTCCAGTCTCCTACATTTCCGGTCCCCACATGTCCAGTCTCCTACATGTCCAGTCTCCTACATGTCCAGTCTCCTACATTTCCGGTCCCCACATGTCCAGTCTCCTACATGTCCAGTCTCCTACATTTCCGGTCCCCACATGTCCAGTCTCCTACATGTCCAGTTCCCCACATGTCCAGTCTCCTACATTTCCGGTCCCCACATGTCCAGTCTCCTACATGTCCAGTCTCCTACATGTCCAGTCTCCTACATTTCCGGTCCCCACATGTCCAGTTCCCCACATGTCCAGTCTCCTACATGTCCAGTTCCCCACATGTCCAGTTCCCCACATGTCCAGTCTCCTACATGTCCAGTTCCCCACATGTCCAGTCTCCTACATGTCCAGTTCCCCACATGTCCAGTCTCCTACATGTCCAGTTCCCCACATGTCCAGTTCCCCACATGTCCAGTTCCCCACATGTCCAGTCTCCTACATGTCCAGTTCCCCACATGTCCAGTCTCCTACATGTCCAGTTCCCCACATGTCCAGTCTCCTACATGTCCAGTCTCCTACATGTCCAGTTCCGCACATGTCCGGTCCCCACATGTCCAGTCTCCTACATGTCCAGTCTCCTACATGTCCAGTTTTCTACATGTCCAGTCTCCTACATGTCCAGTTCCCACATGTCCAGTTCCCTACATGTCCAGTCTCCTACATGTCCAGTCTCCTACATGTCCAGTTTTCTACATGTCCAGTCTCCTACATGTCCAGTCTCCTACATGTCCAGTCTCCTACATGTCCAGTTCCCCACATGTCCAGTCTCCTACATGTCCAGTCCCCACATGTCCAGTCTCCTACATGTCCAGTCTCCTACATGTCCAGTCTCCTACATGTCCAGTTCCCCACATGTCCAGTCTCCTACATGTCCAGTCCCCACATGTCCAGTCTCCTACATGTCCAGTCTCCTACATGTCCAGTTCCCCACATGTCCAGTCTCCTACATGTCCAGTTCCCCACATGTCCAGTCTCCTACATGTCCGGTCCCCACATGTCCAGTCTCCTACATGTCCAGTTCCCCACATGTCCAGTTCCCCACATGTCCAGTCCCCACATGTCCAGTTCCCCACATGTCCAGTCCCCACATGTCCAGTTCCCTACATGTCCAGTCTCCTACATGTCCAGTTTCCTACATGTCTAGTTTATGATGTCCAGTTACTGCATATATTTCATTCCTTTTTTTACCATGTACTTGAACTGTACACAACATAATGAGAAAATAGACATTTTAAAAGCTTCACCGTGTTCTCTGTTTCATCCTTTTTACTAACTTGTACACTGAGTATAGAGAAAATATTATGATCGTACTGAATAATGAACATATATTTTTTTTTAAAGTTTTGAGTTTTTCACCTACATACTTCATCGTATATGGATTATTCAAGATGCACAGTAATAATGCAAAATCTAAATCAAGTTTAGACAAATTATGACGTTTTGAGCCGAAAAAAAGTGTTTCAATCCTGTCCGTCTGAGTGTTTGTGTATAGCTCATGTCTTATCTAAACAAGACAACTTCAGTACCGTTTCAGCTAGGTTTACTAAACTTCATGTAAAAGGATTATATCAAATTTGTAGTTTTCATTCAAATTTAGAGCTATTTCCGGTATTCGGAAGCGGTACTCACTCTTCTTCCGGTTTATTATAAGCCTATAACTAGAGTGATATTTAAATTAGGTTGGCGAAATTTCACGGAGGCCTATGTGTATCACATGTTATACACAGGCTTCTTCCAAATTTTCAATAATTTCCGTAAATCGGAAGTGTACTTTATTTACGTGTGAACATGATAACTTAAGTATTGCTTTAGTTAGGTAGACAACATTTCTTATACATGTTTATGATTATATACTTGGATTACTTTCAATTTTTGAATGACCTGCGATAAATAGAAGTGTTAACAATTTCAGGTTTCTAAAATACCCGTAATATGAGTATTTTTTTAGTTAGGCAGACGAAATTTTATATTTTCTTGAATTTATCATATGCACAACTATAATGCACTATTATTTAAATAAATATAATAAAGAAAAGCATTTTTATTTATCTAAAGAAAATCATTTACTTTCTACTTTAAGTGCATCATTATATAAAAGATTATCATTAAAATATTTTTATTAATCATTAATCATTTTTTCTAAAACTGTATTTTATAAAGCATATTCAAAGATTGGTTTTGTCACAAACCCGATTGCACTGTAGGGACCATCAACCTTACTATTATATAAAAAAATGTACAAGAAAGTTTTTGGGAGATCACTCCAGCTTTATTCACATGAAACATTAGAATGGGGTTATTGATTGCTTTGTGATTATTTTCATTTAAACTTATAATATTTAGAAAAAAATAATGAGGTTCTTTCTTCTTTAGATGGGGCCTGAATCCTAAAATGAAACCCCTTGAAACACAGCCCACTGTCAGTCCAACACTACTCCATCACATCCAGCGTGGCAACATTAAGATCATGCCTAATATTGCAGTAGGTTGGATCTATAGTCTTAACAAAATATCCCAGACTTCGATCAATTCACTACATTTTAATCTCATGTAAAAATTATTTCCCTTCAGAAAATAATGGGTAGGTCAGTTCAGTTTGTGAACGGTGTTACTTCTGACTTCGATCGAATCATTTACTGTACAGGCTACAAGATTGATCTGCCCTACCTGCCCACTGCCATTAAGGAGCATGTGCTCAATGAAGACACAAATGAGTTTAAGGTGAGCTTAAAAGTTGTATCACTTATGACTTTAAGTTTGAAGTTAGATGGGTGTGGGGAAATTGCGAGACGCGAAAAGCGAAATGGCGAGGCGGGAAAATGCGAGAAGGGCGCGAAAACGGTCGGTCACGTGACTTTTTTGTCTCGCATTTTACCACAAGCCGATACTTACGCTGGGTGGTGTTGAAATGCGAAGATTTCTGCGAAAAATTTACCGCACCCGATTTTCAGTGGTATTTGGTCCAGACTTCAAAGACGTTTCGTTTACATTGTTAAAACTTCCGATTTTTCCGTCGCTAGACATACTGATGATTTGTCAACTCCCCCCATCTTTTGTGTCGACTTAGAATACCACCTTGTTCGAAACCGACGGAAATACCGCCGACAATAGATCAACTTCTGTCTTTTGTGTGGAACGCCGAGGCCGCCTGATTTACCGTCTTTGAAGATCGCCGTGCCCGGATCCGCTGCCGCCGCAAACATATTTTCTATTGTTGCATAGAAATTTTGTATTATAGCCGCCGCCTACGATTTTTTTCTAGCTTATTTTACCATATAAATCTAAGCACAAGGAAATGCCTACATCATTTTGATACAACTATTCTGGAGGTAAGAACTACTTACTGTGTGTTTTCTCTTCCAATGTTCCTTTACACTAATTTATATTAGATTTTATAGGCCTATCACGGTTGTGACTTTTCCGAATTTTCCCATGTTATATTATTATTTTTATTTATTAATTAATTGTAAATATATATATATATATATATATATATATATATATATATATATAAAATTTATTATTTATTATTTCCATAAATAAGTCAGAAAAAATAACATCAAATTAAGTATGCGATTACTGACCTATGTGAAGGTGAGGACTAGATTAACCCTCCCTTATGTGTTGCTTATTCCTAAGCTTTTATGAACTCTCCTGCCCCCAGTGTTTTTTCTCTTACTTACTGTTTGGGGAAAAATAAAGTGACGTCACCGATGTTATCAGTTGCTCGTGCTATATCGTAAGCTATGGGCCTACTTAAAATATTTTTAAAACCAAGTTGAACTTATCTGAATTTTTTGGTTTTGGTGGTGGTGTTATTTGGGGTCTTCCATAAATGAAGTCACACTCGTAAGGGGGGGGGGGTCAGTAATTTTATGACGATGTGTGATGAGGGGGAGGAGGGGGGTAGATGTGAAGTCACACTATAAAAAAGCAATGTTAGAAAAAAGAATTTTAGACGTTTTTTCGCGTTTTAGCAAACTGTTTTAATACATTGTAATAGGAATTGATTAAAATACTCTATTTTGACCGAAATTAGACAAGATTTTGGGAAAATATCGATGTTTTAAAAAAAACTCAACTGCAATTTTGAGAGGGGTTGTCGGCTGAGGTGTCATTTTAGTGGGGGGAGGGGGGTCTGGATTTTTGTGATGATGTGTGACGGAGGTGAGGGGGGGGGGGGTGAATCGTCAAAAAAGCGTGACATCATTTATAGATGCCCCTTTTAGCGTAAACGTCCACGCCCCGCTGAGGTTGATCCGGCTGGTGACAACAATGAGCAAGACATTGCCAAAATTACAGAAATGATAAAAAATACAAATTATAAAAAAACGGAAAACAGATGTTGAGCGTGCGGATGATGATGATGAAAACATGGGTGCCAGTGTTGTTTGTGGGATGAACGAGGAGGTCAACTGTGATGAGAATGTGAAATGTTGTGAATGTGGATTGGAAGAAGTAGCAAAAGAAAAATGTATAAATGGGAGTCTAATGAACTGGGTTGTGTGTACTATGTGTGAAAGATGGTGTCACGAGGTGTGTTTGAGGACTGTCTCAGAAGATTTTGTTTGTAAATTTTGTTTGTAATTAAAATTACTTAATAAAAAAATAAATTGCACTTTTTAGAATTGTTTATACCTTTACACTTTTTGCAAGTACAAAAATCCATAAATAGATGACAAGATTATACCAATTCACAATGACACAGCTCACGTTTGTATAAACATGAGCGGGCTAGATTTTTAAATTAATGCCGACTGAGACGGATTTTCCTCTCGCTAACAAGAGCGGGCGATGGCAGTAGCACAGCAACGATGTTAGGATTTTTAAATAGATAGATCTAGATATAGATCTATCTATCTTCTTAGTATCTAGATAAAAAATAATAACATACAACACTCGTGTTAAAGGGTATGGCTAAATGCTTGTTTATTTTAAAACAAAAAAAAATAATTTAAATAAATAAAGATGGAAAAAAAGAAAAAACTTTTTTCGCAAAAAGTGTCTCGCTATTTACCCTTAATTCCGCAGGTATGTCTCGCATTACCTTCTCGCATTTTCCCGCCTCGCCATTTCGCTTTTCGCGTCTCGCAATTTCCCCACACCCAAGTTAGATAGCTCATACCACTTCATGCTCCTAGTCAGTAGCGTGCAGACTTATGTAGATGCCCTGGGTCAAATCAAGGGGAAGATACCCCCATACATACATTATATATATATTATATATATATATATATATATATATATATATATATATATATATATATATATATATATATATATATATATATATATATATATATATATATATATATATATATATAAAGCTTAGTTACATAAAAAACACAAATAAGTTGTGTTGAAAGTTAATACACATAGAAAAGCATTTTTTTTTAAAAATTTACTTATCTTAATCAATATGAAAACGTTGATTACTGCTAAATCCAAAGGAATGAATGGGGAGAACTTCGGGGCGGGGAGACAATTAGGGGACATGTCGTGGGGGAGGGGCTGTGATGCACTACAAAAGAGTCTCATCTTTGAACCTTGAATACAACAGAAGTGAATATTGGTTGGCTAAAGCTGCCAGCCCTACCACACCGTAATGCTTTAAAAAAAACACTTCTACATCGGACTGTGACTAAAAATCCACTGTGCTATGTCAGACCCTCTCTACAACTTGGACGTGTTTTCCAAAATTTAACACCCACGTAACGCCTGTCCAGTTCAGGTGGGGGGGGGGGGGGGGAATCCATAAACGGTTTCCATGGCCTAAAAACCCCCACCACATCCCCCACATTTCATTACATCAATAAGGGCACACTAATCCTATAGATAGCTCTAATATTAACTGGAATAAAACTGGCTCTGTATAATAAATTCTAAAGGATGCCCCTACAATTTAACAAAAAATAAGTATGGGCGTTATTACACTATAAGTGGCCAAATATGCCCCAAAAATTTATAATAATAATATTGACATAATTACCCTCTGTATGACCTTAAAATGTATCATATTTAACATGTACATAAAAGCTTTAGAGTTGCCTCCAATGTTAACGATGTTTGGTGTAATTACTGTTGCATGCCCTTCGAATGTATTACATGAATATAAGGATGATTACTTTCTAGATGCTCCTACTATATTTAAATTGAGATGGGCATACTTACTGTATGGATACCTTGAAAATGTATTATAAAGTGAAGTAGGCATATTACTAGATGCTCTTAAAATATATTATAATGAATATACAACAAATATTTAAAGATGCCCTTACAGTGTAAAAAAATAAATATGGATATAATTACTCGACGGATGTCCTTGAAAATTAGTATAACGAATGCGTGCATGTTACTTTAAAGATGCCCCGACAGTGCATTGAAATAATTTGGTCACAAGTACTCTAAAAGATGCCCCTACACTATACTAAATAAATATCACACACATTTATTAAGGGAATATGATGACTACCATAGGACTACCCTACACTGATGCCTTTTTCTATATAGGTTTTGCCATACGGACAGTGTAATGTCAAAACGAGTGGCAGACGATTGAGTGTTACAATTTGTTTTGGGTGAGATCGGCAAACATATGAAAAGTTACGATGACACCATGACACAACATATAGGAATTTTTTTTTATTACAAAAAAAAATTCCGCCTCCCCCCCAGTAGTGGATGCCCGGGGCCTGCCCCCTCCCCCCCCCCCCCCGCCTGCACGCCACTGCTCCACACGCTTCATTGACCCTCCCCGCTTTAATCAATTAAAGAAGTAAAAAAACGTTAAGGATGTTTCCAGGCGGTTTCCATAAAATGTGACAATGCCAATGTGACTATTCTACATATCTAAAGTGACAATACCAGCGATACAATGTGACAATATCATCTATAGAATGTGACGATGCCACCAATAGAACGCGAAAATGCCACCTATACGATGTGGTAATGCCACCCATAAAACGTGACAATGCCACCCATAGAACGTGACAATGCCACCTATACATTGTAACAATGCCAGCCATACTGATGTTTGATTTAACTGCAGAGTTTCCCATGTACTTTCAGTTGTACAAAAATATGTTTACACAAGAGTTTGGGCACAAGCTGGCCTTCATAGGTTTTGTGCAGCCTGCGTCTGGCGGAATTATAACCATGTCAGAGACCCAAGCTCGATGGTTCTCAAAGCTGTGTAAGGGGGTTGTCAAACTGCCCAGTAAACAAGAGATGGTAGCAGACATGGAGAAGGAAAAGGTAGGTACAACTGAGTGTAAGTAGTTACTGGTAACATGGCACATCTTGGGACATATTGATTGAACAACCACACGACCCAAGTTAAGCCATAAAGTATATGTTGACAACAAAAGACAAGTAAAACCATAGAGTGGCATTGAGTTGGGGAGTAGGGGACTTTTTAAAATGTCTCTTTATAAGTTGAAGTTTCAGCAATAAAGGCTATAAAGTACAATGCAACATGGTACAGGCTAGAACAAATACAAGTCACACATCATTTTTTATGTGAACTACCTTGTTTCTAAATCTAGTCAAGCACATCAAAATGTTTATCAAACTTGTCATAGTCTGATATCTAGTTTGTCCTTCCCATATCTTAGCTTCACCTCTTAGTTATCGTGCTTTAAATTAACTCATTGTGTTTTAACCTTTCACATCCTGATAATATAAAGAAAGAAAGCCAAAGTCGGTGGTATCAGTCTGCCAGACATACCTTGCAAAAAGATCCAACAGTTTACAATGATGAAATTGCTAGTTTCATAGGTGCCAAGCCAAGTCCTCTGATGAATCCATCTTTGGCATGGAGGTAAGTTTTTTTAAATTGCTAGTTTCATAGGTGCCAAGCCAAGTCCTCTGATAAATCCATCGTTGGCATGGAGGTAAGTTTAAAAAAAAATATTAGATGCGTGTTTGCTCCCCATAAAGTTGATAAAGCCAACGTTTAGCAGTATATCCCTCTTAGTTAATGAGTTGTAAATACAAAATGTATGGAGTAAATTGTTATCTTAGATGATAGACTTGGGAATGACTATAATTGCGGATAGCAAAAATGAATACATTTTGAGACTCATTAGTTTAAAAAAAATGAAATAATGGCAGATGAATTATCATTAGACCAATACAGACGAAAATGTTATCACAGGTTAATATTCAGTTCCGGTGGTGCCTCACAGTGGCGACTAAATGGACCAAACAAATGGGAGGGGGCTGCAGCCCAGGTTTGTACCTTAAGGATTCTTTTCTAATTGATGGTATAAACTTCCTCTTCTAATCTATGGTACAAACTTCCTCTTCTAATTGATGGTATAAACTTCCTCTTCTAATCTATGGTACAAACTTCCTCTTCTAATCTATGGTACAAACTTCCTCTTCTAATTGATGATATAAACTTCCTCTTCTAATCTATGGTACAAACTTCCTCTTCTAATCTATGGTACAAACTTCCTCTTCTAATCTATGGTACAAACTTCCTCTTCTAATCTATGGTACAACTGTGTAATTAACTGCTTGATGATTGAACTGCAGTATTAAAAGGACCAAAAGTTGTAGATTTAAACAGGAGCTCAAATTATAGTATTTTCATCATTTGTATTTCACAGATAAATACTTATTTATTACAAAAAGCCATTATTGCTGTGTAAGATATGATTTTTAAAAAAAAACTAAAACCTTAGCTCTAACTAATGTTCCCACCTTTTTTTTGCTGTGTAAGATATGATTTTTAAAAAAAACTAAAACCTTAGCTCTAACTAATGTTCCCACCTTTTTTTTTTGCTGTGTAAGATATAATTTTTAAAAAACTAAAACCTTAGCTCTAACTAATGTTCCCACCACTAAAACCTTAGCTCTAACTAATGTTCTCAACACTTAAACCTTAGCTCTAACTAATGTTCCCACCACTAAAACCTTAGCTCTAACTAATGTTCCCACCACTAAAACCTTAGCTCTAACTAATGTTCCCACCACTAATACATTAGCTCTAACTAATGTTCCCACCACTAATACATTAGCTCTAACTAATGTTCCCACCACTAAAATCTTAGCTCTAACTAATGTTCCCACCACTAATACCTTAGCTCTAACTAATGTTCCCACCACTAAAATCTTAGCTCTAACTAATGTTCCCACCACTAAAACCTTAGCTCTAACTAATGTTCCCACCACTAAAATCTTAGCTCTAACTAATGTTCCCACCACTAATACATTAGCTCTAACTAATGTTCCCACCACTAAAATCTTAGCTCTAACTAATGTTCCCACCACTAATACCTAAGCTCTAACTAATGTTCCCACCACTAAAACCTTAGCTCTAACTAATGTTCCCACCACTAAAACCTTAGCTCTAACTAATGTTCCCACCACTAAAACCTTAGCTCTAACTAATGTTCCCACCACTAAAATCTTAACTCTAACTAATGTTCCCACCACTAAAACCTTAGCTCTAACTAATGTTCCCACCACTAATACCTTAGCTCTAACTAATGTTCCCACCACTAAAATCTTAGCTCTAACTAATGTTCCCACCACTAAAACCTTAGCTCTAACTAATGTTCCCACCACTAAAATCTTAGCTCTAACTAATGTTCCCACCACTAATACATTAGCTCTAACTAATGTTCCCACCACTAAAATCTTAGCTCTAACTAATGTTCCCACCACTAAAATCTTAGCTCTAACTAATGTTCCCACCACTAATACATTAGCTCTAACTAATGTTCCCACCACTAATACATTAGCTCTAACTAATGTTCCCACCACTAAAATCTTAGCTCTAACTAATGTTCCCACCACTAAAACCTTAGCTCTAACTAATGTTCCCACCACTAAAACCTTAGCTCTAATGTTCCCACCTTTCACTTTCAGGTTAGAAAAACACCACTTCCAGCCTTGTGGAATATGACAGGATTATTTATATTAGCTTTATTATTCACTGCTTTAGTTCTCTTTGGTTACACTTTGTTTTCATGTCTACAGTAGATCATCAAATTTTATCAATATCTTTTCATTTCAATACTATTTAGTTAACTGTGTTGCATTTATATGTTAATGATTTTCTTTCTTTATATAAATGTATGTAAATCTCTCTATTTATAAAGCAATGTAAGTGTGTTTGTTTGTTTCTTTGTTTGTCTGTCTTTTATGCATTGCTACACCTTTCATCCAATCGCCATGAAACTTTAAGAAGTTGTTGAGATTAGTGTAGGAAATCGTGCCCTGATAAATATGATCCAAGCGCAGGCATTGTTTAAATTACTCAATTTTAGAAAACAAGGTCACTCGTTTAAGAATATAGGATTGGTAAAGCATTGATGAAACCCTCCAAATATATTTCGTCAGATTTTTGTGTGTCTTTTATGCATTGCTACACCTTTCATCCGATTGCCATGAAACTTTAGGAAGTTGTTGAGAATACTCCTGGAAAGGTTTCTGAAGAAAGAAAAATTCAATTTAGCCGTTGCAGGGAGCAATTTCGCGCCCGGAATAACCCGTGAGCACTATGGCACCTACTTTAGTTTTAACCAGCTCGATAGACTATGAATAATATGGGGAGTTTAGTCATTCACTAAATTGAATCAGATGCGACAGGTTGCACTCTGGCGCTGCGGGCTATCCTAGTAGCGATATGACGCATACGTTCGCTTTAAAGATTGTGATAGAATATGGATAAGAAGTGGTATTATAGCAGTTCACAAAATTAAATCAGGCTCGTCTGACTGTGCCCCGTCAGGGTACGATTTGCCCCGGGCTATTCTGTGACTTTTAAACGCGCGGCAATGCATGGGGACGCTAGTGATATATAAACATAATATCGGGGCTATGTGTATATTTCTTTTTAGACCCATAGACTTCTTCTTATAAGATTATATATACATACATACATATATATATATATATATATATATATATTTGTGTGACTAGATTTAATTTTTCTTTACTAAGTTTATTTTAATATATGCATGTGTGTGACTTGATGTAATTTTCCTTACTACGTTTTGATGGGATTTAATCCAATTATGAACTGATGTTTCTACTTAATGGATAACTGACCGTATCTGATATGGTTGTTATAAAGCACATGAACAATTTTGTTTTGCTAAATGTAGCCTTTTTTTTTTAAAGGATAAGAAAGTAAGTAAAAAATGGATAAGAAAGGCAAAATAAGTAATAAATATACCAGTATATTTTATTTGTTTCTATAGGTTTATATTTATTATAAATAGTACATGCACTGAGATTCTAAAGGTCCAAAACATAATACTGTGTAAAAATATTTTAACAAACAGAAACTTAATAAAATTAAAATATTGCACAATAAAAAACAATTGTTGTATTATTTTTATCACAAACATAAATATATCACTAGTGTAGTTAGTAAAATCAGAAATTTATGTTTTAAACTGTCCTATGATTGAATATTTATCTTGGATCCATTACATTTTTGATTGACCTCAATTGCGTATAACAAAAGTGTCAAATATAGCGAACTTCAAAATAAATAAAATAATAAAATTCACATATTTTATTGCTCAATACATCTGTATTGCAATCTATTTATGTAGGGTAATGTTCCATAAGTAGCCTTGGCTTCATTTTTTGGAATAATTAATATTGAACACAAAAATGCTTTAAAACAAATTAGCAATTGGTAAAAATTAAACAAAATTAATACCTTATGTTGCATCTGAGACAATACTTTAAAATGAGATTATGTAATATTATATAAAATGTTCTGTGTTAGATTGGATCCCCAACAACAGTACACTCCAGTCTTATAAGACAAGAATAGTTCACATTTGTCAAAAAACTGAAAATATCTACACTATATTTTAACATGAGCAAAATGGTATACAAATTCAAATGCTTAATATTAACAGTCTGATGTTTAAAATGCAATGGATTTGAAATTTTCAACATTTTTTAAAACACATAAACAACTACTAACCTTACTGGTGAACTAAGTCCTCACATTAGAGTTTTTTGAAACTCTTTCATTTACAATACACATGAATTTTTTAAAGTTACATTACTTTAAATCAGAAAAAAAAATAGTAATTTACAATGCTCAATTTATCTTTATACAACAATTTATGGTTAACTGATAACACTGCTGAACACTTTACAGAAAAGAAAAAGATTACAAAAGTATTTTTTTTCAAACAGCTTGTAATAACAAGCCCACACTACACATGAGTGAATGTAAACATTGTTAAACATTAACAAATCTTAAAACACCTCTAGGTTTATAGAGTAACTATCACAATTTATCTTTTAAGCCAGTTACTTTTTTAGTACACACAGCATTACTTGATCTCCAGAAAGTTCAGAAATTAAATTCAGCAACCTACCTTTGATACTTTACCACCAGAGGGTTAAGAAATCAAATTCAGCTACTTGCTTGTAACTTTCAGACAAAATCTTTCATGTACACAGAAACTTGGTTCCATTTGTTTAATCTTCACATTTTGGGTTCTTTTTTCTTTCATGGGACAATATTTAATTTTTGAGGTTTATAATTATTTAACCTTCCTGTAGTAACTGTTCATTACAGAAATCTCAAATACTTATCTTAGCAGTTGTCAATGATGATCCCATGCTCTTGATTACTGTAAACACTTTGTTCTTTCCACCAAGAAGAAATATCCATGGATACATTTTTACCAACCAGCAATGAATCTGTGGCAAATGTTGGAATGAAAGGGGAAGCAACTGATTCTGTAAAGCTCTCTGACACCAGTGGAAGTTGTTTGCTAACTAGATGACCAACAAAAACAGAAAAAATATGATTTTTACTTTCTCGTATATGGCGAAGAAGTATTGTAATCATGCAAAAAATCAAAATCAAGATTTGCACACCCCCCTTGTCTGAAAAACTTAGTTTTATAATCTTGTCTGCCTGTCTGTGTGTACATGAACATGATAACTTGAGTACTGTTACAGCTAGGTTGACAACATTTCATATATAAGTTTTATATCAAATTTCTAGTTTTCTACCAACTTGTCAGCAATTTCCCATAACCTGATGGGGCACTTATTTTACTTTCAGTTTTTTCAAAAGCCTGTAACTTGATTACTGTTTCAGTTAGGTAGACAAAATTTCATATGTAAGTGAAAGATCTTATTCTCTAAATGCTGTCAAATTCTGGGTGATTTCTGGTGAACAGAAGTAGTGTTTTACGCTATTTCCAATGAGAAGAATCTCACGAGCAAAATTTTAGAACATTTTTTACCAGACCGATTAATTTCAAGCTTTTCACGAAGGTCAAGACTGGAAGATAAAGTATAGAGGGATAAAATGTACTTAATAAGATAATTAATTGACTTTTAAAAAATTTAATCATACTTCTCTTTATAAAGTACTAATTTTCTGCACTATTATACACACATTATATTCTGTTCATTTGGTACCCAATTCCTTTTACTATGTGATTATTTTCTATTTAAAAATTGATTTAAAAAAAACATGTCTATCGAAATCCCCCTTAGTGTTTTATATGAATATGCAAAAAAGTTTAGTTTTTACTTACCTTAATTTTTGTAAAAGCAAAAAATGTAAAACAAAAAAAAAAAACTATATTTGGGTAAACAACCATTGGTATAACAAAGATTTAAAAATACCTGCACCAATCACTTTTCCACTGCGCTTTTTTAGACTTGCTCTGTCTTTGTCTGATCTGGGTCCTCCATCACTTAGAGTTGGGGTAAGATATTTTCTACTGGTGTTTCCCTAAAAATCATATTTAATACTGGTGATTAGCTAAGAATAAATATATATTTCCTACTGGGATTTCCCTAAAAGTAGACATATTATATACATTTATATATTTTTAACTGATGTTCTTATAAGAACAATTTTTTTTTTTTTTTTACAGACTGTATTAAGTCCTAAATGAAACTGTTGTAAAAAGATTACATTTGCAAGACAAAAAAAACTTTCAGTAATGAAAACAAACATCTTTTATCTAATTAGAGAATACAATTCATTGTAACAATCACAGTATTTTACCTGGCATTGTAATTGTTTATAAAGTGTATAATTGATACAGAATATGTGTTGTGTTTATAAAGTGTATAATTACTTGTGATACAGAGTGTGTTGTGTTTATAAAGTGCATAATTACTTGTGATACACTGTGTTGTGTTTATAAAGTGCATAATTACTTGTGATACACTGTGTTGTGTTTATAAAGTGTAAAATTACTTGTGATACACTGTTTTGTGTTTATAAAGTGTATAATTACTTGTGATACAGAGTGTGTTGTGTTTATAAAGTGAATAATTACTTGTGATACACTGTGTTGTGTTTATAAAGTGTAAAATTACTTGTGATACACTGTTTTGTGTTTATAAAGTGTATAATTACTTGTGATACAGAGTGTGTTGTGTTTATAAAGTGTAAAATTACTTGTGATACACTGTGTTGTGTTTATAAAGTGTATAATTACTTGTGATACAGAATATGTGTTGTGTTTATAAAGTGTAAAATTACTTGTGATACAGAGTGTTGAGTTTATAAAGTGTATAATTACTTGTGATACAGAGTGTGTTGTGTTTATAAAGTGTATAATTACTTGTGATACAGAATATATGTTGTGTTTATAAAGTGTATAATTACGTGTGATACAGAATATGTGTTGTGTTTATAAAGTGTATAATTACGTGTGATACAGAGTGTGTTGTGTTTATAAAGTGTATAATTACTTGTGATACAGAGTGTGTTGTGTTTATAAAGTGTAAAATTACTTGTGATACAGAATATGTGTTGTGTTTATAAAGTGTATAATTACTTGTGATACACAGTGTGTTGTGTTTATAAAGTGTATAATTACTTGTGATACAGAGTGTGTTGTGTTTATAAAGTGTAAAATTACTTGTGATACAGAGTGTGTTGTGTTTATAAAGTGTATAATTACTTGTGATGAACTTGGAGGCTGAATCACAGGTGTTCTTAATTCAACATGGCCCTTCTTTCTGGTTCTTGGGACAGTCTGACCTTCTTCTTTGTTCTCTTCCTTAGTGTCAGGGTTCATCAGTGACAACTCAGTCAGTGTCAGCATTGGTTCATTGGTAGCTCTCAAGTTGGATATTATGTTTGAGTGCTCTCTCTGGAACAACAACAAAGTTGCCTATACATTTTGTCTCAATAAAAAACAAAAAAGATGCTGCCTACACCACTGGTTCCACCAACTCATTTGTAACAACTGTCTACAAACTATTAAGATACATACAACTTTTTTAAAAATCGAATTAAATTTTGTTTTAACACAACCAGTATTTTTGTAATTATATATTGGCCCAAAGTTAATGCATGGATGTTCTCTATCTACAATACAACATAAATTCTTACTGTTCTGATCCTTTTGAGACATTTATCCAACCAGTTTTTTATTGTTTGCTTAGCAACTTCTTCTTCAATTGTAAACTCCAGCTCTTCTCTTGCTAGTGACTCCTCTAGCTGCAGTGACTTGCGAATATCTACAGATCTATAGGACAGCATGCTGGAAGAGTTTTTAAATCTCATCAGTACACTGGCATTGAGGCTAACAGCAACATAGATGGATTGTTGTAACATCTTACAATGTTGAATGTACTGATCAGTATAAGAACAAATGACTGATTCTCTGTGTTGACTTGAGATCAGATACATTTTATTCTATTTGATACGCATTAGACATCAGAGCACTGCAATGTTTAGAATGAAAACTTTACCTGAGGACATCATGGAACCTAACATCCCCACCCTGATGAAGCTTCTGAAAACTTTACCTGAGGACATCATGGAACCTAACATCCCCACCCTGATGAAGCTTCTGAAAACTTTACCTGAGGACATCATGGAACCTAACATCCCCACCCTGATGAAGCTTCTGAAAACTTTACCTGAGGACATCATGGAACCTAACATCCCCACCCTGATGAAGCTTCTGAAAACTTTACCTGAGGACATCATGGAACCTAACATCCCCACCCTGATGAAGCTTCTGAAAACTTTACCCTGAGGACATCATGGAACCTAACATCCCCACCCTGATGAAGCTTCTGGAAACTTTACCTGAGGACATCATGGAACCTAACATCCCCACCCTGATGAAGCTTCTGGAAACTTTACCTGAGGACATCATGGAATGTAACATCCCTACCCTGATGAAGCTTCTGAAAACTTTACCTGAGGACATCATGGAATGTAACATCCCCTCCCTGATGAAGCTTCTGAAAACTTTACCTGAGGACATCATGGAATGTAACATCCCCTCCCTGATGAAGCTTCTGAAAACTTTACCTGAGGACATCATGGAATGTAACATCCCCTCCCTGATGAAGCTTCTCAATTTCAAAGCACATATGTTTAAACAGCAGCCTGTCTCTCTCTAGATCCACCTCCAGCCTCCCACGCAACAGACGAAGGAGAAATCTTACTCTCCTTGCTGGTATCATACCCTACAAATGATGTATTAAAAAAAATCTTTGTTAACCCTTTACAGTCTTTGAGTTAAAGCTGGACATTAATGTGAGTGGCTGGAGTATCTTATTATAATTATTATCTGCATCTAAAAAGGCGAATGTATCGTTTGTTTCATGTGGTAAACTGTTTGTACTTTTTGGTTATGTAGTCCTGTATTATGGCGCTGCTGTGTAACTGTTTACGTTGCTGTCTACTGCTAGTCTGTGTATATTTTGTTTATATTGTTGTCAATGTTTATATTGTCTTTTTGTATAAATCTGTCTTATGTTTCGTGGCGTGTTGTTTGTTATCAGTGAATTAGGGACTATTTGAGGACGTGTAGTGTGTGAGGTGTGTGGATGTCAGTTCCGGGAAGAGGTTTTGAAGTCACTTTTGAATGCCGAGGGGATCGGGAAGGTGTTTGTGTGGTCAGAACCTAGACCATCCGAAGCATAAAAAGTCATTGCTGCCCCATCCATTTGTTTTACTTTGTTGTTGTATTTCTGCAAAGCCTGGTTTGTAGTCCAATTGGGTGTTTTGTCTGCTTTTGTTTTGTCTAGTTTTTTATTTATATCTTTTCATTAAATTTTGGTTCTATTTTTTTGTTAATTTAATTTTTATAAATTGTTAAGATTAGATTTTTTTTGTTTCATTTAAGGTTAGGGTTTAACCACCATGGGTTTTACCATGGTTGCACTGACCGGTCAGTTTATTTAGATAAGCCTAGGAAGGTAGATAGTATTTACCCCCTCCCCCCCCCAGTAGGGCTTACATTAATAAAGCAAGTTCTCATCCGTTTAGAAACAGGAGTTTAAGAGTTAGTGTCCCACCAATGCTGCCAAGATTTCAACAATTTCATGAGGTCAGAGAGAAATATTGCTTAAAATTTTTTATGAGATCACAAAGAAATGTTGTTAAGAGATCACAAAGAAATGTTTTTTACAATTTCATCAGGTCACAAAAATGTCTCTAAACACTAGAAATTCAATTCTATGCTTATCTTGATAGTTGTTACTATGTACAGTAGTAATGTTATCTAATACAGTTTATATACCTTTGTAAATGAGTTCCTTCATACAAAAAGCTATCAATAGTTTAGTAAAAATTCCAATCACTACAGTCCGTGGGCTTACCTTTCTATTGATATCAACCAAATTCCATGTATTTTGAAACTGACGTATATCATTGTAGCTGAGCAAAGCATCTTCTTCATTGGAGTAGAATAGTGAGAAGTTTTCCATAATAATAGCTGGAAGGGAAAAAATGTAAATGTAAGGACAATAAGCTGACCCGTAACACAGGTCTTTCTTGGTCTGCCTCTTTTCCTTTTGCTTTGTAGATTCCAGATGAGAATACTGGATACAGGCTTCTTGAGTGTGTGGCAATACATCTCTTTTTTTCTCTGGGGGGCTGTCTTCTTCGGCTGGCAGTTGGGTTGTCCATTGGTACCTCATTTTTTATTGTGTTTGGCCAGTGTATTTAAAGGATTTTACTGAGGCATGAGTTGATAAATGATTGTAATTTTTCTTATTTGTGGCAGTTATTCTCCATGTCTCAGACTAGTTTTTTTTATTACAATTTCCACAACACCAAACATTTTGTAGTTGGTTGAAGACTGCTCTTGCTTTGCCCATCCTTGTTTTATGCCTGCCTCTGTCCCGCCCTGCTTATCAACAATACTTCCAAGGTAGGTGAATCTATCCACTTCTTCTAGGGCTTCTTCTGCCAATGTTATAGGGGTGCTGCTTGATGCATTGAGTTAGAGAACTTTACTTTTCCTTCTGTGGATGTTCAGGCCCAAGCATGTTAAAACAACTTAGCAACCCTGTTGGTTTTATCCTGCATTTGCTGTTGTGTGTGAGAAAGAAGGGCCAGGTCGTCAGCAAAGTCCAGGTCATCCAGCTGGCTCCACAGTGTCCACTGTATACCATTTTCTTTTTTCTCTGTTGACAGCTTCATACACCAGTCTATGGCCAGCAGGAACAAGTATGGTGAAAGTAGGCAACCCTGCCTTAGTCCAGTCCTGTATTTCTCTCTGTCGGCGTTTCTGTCGCCAGTTGTTTTTTTTGTTCAAATCTAATGTATCAATCTTATGTTCAAATCTAATGTATCAATGAGGGGCGACAAGCTACACTAACCTAAGTTGTAGACAATCTTATGTTCAAATCTAATGTATCAATGAGGGGCGACAAGCTACACTAACCTAAGTTGTAGACAATCTTATGTTCAAATCTAATGTATCAATGAGGGGCGACAAGCTACACTAACCTAAGTTGTAGACAACTTACCAACAAGCAGATTGAGTACAATGTAGGTTATAATAACATAGAAGCTACACTAACCTAAGTTGTAGACAACTTACCAACAAGCAGATTGAGTACAATGTAGGTTATAATAACATAGAAGCTACAAAAGTACACAATAGAAGCCAGGTAGTTGCCACAGTCAGTCTCCCAGTAGTTTCCACCTGTAGTACAAAATGGTGGGCTCACCTAGGAGAATATAAGAGAGTACAGCTTGACTTATTCACACAGGCACGTTGTAAGTTTAACATACACATTAGAACATAAAGTAAACTTTACAGGGAATCAGTTGATTAAATGTTCTAATGTCTGGAACTATTCTTTGTATTTAAAGAAGATTTAAACAAAAACTTGAACCCTTTTGTAGTTTATACAGATTTATGAGCATTTCAATAGGTATATACATAGCATTAATGTTTCCTGTCAAAAACTTATTTTGAATACCAGAATATTTATGCTTCCAAGCAACAGAAGAGAGACCATACAGAATCACAATCTTTGACCAAACATTTCCAGGCGGCACAAGAGAATAACTTACCATACAGTCATGCATGATTTTGTTCCAGTCCTCTCCTGTAACTATCCTAAATAGTAACAAAACAGCACTGTAAGCTGTTTCAAAGTTTGCATGTCTGTAGAATAAAAATTTTGTTATACAGGGTGAAATTCCCTTATGTCTGCAAATTAAACACAATTTTAGGCAGTAATAATTTTTTAATTTGAAAATCTTAAAAAATTTTAAAACGTATCAAATTAGTTAAAACTTACCTTCCAAGATTATATCCATATTTGACACTTCCAAACAATATAACACCAGCATAAGCATAAAAAAGCATTAACAAAAACATGCCCATGATGATGAAAAAGGATTTGAAGACAGACATGACAACTGTCTGCATCAGCATCTTTAAGGTAGCCTACAACAAAGCAGACAATAAAATGTTTTCTTTAATGTATCCCACCTATCAAGTATTAAAATGTTTTGATTGTAATTGTGGCATGAACTTAAAATAGGAAGTAAGAATTGATGTAGTTTCTCACATGTTTGCCAGTGACAGTGAAGAACCTCAGCACGATTACGATGTAACCCAAAGAGTTTATTGTGTCAGACTGAAAAGGACAGAAAATAGTTTCAAGTGAATTCGTTAATCATTACTGTACAGCTGGGAGTTCATCAACAAAAAAGTTTTCACATAAAAACTTCCCACTATTATTGACATTTCAAAAAACTCTACTCCTTTTATTAGCACAAAGTTTACAGAAATAGTACGGAATCAAATGTGGGTAAAATAACCAAGAGACAGACCATTTCTGAGCTGTAATGTGAGATAATCCATATGACACCAAGCAAGGTGACAAACATGTCAAATCTATTTCTTCTGCTGGTCCAATAGCCCACTGGTGATAGAGCTATCATCTTCATTATCACCTGTACAAATATTGAGAACATTATTTTCATGACATCATTTCAGAAAAGTGAGTAATTAATTGCCGAAAACAGATGTGAACATTTTTTTTATTAGATACAGATAAGGCTAAATTAAAAAGCAAAGATACAGATAAGACTAAATTGAAAAGCAAGCAAAGAATGTTAATAAACTGTTATCAACCTAAGTGTAAATAGAGATCTTATACACGGGCCTTATATCTCATTTTAATAGTTGATAAAATACAAGTCAGAGAATTATTTTCTAAAAAATATTAATGGCCTGAAACCATGAAAAAATTTTTCATTAAGTATAAAATTATGACTAATCTAATAAAAATAAAACACACTGACAATGTAATAAAGTTCTAAATCATTGTGTTGATGTATGAAAAAATAATGACTATGTGGGAATATCATCCATTTATGACTTCCACAAATTTTTTTATTTGATTGACGATTTTTGTTACAAAAAATGTGCATACCAGTATCATAAATAACTGACCGTTAACATTAAGCAAATACAATCTGCTTTCAGATACAACAATCTGCTTTCAATTGTCTAACAGCCACACAGTTGTAAATAAAATGTTAATCATCCAAGATGTATACAGATGTAAACATATATTCATCATCCAATATTTAGCCATACAGGTGTAAATATATATTCACTAAAGTTATATAAAGACATTACCTCCAGAAAGAATAGTAAAGTAAATGATGTAGAAAAGCCAGCTAAAATGTGGACATGTGCATCATCTTTCCACTGGAATTAAAACAATGAAGCATTGTAACATACTATTGTTGTAGAAGAATTTTTTAAAATTACACTCAGACATAAAGAAATATACAATGTTTGTTTATACAACATTATAACTATTTCCATATTCATACATTTTATTAAACTTAATAAGTAACAGAAAATATTTATATATAAATAAAAGCTTAGCCAAGCAACAAAAGAGAGATATTGTTTGAGTCTGGCTTGTAAACTGGTGATTATAATATAATAACCTATTTCAATGCCAGTTTTTTAGCCATCCAGTTGAATTATTCTAATGTTTCAGTATATTTATATTAATTCTTTAGGATCATAACAACCCTCTCAGCTTTTAGTCTGATTTAATATTTTCTCCGTTAACTTCGTTGCTTTGATGTATCCATAAGTATCCAAGTTTGAATAGTATATCTAGGTCAGGATATTACAGAGGCAGCCATTTTTAGTTGTGTTTACTTCTTGTATTTTTCCAGAATCATTGATGTTTTTTTTAGAAAAAATTTGCAACAGCGGAAAACCATTGTGACATGTGAAATAATTTACCAAAATGTAAATATTCATGCTAATGTTAATCCAATCCTTAATTTTGCTCAAGAAATGGACTTATTTCATTTCATCAGAATAAAATATATTTTATTCTCTGTGAAACACTACTACTTATTTTTCTTTGTTTAAAAACTAAGTAATTTTCTGTTTTCAATAAATAGATTTTTACTCAAAATTGATATCAGTGTGTAAGGCATTTAATTATGATTACTTTATATGAATAATCTGTGGCTTTTAAAAAAAGGTAAAATGAATAATTTAGGTAAAACATAAAAGTAATTCTGTCTTATAGAGTTAAATATTTTCCATTTTAATGTCTACATTAAACCATTATTTTAAACCATCTCAAAAACTCCTACACTACCTAACTCAAATGTTTTTAACAGTCTCAATGCATTATAATCATGACAACTGCTTTATTTATTTGAAGATTCCCAATGAAATTTGGTAAATATTGATTGGGAGCACAATATTGTATAGTAACAAACAGACACTCACCGGTACAGACAGCATAAGGCAGTTAGCAATAACTAAAAACACAATAAATCTTTTAAAGTAAAGGTGCTGTGTTATGTCATAAATAAATGCCCTGAATGCATTTCTCTCTGAAAAGGAAAAAAAATTTAATTGTAAAAATTCAAGTTATACTATTAAAATTTTAAAATAAGACAGACATTAAAGTACTTTGGAAAATAAAACTATCCAATGTTTTACCAGGTCTAGGAGGGATATGCAGTGGTTGTGCTAACTTTATCCTTCCCTTTAAGTCAAGCCACCTCCTCTGGTCAACAGTCAGAAGAGCTGTACCCTGGAAAGATAATTGATTAGAGATCAGCAAAAAAAAAAACTTTATCAACACATATTTGAATGCCTTCAAATGTAATCAGATAATGAAAACAAGTAGTTTTTTTTAGATGTGAATAGAGGTTATTCAATATGATTTCAGTTACCTTGTTTTCTCCATAGTTAGCTATGACAACACCAACAAAGAGTGTCAGCCCAATCATGTAGCCAATAAACACAAAAAAATGAATATAGATGGCCTCTGCCTAGTAAAATGGAAGAAGGTTTAATCACATCAATTGAACAACATTAGATTTTCTGATAAATCTAAAACATAGCAAAGAAATGTTAGCACTTACTGGTCCAACTCTATCAATAATAACATCACGAACTTCCAGCCATCCTTCCAGTGACAAAACTTCAAACAACGCCAACATTGCGTTGCCGATATTGTCAAAGTTAAAATTTCGAGGGTTTATCCTGTGAAATCATGTAAACCAAATTAAAAATCATTTGATGATAAGGAATATTTTAATATCTGAGTACAACAAACAGTAAATTATTTTTTTTCAAAATCCCCTACCATGCACGTGGCACCCACATTCCTGGAAAATTGTTCCCTATTTTCTTTATTTGCATCTTGGTAACTTGGACCTCAACAAAATACTCTCCAGTGCAGTTGTCCTGCAAACAGTGTTAGCTTATGTCAACAACACTCCTCTCAAAATCACTCTTGGCATAGCTCTTATTACCAATACTTTTTAGGTAAGATTAACTATGGTTTTATAAGCTCCTGTACCCTTGTTGTGATATTTTTATCATTGCACTGTGCCAGTTTTCCTCCCAGCAGGTGGACCCCACAAATGGCAAACACAAACATCAGAACAATGAGCAGCACAGACACCTGGCACAATTCAAAAACTGGATTTCACATTTATATTAATCATACACTAATGTACTCATGTTGCTTTCAATGAACAATTTTGCTAGCCTGTCAACAATAGAATTATTTAGTTTTCAAGATCTGAAATATGTTTTTCTTTGTGTGTTGTCACTAAAAATTGAGGCAGAATGAATTTGTAAGAAATTCCAATGAATTTTTAAAAAATTAAATCTATCATAAATTTTTAAAAGTAATAAATTATGCAATAAAATAAGAGAAATAATTTTTTTTTTAAATGTACAAAGTTTAACATCAAAACAATCCATACCAAAACTATTTCCTTGAAGCCTCTGACCAGTTCATAAACTACCCTTCTCATGTGTGGAACAAGACTGTAGATGCGTAATGGCCGACAACATCTTAATATCATAAGAATTTGTTCCCTTGAATGTGGCTCGACTTGTCGTGGCATCCAGAACATAAATACAATACTGACCTGAAGAATGAGAAAAATTTTAGTGCATTTATTATCACTTATGTAATAATAATTTCTACTGAGTCATGTATTGTCAAGTGAGGGTATATATATGAGTATTAACATCTCCATTTTCTTTCAATTTGGGGTGAGCTTTAGTTTTGAGCAAAAATATTTATTACGAGAAAAATGGCCCGTTGAGGAAGGATACAACGGGCGCTAGGCTGATAGTGCTGTCTCTTTTCTCTAAACTAAAACCACCCCCCCCCCCCCCAAATCCCCCCCCCCCCCCCCCCCCAAAAACATGACTACCGTCCCATTAAACGAAATATTATTATATACTTTTTCCAGTGTCCGCCTCCTCCCCGAAAATTCTACCCCCGCCCCCGAAAATTTCAAGTACCCCCACCCCTCTCCGGGGAGGAAAAAGTCTGAAAGAAACACTGGTGTCGCGCTTAGCCACTACCCGAAGAATTGCATTAAAGAAATTGCAAGAAAACCACTTTTTAGATTAGACACTTTAATTAGGCGGTAATTTTATTATAGAGTATCGATGAAGAAATTTCTTTTGAGTTGGGGAGGGGGGGGGGCTCAGACATTCTTACGCGGGGGTGGGGCTTTGCCTCTACCCGAAGAATTGTATGAAAGAAACTCTTCACGCAAACCACTTAGATTAGACAAAATTTCCTTTTTATTCAATGTTTACTCGAGAATCAATGACGTCATATTACTGTGTGCACTCTTCGGCTTGAGATTATTTTCTACTCTACCCGAAGAATTGTGTGCAAGAAACTCTTCACAGCAAACCATTTAGATTAGACAAAATTGCCTTTTTATTCAATGTTTACTCGAGAATCAATGACGTCATATTACTGTGTGCACTCTCCGGCTTGAGATTATTTTCTACTCTACCCGAAGAATTGTGTGCAAGAAACTCTTCACAGCAAACCATTTAGATTAGACAAAATTGCCTTTTTATTCAATGTTTACTCGAGAATCAATGACGTCATATTACTGTGTGCACTCTCCGGCTTGAGATTATTTTCTACTCTATGCTAATTGTGACCGCGTCATACTTCGTTTTTAGAATTACTATGCATGTTTTTAATTTCCTTGTGTTTTCTCTAGAGCGTTCTTGTCAGATACATAGATAGATAGATACACAGATAGATAGATACACAGACAGTGAAACTATTATTATTAATGCATGCTGGTAGATGTAACATTCATCATTTGTTTTATGCATACAGGTTGAACCTTGCTCAAATAAATGCTTCCAGACATTAACATGTATAAAATAATGTATGTATATATTATAAACTTACACCATAGATGTACAAATCTAAAACACCGCTAAAATCATTGACCACAGCATTAGGTGTAAAGAGTAAGCCATTTGAAGTAACTTTTAAGCCCATTTCAATGCTCATACACACAACAAATACGTATTCAGCCACCTGGTTGAATGAGAAAAATCTTGAAGTTAATGCATTCCTATTTAATTAGATTCATTAAGACTTGATTAAATAGTATTCACAGATATGATTTCATGGAAGAAAAATCTAAGAAATCATGTGTAAAATGTACTAGTCTGACCTGCAAAACAGGTTTCTCCATGATTCTGTCAACTGGAGTTTCAAACATCATAGAGATGCATGAGAGAATAGTTACAATGATCATGACCCAATCAAGATAGGTAACCAAGCCTAGAAGCTTGCTGGAAGTCAAGCAACAGTTTTAGTGGCATTAGATCATAGCAACAACACTTGATTTTAACATTTTTTGCAAGTTTTCTAGACACTCAATCTTAAATTTAAAACAAATTATGCTTTTTTAAAAATAAATTCTTTGTCTTTAATGTTATTTATAATCTAAGTACAAGGAAAGATAACTTACTGCAGCTGCTTATATTTTGATTTAATTTTTTTCCCTGTTTCTGGATCCCTCAGTATATATTCATATTTAGCATTAACAATCATTTCACAAATTTTTCTGAGCTTAGTTTCTCTCCCCACCAGGAAGAGAGGTGTGTCAAAGTATGGATGGTTCTCTCGTAGATCAACTTCCTGTTGGTTTCTAAAATAATACATGTCAATGCTAGGCCAGGTGCAGACTCTTTTAACATTTACTTAACATCTAATTACTTTTTTAAATATTAAAACTTTTTTTTTTTTAAAATTGCCAATTTTTTTTGGCCAAACAAACAAAAGAATCAAATAAAAATGCTTGATTTATTTCAAGTTTGCAGGAAAAGTAAAAAAAAATAACAGATAAACTCTTTATATTAGTGATAGAAGGTTATACAATTTTTTTAGTATTGACAATAGTGAACAGAAAATAACCATGTTCCAGCTTTAAAATGCTAAAAAATATGTTTAAATAGTACATGATAGATACTGTTATCAGGTGGAGTAAAAATGAAGTATAATGAAAAAGGTTTAAAAGACCCATTATGTCAGAATAAATACTTTCATGGACTATTTTTTGTTGTTGAAAATTTACATAACCTTGATCTATTTTTCAATTAAAGAAATGTAACTATAGTGGATATTTAAAATGTTTACTTTGTAAATTCCAGTTTTTTTTTAAAATTCCAATTCCCCCCCCCCCCCCCCCCAAATAAGGGCAATCTGAACCTACAACAGAGATTAAATATAAAATAAAATCCATGTACCTTTTTTGTTCAGCTTGTTGTTTCTTTTGTTGAATATCTTTGATGTCAAAATCATCCATTCTTCTAGCCCCCATCAAGCTTGTATGAGTATTGACATCTCCATTTTCTTTCATATTGGGGTGAGCTTTCAGTTTTAAGCTGGTAGGTCTGGATCCACCCCTGGTGCTTCGACTTTAAATCAGAGGATTGTTTTTAAACCTTATGATACACAAATCATAAAAGAGTAAGCAATTGTATGTAAAACATGACTGACCTTCTCTCCATGCGAATTTGATGTTGATGTGCTAAAATAGACATTGTTCTTCCCCCAACTGGTACCAGCTGGGCTGAACCCCCACTGATCACTTTCTGTTGATTGGCATCTCTTTTTGAGGAAGAAATTTTTTTTTAAATTTCACAATAAGAAAATTGTTTCTTCATTTGATGTTTTATAAAAACAACTCAGTTATATGGTTACCTTATAATTCCTATGATGGCAGTTTTTTTCTCTACTGTACCTCCACATCTTGTTTCATGCATGGGGGAATTAATAAGCTTCAAGTAAGCTGATTTTAATTCTGGGGAAATGTTTTCCGCTTGCTCCTGAGTATCCACCATAAGACCAAGACTATTTTCCTGGCCAGTAAACTGGCGGATGAAGCTCTCACGTATATCAGAGATGTCAAAGTCTCCAGGCATTTTGTTAAGTCGCACCATTTGAGGATGGTCACTGAAAGGTTTTTAAAGCATTAAAAAAAAAGAAATCTAATTTAAGAACTAATAGTATAAAATTATAAATGATTGTTTTTAAAAGAAATATGTGTTAGAAAATTACAATACATTATTTAAAGTGTATGAAAATAAATGTAACAATTGAATAAATGTTATTGCTGAATAGAAAATGAATGAAACACAGAAATAGCTGGAAAAGTGCATACGGAAATTTGGAAAATATCCTCAATCTAAGTGGTAACATTTCTTGTGTCTCTAGACTCTGCTCTCTCAGTTTCAGCTGGGAACAAGATTGAGATTTTCTTTTTTTTTCAACTTTTTAGTTTAATAGTTTTAAAATGTCTACATTTGTTTATTTTTATAATAGTATCCAGAAAATTAAATTCAAATTTATTTTTAAAATGTATTCCTACAGAAGTTAAAACTCAACATGTACTAGTTAATTATGACTTGCCTGCTTCAGTTTCTTTATGTCTTCATCCAACTCAAGGTTATCCAAAATGACAGCCACAAATAAACTGATGACAATCTAATCAATAGTTATAGTTAAAGCATATTTAGCCTATTTCTTACTCACATTTTTATTATACAATAAGTAGCTAGTATATGTGAAAAAAAAAGTCAAATTAATTATGAGCTGATCATGTTCAAGGAGTACTTATTTATATTAAGTATCTAGTAATACATTATAATACAGAGCTGTGTAATATCTTTTATTTTATTACTCTTACAAGAACACACAAAATTATGAGATCAATAACTAATTGTCCATTTAATAAATATTGATTAAATTATGCGCAATGATAGATATCTAATATTTTAAGGCTTATTTTAAAGTGTTAAAATGTAAAATATAAAACTTCAACAAATATTTGTGATTGATGAGTGCAAGAGTATTATATAACATTATCTCATGCAGGGAGTCAAGTAATATGCCAGCTAGCAAGATAGAAACATGCAGTAACAAAATGTAGGCCTACTGACTTAGAATTTACTCAATACTTAAATTGTTTTTTATTAGTGAAAAAAAGTCAACCGTCATTTGGGTCTGATGGTCCAAAGGGCAATTGAAATAGTTTCTGAGACAATCATTTTAAAGAATAGTGTAATTAGCATTTAGCTTAGCCATAATTACTTTCCTTGACGGATATCAGGTACCCATCACACCAGAGTGAATTCAATACAGCTAATAAATTTCAACCCTAAACTGGTGGCATTTATGTTAGCATTCATTAGCTCTACCACTTGACCATGCAGTCCCAATGTAGTGACTAAATTATAATTCAAAGTAAATGTATGTGCTTGTTAAGCTTTCAGGGAAAAAACAAAATAAATTGATCATGCTTTGAATGGTGTTCTTAATTTGAATGTAACAACAAATAAAAATTATTAGCTACCGACACTTGTATCTTAGTTTGATTTAGTATATTCTATTTTGACACAATATAAACAAAATAAAATGTGTTGCAATATGCACAGTTGAAGAAGGCAGATTGAAGTTACTGTCACAACTCTTAGTTGTGTAAACTGCCTTCTCAATGATTAACTCATCAATGTTTCCAAAATATTAAAACAAGGATAAAAAGCTGCAAACTAAACAGAAGTCATTAAGAGAAGTTGCTTTAAAAAATACCTAAACAGCAGGTGCAGCAAATGATCATTTTCAATTTAATTTGTCAAAATAGGTAGTAGAGTATCATTTAATTTTAAGCTTCTAGTAAACTTTTATTTGACATTCGCTGTATAATTTAAATAGACAACTAGCAACATCACAGAGACTTGAATTCTGCCATCAAAGGTGAAATCAAAAGTAAGAAGGGATAGTATCTGCAGCTTTTATTCAATATCTGTTCGCTTTTTTTTAAAAATAATATATAATAGCAGGGGATTATAGTTATAGTTTAAGTACAGATAATTTTAGGTTTGCCTGTTAACCCTCTGCCAAAAAAATAAATTCAGTATGGACCAGATTCAAATTCTGGTTACTTGTTACCTTTCAGGTTAATATTTAAGTTGTTTGGTCTTAATCATACATTTGCTGCATACTATTATTTTTTTAAATTAAGAAATACAGCTTATTTACTCATTTATTTTTAAAATTGTATTACTGTTGATTTAAGGTTATTAGCCTTATGAAAACAATTTAGTGACTGCTGGTAAAATTTTTAAAGTATAAAACACACAACTTGCAATAACAAAGTAAGTTAAGTGTTTAGGATTTGTAGTACAATTGAAAACTGGTCATTGCTGTGCACCCAAAAAATTTCTAACTTAAAACTTCTACAAAATACATAAATATTGAATGTAATATATGAACACAAGCCATTGTATATTGAATTCAAGTAACTTGGTCCAGTGTGGAGTCGCATTGTCTGGACAGCAATTCTGTCCACATATATTTGTATGGCTGGTTACAGGAGGGGAATAATGAGGCCTATGCAGAGGGTATTTATCATGTTTGGAGAAAAAACAATGAGCTTTTATAAGGCCTAAGCAGACGGTATATCATGTTTGGAGAAAAAACAATTTTTGTGTGTGGAAAGAACAATGACTGCTAAAAATATCATCTAGATCTACATGGAAATTACTTGTTTTCAGACATCAAGAAAGTGTTTTTAAAATTGAAATGACTAGTGTGTTTTAAATTGTATCAATTCGCAGAATTTTTAGGAATAATTTTAGATCATTGTATATTGTTGGTCATTCTTACATAAAATGTACAATGAATATTTAAAACTTAAAAAATTGAATTTATTGGGCAAACAGTAGTGAGTTATGGACATATTCAGGCTAATAAATGGGAAAAAACTGAGAACTTTAACTTTATACTTGCTCAGACAGCATAAAAGGCTCCTACAAGTGCAGTCAAAAGGTATATGACGTTTGAATTTTTATCTTTTTTTGTGTAAATATTTTTAAAATGAGGAAATCAATCATTAGAAATTGTAGTCACATTTCTCAAACTTTGTGTAGATGGTTTAGTGAATTTATTTATACACAACTAGAACCTGAGTCATAATACAAATGAAAAGGTATTTTTGAATACCATGCTAATTGTACTACACATAAAACATGTGCAGCAGAATTAACATAAAAAATAATATCTACCTTCTAACTGTAATCAGCCACACAATGATTGTTTGACTATGACCTCACACACTTGTGAACATGTGACCTTTGATTTGTCTGGATCCTGTACTCACCAAAGTGACAAATAAATGGTAGAATATGAAATAAATGGCCACGAAGGGGGCCACGTTCTTCCTTGTTTGATACATGGTAACATGCATAACTTCAATCCACCCTTTCTGGGTTAGGATTTGAAACATGGACATGAATGCCTGTAATAAGGGAGATAAGTAAAACAAAGAAAAGCATGAGATTTAGACATGAAAATTAATTTTTAAATTGAGGCTCAAGTGGTTATTGGTTGCAAGGCATCAGCATACTCCCTAGATAGTCCGTATTTTAACATTCACCAAATTGCTGCATTAAACTTGTGTATAAGCTAATCTGACTTCAAGCAAACCACTATGGTCCAGTGACAGGTGCTTAAACCTCAAAGATCCTGGTTTTTTGTTAATGTGCTGACATTTTAATAAGAAAATGGACAAAGGTGTTAAAAGTTATCAGGTCAACATTTCCATGACATTAATAACATCCAAACTGCAGAGAGATCTTTTGGTCATTGTTTGGACTCATGATGAAAGACATTAGATTTAGATTTACTACTGTACAAAATGCTTAAGTGCAAGAAACATGCATTGGTTAAAATATGGAATATTCATCATGAAAAAAGAATACCTTTTTTTTAAATTTAAAAACAAAAACTATTATACATTTCTGTTCTCTTTTCTTAGTTACTTTTACGGCAAGAGCCATTGTTTGTTCTTCAAATTTCCAATGCATGATTTATGAAATAAATTAGGAAATTTTAAGAAAGTAAGAGATGTGTTTATTTAAAAAAACCAGTCCAATGCAGTACCAGGTGAAGAACAGTAAGAAATTGTTGCTCATGCAGTTAAATAGTGGTACAAGCTGTAGATATTGTGATTAATAACAGTGGCAGTGGAACATTGGTGGTAGGCAGGAGGACATGGTGCAAGTCATCCTTTTTATCTAATAGTTATGTGTGATGATGCTTGATCCTTTCTGTTACTCACCACATTGACAAACAAATGGAAGATCATAAAATAAATTGCCACTAAAAATTGAATACTTGGGTCGTTCAGACTATTCATTAAGTCAAAGGAAACATCCAGCCATCCTTCAGAACACATGATTTGGAACATGGATTTAAATGCCTGAATAAGATAATTGTGAAAAATGCTACACATATCCTAGTGGCAAAAGTGGAAAATATATTTTCAAATTGTAAAATGCTGACAGAAATTCATATTTAACAAAACATATTTCACTCCACGTTTTTGCAAAAGTATTATGAATCAAATTAAACAATATTTTTTACTAAAAAATCGAACATAAAAACCTCTTGATCCAAAAATGTTATTCGTGAATCTTAGAAGCATTGATACTTTATTTTAATGCAAAGGATATAAGAAGATTTTTAAAATTCTTTAAAATTAAGATTTATCAATTATTTTAGAAAACTGCTTAAAACTGTGACTAATACATTGAGTAGGGATTTCATGCACATAACATCATATCTGTGCACAATGTAGCATTTGCCTAGTTATTAATTCTAGACATGGACATCATGAGGTTTTGTTACCTACAGAAAATGTCATCATATTAAAGCACACATTGTGGGTAGGTTTAAATAACTTGTGATTGAATCAGTGAAGGGGTGCCCTTTTTCCCAATATATACATATCTAGGGTGGCAAAACAAAGCACTCTCCAAACATAACCACAGGCTAAAGCAAGAATTTTATTGATTTGATGAAGTTTAATTTACTAAATCCTTCATTAGGATACTATCATTATTCTTTCCTCTCAAATATAATGAAGGTCAATCACTTACACACATGGGATCAATACTTCAGTTCATTTTTTTTTAAATCTGCATTGTTAGATAAGTGAAAGCCATTCAATTTACTAAAAAATGCTGTAAAGATTTTTTTTAAATTATAAAAACAAATGATTAAACTTATAAATTAGATGAGTGTTGAAACTAGTATTTGGAGAAAATTTTATATTTGAGTCATTTTAATTTCAATGTTGTATCTGAAACATACAGAAAGTTATACAAGCAAAGCATACTAATTATTTACAAAGCTTATGTAAGAATCAAACTTTTATGTCTTGCTAAAAAAGAAATTTTTATCAACGTTTGCACTGACAGCCTTTCTAGATACATATCTATTAAAGCAATAAAAGTAATCCATAAAATAATGGTGAATGTGCAGCTAAATAGTGTAAAAATAAAAATGGATTAAGTATTATTTAATATTTTATTGCTAGCTTTTCAAATACTAACACTTAGCGATAAAGAACTAGAGATCTGCAGAATAATACGTTAAAGAGCTACAGGACAACTTTCTGCTGATGAAGCAATTAGGAAACGATGGGCTTGAATAGGGCACACTCCATACAAACAGCCAACCTCCATCATCAGGCAGGTAGGCATTAAGGTAGAACCCCCAAGGTGAACAAAAAAAGTTAACCAAATTTGCCGATGCGACTCTACAAAGCTGGGCTACACTTGGAGTCAAATTGAGATGGCACAGGACAGAGGACTCAGGGGATCTTTACTTGAAGGTCCATACAGTAGCAGAGGTGATGATCAGTAAAGATGGTTAAAGGTCTTAAGATTTGGAGTGATTGTTTGAAAAGCTAGAGATCTGCAGTGCTTGAACTATGTAAGGAAACATGTATGAGAATATGCGTAGTTACAACTTTGTGAGAATATAAATAGTTACAAGAATAAATGTGGTTCCACCCATGTTAAAATACATGTTTCACCCATGTTAAAATGCATGTTTCACCCATGTAAGAATACATGCAGTTTCACCCATAAAAGAATTCATTTAGTTTCACTCATTTAATGCAGGTAGCATCACCCATATAAGAATAAATGAAGTTTCACCCATGTAAGAATACAGTGGTACCTCAACATAGGAGTTTAATTCATTCCATAATATTGCTTGTATGTCAAGTTGTTTGAATCTCAAAACAATTTTCTCCATTTATATTAAACAAATGCTATTAATCCATTACAGCCCCCAAAATGCTAACCCATTTGTTTTTTTTAATAAGAAAAATGTTTTTATAAATACTGTGTTAAACCATAATAAAGAAGGTATAGAAATAAACTGGTTCTACAAAGTCTATATTCATTGGAAATCAGCTGACTTGAGCTAATTGATTTTAAGCTTGTGTATGTGTAGGGTGGAGGAGCTTACTCTATACTTTTTTAAAATTCTTTTTATCACTACATGCTAATTGCTAAACTTTATTCCTGAATGTACTAGAACTAAAATTCAATCAACATAGTTGAACATAAATGATAATTGAGAATTTATTTATTATTATTACATTTGCTTTTCTCCTCACTAATTTTTGTTCCTTTTTTACAGAGATTTAGTCACTTTCACATACAGTCTGTTAAGAAGGTTTGCTTCAACCCTCCTTTTAGAATGTTGCAGAAATGAGTTAGACAAGTGTTATTAAATAGTTGCAAAGCATGATCATCAGTAGCAACTTTTTGGGGTGTTTCTTGTCCATGAATTGTCAAACCTACCAATTTGGATCCCTGTATCTCAAAACTTTGTAACTCAGAGGTAGAAAATAGCTCGTATATAGAGGTATCAATGAACATATAGTTACAATACATGACAATCTTTTTAGTTATTAAATGCTATTTTGATAACTGCTTAATAGATCATAATACACCTTGGAAAACTAAACTTTGAAAGAATTTTTAAGAAATGTAAAATGCACAAGTTTTACCTGTTTAAAAGTTTGAAACTTGTCGAAATCTCGAATAAAACAAAACAGTTGTAAGCTGATACTTGAGGCAATAATCAGCAAACACATTGTAAACAGGATCAGGCTACCAAGCTTTTTAGGAGGACCAAAGATCTGAGGGATGACAAAATTATCTACTTGGTAGATATACAAATATGTATAAAAATACTAATAAGAGATACCATGTAGACTATTAGTGTTGTTTGGTTAAAACTGTTAAGAGAGAAGAAACTTCTATATTACATTTAGCTCTAAGTAAGACTAATCAGTTACAATGGTTACAATGAGCTGGCACAGTTTTTATACATTCCTTAGATTTGTGTTAAATTATTATTATTATATTCAGAGGGCAACAGCAAATTTAATTCGCTGATAAAAAAGAAATGAATAAATCTTCCCACAAATGCTTTTTACTTCACCATTGAACAAGATTTAAAGGTTCACTTAGAATTGTGTGTGGTTTTCTCATGTAGGAATACTTAATTCTTTAAAATAAGAATAGAATTTAAAACAAACTGTACCTTGAAACAGAAACCCTCTAACATTGGAGATGCTTTAATTAAGCGAAAAAGTCTCATCACCTAAAAAACAAATGAAAAGAAACTGATTTTTATTTGTTTACATTCAATTTTTAACTTTCTAGTAGTAGTAAACTATAAGAGGTCCCCGAGCCTTCCACCTAATGCTGCATGTTTTGTCATCACAAATATGAACATCTAACAATCCTGCACTAAGGATGATTTAGTGCTCAGCTAGCAAAATAATATTTTTGTATCAGTGGAATGTTTAATATACACTTATAACAGTCTATTTATGTACACATTAAGATTTTTTCAGCTTGCATAACGATGAATATTTAAATATTTTCAAACAGAATTTTTTAATCAAATTTTCTTAACTGTTGTTTACATATAGACACTGTTATTTACATTTTTATTTACATATCAACAGTTTTATTTACAAACACTTCAGTTGTTTTACTAATTGAGGTTTACTTTTACCTACTTTCCAAGTCCTTTAGCATATTGTTTTCTAAGCTTCCTATGTAATAAATGATGGAGGAAAAGAGTTTACACTTTCATGGCAGTGTGCTTGGTTAGGGGGTTGGCAGTGATATGGCATTTATTAGTATTTTTAAGAATAAAAAAATTAGAGACTGGAAGAATTGTCCTTTTAAGGTACTTGGCAATTTGTTATGTATGATTATAAAGGTAAAACAAATGCTAAAGTTGTTAGACATCAGGTGAAAACAAAGAAAACATTAACCTGAAAGCATGTAAATGCTGAACGGTACAGTTCAGGAATGATGTGCATTGCTGTGCCAATGACCAAAACTAGCTCAAACACATGTAATGATCTCTTCAAGTAACCTTTCAATCCAAGGCACCAGATTTTAAAAAGAGCTTCTAATGAGAAGAAAATGGTCAAAACAACCTGAAATGTAACAAAATAGTGCATTTTATGGCCAGAAACACATAGCCTAAGTTGTTTTTTCTTTAATTTCCTATAGAGTCTTTCTTTTGAGAATGAAAAACAAATTCTGAAATATATTGTTCATTGTTAATCATTATAAAATAATAAAATGACCTCCTAATCATCATAAATAAATCAATATTTTTAATTAGTGCACATTATTTTTTGCTTAAACAATTCAAGCATTTACCTGTGCAAAATAAAAGCCATCCATTTTATCGTCAGGCAACTTCTTATCATGGTCAAAACTCAAACTAGCTGCAATGCTTGCATCAATAAGCACAAGCAAAAGTATAATTGTATGAAAAAAGTTGGACCTCAACACACGTTGAAATATTGGCGGAGCTAAACCATTAGTTTTATTCTCGTCTACCATAACAAGTTTCCATGATCCACCATCGTTTTGAATAACCTGAAATAACATTATTTCATTTTGTAGTTATAAGAATAAATGTATTTTTTTATTTTGGAAACTGCTGTTTAGTGCTGATTATTCTAGCCTCTATCTTTTACAGTAGTTACAGTAACTTTTAAAATTAGACAAAAAAAATTATGTTGAAAAAAACATTTGTAACCTCAAAATATAGTCATATCAGAATTTTTTAAAACACCAATAATGTTAAATTTTTTGGTTAAAATGACTGAAAAGTGGAAAATGTAAAATGAGCCAGAACACACTGGTCAAAGAAATTTTCATCGCCTGCTCTACTGACCATCAATAACAAGGGAGTATTAAGCTGCTAGTACGGTTACCTGACTAGCATCAGATTCTGCTGTTCCTCCTCTAGAGCCCCACATCTGCTGGAACTGAACTCGGATCTCAGCAAAAGTTTCTATTATAACTGCTATAAAAACATTCTAGAAGAAAAAAAGAATATTGTTAAAAGAAAGACTGCAACACAACACAAGTGAGAAGAAGTAATGCTTGTCACATTGCATATGCTATGTCTTTTCATGCATGTAAATTGCATTAGCCTTAAGTCAGCATAGATGGTCTTATGCAAGTATAAGATAATTAGGAAGTTAGCACACTTTAACATCATTATAAAAGTGCAAAAATTATACAGAAATTTCATAGTAATTTTATTTTTAAAAATGTAATGCTAAAAATATTTTTATGCAAGACTTTGATTATGCAATCTAGGTTGTATTTGTGTGTGTGTATATATATATATATATATATATATATATATATATATATATATATATATATATATATATATATATATATATATATATATATATATATATATATATATATATATATATATATATATATATATATATATATATATATATATATATATATATATATAATTCTCCCTAGCTTAGATAATTATCCTATAACCATTATTGGAGAAAAATAAAATGGCACTTTACCTTAACAAGCCAAGCAAGAAAAAAGATGAGAGAGACAAAGTAGAGATAAGCTTTCCATGACTGGAGACTATCAATGGAATTGTACATGAGAAAGACCCAGCCCTCTTGTGAAGCAGCTTGATACACAGTAAATACACTAGTGGCTGAAATTAAACAGAACACATGCACAGCTAAAGAAATATTTTCTAAAAATTTTTAATAAATTAGATTATATTTTTCAAACATTATCTTCTATAGTTAAGAATTATTTACGTAGGTGATCAAATCCGACAAAACCCATTATTTCTGGACTCATGGTCAACTCTAGACAAATCATTCCTTCCTGACAATGATAACCAGAATTAGGCTCAACATCTGGAGAACAAAATGTGTCAGGTACTGCCAAATCAAAGAGAGTCACATTTCTGAAAATTAAATGAGTTCAAAATTAAACAAAGAATTTACCCTAGTCTGTTATGTTGACATTTTTTTAAAGTAATTGATTCACAAATATTTACTTCAAAACTAAACATTTGAAGCTTTTTTTAGGGCTAACAAAAAAAACCAACTTACCCTGGTTCTGTTCCATTCTTAACACAACGATATTTCATTTTCCCAAAAAACTGAACCCCGAGAAATCCATACAAAGACATGAAGAACAAAAAGAATATTGTGACATTGTAAATTTGTTGACTCGATCGTCTGAAAACAAAAAGCAACTTAGTTTTTGCTGTGTTGTAACTATCAAGTGCCAATAGCTGAGTATAGTAGTTTACATTAACAAAACATTTTCTCCATATTTGGCAACAATGAACATGTGTGAGCAGAAAATGAAATGTTTTAAAGGACTTACTTAAATATTGAATTGATCCTATTTTTAGGCAGCTGAAACTTTAAAAAATTCCTGAACACTCTTACAAGGATCAATGGTCGTGGAGAACGGATAATTCTTATAATGGCAGCGGCTGAGTCAATACTTGGTTTCTCTACAATCTCATACACCTGAAATATTTTTTAATATAACGTAATTACTCAAATGGTTATTCTTCTTTTTTCATTATTGTAATATTGGGCGGGGATTTACTCCAACAAAGTTAAGTATTACTTGTCAAAATGTTATCATATGGCCAGTCGACTCTAACTTAAGCTTGCTTTCCTTTCTATATGTGCTTCTGTAGCCGTTGTACACCCAGGAACAATCAACAAGGCAGCAGTTGTTTGATTCTGGAGTTTATTCTCATAGATGGGTTGCTGTCCCCAGTTATCAAGCCTCTACTGCCAGGGATCTGAACGCAGGCCATTTAGTTAGTTAGTAATCAAAAGCTCTATAGGCCGACTATGCAGTCCCCATTACTCAAAAGAGTATTAATATTATTATACATGTATAATAGGTCCTACTACAGTTTTTAGAAGACTAACCTGTAAAATAACTGATCCCCATAAACACATGACCATCACTCCATCAAACTGGCACCATCTATCTCTTAAATATGGTGCTTCTCCCTGGGATCAAAGAAAAATGTAGCTGTCTTGAAAATGTTACAACTATGTTACAAATTTGATATCTAAGTTCTTGTTAATGAAGATAGTTCTACAAATTACTTCATACATTATGTGTGCATAAAAAAGGGTATCACAAGATAATAACATGGTTAAGTTTTTAAATTATGCATTAAAAATTAATGACTGTTTATGTCTAAAATAGTTAAATAGCATATTCTGGACTATCATAAAAAACACCTACCTTCCACACTCCTCGAATGTGCATTTTTGCAACCATTTCTGCTGTGAATAACACCATGATAATTAAGTCCAAAGCAAATGTGATATAAAGCAACTGGTCCCAAGATGAAAACGTTATTGGTGTATTCAGGCTTACAGAAAGCATACTCAAAAATGCACAAACACGAAGAAGTCTGCGTACCTGTTATAAAAGTTAATTTTTTTAGCTTAATTATTACTTAGAAACCAAAAATAGATATTGATTAGTATTATTCTAAACAATGTTAGTATTAATTTTAGCACATAAAGCCACTTACAAAAAACTGCATTTATGAAACTTAATTCTTACCCAACTCTTGTTAACCCACTCTATATCTGCATTATCATTTAGATTTTCATCTGGACCATAATCAGCCATTGGCATGCCATCTTTAAAACTTGTTTTGCGGTTCACCAACATGCTTTATTGCTGCCGAACAACTGATCTCAAATACAACCTTCAAGTATAATCAAGTGTTGCTGGTTGCCATTTTCACTAATCATTAAACTGGGGAAAAAGAAGCAGGAAAAATATTACCCTAAATAACAATAGTAAATTTAATTTCCAACAGACATTTGTTTCTGTTAGTTAAATAACCATTAAAATTACAAACTATTTATTTAACCAATCACAATCAGACAAATATGAGTTGTTCCACATAAAAAAAACCTCATAATGCAAATAGGTCTAGTGCAGGGGTCAGCAACCTTTTGAGACAAAAGAGCCAAAAGTTACAATTTACAAGATCTCCCACCTTTTAAAGAGCCACTAAAATTTTAACTTCAACATTATGATCTTTGATAAGGATTAGGTATATATATGTATATATATATATATATATATATATATATATATATATATATATATATATATATATATATATATATATATATATAATGTAGGTGTGTGTGTGTTTGTTTCTGATTGTCTTTTATACATTACTACACCTTTCATTTGATCTTCATAAAACTTTGAAAAGTTGTTGAGAATACCCCTGGTAATATTCATAGGGGTGGATTCGGTTTATAAAGATAAATGTCGATTGCGGATTGACACCGTTCATCCGATCGTCATGGAACTTTTGAGAATAAATGAGATTACTCCCGAGTAGATTTCTGTGAAAAAAAAATTCTTATGGGCAGCGCCTGGGAGGGTGCGATTTTCGTCAATACATGGTTTGGCGCCCAGAGTTCCAGAGCGGGTATTTAGCACTTGGCACCCTTTAATCTGGCGTCCTACATAGCGGGTAAGGGATACTACTATATTCAGCGGCAAAACTGCAACAGGCGCAGTCGCCGGCACTTCGTTGATTGCGCGACCCGAAGAGCCTGCGAGCACTATGGCGCCTACGTTCGTTTTAAGAAAGGCTATACACTAAAGACACGATGGGCAACAGTAATCGTTGACTTAATTGAATCAGGCGCGCCCTCCGGCGCTTTTGGCGCTCCGAGCTTACCCGTGAGCACCATGGTGTTCATTTTCGATACAACGAGTTGCTATAGTCGCTCACTAAATCGAATCAGGCGCGTCCTCCGGCGTCTTTGCAGGGTGCAATTTGGCGCTATCCCTCGAGCACTACGCGCCTAGGTTAGTTTTAAGGAGCACCATTCATTATTGTTAATCCGGCACACGACACATGATGTTTAAAAATTGTGTAATCGGGTTCACATGAGCGCCACTTTCAGTCCCCTTCACTTAGGCGTTGATTAGGAGTGATTAAAGATGACATAACGGTGAGTGGTTAACTTACACTCAAGTCTTTCATACAGCACGCCCCATGGAGAGCTGGGTTGTAGTGTAGGTCAACCCGTGCCCCGATAAATATGATCCAAGCACAGGCATTGTTTACATTTAAATAACTCGGTTTTAGAAAACAAGGAAGTACATTGAAAAATGGAGTATCTAAATATTCTAATAGAATAGCGAGTATTTATTGTTTATATTTATTATTATATAGTTCAGTACCGAGTGTTGCATACTAATATTTTTATGAGTTAAAAAAATATTAATATTTGTGCATGGAGCTGAAGAGCCGCACCTCGACGTCCAAAGAGCCGCATGCGGCTCGCGAGCCGCAGGTTGCCGACCCCTGGTCTAGTGCAAATTTTTTTTTTTGCATAAACAGTTCTAGTACTTACCTGTGCAATATAAAAGCTATCCATTGTAGTGGGGGGAGGGCTCTTTGCAACAATTAAATTTTAATGCTGAATGAATGTTCTCTCATAAAGTAGTCCACTTATGACTTACTGCCTTTCTTCTGTCTCACACTCTAGCAGTATCTAGCTACACTACCTGCATTCAAATGGTGAGGAAAAAACAAATCAAATAGTAGGTTATATGTATCATTGTATAGTGTAGTCTACTATATACTATCTAGTACTATAATTCCAGACACAAAATGTTAAGCTTAATAGCTATTTTTGTTAGAGATGTGCACAGCTTCACTATTTGTATAAATAATCCTGGAATAAAATAAACATTTAAGACAGAATCATATTGATTATCAAGTATAAATCATTTATTAACCTACTACATTTAGCTCTACTCTATGTCTATGGCCCAATCTATACTACAATAAATCCTAATATATAAAAGCCCTTGTCCGCACTTCTCTCTCTGTGTCCACAACATTTTTGAGGCGATGGGATCAGTATATGGAGAACTTAAAGATACAGACTTATGTTGAAAATAATATGTTGGATGTTTTCAATGTATAAACTAAATTTTGTTTAAAGAAGGAAAATAAAAATAAAGGCATATTTAAATGTAGAAACACATTTTTAACTATGAAACCTGAAAAGTGTTTATTGTTGAGACAAGAACGTAAAAAAAAATGACGTCACATGTTAAATGTTTAAACTACGGAAAGTACACAAAACTAATGGCGTCATCTTCCAATTTTAAAATATGAAGAAATGAACTATTTCATTAAGGTTTGATATAGATCTATAGATCTACTTATCAAGACGTATGCTATGAAATGTAAACAAATTACTTTAAAAAACAGCATAGATGTCTAATTACCATTGAACAGCTGGGTTTTTAATGGAATCATTAATCAGTGTGTACAATTAATATGGTGTTGTGTTGACTAATAATCAGTGGCGTAGCGAGGTAGGGTGTCACCTGGTGTGGCACTTAATGGTGTCACCCCCAGAGGCGTAGCGACCCTTCCCCGGGGACAAACTGTCAATTTTCAATTTGCACCCTCCCTCAAACTTTCGATTTGCATCCCCCTCCCTCAAACTTTCAATTTGCAACCACCCCTCAAACTTTGGATTTGCACCTCTTAAAAGACTATTTAACACTCGAATTAATCATTTAAGTAAGTGGAATTATCATTTTTCTCTCTATATATTTTGCTATTTTTTTGCCTCGGTGTCACCCCCCTAAAGACTTAGTATTAAGTATACTTATACTAGATCTATAGTGTCATAGTGTCTACTAGTACTCTATACTCTATACAAATACTAATACTTTGGTAATAGTAATACTGTCTAGTCTAGATTTAATAATACTAGATCTCTAATACAGTAATCGTCTGTAATGGTTAGATAAGATACTCACTCTAAGTCACTCTAAGACTATTTACTATTTAGACTTTAGACTAAGTTTAATAGTAATAATTTAGTAATAAATTATAATGGTCTAGTTTAAGTTTAAGTAGATCTAGATCTATTAATATTAATTAATAATAATATTAATAACCTCTTGGTTCATTTTTTTAAAAATACTAACATTTAGATAGTCTAGAATCTAGATATATCTAGATCAGTAGGTTGTGCCTAGATCTAGATTTAATTCTGTTTTAAGAGTTTTAATAAATCTAGGTGAGTACTTGTTCTAATAATAGATCTAGATTTACTTGAAGTTGTAATCTGCTCACGCTTGCCAGCTTTCAAGAACCGCTAAGATCATTTATTTTTAAAATTTTTATTTAGATCGTTATTTATATACATTACATTAATTGTAATCTGAATTTTTTGTTAAATTATATTTTATTATAAACTCATTTAAATCGAATATAGAAAACACAAATTTACGCAGAAATAGTTAATTTAGATTTTAAGCATTTTGTTATCTGTGCTTTTAGCTAAACATCACGTTAAACCCTACGATTGTAAAGCCATTCTGGCAAACCATGCGAACTTACTTTTGTAGTAAAAGGCCTGACTAAAGGTAATTAATTTGTTTTAACTATTGAATAGCTAAGTAAGTAAGTATTAAAGCCTATATTTGTGGTGCGGTAAATATTTTGTAATATAGCCTGTATAATATCAACAATAAATAAAAACATGTATTAAAACACTTTTACAATAAGTTAATAATTAGGGGTCGTCCATATATGGCGTCACACTCCTAGAGGTAGGGGGTTGTGACCTTGTGTGATAACGGGGAGCTGGTCAGATAGTGTGGCGATATTATCTTCCGTTTTTCTTAGTGTGCCCAGCCCTATTGGCGGGTTTTGATGGGAAGCTGTTTTAATTAGTACTTTTTGCCACAGATGTTTACAAAAGATTCTTGCTGGCAATCTTATTTTGAGGATGCGACATAGACATCGGGTTGCGAAGGTTTGTTATCTGTTGATGTTTGATTTTGTAACCATCCAGGTCTCTGAGCCATACAGTAGTTAGCAGCGGTAGCGTCGATAGGTCGGGTGTAACCCCGTGCGGAACCTCCCCCACCGAATGAAAAAATATTGTATACAGTGCCGGCGCCAGGTTATTTAGCGCCCTAGGCAAAACTTATTAAAAGCGCCCGCCCTCGCAATTTTTTTCGTGCCCCGTATTATCAGAGGCGTAGCGACCCTTCCTTGCGCCCGGGGACAAACTTTCGATTTGCACTCCCCCTCAAACTTGCATTTTGCACCCCCTTCCCCTCAAACTTTCGATTTGCACCCCCCACCGTCAAACTTTCGATTTGCACCCCTCAAACTTTCAATTTGTTTTTCCAACCCATTTTGGCGCCCCCCCTAAGAACAGCGCCCCAGGCAACCGCCTAGTTCGCCTTATAGGTAGCGCCGGCCCTGGCTATATATCTATATATATAAAGCAATGTATGTCTGTTTGTCTTTTATGCATTACTACACTTTAATCCGATCGCCATGAAACTTTGGGAAGTGGTTGAGAATACTTCACAGGGGAGGTTTCTTCGGAAAAAAAATATTTCCAATTCGCAGGGGAAGGTGCAATTTGTTTTTTCTCTTTATACGGTATATAAAAATAAAAGTCGATTGCGGTTTCACACCGTTCATCCGATCGCCATCGAACTTTAGGGAGTTGATGAGAATACTCCAGGTGATGTTTATGTAAATACATCTTTTTTTTTTTACTTTCGCAGGGCGGCGCCCAGGGAGGGTGCGATTTTTCTCCATATACCGTATATAAAAATAACAATGGTAGGGTGCGAGTTGGCTTCGAACAAAAATTTCAGTTTCGGCCCCCAAATGTTCACATGGGCCGCTGAGGGGCCTGTAATATATATTTTTTTAATAATCAGAAAAATTAACCAAGGTTAGATTATTAACTGTTTTGTTTCCTTTTATCCATAAAAAAATCCAAACAGTTTCGTCACTTTGCGAATGATGCAATTGGCATCTATTTTTAGACAATCCAATCAGAAATTAAGATTGAGCTTCTAATAATACCCCATTACTAATGCAAACAAATTGCATCAGTCACACTAATGTTTATAAACACGTCAAATAACTTTTTTTCTATGTGTTAAAGAAAAAAATCCCGTTGATTAGTGTAACTTTAGCGAATGACGCAATCTGCATCATTGTTTCAGGATGCTATGTGGCGCTCTGGGTTATCCTGTGAGCACTATGGCGTCTATGTAGTTTTCAGGAGCCTTGGTGTCACCCCCCCCCTAAATGGTGTCATCCGGTACGGTCCGCACCCCTCCCCTCGTCGCTACGCCTCTAGTTCTACCTCATTATTTCTGTGAGTGATTAAACTTCACTCAAGGTTTTCCTGTGGTAGTGTAGGTAAACCCGTGTCCCAATATTTATGATTCAAGCCCAGGCATTGTTTACATTTAAATAACTCAGTTTTAGAAAACAAGGTCAAGCGTCTAAGAATATATGATTGGTAACGCATTGATGAAACCGTTGTTATATTTATATATTTCGACAGACTTACTTCTATTCCCGCGGCAACGTGCGGGGACGTGTACGCTATATATATATATATATATATATATATATATATATATATATATATATATTTATATATATATATATATATATATATATATATATATATATATATATATATATATATATATATACTAGCGTGCTTGTTTGACGAAATATTTCATAAGGATTGATGCAGCCTTTTATGTCTTCGTCTTATCCCCCGTCTTTGTTTATATACATACACTTTAAACAATGTATTAGAGACGAGACATCGCAACGAATTGAAGATAGTAAAGCAAACAGTAAGCCAAGCTAAACAAGAAAGTAGGAACAATTAAACTAAGCAAAGATAAAATATTCACATTTGGTTTGAAAAACAACAAAAACGCTAGCTGGCAACTACCGGAGCGAGAACTTGGTAAGCTACTTACTTTAACAACTTACAAGCCCAATAGCCATCTGAAACTAACAAATAAGATTAATTAAGGTAAACTAATTTCTTCTACAGAAGATCAGCTTGGAAGATGAAAGAAAACATTTTCAACAAGTTCTTAAAAGACACAAACACAACATTCAAGACCAGTGTTTCTTAACCCTGGTTTGATCGAACCCGAGTTTCTTCAAGACAACTCTCCGGGGAGGGGGGGGGAGGGGGGGGGGGAAGGCGAACAAGATAGAAGTTATGTAGAAAATATATACTTTTAACAGTGTCCGAACCTACCCTACCCCCCCCCCCCCCCGAAGAAAGAAGTCTGGAAGAAACACTGGATATAACCCGTTTCTGCGTGTCAATCGCAGGGGTTCAGCGGAGGTCAATACACACGCCCGACTCATAGTCATATGATTTGCGATCGGATTTTGTCAGTGCGGACGATATACAGAGTTTCTTCCACCGAAAATTTTTTACCGCCCCCCCCCCCCCCCGAACGAAATGAAATTTATATAATTTATATAGAAAATATATACTTTTAACAGTGTCCGCCCCCCCGAAGAAAGTTTACCGCCCCCCCCCCCGAAGATTTCAAGTGCCCCCCCCCCCCCCGGAGAAAAAAGTCTGGAAGAAACACTGACGATATAACTAGCGGCCTATGACAGTACAGATACGACAGTGCAACGACACGACATGGTAATAAAGTGCGCTAGAACGAGATATTTCTATATTGTGGAACCCTTGACGTCACGATCAGTGGCGCTGCTAGGTCGGGTGTCAACCGTTGCGGCACCTCATCTTGTCACCCCACCCCAAGAAATTATATATAGGCCAGAGGTGGGTATGTCGTACCGACGAGCAACTCGTACCACTCTCATTTTACGTAAGTTGGCTGATAGACAATATCCGTAACACTTTGAAATTGTTCAAGAAAATGAAATCTATGTGCTGACCAAAACATTCGATCGTAAAAGAGAAGAGGTGTAAATTTTTGTGTTTTGTCACTGTTCGATGTAATGTTATACTCTCTTTCTAAACTGTATATTATAAAACTACAATAAATACGGCTGACAAGGTAAGGAAAAAGCCAAGTGCAGATAGATCTAGATGTCTGAAGAGGAAAAAAATCATTTTGTCTGGAGAAGAAAAATATCACCAAACAGGTGTAGCTGTGATGTTGAACAAACAAGCTTCTGATGCTCTGCTCTCATGGAGACCAATTTGTGAAAGAATATTGTATGTTAAGATTGGGATAATAAACCGGGAGTGATCTCTTTTAAACTTTCTCGAATACTCTTATATAACACTACGGGGAATGGCACCTCGGGATAGAGATATGATTTTTAATACAGGTAAAATGCGCAAGCAGAATTTTGTGCAAGCAGAAATTCGCGTACATGGAGGAATGCGCATAGAGAAAATTGCGCAACAGAATAAAATGTGCATTCAGGTAAATGCGCACAGAGGAATTTTCGAACGTAGAAAAATGCGCAAAAAAAAAATTGCAGACAGAAAATCGCACACACAAATCGTGTGTACATATGTGTGTGTTTAAGTCTGTATGTGTGTGTGTATAGGCTGCATATGAAGATATATTTCAGACCCATTTCTTTGTAGTCTTTTGAGATACCGAACCCACCAGTTTCATAAACGCATTCACGTTTTTTAAATAGTTCTGTCGTCCGAACTGACAAAATCCGATCAGCATTTCATCCAGACTTTTTTCTCAGTTTTCTCAGCACTTAAAATTTTCGGGGGGGGGGGGGGAGTTAGACTTTTTTTCGGGTCGGGGGGGGGGGGGGGGGCGGACACTGTTAAAAGTATATATTTTCTATATAAATTTCATTTCGTTCGGGGGGGGGGGGGGAGTCGCCCCCCCCCCCCCCCAAGAGATACTGGAAGAAACTCTGAATCCAATTGTGAATCTTATGCGTCAGATGTGTTTTTTGACCTCCGTCGAATTCCTGAGACGGACTCTAGGGTTGGATCGAACTTAGGTTAAGAACCACTGGTACTGTCTATAAAAATGTATATTTATCACTTAGATCTAGATCTAGTAGGCACTTTATTCCTTTGGCTCATGCAAATTCTAATATTCGATGCAAATTATATTTATTACACAAGTTATTTAAAAGTGTGGTGTAGATCTAGATCTGTAATCTATAGGATATAGATTCTAGATCTAGACTAGAGACATATTTTCTAGGCCTAATGGACAAATAATTTGGTCTAAAATTAAAATGTCAAAGGTTAACTTGGCTTGGCAATATACTTAGATATATTATTGAGCACAATTCTATCAAGTTTAATTTATGTGTTCTGTTCATTACAAGTACCTATTTGTTACATAAGTATGTTGTCAAGTTTTCATACTTTTAAGTACATCTAAATAAGGTTTATTTTTTGAGCAAAATGTTGGAACTACATTGAAAAATCGGATACATAGTGTGGAAAATGTCACACCCAAGGAGCAAAATGGCGGAAGCTATTCGTTGACGTCGATGATCTGAATGAACAACAATAATAGACTATAATAATATGATTCACAGTTGATTTACAAACCTCTTATAAAGATTTAACAAACTCATATTAAGCTTATTAAAAAAGTAAGATTCTGATATCATGCAGTTATTAAGTTAGGCCTATTCTTTTTGTGTTAACTTAATTTCATAAATTTCTATGACTGAGACTGAGAGAGATGAAAGACGGAAAGAGTCAGAGTGGATCAAGATGAAAAGGGGAAAAGGCAGATTTAGAATCTAGATCTAGAATCTAGATCTAGAGTAAATCTAGATTCTAGAATCTAGGAATTTTAAAAACTGTTGATCTTGGTCCGTGCATAGACATAGCCTAGACATCGACTCTAGATCTCTAGTTTAGTAACTTTAGTAGTGTAGTGTTAGTCAACAATTCAACAATAGTCAACATTTTATGATTTTAAGTTTTAAGGCTCAGGACTCAGGAGGGTCCAATGATTGTGGGTAGGGTGTAACAGTGTAACTGGAGGACAATTCTATTAAAATCTGAGATTTAGAAATCTAGATTCTAGTAAGAATCTATTCTAGTCACTAGTCTTGATCTAGATCCATATTCTAGATCTAATCTAGATCTAGATCTATTCTAGATTCTAGATCCTACATCATAGGACAGGTACACAGTACACTGTCTTTCTTTTCCTAGATCTATATCCTAGATCTACATTAATTAGGCTAGATCTTAAGACTTAGAAAGTCTAAGTCTAGGTAGACTAGCCTAGATCTAGGTGCTGCGGAGTGTAAAAAAGAATAGGGCCTACTAGATCTAGATCTAAATACTATTAATAGTGATTAAGAAATATTGAAACTGAGACTCACAAAACTTGAAAGCTTTGCACAGCAATCTATTCCAAACTTTTTTTTATAGTTTTAGTTTAGTACAGCTTAGATATATTTATAAATCTAGTTACTAAACTGTGTAGTATGGTTGAATGACTAGATAAGAGTGTTTGGCTGCTAGCCTGAAAGTCTCAACTTTGGATCTTGGTACAGACTTGTGACTGTAGAATTTAGGATGCCTCTGAGTAAACTCATTGCGGAAAGTAAAGTCGGCTGGACATAGTGCTGACCAGTCAGATCACTCTTTCCTTTTAATGCATATGATATATATGCCAAGGTCGTCAAGTCCGTCAAGAGACAAATGAACTGTACTTCATCTGCCCAGGATTGCTAGGTCTAAACAGAAACTCTGAGAAACTACTTACTTAGTTATGCGTAGGCCCCTATAGAAAATAATTTTAGTTAAAGTGAAAGAACATAGCATAATCATTGTTTGACCACTATCAAAACATATATTACTCATTATATAGTAGGCCTAACAAATTACTGAGCAAAATAATAAAAGATTTGGTTCTAAATTCTAATTTAGTTAGGCCATATGCATATTATTATTTAATATTAAGACCAACCCATATTTCCAATTGGCTAAGAATAGGCTTGTGCCCAGCCAGTGTTAGTTTTAACTATTAACTTGGAATTTGAGAAAATCCCCTTCAGATTCTTACTCCCTGTTAGTTCAATTAGTACTTTCTTCTTCTTCTTTGTTCTAATGATTCCCTCCAACACGATTAATTATTACATGTACATTTTGTGTGCCATACAGGCAGTTGAACCAGATTTCAGCCTGTTTTTCTTTTTGCCTTTGCTTCCATAGCTTTTTTCCAACCAAGAACAAACTACTACTAGGCAGAAGTTGTTTGATTTTGGAGTTGTCTATCCTAGATTAGTGGCTCAGGAATTTCGGTTCAGCAATCACGAGCTTAACCAACCCGACCATGCCGACCTCCCATTTCAGTTGTAATCATCATCTAAAGATTCAACAGTTAGGCCTAATAATTACTAATATAGAAAATATGAAGTTTTGGTTACACCAGTGTTAGACTTACAGGCATTTCCAAAAATAGAGTTTTTTTTTTATTAACATTCCTTTATTGTATTGTGGCATTATTGGACATTGATATTAATAAATTAGCATTGATTTTTAATAATTTACACTCTGATTTAAATAAGCATATTTCACAACAACTTAGTTTTTATAATAATAAATCACCAGCTGCTGTTAACACATTTAAAAAATGATTTACCTCAATGAAATTGAATAAGTTACCGTGTGGCTACAAAGGAAAAATGATGAATGATGATGACCGTTTTTGTCACTAATTATACTAAAGATGTAAAATTAACTTTTAGATATTACTTTGCAATGGAATAGGTTAAGTAGAGAAATAATTTAACTTAAAAATTTTGCAAGGCGACCTATAATTTAGCTACCTTTGTTAATAAACTTATTTCAACTGACATTTTTAGTATTTTCATACAATAGACTTGAAAAGTTGGTTCCAAATGGTTTAAAATTTTTATTGTCAGAAGACATATTTTTCAACCAAAATTCAATATTTTATAACATTTGTGTAACAAGTAAAAAAATTACTTCTGGTTACTTTAAAGCTAGAAATAGTCAAAGACTTTTTGAAAATATTTGAATAAATTCTGCTAATAGTCATTCTTAACAACTTTTCAACGTCTTATATTCGATACAAAATTATATAAACTAGTGAAACTAGTTCTATAATTTTATCGCATATTTTAAATTTTTTAAGTATGATTAACAGACTTTTATGCCTATTTCAAAATGTATATTCTTTTTTCCAGCTCATGATCAGTAAGTAGTTTGAAAAATCCTGAATCTATCAAGAAGTTCAAAGCAAAAAAATTTAAGAAATGATGGCTGGGCAGCAGGTATTGAATTTAGTATATGTCTTTATAATTATAAATTAAGCAATATACAAATGAATTTGTCTTACTCAATGTGCAACTGTGTATAATTATTTAAGTTAAGCTCTTGAAAAGTGTGCTTGCTCCATCCATATTACCTTGCATAATCAAAAATTGTGGAAGTATTCTCTGAGAAAATATATTTTGATGCTCTATTTTAAAATTAGATTATGGTAAACCATGGGCCAGAGGATCTTAGAGTAAAACATCAACCTGGAATGCGCAGTACAAACAGAGATGTTCATGTATGTATGAACAATGTGTTATTTTATATTTTACTTATTTAATGACATTACATTAATAAGCTAAAAAGCTGTTTTTATACCAATTGTTTATTATTTGTAGCTCATATATTCAGATTCACACAGTAAAAACCTGTAACATTATGTTTACCATAAAAATAGATTATCATGTTTCATGCAAATTGAATGTAACTTGTTCTGACTGAAATTTTTTTAAGTTAGGTAGAATGTGTAGTTATTAATTTATTATTGAGTTATTAATGAATTTTATTATGATACCATCCTGTTTTTGACAAAGTTATGCTTTAAATATAAATACAATTAGACAATTTGATTTCACAGATTTGATTTTCAAAATTATATTGTTTTATTAATTTTTTAATTTCAGGGAAGACTAAGTATTGATCCAGAAATTAGATTTACTAAACTTGAAAAAATTGGAAAAGGGTCTTTTGGTGAAGTATTCAAAGGAATAGATACAGAAACTAAAGAAGTTCTAGCTATTAAAATAATAGACTTAGAAGAAGCTGAGGATGAAATTGAAGACATTCAACAGGAAATAATGGTTTTGTCACAGTGTGATAGTCCATATGTGACCAAATACTATGGATCATATCTTAAAGTAATTTCAGAACTGCTTTTCCTAATAAAATACTTTTCTCTAATTTGTTGTTCCTCTTTAAAGTTTAAAAATTGTTTGCTTATTTTCACAAACCAATGCTCAAAAATGCTTTTGCATCCATGTATACAAATTTTTAAAAATTGCTTTATATCTTACAGGGTTCAAAATTGTGGATAATTATGGAGTATTTAGGAGGAGGCTCGGCTTTGGATTTGATGAAGGCAGGAACCTTCACTGAAAATGATATTGCTATAATTCTTAGAGAAATATTAAAAGGATTGGATTACTTGCATTCTGAAAGGAAACTTCACAGAGATATTAAAGGTTTGTTTTATATAGTGATCATTATAGCTTGTTCTATACTAATTTAAAAATTTTCTTCGACTTCTTAACACATAACTTAGCTCCTTAATGCCTGAATCGTGTTCCAAGCAAGTACAAAAAAAATTTGTGCTGATTTTCTCTCATTATACTGACGCTGAATTTGAGGTATATTGTTTTTTAATTTTGACTTATTTTTTATGCTAATTATGGTATGTCGCAAATTAGTGACATCGGGCACAATGGACCAAACAGTAATTTAAAAAAAATTGTCTGGGCCATTTTACTATTTTTACTGACACTGATACATGTTTCTCTAAATATCCACGTACAAACAATAGAATATTACAAACTAAACATATGGACATGCAAGGAGATGTAGACTCACTTGTAAAATTCATGAAAACTATAGTTTAGTAGCTGAGGCATAGAGTCACATAACTTCTGCACCTGCTCACTTTTATAAATGGGTATTTTGAAGCCTTGCTGTCATGGTTCTACTACACTTCCTTAAATGTGTATTGCCTTAGTTGTCCCTGGTTACGCCCTTTTCGTGAACTTTAATTCAAGGTCAACTAATAAAGACATATTTCTCATTTGACCTATATTTGCTATACACACAAAGCACATGAACAAATACTGTCAAATAATGATAGTGTTCAGCTGTTGCATATTCTTCCATGCTCAATGCAGCTGCTGTGGGTTCTTAGTGTCAATGCTGTTGGTACTCAGTGTCTCTGGTGTGAGTACTCACTGCTATTGTTGATAATACCCAATGTTTCTGATTTTGGTGCTACTGCTGTTGTTGCTACTGCTGTTTTACTCGAATGAGACTGCTATGGATTACCTATGACATGGCTGTAACTACATATTGCCACTGCTAAAGGGTTCTCAGTGCTAAAACAGTGGGTACTGAGTGTTGAAGCCATTTGTACTGAGTGTTGAAGCTGTGGGTACTCAGTACTCACTGTTGAAGCTGTGGGTACTCAAGTGTTACTGCAGTCGGCTCTTGGTGTCACTGCTGTGGGTACTCATTGCTGGCAACGTTGGCAATGGATAACATTGCTGTGTGTACTCACTCTTAGCAGTGGGTACTCAGTGTCACTTCTGTGAGTACTTAGTACTGAATCTGTGGATGCTCAGTGTCATTGATGTTGGGAAGATGTGGATACTCAATAACACGTGGGTATTCAATAGCACAGCAATGGATATTTTTGTCAGTATTCAACCTGTATGTATTACAAGGTGTAGGTCTACACTCAGTGTTATTATTGTCAAGGTCACTGTGAAGACCTTTCTTCGGTGGTATCCAGGATAGTGGGCCACCACCCCACATCCTGTTGTCTATTTATTTTTATGTTCTCCTAATATTTTACAATGCTATTTCAAAGTTAAATTCGTTATATTGTACCCAGCATTATTCCAGCATCGCTCTCTCTCCATATACCAAGGTCAGTGAAACAGGTGAACTCTACTTCATGGACCGTAACATTCTAAAATGTACTTATATATTATAGGCAAAGACAATTTGTAAATCCTTTATTTATTTATAATCATAATTGAAGAAATGACAGCTTGGTGAGGCTTCTTATTTTGCTTTACCTGCTAGGCACCCATGTACAATTTTATTTCCTGTTGCCTGATGTAGCGAAAACGCGACAATAGTATTTTTAAAAATAAAAATGGACCACTTATTTAGTACTAATAATCAATTTAAGTAGGCTGAATTCACTAGGTCATAAAATTTACGATGTATGTGAGTCAAGAGAGTGACGTCATAAATTTCAACTTGACAACGTGACCATTGGTACCGATACAACCGTCTGGATGTATCCAATACACAACCACCAGCAGCAGTAGGATAAATGTACCGTACCTATGCGCATATGCTAAGAGGTTAAACAACCGTCTCCAGAAGTGGTCACAAAAATATTCATCCCTCAGACACCCATATAAGACACTAATCTATCTATATATATATAATTCTCTTCATGGAGACCATAGAAAACACCACGCAGCTTAGCCACCATCCTCATCCCCACCTGTCAGGTGAGCTGTGATTAACACGTAAAACACAGAAATTTTGATAAACCTGTATTTAGAATTTTTGCCTGATTATAAGTCCCATATTCCGTATATGATGAAGTACTGAGGTGTAAAACTGAAAAATTGGATGTGATTTTTTTTTTTTTTTTTTTGCTTGATTACAATACTTCTTATATGAGAAAGTGAAAGTGAATACTGGTGGTGAAATCTTCAACCCTCCAGCAACTTAAAAAAAATACAGGTTTTGCATAGATGGTTTAAAATTTCATCATTACATTTAAAAATTTAAGAACTACAATATACATTAATCAAAAAGTAAAACCATGGGTTTTTTATAAAATAATATCTATATTCCATGGATACAGAACTGGCAAATTAAAGTCTTATGTTGATCTAAACATGAAGTGTGAATGCTATATGGTCTACTGACCCAATGCAATGCAAACTATTTTTAAAAGTTTTTTTGCAAACTAAATATACACAAGTACCTTTTATACGTTTCAGAATAATACTCATTGAGGATTTTAATTACTTGCTGCTTTATATGGAAGTTCATTGGCTATCACAAAGTATCTCACTGTTTAGATTGGTTTATACCTCTTAAAATCAGTGCTAGCATAAGTTTTAAATTTGTATCTATATTTATCTATCATCAGTATTTAAATCAGAATTCCGTTCAAAGAAATCAAAGAAAATAATCATAATTAAAATATTCTGCCGACATGCTCATTTGTCATTCCCTAAAAAGCAACAAATTCTATTTCTATAAAATGTCTGTTGTCTTCCAAACATAAACTTACATAGTAAGTTATGTTGATGCTTTTTTTGCTCATGCTAAGACTTCTGAAATTTTCATTAATTTTGTTTTACATGTTAATGTTATGAAATATATTTTTCATTTTAAAATTTTTCTTTTTAAGCTGCGAATGTGTTACTGTCCGAGCAAGGTGATGTTAAACTTGCTGACTTTGGTGTTGCTGGTCAACTTACCAATACAACAAACAAAAAACAAACTTTTGTGGGAACTCCATTTTGGATGGCACCTGAAGTTATTAAGCAGTCTGCTTATGACACAAAGGTTTTAAGAAATTTTAATTATTTACCTATATATCAATTCAATTATACAATATAAACATACACTCAACTAAACATGCCTGTACATAAATATAAATGAATAAACTAAGTTATATTTTTAATTCTAGGCTGATATATGGAGTTTAGGAATTACAGCCATTGAATTGGCAAAGGGTGAACCTCCCAACTCGGAACTTCATCCCATGAGAGTGCTTTTTTTGATTCCTAAGAATAATCCTCCTCAGTTGACTGGGAACTATTCCAGAGCATTTAAAGAATTTGTGGAGCTTTGTTTAAATAAAGACCCTAACAATGTAAATAAATGTGCTTATTTTAATTACTTAGTTATGTTACTATTTATGCTTAAAATGGTAAAATATAAATTAAATTTGAGTACTTTAAAAAATGTTTTATTTTACTAGAGACCAGTAGCGAAAGAGTTATTGCGTCATCCATTTATCCGTCGTGCTAAGAAGACTGCATACCTTACAGAATTAATTGATCGCTATAAAAGATGGAAAGCTGAGAAAGGGCCTGACAGTGATAGTGACAGTGATGGGTAGGCTGTAGTAAACATTATAACTTGTGTATGTAAAAAATAAAATTTGTAAATTGCAGAATACAAATTTAATAGCTACCGCAACTAAGTTTAAAAATAAAATTGAATAAAATTTTAAAAATATGATTGTCATTTTGAATTATTATTATTTGGAATTACATTTTAAATTAATATGAAATTTTTAAAATGATTATTTTCACTGCACCATACAAAAAACTTACATTCTGTAAATGTATCTATAATTCAAGTCCTATTTCTGTTTACCTATATATTTCTGTTTACTTACTTACTTTCTAAACTTCTTGAAATTTTTCACTTTAGCTTAAATATGAAAGTTTTAAAAATGGAATAGTTATAAATTTGCTTGTTTTAGATCGGGAGATAACAGTGATGAAGAGGAACTTAAAGACCAGTGGATTATGACAATTAAAGAACACAAACTAAATGGATTACAAAATAATGAAGTAAGATTTTGACTTTAAAATTTCTTTATGTGTTTATTTGATCATTTCTATAACTGTTGATCATTGTCATAAATTGAATTCTTGACTCTATTAATTCTTTAGCCACTTGCATGGTTAACTATAAAACATTCTGATCACTTTAAGTGGCTCAATTAAAATAAAATTTAAAATAATCAGTTTTGTCTCAGAAGTGGGGAAGGGGGGTCTTGTGCGAATACTAAATGTAAAACTTACAAGGAGACTCATTTAAATACTCATGTGGTATTGTATTTTTGCAAATTATTATATGTGGATTTGTGTTTTTCCTTGTTATTTTAAACAGATTTCAAAATCTTAATATATTTATGAAGTATGTAAAAACTTGGCTTTGTTGATAACGATTATTCATACTTTAGTCTAAACCTATAAGCATAAGCCTATTGTGTGAGAATATTTTTAAAAATATGTAAGTGCTCTGAATTATTTAATATCTAGAAAGAAAGAAAAACATTTATTCCCAGTTATAGCACCTTGGAATGAGTTATAATTAAATCCATTTGAATTTTCATTTCAAACTAGCATGCCCGTCCCCCCACGTTGCCATGGGGTTAAGGTGATACCAATACCAGGAGACCCTTTTTTTAGATTGTTGAATTTCATCCACAAATAGTAAATGTACACTAACAGTATGACAATTAAAAGACAAAAAATATAAATTAGTTTACAATTTTTTTTTTTACTTTTATTGAGGAAAAGGTGTAATTTAGTTACAATTTTACCTATTCACATAAAAATAAAAAACAAAAAAACTAGTTATTAAGTTCAATGATATAATAAACACTATGACAATTTTTTGTCAATGTATCTTCAAAAATAAACTAGTTATCCACATTAACATGACTCGTACTCCCAAATTCAGGGAAATTTGTCGGATTTTGTCACTACAAGTACAATAAAAGTAACTTATGCATAGTATCTAATATAAAAATTGTCATTTTAAAAAAGAGGTTACTAAAAACAAGTATACCAAATTTCATTATCACCAATACTTGTTATTTTATTGACCATGATGTTTTAAAAAATAACAAAAACCATGAAATGGAGAAAAACGAAAAAAAAAACCCGACTTAAACAGCAGCTAAAAGCTTACAGATGATAACATCATTAATTGTTTTATGGAAACATACAACATATGATTAAAAATAAATCAAATATGCATAAATAAAAGTAAAAGAACATTTGTAAAAAATATTTCTAAAACTTTTTTGACAAAAAAAAACAGAATTAAAAAAAAAAAAATCATTAGAACACCCTGCTAAATACTGTGGACCCCCCTTTAACTGTACTAGCCAATCAGATTCCCTTATTTCTGCATCTCTAACTATTTCCCTCCTCCTCTTCACCCCAAATCTAATGGCACTATCCGTTTTATAAATTCTAATGTCCAGACGTTTTCCAAATTTTTCAGTTTCCTTGCCCACCGATAACCCCAAGCCTAACATAAACTCCCTAGAAGCCCTAGACCCCATATGAAATTCTCCAACCCCTATAACTACAGCTGTTTCAACACTTTGCCTTTGCACAAAAATGTGTTTGGGACACCTGGACCATATCAACGAGTGGATACTTTAGTTGACGTTGTGTTTTCCTTGTAGACACCTGGTCAACAATTCATCACTCGACATTCCAGTAGCCAGTGATGAAACCACTGCTCTTCTGTTAATTTCATATAGTGTCACATTTTTGAAATGATGTAACTGCAGACACCTGGTCAACAATTCATCACTCGACATTCCAGTAGCCAGTGATGAAACCACTGCTCTTCTGTTAATTTCATATAGTGTCACATTTTTGAAATGATGTAACTGCATTTGTTGCATGACACAATCAAGAACAGAGCAATTCCAGCACTTTTGTATTTGTTGCCATCGCAGGACACAGTAAAATGTCCATCGTTACATTCTGGCATGAAAATTTTTCAGAGGTCGAATAGCATTGAGCTGAATAATAGCTCTTATAGATGCTATGTCAACAATATCCACTGAACTAAAAAGGGATCTGGAGGCAGATGCTGCTGCAGGTGTGGTTAGCTCAACAACTGGTTCAGCAACTTTAGGGGCGCCGGCAGACTTGCCTGATTCAATTTATTGAACGACCATAATGCCCCAAATCGCACACTGCAGGGGGCCACACCCCCCCCCCCCCCCCCCCCAAGTTTCATGGCACTCAGATGAACTATGTCGAACTTTTTTTTTTGCTTTTTATATATATAGATAGCTTGGGTCTAAATTTTTGTAAGACTAATCAAAATATCTTGTTTTTTAATTTAGTTATGCCTTATTTGTTGTTACTAGCCTAGCAAATAATATATTTGGGAGAATTTTCTCTTGAATATTTTTAAAGCATTAGCAGAAATCAAGCAGCATGTGCTAGTCTGATTATCAGGGTTCTACTGAATGTGCATGTATTTATAAATTTGGAATATTTTTACACACACAAATGTTAAGTTAGGGGCTGAATTTTAATGTCAACACCTTGTTTGTTTAATGCATTAATATTCAGGAGACGCTCCTGTATTTACCTACTTATATTTATATATTGTGAGCATCCTATGTGGCAAAAAATTACACTGCTTTTGATATTTGCAGTTTTACATATTAAAAAGATTTTAAGTGAGTTTTTAACTCTTGGAATAGCTAAATATTTTGTTTAGTCCTCTGCTTGAGAGCAAAAAATGAAAGCAACAATATCTGAATATTCAATGTGCTAATAATCTCTGTGTCCAAGTTAATTCTTTATAGTTTCAGAATTTGCACCAAGAATTTATTTAAGCTTAACTTGCCTTAAGAATCCATAAGAAATTGAAAATAGCAGCATGTTTTCTTAATAAAATATAATAGCTTCAATCATGTGTGTTCTGCACTTGCCTAACATGAAACCTGTTCCAAAGTAGTATAAATAGAATGGTAACTGTTTTATCAAATGTACAATTTGTAACCATCACTAATTTTCAAATAAAATCATCACTAATTAGTGTTTATCTCTGACACAAAATATTTTCACTTAGTCTTGTGTACTGTAGTTCAAGTAGACAACAATATTAAAAGTGAAAGTTATGTTTTTAAATGATGTCCATGACACTTTATTTTAGAATTCACCCAGAAAGCCGACTCTTAGTCCTAAGAATCAGGCTCCTCCTGCACCTGTTGTACCTATCGTTACACCCGCTACAGAAGCACCACCTGCCCAACAGGATCTGACTAACAACTTAACTCCTGCTATAGCAAAGGCTGTAAGTTTCAAATTAGTTGCAGCAGTGGCTTTTTTGACAATTTTTTCCCAGATATCTTAATTATGTGAGGCACACAAACTTTCAAATGCACTCCCTGTTGTGTCACCTGTAAATTAGTCTAATTGTGAAAAAGTTGAAATATTATATTTACTAGATCAAGGGATACCTCATGAGTTAATAGTTAATGCTATCCCAACTTTCTATGAAAATAATTTAGGGGTATATTTGCAGAAGCTCAACCAATAACTTAATTTGTGTGCCATTTTAAAAATTTTCTTAGCTATCTCAAATTTTTAGTAGGGATTGTTTCAACATATGTTTTCAGCCAACATTCAGACAAATAAGCAAGAAGTAGAAAAAAAATCTTGGCCCTTAACAACAGATCTGTCCAATAAAAATGGACAGAAAAGTGGTGGATGAAACTTAGTAGATTAAAGGCAGTTGCAAAATTGAAAGATTAACCATATTATCTAAAATCTAGACCACAATCTCTGAACACACAAAATTTTATTAAAAATTTTAAATTGGAAATATTCAAGAGAGTCATCTGTAATTTTAATCTGCATTATCATTTACAAAGGCTTGATCAGTTAAAAACGTCTATACCAAGTTCTATTATCAACGTAAATGCTAGCTTTTTAAAATTAGGCCTTTGTTATCAAACGATAGACTTTGTAAAACCACTGTTCCTTTGTTATATTATGTTTGTCTCCTGCTGTTTCTGTTTGAGTTGGACCATCTCTCACAACATGCTTTGTCTTTTAGATTTCCATATGTTTAAATATGTAGAAGAAAGATTATTATTAGTATGAATTTTTCTTAATTCTTTCATTTTTTTTAATGATGATATACCAAGAGCTTTGTCAAGTGCACAACAGATATAACGTACCCATTTTTATAATTAGTTGTAGAATTGGAAAAATAAACTTCAGTTTGTATCATTGAAATTGCTAAGAAACTTTGTAAATAAATGAAAACAAGACCTTGTATCTGTTTTTTTGGTGGACATATTTACCATGGCACCCATTTGAAAACTTGTTCTTCTGACATCCTGAAATAGACTGGTTCTATTTTTATGATGGTATCAAATGCATGCATTTCAAATTTCTGTATGAAAGTTTTTGTTGTAAAACTTACTAAACAATATTTCTAAAAGTAATCTTATCAGTAATGCTTGTGTGTGCTTTTTTTCAAAAACTTAGCCATTCCTGTGTTTTATATGGTCTGCTTGATTTTCCTTATTATTTTAATTCCTAAAACCTAATGTAATCAATGTTAAAAAGTTAATATTCATTTATTATTTTAAAATATTAATTACAAAATCAACCAATTTAATATTAATATAAAATTTCTTACATTCTTTAAGTGATTTTTTTCTTAGGGCTTCCCAATTATTTTAAGGTTTAAAAAAACAGTAAATACCCTTTCAGATCACTATCAGAAAGAGGAAGTAGAGTTCATTGGTTTCTCTAACCTTAGCATATGAAAGATACTATGAAATGAAATTGTCAACACTATGCTCAGCCACTTTTACTCTCCTAGACTAGTCAGGTACACTTCAGCATTGGGTGGATATGCACATTCTATGGACTTAAATCCATGGAACCGAATGTGAGACTTAGGTTGTAACCATACACCTTACTGGGCAACCAAAATATATACTAAATTGTTTTGATAAGTCTTATACCTAATCTTAAAGTTGTTTTTATCTTATTTTAAACAGCCAGTTCATCATGGACGAAGTGATTCAGACCCAGCTAAAAATCAAGATGTTCACGGAAGCTCTAGTAATGAAATTGTGAGTATTAATTCATCAGTAGTGATATTTTGTTTTTCAGCCATAACATAAAAATTTAAATTAGCTTGGCTTAACTCATATTGACTTTTGCATAATAGTGTTAGTAATTTACCGATCCTTAGTGACATGTTTTTAAAAATTACAATTACCTAGTTTAAAATATTTTTGTTTTAAATATATTTTTAGGCTATATGGGATGTATGTATGAAACTCAGGTCTGCTACATATGAGACTAATTAATTAAATTGCATGATCTTGAATTTTTCCCCATGCATATCTCAAGTTCATGACTCGCTCTTAATATTTTAAATAGCTACTTCAATATGTTTAAAAAAAAAATATCAGTTGATAAGTTGTGTGAATAGCCATGGTGATACAAGCATATTGCACCTTGCTTTTTTCAAGTAATAAATTTATTCCAATGTGCACACATTTATATTAGAAATTAGCATTTATCGAAATCAGCATTAAAAATGCTGGACTACACTAAAGTCAGCCTTATGTACGACTCAATACATATGAATTTTTACAAATTATGTATAATTTTTAAAATTTTTATATTTTTTTAATCTAGATGTGTATAGAAGTGTTTATCAGTTTATGCACTTATTATTTCTGCTTTTTTAATGAATAACAATGCTTAAAAGCATTGTTAATTGGGTATTAAAGATATAATCTTCTTTTACAATTATGGTGTCATTTATTGGAACAGATGTAAAGAGGGATATATTAAAAGTATTGAAGATGTTTTAATTTATTTCTTCTTTTAACAGTTAACTGTCCAGGCTTTAATGTTTTTACTCCCCAAGCAAAATAACAGTGCATTTGTCAAAGACCCCTATATTTTAAAATATCCACATACATTAAAATCTTAAAACAGAAAGCATTATTCAGGAAATTAGTCCTTGTCCAAATAATTTCAGCTAAGCCAATGCAAAAATTTAATTTTAGTATAACAATATAATAGTTACATATTTGGATAGAGGCTGTCAATCTGATTATAAATCAGTTTGAATTTTTAAAATTTGACCATAAACAAAAAAGTTATGAATTTTTAGTAATTAAAAAATAGCAGTTTTTTCAGACAACCGGGATAGACCCTTTAATTAAGAGGAAAAATACTTACAGGATATGGACCAAATTTTTAACAATTTTTCACTAAAAGTGGTATATAAGCAAGAAGACTATCAATTGATGTAATATTAAGATATTTTATAGATTTTTGTATGCTGAATCCAATGATGGTATTTTAAAAGGTGTCCTTTGATTACATAACCGGTTAATCTCATAGATTATTGGCAGATTTTTGTTAGAACATCTGATAATCCATGTGATATGAAGTAATTTTTGGAATTTAACACTATTTCAATCTATAATAAGACATTAACATATGTTGAAGCTAATGGTGGTATTTAAAATGGTCCACCATTGTTACATAAATTGAGTTGATTTCAACACACAGTGTACAGACCTTAATACAACATTAACCAAATCCCAAAACAACTGATAAGATAATTATTGTAAAACATAATTTCAAAGTAATTTAGTAAGAAAATAGTTGTTTTCTAAAAATTTTTTTTATCTTTTTAAATCTTTTTATTTTCATGTTTAACCCTTTGAGCCCTGGCCTCCCTGGCCTAGTTTCTCCCATTTCCTGAGCTCCCAGGGCCAAACCGATTTTCACTTATCTGCTTCTAACTTTGCCTATAACTTTTGAACCGTTTGAGATAATCAGATCAAATTTGATATCCAGATTCAGGATCAAACCCCAAAGCAGAAAGATTCTGAAATTCTTTATTTGTTTGCAATGTATGAACAGAACAATGTATATAAATCGAACACATAATTATTGTTTTGATAGAACATAGAAGAAACAAATTTACATTTAGTAATTGTTTTGTTATTATTGATACCTGGCCATACTAGTTCATCGCCAGAAGTCCACTTTTGTGTGATAACTTTCAAAACAGTTATCACTGCCGGACCCAATGCAAAGAAAAACTTAGCATGTTTTGCACCAGTAAACAGTTGCTTTTTTTTTTCGTTTCAGCAAGTCTTTGTCCTTGGCACCACGTGCATCATAACGTACTTGAACAGTTTCATTGTCACTGTCAATTTCAATGTCACTGAGTTCAGTCTCAAATTCAACGTCACTATCATCATAATATAGACCAGGAATATTATCTTCTTCGTCAGAATCAATAAGTAGTTGTATTGCCGTAGATGCAGTCATTCTACTTCTTTTGTTGATATTTCGGTCTTTTGCTTCATCTTTTGCACTGAAGTCGATAGCCGTGGCTCAACTTTGCGTTTCGGCGGCATTGCTACGAAATGTAAACACTTACACTTTTCCTAAAATCTATTTATAGAATCATAATCACGCACTAAAAAGACATTTGCGCAGTTTTAGTCAGTCTTCCGCTAATTATATTTAATTAGACGGTATATCGGCCGCTAGGAATATGACGCTAGATCATCGGGCCGGAAAACCGGCTTTTCGGACATATATGCCTAATGTTGAAGCCGGTTTACCGGCCTGGCGGGCTCAAAGGGTTAACATATCAGCATTCAACACTTTTCATTTTATATTGCTATAAAGTGATGTAATCACTCCTGTATAACACTAGTTTTATCTATTGTTATTTACCATATATTTTATATTACTGTTTCATTGTGAAAGAGGATAAAGCTAGGATTGTGTTTCAATTTTACCTAGATATTCAGAGATAGTAAAATCAACAAATTTTGGCAGTTGTCTGCATTTTTATGAGACTACTATTTATTCAGTATGTCCCAGTACACAATGCAGTGATTGGGATACTCCTGATTTATAAAAATTGATATGATGGCCTTTCTGATTTGTGTCACACACATAATGAGCAAAAAGAAAATACAGTGCCAAGTCACATGACAAGTGCTTTTGCCAAGTTCTTTTAGTTGAACTTATCTATGTGGCTAAAACCTTATCAGTTTTAATAGAAAAACATTGCCTTCAAACATTTATTAGTTTTTCTTTCTTTAATCAAACATCAACTCAAATAAATGTACATAAATACTTTAGTCTGTATTAATAAAGTAAGAGTAAAAGTTTTGCATTGTTTTTAAAAATAAATGTTAAATAATGATATTAGGTCTGGAATAAAAAATTTGGTATGGAAAATGCCTGATCTAACATTTAAAGTGTAGTATATATGCATCTTGAAATGAGGTACATTTCTATACAGCACTTGTAAAGTATATAGTTCTTACCTGTGCATGTACATAATTACTTATGATTTTGGTAATCTTCACTCCGGCCATCATAAAGCCAGCAGAGTAAGTTTTTTCACCTGCTGTAACACTGGTTTTGAAATTCTGATAGGCTTTTAAAATGTTTTGTCTGTTTAAATGTAGTAATATTAGTTTTGGCAGGTTTTTAAAATATTGTGTCCATTCACATGATGAATATTAATTCCTAAATTCTAACACTTATATTTGAGACATATGTCATCCTTATGGTGTATTTTTTACTTAATCGTATACAAAGTATAGAGAAAGTATTGTAATCGTGCAAAAAAAACAACAACACGAGATCTTTGCAAATCTCGACGTTTTACACCTCCCTGGGTCGGAAAAACATAGTTTTGCAATCTTGTCCGTGTGTGTGTGTGTGCCTGTAAACACGATAACTAGAGTATCGTTACAGCTAGGTTGATGAAATTTCATATATAAGTATTATATCTAATTTGTAGATCCATATCAACTTTTCAGCGATTTCCGATAACTGGAAGAGGAACTTTTTCTACTTTCAATTTTTCAAAAGCCTTTAACTTGAGTACTATTTCAGATAGATAAATGAAATTAAATATATAAGTAAAAGATCTAATTCTCTGCCTTCTATCAAATTTTGAGTAACTTCTGTTGACCGGAAGTAGTAATTTAGGCTATTTCCGATTTCTCAAGAAACGCATGTGAATTTCTAAAGCACAAATAATATTCCGCACTATTATACACATTTTATCTGGCATTCACTTGGTGTGCAATTCTTTTTCTACGAGATTCTATTCTATTTTAAAAGTTTAAGTAATTAAAAATGGATTTAAAATCATGCCTATATTGTGATGTGCCATCTCCCATAGTGTCATATAAGAATATTCGAGAAAGTTTAGGGCTAGGGGAGATCACTCCTGGTTTATTTTTACTTAAGTTCCTAATACAAGGAAATGACCCCAATTAAAGTTTGTTTACTGTTAAGTTGTAAAAATATAATCAATTTTGAAGTGCAAATTTTAATATTTTCAAATTTATTGCTGTTGTACCGCGCTTACAGCAATTTAAATGCTATTTTGGCAACATTCTATATCATTTGAACTTAATAAGACTAAGGCTTATTCCTTTAAATGCTCCACTTACAGGCTCCTAAACACAACCGCAGTCGTTCAGATAACTTAGTGCCTTTAGCCCCTAGTTCTAGGTATACACATGTAACGCAAGTAAGTTTTATATTCCTTTCATTTTTGTTAAGCATCAACAAAAAGTAACTTTTTGAGAATGTCAAAAGAAAAGAAAAAATTCCAATAGCTTTGCTGCAATTTAATTTTTACAAACTGCACATAATTAGATTGTTCCCAGTTTTTAGACTAGTGATTTGATATTATCTTTAATTATACGCAGCCCTTAAATGAAAGGCCAAAATCTCAATATGATTTGCCAAACTATGTCAACAAAAATACCAGTAACAAGAGCAGTAGCAGCGCTGAGATTGATTCTCATAGGCAACCCCCACATCTTTACAAACATGATTTGCAGAAAAGTAACCCAACAACACCTCCATTTGGAGGTTATCAAGTTCTTCCTACTGCAGTTGTGAGTCTCGTAACCTATAAATACAGCATGTTTTTATATTCAGTAATTAGCATGGTTATCATTAATAACAACCATGTATTGTAGAACAACCCATTTAAAAAATAATTTAAATTATCATTGAAACTAACATTTGATAGGGTTGTTCTGCATACATCAATGTAATGCAAGAATTGCTTCCTGCATATTAAGCTAAGAACTTTAACTGTATGGGTCTTTTTTTGTCTTCATTTTTACATTTCATTGCCCTGCTTTCAATAAGCTTTACAACAGTAATAAATTAAAGTATGTTTTATGTTATTGTCAAACACACCCTTTTTTCATTTAGCAGTTTCAACTTTAAGAATTTGATAGTAACTACAGCTAGTTAAAAATTAAAGACAGCATGCTTTTTAATCTAAGTTGAAATACATTTGAAATTATTTATCTAGATAACAAGAAACATAAAATGAATTGATTAATGACATATAGTGCTCTGTTTTATTTTTTAATCTCTAACTTGTTTGTTTCCTTACAATTTTGCTAAAACTAACTCGAATAAATAATACCAAAGGATTCTTGCTTTTAATAAATGAAGTTAAAGAATTCAGCAAGTAGCTACTCCAGAGCCATATGTGGCTAACCTACATGTCAAAGTTGATTACATTAATTAAAAGAAAAATAAGTTTAAATATAGAAATTTTTACCCCATTTCAATTACTTTATAAACCAAGTACTTACAACATAAATATCATGAGCACATATTGCTGTTCAATATTCCATTCTGTCTTTTCCACCGCAAATACTTCCATCTGTGTGACTAACATATTCTCCCAAAATACATTTTAGCTGATGTTCATAAAATGGCTCTTCACTCATAATATACTGTCAACATGTGTTTTTATTTATGCCTTAAATTGTGCATAATAAATTATTAATAAACAGAATGGTTCCTGAAAGAAAATCCTAGATCTTTTGATTGCTCTTACTATTAGATAAATTTATTGGAATAAACTAGTTATTAGAGAGTATGAACAATATTTATGGCTTTTGTAGTGCTAGATTCAAATTTTAAGTTTTCAGACTAAATACTGGTACTTATTGATTAGCTGTGCATCATATTTCTATAGTGCCTTTACATTATCCCAAAGTAACATTTCTGCAAAGGAGCGTAACCCATGTATGGCTACAGCTAATTATTGAGAACCTGTATCTAGTACAAATAAATGTTTGCCTACATAAAATATAAAAACTGCTTAGTACTGCTGAATTAATTGTTGAAACTACCTGAAGCAGTAAATTATTTCTTCAATTAATCTTGGGGGGAAAATGCCTTATTAAAAGTCTGAATTATACTACAAGTTTGTATTGTGTGTATCATGTATGTACATGTACACATTTGCATTCAGGTAAAATGTACATGTTATAGAAACTGATTTCATACATTTATAACTTGTTTTTACTTTTCCCTACCCAAGCTATTTCTAATATGGTTACTAATTCTTACTCCTGCTAATCTAAACACTATTTTAAATTAAGTAATTTTTAATTGCTATTTTTAAAACTTTAGAATAGGCCTAATCAATTTGCTTTACTATTTAATTTAATTAATCACAGTATTCAACAGTATTGCTAGTGTGTAAGATTGGTTTATTCTGCTCTACTTTATAAGTTTATAAAATTGATGTAAAAGTATACTATATTCTCTGAAATGTTTACAAAACCTAATATTAGGCATATAAAGGATGTAATGTGCTTTGTTTTAATCAATATTAAAATAATATTTTAAAATGTATTTTTAAATAGCAACACATATGTGATTAAAATATGTTCCTGCTTACCATTCTTACCTTAAATAACCAACTAACTCACTTTTTTACAAGCATTCGCTAAGGTTTATCGAGGCCTGTGTGAGAAGTTTGTGGTCAAATCTTGTGACTCGTTATTGACGTGTTTCTAATAAAGAATCATTTTTTTAAGCTTTGCAGCTTAGTGCAATTGCAATGAAAGAATAAAATCTTATTTTCAATCTAATAAGATATTCTGTACATCCATACAATTTAATATAAAGACAACTGTATAAAATTACTGGGAGATAACTAAAGGGGAAGCTGGAGTTGACTCTGGTTGTATGTTATTGTTTAACTTTGGTGGATGGTAATTAGGTGCAGATAATAATGGTGTGAGTACTTTTTATAAAGAAATAGTCAAGTTGATCATGCAAATAGCAAATATTTTAATTATGAGGGATGTTGACATAAAGCAATCAGCTTTGAAAGAATTATGTATTAACTACTATTATATTTTTTAAATATACAAGGCTTTTTAAAAACAAAAACTATGGACACTTGACAAATAAAATTATGTACACTGTTCTCTTCCATTTTCTATTTGAAATTTTATAAATAAAAAAAAAATACCCTGTTTATAAACTTGAGCAGAGGCGTTAGATTACCTAACACATTAAATATATTTCTTTTGTACCACTGTTTTGCTAATTCTTAATAAGATTAAAGATTTTTATTTGGATCTTTTTTAAATAAAGACAGTAATTGTTGCTATTTAGTAATTTATTAAAATTATGTAAAAATAAAAGTAAACTCTAAAAACAATAAATACAATTTTAAATAAAGGAATTAGTCATGGATGAAAAATATATTTCAGAATATTTACTTGTGGCCTAATTACATTATTACCGTAAAGCAAAAGAAAAATCTTCCACTGTTTTAAATATTACAGTTTTTAAAACCCTTGCATAAATAAATTTAAAAAAACATGTTCTTTTTTATCTACAGCCTTCCAGAGTTCAACCCTCACTTAGTCTAACAACTGCAGTTCAGCCAATTTTAACACAGGTTAGTTTTAAATTTCTTAATTTAAGCATTGTTATTCTTTACCTAAGGTTTATTGTTAAAAGAGTTTACATAATACATTGTTTATATGAGAAGCTTCTGTATATTACATTGACTTCTTGTGTTTTTATTGTTGTATAAGTTACAAGAAGAATACAACAATGAATTTCGAAGAATTGGAAGACCGCTGCCTTTATTGGAAGTTATCAGGGAGTTGCAGAATGCTTTTGACCTTGCTGAACGGTCCTGTCCAGGTCTTACTGATGATTTAGTCTCTGGAATATTTACTAGACTCCTGGTAACACCATCATCATCACAAATGCTGCTACAGTCTCGAGAAGTTGATGCCAAACGAGCCATGGAAAAAATTAAAAGGTGAATTTATTTTTAATGAAAGCTTTTTTAATGGAAAGTATTTACTTGAGGTGCTGTATTTTTAACTTTTTTTAATGAATTAATTAAAAGTTAACAAAATTTTAATCTTAATACTTTTGACTTTTTGAGAAAAGTTTTTTTTTTTCTTGACTTTACTGATCTTTAGATGCATTAATTTTGATGTTTGAACTTTGTTTTAGATCAATATAAAACTGTTGTGAGAAGCATGTACAATTTCTTCAAATCTTCACAGATAAAGTATTTTCAAAAAAAAAAAGCTAGGATTCATTGGCTCTAACAGGAATCTGTGAAAGAAGATAAATTCACTATTTTAAGTACTTCAATTTCATTTGTTTAAGCTTGTAATAGAAACGAGATAAGCCAATTATTTCATAAAAATTAAAACTTGCATACAATTTTTCCCATTTCCCAAAAAGTTGTTTAGAATTGTTCATAGGTTAAAATGTCAAATTTTATTGGTTAACGTTAGTAAAATTAATACTTATTGAATGTATTCAATTATTAAAATTTTTAAAAATATTATTTAAATTATTATATGTATGAAAACCACATTTAAATATGTAGCTTTACCAACAATTTCCTTTAAATATTTAGGTTATTATGTATTTGGTGTAATTCTGCAATTAAATAAATAATCTTGAAATAAGTGTTCAGTAAACCATCATATATTTAAACAGTTAGATATTTTAAAACATTATGTTAAACAAGCTCTGGTTTTTTTAATAGCAATTTTTCAGTTATTTTGTTTAATTAACTGTAGTAGTTTTAAATAATAATGGATATGTTATTCTGCCTGGCCAAGTAGGCAGAGTGCACTATTAGATTTCACTTGGCTTTCTGCACATTTGTTTTTATATTCTGCTGTACTGAATTACAGCATATTATCTTCTATGTTTAAAAAATAATATAAACAAGCAAATGTCTTTTTGAACTGACAAGATTAAGACTTAAAAATGGTCCTTGAAAAAATGCTAGTTAATTTAAAAATAGTTGGTTTTGTCAATTAACTGAATTCTTTTAAGTATTGTTTTGGTAAGATGTAAGGTAATTAGGAGTTATAAGGGTATATTTTGCTTTTTGTATATCTAAAATTTAATTTTTTTATATTGAAAAGTGACATAGGTACAACAGTCAAATAATCTTTTTTTTTAAAATTATGAGATCATTAATCCATTTTAATTTAAGGACCTATTCTCATTTATGAATTTGAGAAAATATTGATACTTATTATTGATTATTAAACCTCATCGAAAAGTTTTAAAAGTATATAAATGTTTTAACTATTTGTTAAAACAAAATGTATTAAATAATTTAATCTTTATTGGTAAATTTCAATTGTGATAAATTTAAGCAAATATGAGTTTATGTTGCTTTATAGAGCTTGACTTGAAGTTCAACAAAGCCGTCAAGTAATCATTTCAGAGGACATTGATTCAAATATTTCTCATGCTGTATATAGTTGCTTTCTTTTTTATAACTAATAAAAATTATCTTAACTGAAAAATGTGTCATTGTATTGAAATGGTTAAATTTAGTAACAATCATATTACCTCACTGTTCAAGTTTTTAAAAACAGGCTTTTTTTTTCTGTTATTTTTTTTTAAAATGTGACTAAAATTTTAATGAGTCTGGAAATCATTTTTATATTGAATGATTCCTACAAGATCAGTTGGTAAATTGTGAAATTACTTTCTTACTTGGTTTAAAATTAAATGCAATATTCTTTCTATTATATTATTTTCATTGTGTTGCATTTTCTTTATTTATATTCTAGAAAAGAATATTGTATATTAAGTTTTTTACATTAAACAAGATTAGTTTTGATTTCAGTTAAGTTTGTGTTAATTGATATAACTTTCAAAAACAATAACATTTTATGCCAACAGCTCCATGCATTTTCTATTGGTCCATGTAACATTCATATGAAATTATTTGTGGACAAAAATTGTTTTAGAATTTTAGTTTATATATATTCAAATCTAATTTAGCTTTTAACTTTTCATTGGGTTTAATAGTACAAATCTCCAATCTGTCATAACAATCTGATTGCAAACACACTATGCATTTATATTGAACAATTTCTTTATAAATATAACAATTTTCTCTATTTGCACCATGTTCCAATATTTAATCATTTTTTAGTATTGTGGGAATCTATTACAATCGCAGGGTATAAAATTTCATAAAATGCAAATTTTAAAGATGTGTTTGAATTTTTAAAATATTCAAAAGATAAGCTTGCAAGGATACCCTATGTTAATTTTGCAACAGCTTATATTATTACAAACTGTTATTGTCAGCTTGTGGTTATTTCTTTAGTTTATATCGACACATAGCTATGAAATCATGTATAAGGCATGGCTACAATAATATTTCAAAAGGAGATTATTGCTTCTTTTAAAATTAAACGAGATTACTATTAACTGTAGTTCATTTACAGCAGGTTGTTACATGTTCATACCATTCCTATTTATAATGCAGTAGAGACAAGTGTGATATATGGACAGATTTAACAACTACTCTTTTAAAGATCTTGCATTTTTCTCTCTTGTTTTGCTGTAATAATAATTATGGAGAATAGGTCAGTTATTAAATTATAAACCAAACAAGAAATTCTAATTACATAACTTAAAGTGATGTTATGAAATATATAGACAATGACATATTTCAATTATTTTGTGAGTCTACTTAACATAAAAGTACCACTTATGCATGACAGGGAAGAAAGTTTGGCGCATTTGAAGAAAACTATCTGGCTATAACTTGACAATTTTTTGCTCTTAAATTAGGACACTAGTTGTTTAATTTTTAAAGTAAGCCTGACTTGGTTTGGTAGAGGATGAGCATAATTTTGTTTATTTTAGAGTTTTATGAAAGGTGGCTGTAGACACCTTGTCTTACTGAGTCCAGCAGTTTTTAATTACCACTACATGGAAATTTTAAATTATATTTTTTAACCTGCTCTTGCTGAAATGATAGAATATTTCTCATTCAATGAGAAGTCAACTATTTTTGAAACAAAATATTTGTATGTCAAAGCACTTTATTTCCTTACACAAAGGAGAACCGATTATCTCCTAGTTATACTTCCAGTCTAGATAATATAAAAAATAAGGTGGCTCTAAAATCAAGTTGACTGAGCCTCCTTCTGCCAGAGCCAACCAGCTTTACTAAATAGAGTATATATAATATATATATATGAGAGAGAGAAAAAATTATTAAGCTTTCTCATTAGGTTTATGGTATGTCATATCATAACTACAAATTTACTGTATATTTTGAAATTAACATCTCTGTATCTCTATATATTGTGTGATACTTTCATACTACATTCCATTTTTGTGTGGATTTAGACTGAAATATACTGATATATATATATACATATATATATATATATATATATATATATATATATATATATATATATATATATATATATACATACATTATTATTAGATCTTGAATGTGGAAATCTAAGACAATGTGTGTAAATGTAATACAAATTTATGTGACTTATTATCTATTCAACTCTTGAAAGTGAATATAAATTATAGCCTTAATAAAATATGAATGTAAAAAAAACAACTGAGATTGCAGAATGTCTTTAAATAAAATTGTTTCTTTGAAGGGATTTATCTCCTCATGCCTTAAAAATGGCCATCAAAAATTTGTGTGATAACATGATGAATCCATGAATAACTGATTGTGATCATATTATAACCATTAAGTTTTCATTTTAAACATTTGTGTCTTATTTTATGTTCACAATTTGAGTGATTTAACTGCATAGCATTTGTTGACTTTGTTGAATTTCCTCAAATGATGTGTCAAATTTTGTGAAAAATTGACATGTATATAAAAGATTGTTTAAATTGTGCTTTAAATTACATACATAAAACAAACCAGTCTGTAACTATAATTATAAAAACATAAAATTATTCAATAAATATGTATTTATATTACATTGTATGATTTATAGAAATAAATATTACTTTGGAGATAGCTTTATTGTTATAAAATTTGTAATACTATACTAGTTAGAAATGTGTGACCATATTATTAAATTGATGGTATGTATGCAACTATCTTCATTACAAAAACTTGCTTAAGGTGTTTGAAGAATTTATTTAGTTTGTCAAACAATGAATTAAAAAATTAACTAATTCAAACTAAATACAAGCAAAGTAAAGAATGCTAAGGAATAGAGATGGGAGAAACAATTTGTATTAGATAATAATAATCATTAAAAAAGTTTAAAAAAACCCACGTTTTCTGATTGAACTAAAAAGTAGAAAATAAATACTATACATCACAATAATGCAAGCGATCACTCTACTATAAGCAATGAAAAACGTGGGGTGCCGAAGTAAAAGTTATATTACTATTGATTAGATAATACTATTGACTTTTATTAGGGAGCTTGTAGAGAGTCAACAGTATTAGAAACTGTAAGAAAATCACGGCGCCCCAAGTTTTTCATCGCTTATAGTAGAGTGATCGCTTGCATTATTGTGATGTATAGTATTTATTTTCTACTTTTTAGTTCAATCAGAAAACGTGGGTTTTTTAAAACTTTTTTAATGATTATTATTTTCTACTTTTTAGTCTTTGTCTGTTTGTTTGCATTGAAATCTTGCTATCGATTTTATCTTTTCACTTTTTTTGGGTAAACGAAGACAACTCGTAAAAAGACAACTCGTAAAAAACGAGAGACCCTTTCTTCTTCGGTCTCAATCGCAAGTGAATGATTGTCAGAGGTTAGTTGATAGCGGTTAGGACGAGGGCTGGTTACTGACTAGAACACATAGATTTGAACCCGTGTCGAGTGGGATAGCAATCGTGTGCCCAACCACTCGACCATATCGTCTCCCCCAAACTGGCCACCAGTGGTAATAGTTACCTCCTGTAAGTTTAAAGTCGGTTCAAACTAAATTATCTGCCCCTAAGCCTGTCACGACGTGGGATCGTTCGCTTCACTGCACGCGGCAAGAGAGAGGCGAGCTACGCGTCGCTCGTTTTTTTTCTAATGGCTCGCAGAGGAGAATTATATATATATAGATTATATAGCGGTCTAAAATGCTCAATAAAATGTTTCCATTGATCAATTTAGTAATAACAACAATTGAATATTCTATGGTCATCCAAAAGAAAGCTTCCCTGAAAATTTCAGCGCGCTAGCTAACTGGGAAGTGCCAGAAATTTCGATCGCAAGGTTTGATTGGAAAAACAAACAAACAGAGAAAGCAAGTTAAAGAAAACGTGGGAAAAAAGAATTCCTTTTGTTGCCCAGGGTATTCAATTAAAATGTAAAAAATAACAAACACGACTGACTAACCATATTTTGCAAAGATGACCCTGTGAAACAGGTAACAGTGTAGGGATTTGAATAAAAGGATTACTGTTTAACTGAAACATGCCTTGCCCAAGTGGTTATATAATTACAACCCTCCACCACTGCTAAAATGGGTTATGCAAACCACCACTCTTAAAATGGGTTATATAGCTGTCCACAACTGCTTAAAAAATGGGTTATACAAACCTTCACAACTGCTAAAATGGGTTATGTAAATCACCATTGATAAAATAGGTTATATAAACCTCCACCATTGCATTCTAGATAATAAATTTCACACAATACTATTAATTGTACCCAAGATCTACACGCGATTCGATTCACAGTAGTATACATTGTGTTGAGTGTGTGTGTAAGCGCAAAATGATGGCAATTCAAGTCTACTGTCAGCAAGTTATCACTTTAAGGGTACATAAACCACACTACCACTGCAAGACACTCAAATAAACCCTTCCATCATTGCCAAATAGGGTTATATAAACCTCTACCATTGCTAAAACGGATAATAAAAACCAGCATCTCATTCCAGAGAACCATATATACCAGATGTTTGCAGCAGCAGTTAAATTTTTGTTTGAGTAAAGATAACAGAACAGCAAAAAGATATGAATGGATACTAGTTTATTACAACACGTGTAAACAAAATACAATGAACTTGTAATTTCTTACTACATCATTTTTATTTGACATAAATCATCACTATTTAGTTTTTACCCTCAATAAAATAAAACAAAATAAATTAAAGTAAAAATTTTAAAAATATTTTTTTTTGGTATCAAATGTAAAATAAAATAATATTTTCTTAATTATGTTTAAGCTTGTTTAACTTTCCAATAATGAATAAACTGAGCTGCTATTATGCCATTGAAAAAAGATGAAACACAATAAGTTGCAATGGTCATGGCATCCCCTGTTTCTTGAATTGATGTGAATATCCTAGCAATTGACCCCAGAAACAGCAGGTACACAGTTATCACAGATAGCTGACCTGTACTACCATTCCTATAGTTTGCCAAAGCCTGTATTATCTGCAAATAATAACCAAAGTATTTATTTCAAACAGTATATGTATCATTATTTACAAATTGTTTCTCATCAAAGACTGAAATGCACAAATACCTTGCTTATAGAAACTAAAAATATGTTTCCTCCTTGTAAAACTGCTAACAGACCAGTAGGAGCAGATGGAGACAACAGAAAAGCCATAGCAATTGCATATGAAGACACATACACTAATCCTTTAGCTGTCTGGTTTGAGTAATACAGAACTAGATAGGCAGTCAAGCTTGTTTGTATAGCTAAAAATAAAGCTTCTCCATATGCTCTGAGGATGTAAAAAAACATTAATAACAAATAGATCTAATATAAATATAATAGATGGTGTGATAAAATGATACAGCATTCCAGAAAGTTCTAATCCAGGTCTATAGAACATCCCTGGGTCCACCCAGCTCTGATAAATATAACACATGTTAGTATTGTTAGGGAAAGTAAAGGCAGCTGGGCAAAGAGCTGAACACACCTTCCCTTCATATGCTAAGGTCACATAAAAAGGGGACCATAGGAGTTTGAATGGGAACTTTACTTTTTAATTTTTTATCATCTATAATTCATAACAGGCCTTATTTTGTCTTTCCAAAGATTTTGAGAGTAATTCTCATTTAATTCAGATTTCATAGTAATAATAAATGTTAGATGACCAATATTAATATTTAGAAACAATACATACGAAAAAGGAAACTGATGACCTTTTCCATAGGCCCAGGATGCAGAAATAGCAACAAGTTCAAGACTAACACTTAATAAACTGATGCCTTGTCCATTTTTGGCTTGCAATATCTTTACAATCTGTGGTAATTTCACTGTGAAATATGGTTTGAAATATCTGGGTTTTAAAATATAGTAACATCACAAACTTCTGAGGGGTATAGTGACCAGCTCACTTTGGTAAAATGTCAGTGTTATGGGGGGGGGGGGGGGGGGAGGGGGGGAAAGAAAGTGTTAGATCACATTTTTGAATTTTAAAAATAAATGTTTTTCACTAGGTTTTATATTGGTTATTTTGCTGCAATTTTTCACCATGACAATACAATATTAAACAATATTTTATCAGGAAATTTTTGAACTACAACTTCTAAGGAGGCATAGAATTTCAGCAAGTGGTATAAAAATTATGCCTGCTTCCAAAATAATTTAAATATGTTTATTTTTTCAGGTAAAAGGAGCTTGAGTTATTTCTTTGTGTACATCTGTGATGCTCCTGTCCCACCCACCCCCATAATTTTATTTCTATTTTTCATCTAGTACATCAATTCCTGAGATTTTATTCTGTATATTATTCCTCCATCCTCCCAATTACAAAATATTTATACATGAAACCAACATTTACAATAATAGCAAAATGCTAATAAACCAGGAGTAGGCCTTACTACATATCAATATTTAGAATATTTTTTTCATAAATATTTTGTATTTCTTCAAAATAATGATGAAAAATGTTAGGATTGGAGTATGTTAAAAAGGTAAACTAAGACATTAAACAATGGCAATGACATTAACAATATATTTAAACATTCTAGAAAGAAATGGACATACATATAAACATATATTGAATATATTAATGAAATGATATTCCTTCCCACTAAAATGTATATATATACAAAATTGAATTAGCACTTTCAACATAAATTATTCTAAAATCTATCTGTATTTATTTTGATGATATATTTCTATTAGAGTAATTATATTCCTACGAGCCTTCTAATAATTCCAGAAACAGCAGGAAAAAAGTTCAAGTGAATCAATATAAATTAAGAAGTTGCCTGAAACTTACCTATGCATGACCCAGCTATGATCCCGTAGCCAAGACATTTACTTATAAGAATCTTTAAACACTGGACTATAATAAAAAAAAAAAAACAACTGTCATAAATATAATTAATATTTATACAAAATGGTAATATTTATTGGGTGGAAAAGAAAATGTATACATAATATGTATACATTTTCTGCTCTCTTGTTAGTCCTCATGGTTTCCATTATTTATTTTCGTCTCTTAATGTGGTTGACATATATTTAAAAATATCTTAGGCTTAGAGATTTCTCAGTTAATAAAATTTTGTACCTAAAAATTCAATGAAAGCTGGAACTCGCTAGATCAGTGGTTCCCAAACTTTTTCGAGTAGTGACCCCCTTTTATAAAAAGTAAGTGACCCGTGACCCCCATAGAATTAAGAAGTCAAAAATAGTAAAGAAATTAATTAGCTATAAAATAATATTTTGTCGTAGACTTTCAATATGAATCATTCTTGATAACTGATTTAATACGATGAGTGAAATTACATGCTATTAACAAGCAATCAACATTTGCTGTTAATTGTTAACGCAAACCTCATGTCATTCTCAACATTTATTTCTTTGATTTGTTTTTTTGTTTTATTGGAGAGGTCATAAAAATCTAGTATCGCAAAGATATGTAGACACAAAGGGAACTAAAACTCAAAAGCAATCAATTTCATGTATGGGTATGAATGAAGAATACTACACCAAAATTGTGTGAGCAGTTTTTCATTGATAAAAATGCCCTGAGACTATCATGAAAAGAGATAATATTTGTTCATTTTCCCTGTACCTTCAGGTTAAGCTTATGTTGATGTTCTATACTCTCTCCAACCACTCTGTTGTTTAAGTATATCAAAAGGTCTTGTTTCCCTTGCACTTCCAAGAACAGCTTGGCTTTAACTTTAAATTAAAAAATCCGATTCACAACATTTCCTTTTGACAGCCAGCGTACTGCTGGTAGAAAAGCAGAACCTTGTGATCTTTATATATGTCTTGGCACAGTTCTTCAAACAGAATAGTATTTTTAGGGCTTCAGATTAAATATAATTTACGACTTTTATTAGCAATGGAGTCGGACGATTCTTGCTGGCAATCAGTTGACTCCCCTTGATTGGGGAGCTAAATCTTTCACTTTTTTCTGAAAGCCCCATTTTCACCCAAACATAGACGTGCACCATCCGTACAAACCCTAACCCGTTTTAATCCTCCAGTGTTAAAAAACGTATTTATTTTCTGCATGATATCTTCACAACATATCAACTCTTGTTGATATCATCTGAATGAATATATTTCACAAAGACAAACAACTGCGAACATGAACTCACGTCTGTTAATTCATCACTTGAAAAGCAAACAATGGCTAAAGCTTGATTTCACTCAATATTTGTTCTTTAACATCTATGGCCATATCTGCTATAAGCTACTGAATAGTATTATAAGACAGATATTTGTTGCATCTTTACTACACTGGAGTTCCTAATAATTTATTTCACCATATTCAACATGTAGGGTTTGATTTTTTCCTGTTGTGTGAGGGTTTTTTTTTGCTTGGCAATTTCTAATATGACTTCATATGATTCTTGCGCTAATGCTGTATTTTCTTGGTAAAAACTTCATGTTCAACCAAGTCTGTGACGTTTGCAACTAGCTTCATACTGACGAAATATCTCTTTTTTTTGGTGTTCTGAATGACTCGTCTCAAAATGACGTTATAGTTTTGAAGGTTTCATAGACTCATGACTGAGAACAAATTTGCACAGTACACATTGTTTCTTCTCTATTCCATTTTCAGTGATGTTAGTAAGCCGAATTTTAGATTATGTTTTTTTGTTTTCATTGCTAGGATTTAGTCTAACATTTGAATTGTCGACCCCCCAGAAGGCCCTTCACGGACCCCATAATGGCTTGGATAAAGCAAATATGAAAAAACTGATACCACGTGACAAGGAAAGTGCATCAAAGTACAAAAATATTTCATCCACCCCCCTCCCCAGTCTAACATCCAACATTAACAACCTCACAATAGGTTCCTACAGTATTTGCATTCTGATATTACTTGTAATTGTAATAGTAATAGTCTATGATGACTACTATAGTACTATAGTCTATAGGCTACTTACAGTACTTAGTACTAACTATGTTATTGTTACATACATACTTTACATAGTAATTAGTGTGTAGTGTAGTAGTATGTATTATTATTATCATATTATGTATTAGGCCGAAGGCCTAAACTAATTAGATCTATGTATTAAATTATTAATTAATATTTAATATGTACCTAAGCCGTACCGTAATAGTTAAGTAGGCCTAACCTAACAGTTACAGTACAGCCTAAACAACACACAGAGTTACACGTCAGTACTGACTACTGAGTAGTTAATAGTTATTCAGTGCAGTATGTAAGCTTACTAAACACTAAACACTAATTAATTAGGCTAACAGAGTGAGAGTATTAAATTCAAGATGTGATACCGTGTAAAAAATTTAATTTGACAAAAAATTCGTTAAAACAGTCTTCAGGCACAATCAGTTGAAGCCATCCTGATAAAAACACAGGTAAAAATGTCCCATTTGTGCTGTAAGTATTTGCTGTGTTTTCCATGATTGACACAGGATGGTTGCCAGATCAATTTGCTCAAAAGTGGTAAACAACATAGCAAGACCTTTAGATCTAGATCTAGATTTATAAATTAAATTCAATATCCACAAAATTATGGTAAAAATCGTGTCTAGCACAGGATTAAAAGTATATAATTTTCATTTGCTGTGTACTATAATATACCTTAATATATATATATATATATATATATATATATATATATATATATATATATATATATATATATTCTTTACAGGTAATTGCAAAAACAACATTCACCGAGTTTAGCCTATTCGGATTGTAAAAAAAAAAACAAAAAAAAAACAAAACAAAAAAAAACCCATAGTTTTTTCCTATTTCTGAATTTTGGTTATTCATCTTTTGGAGTAAGTTATTGAGAGTAATACTCTTACCCACAGTATTTTTCTATTGTTTTAGCTAAATTTACCCGAGATATGTTCGTAAACACATCAGTACGTGCAGTTTTTAAAAATAGAATTTATATAGAAAATATATACTTTTCTAGTGTCCGCCCCCCTGCACCCCCCCCCAATTTTAAGTGCCCCTCCCCCTGGAGAAAAAAGTCTGGAAGAAACACTGAATACGTGCTGTTCATCTTGACTCATACCAACGTTTTTTAAGTTGTGTGAGAATGTTTTTATTATGTAATTTGTTCAACTGTCTTTTCTCCTTCCCACATATTTGCATTGGTTTTTTAACACAATCCGCTTAAAAATGTGTACATCTATAGAAGATGCCTTTGGAAAATGTACGTACATGTACCTGCACATTTCTCTTATAGATAATAGTGAGATAGCAAAGATAAACAAAATCGTATTCCACGGGACACACTTATCGTGAACAGTAACCCTATGTCTCTAGACTGATCGTATAACCCAAAAATAATAGGCCTCGACCTGTATAAAAGATGATTGCATGAATTGAGCCTGACAAACTCAAGTAAAGGCTGCACTTTTGAATTAGATCGATGTGGTTGACTGTCAATATCGAACAAGAATCACACAAACAGTTGATATACAGGCGCTAACGTGGATTGCTATGGTGACGAAAAGGCCCTCGCTCGTGCCTGTCACACAGTGGTTCTTCCAGACGTTTTTCCGAAAGAGATGCCTGGAAGAAACAGTGCTGTCAAACAGCTAGGCTTGGAGAAGTAAGCCAAAAAGTATACACATTGAAATGTGATATTTAGGCTACGTAACATGACTATTTTAAATTCGTAGTTTCTTCAGTAATGTGTTTGCTGTTTTTTTTTTATTTTTTTTATTTTGTGTCGTTAAACTTGTATTAAATTTTATTAAATTAATCTCCTAAAAAGGTGCCACTGTCCATAAATGTTTGTAGGGTGAGCGGCCGCTCCTCCACCTCCCCCACCACTGCGTACGCTTCTGTATACTTTGGACGCATTGATTGCAATAGGTCTGTGACACAGGGGCGTAGCGAGGGGGGGGGGTGCAGACCGCACCGGGTGACACCAATTAGGGGGGGGGGGGTGACACCAAGGCAAAAAATAGCAAAATATATAGAGAAAAACTTGAGGGGGGGGGTGCAAATCGAAAACTAGAGGGGGTTGGAAATCAAAAGTTTGAGGGGGGGGGGGGATGCAAAGTGCAAATCGAAAGTTTGAGGGGGGAGGGTGCAAATCGAAAATTTGAGGGGGGGGGGGGGTTGCAAATCGAAAGTTTGAGGGGGGAGTGCAAATCGAAAATTTGAAAGTTTGTCCCCGGGAAGGGTCGCTACGCCTCTGGGGGGTAACACCATTAAGTGCCGCACCGGGTGACACCCGACCTCGCTACGCCACTGCTGTGACACAAAGATAGTGATTACTGATGATAAGATATGAACATTGTATTGTCTCGTCTCGGATTTACCAGGTCTAATTTTAGATTGAAAAATGTGATAAAACCGAATGTTTTCTCGCCTACTACTGACAACTGGGCCAGAACAACGGGACAGCCATAAGACCATCGAGACACAAAGTGTAACGAGTTTCCCTAGATCATGGATCTGTTTTCTGCGACATTGCTTGTCTTAGCTGGTGAGTTGCATTTCAAATCTAGTTACAGCTGAACGTACTACAATTTGGTTTCCTGAAGTAAATATTTTAGCTGTTGGACAAGTTACAATTATTACATAACCTAACATTGACTAGAACATTTGTGCTATTACATAAGCTAACATTGATTAGAACATTTGTGCTATTACATAAGCTAACATTGATTAGAAAATTTGTGCTATCACATAAGCTCACTGGTTGTTCTCACACTGTCCACAGGTTTGATCAGCCTCGGCCACTGTTCTGCCTGCCCTCCGACAGCTCAGGATGTCGAAAAATGCTTTTCAGACAACCATATGAGTTTACCGGCCAATTTCGACATGAAATCACCATCTGTAGCCAGCAAACTCTTTTGTGATCAGCCCGACAATGCCGCTAACGCCATCGCTTGTGTCTTTCAGTTGGCCATAGACTGCTCCTCGTCCGAATCGATGTCAATCAATCTAGCTGATTATCTGCCTTCACCCAGCAAAGCTAAGGACATGGTAAGCATGAGCTGTAGAAATATCAGCTTGATCGACGAGACGTGCACTGCCAGCAAATTGTCCAGTGTAACCGCTTGTGCTGCTAGCAAGGCCGCAGACATAGCCAGGTCGTCTTCATTTGATCTTGAAAAAATTATGTGCAAGAGCTTTGAGGTTTCTAATGGCTGTATAAGACCAGCCCTGGAATCGTGCGGCTGTGCAACCGTCCAGTTACAAGAAGAGGTAATGACCGGACCCATGTGGCCGTCCAAGTGTCCACGCCCAGACTTTAGAACTGTTCAATGTGACCCGAATGACCCCAAATCATTTTTAGGCGGCTCGGGGACTAAGATGATCCCAAACACGATGCTTTTGTTCATTTTGTTTTGTATCTTGATGAAGTGCTATAAGCAATAGATACATATTTTAAATACAAAGCTTATACACACACACACACACACACATATATATATATATATATATATATATATATATATATATATATATATATATATATATATATATATATATATATATATATATATATATATATAAATGTATACACACAATACGTAACATCATTAAAGTTCATTGAAATATTAACTACCAGGCACAATTTCTTTTAGTTTATATTTCTTTCTTTTTACTTTCTCGTATATAAATTATAGGGATAGTATTGAAATCATGCAGAAAAATTAAATCAATGTTAATAGTTTTTTGCCGTTTTACGCCTCCCCACTACAACATATTCGGAATATAAAGGATGCACTGTAATTGCAAAAAACTTAGTTTTGCAGCCTTGTCCGTAAGTCTGTGTCTATGTAAACATTAGAACTATAGTACCGTTTCAGTTAGGTTGACCAAATTGTTGTAACAAATTGCAACTTTCTATCAACTTTTAGCGATTTCCGGTAACCGGAATTAATACGTACTATACTTCTGCTTTCTAATAAGCTGATAACTTGAGTGCCATTTTAGCTTGGTAAGACAAAAATTCAAATATAAGTTAGAGATTGTAAGTGTAAGCTCCTTTCAACGTGTGTACAATGTACAATATCCGATAACCAAAAGTGGTAGGTTGCTCGGTTTTCTTAGTAACACGATAACTTAGAAACTGTTTCAGTTAGGTAGAAGTCATTTTCATATATAAGTATAAGATCTAATACTTGGATTACTCTCAAATTTTGAGTGACCTCCGATATCTGGAAGTGGTACTTTACTCTATTTTCGGTTTTTCAGATACAGGCAATTAGATTAAAGAAATTTTATATATAAGTGTAAAATCTTATTCTCTTGATTTTGCCAAATTTTGAGCGATTTCCCGTCACCGGAATTAATACTCCTCCCCATTTTAATAACAGGCTTTTATGTAACAATGCACTAAAAAGAAGAGCATAAATTATACACTACTATTTAAATAACTGTAAAGAAAAGCTGGCCAAGGATTCTATCCCACCATATCCACATTTGCCAAGTTTCTTTAATTGATAGTTTTAAACTGTTCAATATCAAGGGCCAATTTCGTTTTATACTACTTTAAAACTCACTAAACTTGATAGTTAAAACAAGACATATTCATAACATGATACAGGAACACAATAAGTCACACTTGTGGACAATCGTATTTTATTTCTCAGGTTCAGTTTTCTATCACACTGTTTTATTATCACTGTAGCAAGGGTCGGAGCTTGTCAAACGTCAATACAAAACCTAATGCAGGGACGCTACCGTATAACTGTACTAGAATAGAACGTCAAAGGCAATCGCCGTGGGACTTACCAGATTAGTGAAACCTACTACTGATAGATTTGTGATACCTGATAGATTAGTGAGGACTACTACTGACAGATTAGTGAGGACTACTGCTGATAGATTAGTGAGACCTATATTGATAGATTAGCGAGGACTACTAATGATAGATTTGTGAGGACTACTAATGATAGAGTAGAAAATCCTTATTATAGGAAAAAAAAAGTAACAGGAAAAATCCTACTACTAATACATTATCTGGGTTTACATAAAATAGGCCGGCCATTTTCTTATATATTAGGTTGGCCAAGTCTATCAACAATCGTGAGGCCATCTCAACATAGATGACCATCTCAACATTAGCCCAACCGGCCATCAAAATTCAATACAGTTTAAAACAAACTAGAAACTTGAACTAAGTAAACCATGAAATGTTTTCCAAATGACTTTTGTAACCTTCTACTGATGTAATCAATCAACAAGGCCGCTAATCATACAATTAAAGAGCAAGGAATGAAACAACAAGAAGCGACCCTAATCAACTACATGAACACATGGAGGCTGGGCAATGTCCTGCAGCACAGTTGAGCTGACACCACTCTCTTGATCCGTCTACTGTAGAGAACGCCGCTACAGCCACGCAGCTTTTGCTCTGATCACCACACACGCAGGTATCAGGAGGACAGTTGCCCAGTGGGCAGTTGGTCTGGCACCAGTCGTTGTATTCAACTTGACCTTTGGCCCCGATACACGATGAGCCAGTGCTTGTGGTAGTAGTAGCAACTGCTGACGTCAGTGCTTGCGTCACTCTGCTATTCGTCACTTCCTTTACGCCGCCAGCAGGGAGAATCCTAATGTCAGAACAGCCGTAGAATGATTCTTGTGGTCCACAGCCTATACACTGTCGGCCGTCAGGGTCCACCCCCCAGCTGTTGCCTAGGTCAAGAAAACATAGGGCGTGAGGAAATCTCCCGAACAGCAAGTGTAAGCCGTCAGGGATTATGTGGGAAACTGTCAGGGATTATGTGGGAAACTGTCAGGGGTTATGTGGGAAGATTTTAGGGATTATGTGGGAAACTGTCAGGGAGTATTTGGGAAACTGTCAGGGATTATGTGGGAAACTGTCAGGGATTATGTGGGAAACTGTCAGGGATTATGTGGGAAACTGTCAGGGATTATGTGGGAAGATTTCAGGGATTATGTGGGAAGATTTCAGGGATTATGTGGGAAGATTTCAGGGATTATGTGGGAAGCTGTCATGGATTATGTGGGAAGATTTCAGGGATTATGTGGGAAGATTTCAGGGATTATGTGGGAAGCTGTCAGGGATTATGTGGGAAGATTTTAGGGATTATGTGGGAAGATTTTAGGGATTATGTGGGAAGATTTTAGGGATTATGTGGGAAGATTTTAGGGATTATGTGGGAAGCTGTCAGGGATTATGTGGGAAACTGTCAGGGATTATGTGGTAATGTCATTACTTGTGTGGTAATCTATTAGTTATTGTGTGATAATATGTTAGTGATGATAATGTCACTAGGTAGCCAATGACTTACCAGCATGATGTTACTAGGTAGCCTATGACTTACCAGCATGATGTTACTAGGTAGCCAATGACTTACCAGCATGATGTAATTAGGTAGCCAATGACTTACCAGCGTGATAATGCCACTGGAGAACACAAAAGTCACATGTGACGTCAGATGGCAGCACAACATCGATGTCGTACATCTTGGCCTCTCCTGAGGTCAGTTGGAACCTTGACCCAGAACCATCGGCTAACTTCACAAGGTGAAGGTCAAGACACTCTTGCGTAGTTTTTTCCTCCGCGCTGTTTTTTGGGCAAATTCTAAACTCAAAATATCCTGTGTAGTAGAGGATTAGTGTAAACATCAAATTCTAGACTCAAAATATGTGTAGTAGTGGATTATCGTAAACATAAAAAATCCCATGTATAAAAAACGGACTACCCGTTACTCTGTGGACTATGGCAGCAAATGTGTTAGACCCTCGGCGTATTGGAAACATGGCGTGCAGTGTTTATGAAACATGTGATAATAAACACCCAATTGTGTGTTTATTGTATTACTTTAGTACAAATCTCTAGGGAGAATATGTTTTTTACTTTCTCGTATTCGGTGTAAAGAGGAAGGATTGTAATAATGAACACGCATTGAATAAGATTTTGACAGGTCTCGCTGTTTCACACCTCCCTATTTTATAGTGCGAAAAATGTAAATCGAGGTTAAGACAAATTTTGACCTTCTGGAGCCGGAAAAACTTTTGCCATCCTGCAAGTATTTGTGTTGCGCGCGCGCGCGCGCGCGTGTGTGTGTGTTTGTTTGTATGTGTGTGTGTGTGCAAACACAATAACTTGAGTACCGTAATTTCACGTATAAATATTACATCAAATTTGCAGTTTTCTATCAACTTCTGAGAAATGTCCATTAAATCTAAAATTTGAGTACCGTTTAAGTTAAGTAAACTGAACACGATATCTTGAGTGCTGTTTCAGTTTGGTAGGAAAAAAATTCACATATAAGTATACAATCTTATATTTCAATTACTGTAACATTTGGAGTGATCTCTGATATACAGAAGTGGTATGTTATACTATTTTCGGTTTCTAAAATATTGATAACATAAGTATCGTTTCAGTTAAGTGGATGAGGTTTAATACATAGGAATAAGAATTAATTTTTTAAATTCTATCAAATTTTAAGCAAATAGCTAGTTAACGATAATCTAAATGTGGTTTACACCTAGAATACTCATCTAGAATACCTCTATGATTGGCTGTTAGGTCCACCTGAAAGGTTGCCCTTTGACCCTGTGTGTATGTATTCGTCACAGTGCCTGTTGCGTATTTCCCGCCTTCTTCATTCTCACGCATTCCATCATACGGGTCTCCACATACCCCACACCTGTAGCCTAGGCTCTGCTGATGCTAGATACAAGTAGGTAGAGAATGTTTTAGGCTGGTTGATACTACAGGTGAGAAATGTTTTAGGCTGGTTGATATCACAGGTGAGAAATGTTTTAGGCTGGTTGATATCACAGGTGAGAAATGTTTTAGGCTGGTTGATATCACAGGTGAGAAATGTTTTAGGCTGGTTGATATCACAGGTGAGAAATGTTTTAGGCTGGTTGATATCACAGGTGAGAAATGTTTTAGGCTGGTTGATATCACAGGTTAAAAATGTTTTAGGCTGGTTGATATCACAGGTGAGAAATGTTTTAGGCTGGTTGATACTACAGGTTAAAAATGTTTTAGGCTGGTTGATATCACAGGTGAGAAATGTTTTAGGCTGGTTGATATCACAGGTGAGAAATGTGTTAGGCTGGTTGATACTACAGGTGAGAAATGTTTTAGGCTGGTTGATATCACAGGTGAGAAATGTTTTAGGCTGGTTAATATCACAGGTGAGAAATGTTTTAGGCTGGTTGATACTACAGGTGAGAAATGTTTTAGGCTGGTTGATACTACAGGTTAAAAATGTTTTAGGCTGGTTGAGATCACAGGTGAGAAATGTTTTAGGCTGGTTGATATCACAGGTGAGAAATGTTTTAGGCTGGTTGATACTACAGGTTAAAAATGTTTTAGGCTGGTTGAGATCACAGGTGAGAAATGTTTTAGGCTGGTTGATATCACAGGTGAGAAATGTTTTAGGCTGGTTGATACTACAGGTTAAAAATGTTTTAGGCTGGTTGATATCACAGGTGAGAAATGTTTTAGGCTGGTTGATATCACAGGTGAGAAATGTTTTAGGCTGGTTGATATCACAGGTTAAAAATGTTTTAGGCTGGTTGATACTACAGGTTAAAAATGTTTTAGGCTGGTTGAGATCACAGGTGGGAAATGTTTTAGGCTGGTTGAGATCACAGGTGAGAAATGTTTTAGGCTGGTTGATATCACAGGTGAGAAATGTTTTAGGCTGGTTGAGATCACAGGTGAGAAATGTTTTAGGCTGGTTGATATCACAGGTGAGAAATGTTTTAGGCTGGTTGATATCACAGGTGAGAAATGTTTTAGGCTGGTTGATATCACAGGTGAGAAATGTTTTAGGCTGGTTGATATCACAGGTGAGAAATGTTTTAGGCTGGTTGATATCACAGGTTAAAAATGTTTTAGGCTGGTTGATACTACAGGTTAAAAATGTTTTAGGCTGGTTGAGATCACAGGTGAGAAATGTTTTAGGCTGGTTGAGATCACAGGTGAGAAATGTTTTAGGCTGGTTGATATCACAGGTGAGAAATGTTTTAGGCTGGTTGATATCACAGGTGAGAAATGTTTTAGGCTGGTTGAGATCACAGGTGAGAAATGTTTTAGGCTGGTTGAGATCACAGGTGAGAAATGTTTTAGGCTGGTTGATACTACAGGTTAAAAATGTTTTAGGCTGGTTGATATCACAGGTTAAAAATGTTTTAGGCTGGTTGATACTACAGGTTAAAAATGTTTTAGGCTGGTTGAGATCACAGGTGAGAAATGTTTTAGGCTGGTTGAGATCACAGGTGAGAAATGTTTTAGGCTGGTTGATATCACAGGTGAGAAATGTTTTAGGCTGGTTGATATCACAGGTGAGAAATGTTTTAGGCTGGTTGATATCACAGGTTAAAAATGTTTTAGGCTGGTTGAGATCACAGGTGAGAAATGTTTTAGGCTGGTTGATATCACAGGTGAGAAATGTTTTAGGCTGGTTGATATCACAGGTGAGAAATGTTTTAGGCTGGGGTATATCACAGGTGAGAAATGTTTTAGGTTGGTTGATACTACAGGTTAAAAATGTTTTAGGCTGGTTGATATCACAGGTGAGAAATGTTTTAGGCTGGGGTATATCACAGGTGAGAAATGTTTTAGGTTGGTTGATATCACAGGTGAGAAATGTTTTAGGCTGGGGTATATCACAGGTGAGAAATGTTTTAGGTTGGTTGATATCACAGGTTAAAAATGTTTTAGGTTGGTTGAGATTACAGGTGATTCTCAACCAGCTGCATGTGAGAATAAGAGTTTAAGAATGGTTAAAAGAATACGAGAAAAAACTTACACCAAAGCCTCCACAGAACAGTTGGTTATCCTGGTAGTTGATTGGCGTGCCATAGCCCCGCCTCCACATGGTACTGCGACCTGGTGGCTCCCAGAGCCGTCCGTGGCTGCAGACTGGAGGTGACCAGCAGATGACCAGGGCTATGCTCAACCAGATGCCGGCTGTCTCCATTTGAAATCCTCCGCTAACTTTCCACAGGAATCCAATCCAAGATTACAAATGCTAGCGCCGAGACAAAAGTTGGTGTCGGAATGTTGGGCCGCTGATTTTATCCAAGTACAATCACAAGATTTACGATTGTCGCGCCGACCCCAGCTATCTATTGTTTCCGATCTTTATTGGAAATAAATTTGCATGCTAAACAGAGAATAAACTTGCGAACAGAACCAGGTTGTCACTTGAGTAGAAATGAGACAGTGTTGGCGACTTATATATGCCAGATAGGGCACGACTATCGAATGAAAATCGGTAACACATTAAAAAGAAATAATTGCTATTTTCTAGATGTGGGAATGGGGGATGTGGGTTGGGGTCTATATCCGTGAGTCAATGAAAAGTTATCGCCGCTGGGTAAGTTTAGCCTGCTGAATCACCCGACAAATCCGCCTCTGACTGAGGTCAGACTTTACGGCCGAGTGCATGTCCTTAGATACACTGCTCGTGACGTCAGCAATGATAACCGTGCGGCGTCAATTCGGCCAATGACGAAACGGCCCCGTCAAAACGACCCCGACAAAACGACCCCGTCAAAACGACCCCGTCAAATTGGCCCCGTCAAAAGGGCCAGCGACATATGGACCCCGTCATATAGGCTCCCGACAAATAGGCTCCCGTCATTTAGGCTACCGACAAATAGGCTCCCGTTATATAGGCTCCCGACAAAAGGGCTCCAGTCAATAAGGCTCCTGACAAATAGGCTCCCGTCATTTTGGCTCCCGACATATAGTCTCCCGTCATTTAGTTTTTTCCACAAAACGGCCCCCGTCATTACGACTCCCGACAAATAGGCTCCCGCCATTTAGTTTCTCCACAAAACGGCCCCCGTCATTACGACTCCCGACAAATAGGCTAGCGTCATTTTGGCTCCCGACAAAAAGGCTCCTGTCAATTTGGCTCCAGACAAAAGGACCACTGACACAGTGGCGTAGCTGCCGTAAAGCTAGCGTAAGCAAGGCATGGGGGCCCAAGGCACATAGGGGCCCTTTTCCCTCATAAAAAATTAAAACTTTTACAATGGAATTTTAATATTTGTTACATTTAAATAATTTTAAAAAAGAAAAAGGTTAAAAGTTCCAAAAAGCCCCCCCCCCCCCCCCCCCCCCCCACCGTTTCGGCAGTGGGATTCAGTGTTTGTGGGTCAAACAGAGCCCAATCGTTATAATAACACTACAGGCTATATCACTTTGTCGTGCAAGACATTGAGAGAATCAGCCCATAAATAAACTTTTTAGCAGTAGTAGGCAAGCATAATAATATAGTATAAATACAAAATCAGGACATATAAAATACAAAATGTTGCCTTCAGAATATTTATATATTAAAAAATATCCATCGTAAGTAGAAGTTGATATCTTCGTTTAACTCCTCTGTAGCCTAACGCAGAGGCGTAGCGAAGGCGAGGCGGGGGGTGCGGACCGCAACGGGTGACACCATTTAGGGGGGGGGGGGGGTGACACCAAAGGCAAAAAATTGTAACATTTATAGAATGAAATGCCATTTTCCAGATCCATTAGTTTAAGTTAAATAGTCTTCTAAGTACAAATCGAAAATTATATCAAGAGGGGGGGGGGGGTGTGACACCACGACGTAAACGTAAACTATAAAGAAAACAATGCTACATCCAACTGTATTATAAACAGACTGTAGATAAACATCGTTACTATTAAGTCAGCAGTGATTAAAGCTTAAACACGTACGTGTACCAGTATGTGGCATATATATAAATTTTAGGCCTATGTAGGCCTACACACACACACACACACACACACACACATATATATATATATATATATATATATATATATATATATATGCTTTTATTTCCTGGGAGGGGGTGACAAAACGAAGTGCCGCACCGGGTGAGACCCGACCTAGCGACGCCACTGGCCTAACGGCTGACGAAGGGGCCCACTGATAATTTTTGCATAGGCTCCCCAAAATCCTAGCTACGCCACTGCACTGACAATACTGTTTCTGTAGAGACTAAGTCTCCCGGCAAAGTGGTCTCATTGAATATGACATCTGCCAGTGGGACCCCTTCATCAATATTCTTTAGAGTTAGCTTATCCAACACTCTTATGTAATACAACGTATGCATCTCTTGTTCGGCAGGCCTTATTTTTATATTCGTTTATCTATTATAAAATATAGTATGTTTTAATTTAAAGGTCATCTATCTATGACATCCATAATTGAGTCGGTTATAGGCTGTTCCAACTCATTGTGTGGGGAGAAGGGTCCACGCTGTACCTTCCTAACTGCAATATGCTTGTACAGGGGCGTAGCGAGGGGGGGGGGGGGGCGGGGGTGCGGAACGCACCGGGTGACACCATTTAGGGGGGTGACACCAAGGCAAAAAATAGCAAAATATATAGAGAAAAAGTTGAGGGGGTGGGGGTGCAAATCGAAAGTTGGGGGGGGGGGGGTGCAAATCGAAAACTTGAAAGTTTGTCCCCGGGAAGGGTCGCAACGCCTCTGGGGGGTGACACCATTAAGTGCCGCACCGGGTGACACCCGACCTCGCTACGCCACTGTGCTTGTAGGTTATCGAAACAAAATGCTGTTATGTTAACATCATGTATATCATACATTTACACTTCTGTGCTCGATTTTAAGCAACAGATCTTTTCTGTTGTAAATTAAACATTATCAAAACTTTAGAATTGGTGGAATTTAGCTGTTAAGGGCTCGATTCGTTTGTGAATTAATGTTGGTTCATGAAAAAATAATTTCATTCGGGCATTAAAAATAGGTTATGGTGGTATTGGAGGTAGGACACAATGGTTACTTTTATGCCAATAGTGGTCATATCATTCATTTTTCTGGAGCCAATATGTCGGGAGTCATTTTGTCAAAAGCCAATATGTCGGGAGCCCAATTGCCGGGAGCCAATATGTCGGGAGCCCATTTGTCGGTAGCCAAAATGTCGTGAGCCCATTTGCCGGGAGCCCTTTTGTCTTGAGCCCTTATGTCGGGAGCCAATATGACGGGAGCCGCTTTGTCGGGAGCCAATATGTCCTGAGCCTATTTGTCAGGGGTTAATATGTCGGGAGTCCATTTGTCGGGAGCCTAAATATCGGGAGCCCATTTGTCGGGAGCCTATATGTCGCAAGTCAATATGACGGGAGCCCATTTGACGGGAGCCAATAAGTCGGGGCCCTTTTGACGGGGCTATTTTGACGGGGTCGGTTTGTCGGGAGTCGATTTGACGGGGTCGTATTAACGGGGCCGTTTTGACGGGGCCGATTTGTCCCGGGCCGTTTTGACAGGGCACCATGATAACACACAATTGTCTTGCGTCGATACTGAAACTATTTCACTGATAATTTATTAAGTGCACGACCAAAGGCGATTAATGTTCCTCTTATAGAAACTAAACAACACAAACAATAAAACGACGTCATTCAAGTACTCGAGGTCACGATAAATTGTCATTTCCATCCTCTTTAAGAGAAAGCTTTAAATAGACAAGATCGTCACTAGGCGTGTTGTTGTTGACCAACGCTGGTCATCTCCTGGTTGATGCTTGCAAGTCTACCTCGCCCAGATGACACTCAGAAAATTAATAAAAAAAGATCATTTAACAATTAATGGTGAAGTTTCTGTCATTTTCAGCATTAGATCCATGCTAAAACTTTTTGGGCTCATCAAGGGGTCTCGAGTAGTTTGAGTTATCCCTTTCTTCCCACTTAATGGTGTCACCCCCCCCCCCCTAGAGGCGTAGCGAGGTCGGGTGTCACCTGATGCGGCACTTAATGGTGTCACCCCCTTAAATGGTGTCACATCAATAAACATGTACTTTCGACCAATTACTTGATTAATTTAATATCAGGTAATACATTATATTATTAATTGAGTTTGAAATGTTAGTTGTTTTTTTTTCTTGGATGTTTTTTATTGTCTGTCAGATCCCTTTAACCCCACAGATGAATCAAGGTTTCTAGAAATAGACAATGATGAGTTCGTGTCGTGTTCCACTTGGACAGTTGACTACCAGCCGCTTTATGGCTGCCGCTAGTTCATGCCCCGGTGAAAGATGCTCATTTTAAACGGTGACGTCGACATTTTTTATAGCTTGTTATTGAAAAATACTGTCTGAAATGAATCGTAGGTAGTTCTGTAAGTGATGGGTGTAGCAGAACATTTCTTTCCGGCCTGACAAGGACGATTTATTTTTAGAAATACCAACTTGGGATTTGATTGGTTATAGTAATCTCGGCTTGTGAATAGCCACGGTGTGTCAAAGGTCAAGTTCATGTTTGGGTTAAAAAGATCAGAGTGAAGTCATTCACAAAGTGTTTTGTACTGGTTTTGTTATAAGATACAAATGGTGGGTGTCAATGTGTGGCTTGTGGCAGGATCTTGTGGCAAGTACCACAGTGCTAACTGGGAGGGGAGGGGCAACGTGGCACAATTACAACTTACAGGATTTCCGTTGTAATTATCAAATATTTTTGTATAATCAGGTACGTCTTAACAATGTATACAATGTACGCCATGAACTTGTAGTCCTAACACCCAGTAACACGTCGCACTGATGTGTACATTTTAGACCAGGAAGTAAGCTGTAGTACAGGTAGCAACTTAAGCACTGCTGTCTATATGCTACGGTCAAAGCCTGAAGACATGTTTTGGCCAGTGTGCGCATTGGCCAATATCACATCACAATGACCTACTTTTTTTTTCATTTCCGACATTGGCCGGCCAGTCTGAGGACTAGCTGGAGGAGACCGGCCAAAGTCCCAATTCGAAGATCATGAGCAGATTTAGGGTGTTTGAATACCGTAACGATACTGAAATTGCGGCTTTATTAAAGTAATTAAAGTAAATGACAGAAACATTCAAATGATATTTATTGTTCTATATTTTCAATCAGTATTGTCATCGATGAACTGTTATGTTGGCTCTAGATTGACCTGTGCGCTACACCATTCATAAAGGATGCAAAAAAAAAAAAGCAAAAAATCGTGCCTAGTTCATATATACTCTCGCATATATACTCTCGCTCTCTCACTCACATACGCACACATACGCACGCACACACACGCTCAAACAAATAATCATACAAACACCCATTTGCATACATACACTCATACACACTCATTCACGCTCTTATACACGCACTCATACACACACTCATACACACACTTATGCGTACACTCACATAAACATACACCCAGAAACAATTTTGATAATGGGGCAAAGTCAAAGACACTTTTATCGGGATTTGTGGGGGGGGGGGGGGGGATATTAGAAAACAAGCTGCAAGCGCCTCCTTGCAATCCCCTCTCTTTCTCTCTATCACTATCACTACCACCCCCACCCCACCCCCACATTGTCTGGTGAGCTGTGGTCACGCTGTTTACATTTTACAATCATAGAGACGGGTTTGGTGACGGCTATTAGGGGCAGATAATTTAGTTTGAAACGATTTTAAACTTAGAGGAGGTAACTAAGAGGAGGCTGCTTTCACGTGGGGGGGGGGGGGGGGGAGAAGGGGGGTTTAGTGTTTTTAAGCAAATATTTTCAGTGGCAGCATTGATACTGTCGAATTCACAAATTATAAATTACTGAAAAGTAGAAAAAAAAACAACTAAATAGCGGCGTGTGATACGCAGCGGGTCGGCTCGTTTATTATAATTTGTCCACGAATTTTAGTCTCTGCTGCAAAGTTGGTAAAATAATTCCTATTTTCGAAAACTAACTTTTCTTTGGCAACTTAATGTCCATCTTCCTCTTGATCTGAGAGCCCTTTTTGCTCCATGTCACACTGCATACATAATGTTACACAAACATGAGCCGAGTAATTAAAACACCATCCCATCGTAGCCAACAACGGAAATAAGCCAGGGCATTCCGGCCAGTGCGCACATTGGCCGGGCTATATACGAAATTCCCCGTCAGTGGTAAGCTCTTCGTACTTTAGCCAAGAGAGTCGGCCAAAGCGTGCTATGGCCGCGTGCTTTGGCCGCACTTCGGGCTTTGATCGTAACAAATTTAGCATGATAATTCTGTTCTAATGACAAAAAACAACAACAACACACAACTCTAATTGAATGATCTTGATGACATTTATTCTATATTTAGCTTCCTTCAGGATGTATTTGACTTAATCTTCGTTGATCGTCCGAAACTTCGAAACCATTCAGACAGCTACTGTAATCTGCCGGACACAGATTACGTCTAGCTGCAGCTAATCTGCCGGACACAGACTACGTCTAGCTGCAGCTAATCTGCCGGACACAGGCTACGTCTAGCTGCAGCTACAGTAATCTGCCGGACACAGACTACGTCTAGCTGCAGCTACAGTAATCTGCCGGACACAGACTACGTCTAGCTGCAGCTACAGTAATCTGCCGGACACATACTACGTCTAGCTGCAGCTAATCTGCCGGACACAGACTACGTCTAGCTGCAGCTACAGTAATCTGCCGGACACAGACTACGTCTAGCTGCAGCTACAGTAATCTGCCGGACACAGACTACGTCTAGCTGCAGCTACAGTAATCTGCCGGACACATACTACGTCTAGCTGCAGCTAATCTGCCGGACACATACTACGTCTAGCTGCAGCTAATCTGCCGGACACAGACTACGTCTAGCTGCAGCTACAGTAATCTGCCGGACACATACTACGTCTAGCTGCAGCTAATCTGCCGGACACAGGCTACGTCTAGCTGCAGCTACAGTAATCTGCCGGACACAGACTACGTCTAGCTGCAGCTAATCTGCCGGACACAGACTACGTCTAGCTGCAGCTACAGTAATCTGCCGGACACAGACTACGTCTAGCTGCAGCTAATCTGCCGGACACAATGGCTTCGTCTAGCTGCAGCTACAGTAATCTGCCGGACACAGCCCACTGTGACAGTTGCTGATACACCAGTCAGTCGAGCCCGGGACTTTAGAAAAGTGTCCAACTCCCACACACGATTTAGTCCTGGGGATACACCTGCAGTAGGTGGCGGGACAGTAGCCCCACATGCAGTACACCTGACACCAGTAGTTGTACTCTAGTTTACCTGGAACCCCCAGACACACCCACTTCTGTCTGACTGAATCGTTTGCCGTCGTGTTTCTGGTAGTCTCTGCTAGAGACGATGGGTTTGGGTATGTTTGGGGCTGGCCTTGATATGATGGCGGTGGGCTTGGGTATGTTTGGGGCTGGCCTTGATATGATGGCGGTGGGCTTGGGTATGTTTGGGGCTGGCCTTGATATGATGGCGGTGGGCTTGGGTATGTTTGGGGCTGGCCTTGATATGATGGAGGTGGGCTTGGGTAGGAAGGTTGTGGTCTTGCCGATGGTGGGCTCGGGTTTAGACTTTGGTAAGTGTTTACACCGGGGGTGGCCAGAGGGTTCCATCCCTGATTGGCTGACACGGCCCGCGTGCCGACAGACGGTAGAATACTGATGTCCGAACAGCCGTAGAATTCTTCCTGTGGTCCACAGCCTATACATGTCCTGCCGTCAGGGTCCACGCCCCAGTTGTTGCCTGCAAGGAAATGGTTGATGGTTATCAGAGCTGACTCATCGCTAGTGATTGCTACAGGATTAGCCAAACTTTGTCGGGATTGCTACAGGATTAGCCTAAGTTTGTCGGAAATCCGTGATGTTTACTGATGCGTATTGCTCCGTACTGTGGCTTTGTCATTGAGGTTTTTATTACTGTGGTTTTATAAAACCCGGCACATAATAGATATCATTCAATCCCCTCAAAGTAATACAACTTGTATGTCTAAAGTGAAATCCATCAGAATAGAAATTGAGTGACACAAAATCGCTGTAATTAAATAATGGAGGAGTAGAGGTTACTTGCTATGATCTAATCTGTTTCACCACGCACTTCTACATTATATCCACACCAGCTTACACTTACCACAATGATTTTTATTGTATCACCAGGATCTCACATATCACCATGATATAACTTGTATCATGATATTACTTGTATCATGAGACAAATGGTACCTGTATGATACCTCCACTAAAGCAGACTGTACCTGTATGATACCTCCACTAAAGCAGACTGTACCTGTATGATACCTCCACTAAAGCAGACTGTACCTGTATGATACCTCCACTAAAGCAGACTGTACCTGTATGATACCTCCACTAAAGCAGACTGTACCTGTATGATACCTCCACTAAAGCAGACTGTACCTGTATGATACCTCCACTAAAGCAGACTGTACCTGTATGATACATCCACTAAAGCAGACTGTACCTGTATGATACCTCCACTAAAGCAGACTGTACCTGTATGATACATCCACTAAAGCAGACTGTACCTGTATGATACCTCCACTAAAGCAGACTGTACCTGTATGATACCTCCACTAAAGCAGACTGTACCTGTATGATACATCCACTAAAGCAGACTGTACCTGTATGATACCTCCACTAAAGCAGACTGTACCTGTATGATACATCCACTAAAGCAGACTGTACCTGTATGATACCTCCACTAAAGCAGACTGTACCTGTATGATACATCCACTAAAGCAGACTGTACCTGTATGATACCTCCACTAAAGCAGACTGTACCTGTATGATACCTCCACTGCAGCACACACAAGCTGCAGGTCAGGTCCCGGGGTAGGACCACATCGATGCTGTGGATCTTGATATCTTCGTCCCTGATCATATAGCGCGTCCCCGAGCCGTCAGCCAGCTGAAGGGTGTAACGGTTCAAACACTCCTGGGTCGTCCTCACCCCCGGGTTGTTGGTGGGGCAGATCTTAAACTCGAAATATCCTGAGGTAGATAGACAAGACAGACTACTATACAAGAAGACACAACTATATTAGATAAGGTATACAACATACTAGAAGACATGAAACTATAATCTAGAAGACAAGGGGGACGAAATTACATGTAGAGTATAAGATCCTAAAGGTAAATTTCTTTCAACTTTTTACCATGTCAGGTAAGAGTCAGTGCTAAATTACTCTATTTCCGTTTTTTTTTCCAAAACCTTTTGAATATAATATTTATTATATCATATTTTCATTAAGCAGCTTATTTGAATAGTTTTCCCACCTCTAAACATTTTCTAAAAAAAAAAACCAACCCAACAACCGAGCGATTATTATTATTTTACAAACTGTTCTACCACTTGTATAGCCTAATCTCACTAGAAGTGCCACCCTACATCTTACTATAAATACGATTATACGATAAAATTTAAGGGGTGCGGGTAGGGGGTGGGGGTGCTTATCTAAACACAATTTTCTCTAATACAGATCCCCTCCCCCCACAGTGATCTGATTCTGATAATCTAATTTTAAAACTCCAAACATTTGGTAGCCCAAATCACCGTGTCCTAGATTTGCGTTGTATAGTAAACTAGAGTACCCGTCATCCGTTGGATAACTGTGGGTTTCGGGGGTCATCCATCAAAAAACATCACGTCTGTCACTCAGAGGCATAGCGACCCTTCCCGGCGCCCGGGGACAAACTTTTCGATTTGAACCCCCCCCCCCCGCAAGATTTCGATTTGCACCCCCCCCCCCCCCTCAAACTTTTGATGTGAACCCCCCTCAACCTTTCAATTTATTTTTCAAAACCATTTTGGCGCCCAAACATATGTCCCCCCCGCCCCCTCACCCCGCCTCCTTTCCCCCTCCCGCCCCCCCCCCCTCCTCGCTACGCTACTGCATTGTCACTTATCGTCACAAAAAACAGACCCCACATTCAAAAATATGTTTTTTATCTTTTAAAAACACCGAAAACACCGATTTCGGACTATCCCTTCATATACTGACGTCACAGGTGACCTACTCAACTCTACTTCACCTGCCCAGTGTCCCGCCAAGTCTCAGACAACATGTTTTTATCGTTTAAAAAACGATTCCAGCCGAGCATGTCTCACCCACACTATCCTTTCATATGCTTAGGACAAAGAAACAGATGAACTCTACTTCACCTGCCCTGTATCCTGCCAAGTTCAGACAGGCAACTTTATCATTCACATCTAAAAAAAAAATTGAAAAAAAGGATATCATTGACATATTGGTCTAGAACCCGTACCACCTGCATGAGAGCGGTCTACACTACCACCTTAGCTATTTACTCGTGACATCGCAAGTGAACTTTTATACTATACTTTGAGTTTGATTTACGCGCATAGATCTAGATCTAAGTCTAGTAGTAGTAACTTTCAAATTAAATTTTATCTTAAATTAGCCAAACAAAGATTTATATAAAATAAAGAAGGTTTGAAATTATCTAGATCTAGATAGAATTATCTAGATTCTACGACTCGTTTTCTTAAGTCTTAAGTTTAGTTTTTCTTGCTAGATCTAGAATGTAGATTTAGATCTAGATCTAATCATTAGCTACGCAAATAGGCCCGGAGTGAGCATTTCAAAATTACCATATTCCAAACAAACATTTATATAAAATAATAAAGGTCTAAAAGAGTTTAGTATATAGAAAATCATTATTATCTAAATCTAGATAGAATTATCTACATTTTAGATCTACGACTGAGCTATATCTAGAGTTTACGTCTATAATTTTCCACACTTAGCGGTATAGAAGCCGCGTATGAATCTTAAGCTACGCAAATAGATCTAGTCTAGGCCCTGGAACCAGCATAGGGGCCTAGTCAAAACAAAGATTTATACAAAATAATAAAGGTCGAAAATATTTTAGTATATAGAAACTCATTATTATCTAAATCTAGTTAGAATTATCTATATTCTAGATCTACGACTGGTTTGCTTAAGTCTCGTTTCTTTGGATTGTATTTAGAATCTATAACTAATAAATCGTTGATTTGACCTAGATTCTAGATTCTAGATCTAGATCTATAAATAACTTTCCTTCGACAGCTGATCTTTAGATTTAGAGAAATTTATTGTAAAACTAAATAAAAAGGCAGTTGAAAATTGATATAAGTGTTTGAACGTAATACATACAACAAACGGACGTATTGTTAAAGTTATAGCCGGCATAAAATTAGCTTTGTAACGCGTTAAACTTTTGAATGGGCCACAAAGTCTATGATGGAGTCCGCCATTTTTATTGTACCAAAATGTAAACATATCAAGGGACGTCACTATCCCCACAAAGTTTATTCAAAGTATTAACATTTTTAAAAAAATACGGTTAATTTAACTATGAATAAATCAATAAATTAATTAACGTCTTTAAATAAATTTGTGATTAACAGTCTGTCTTAAAACAAAAATTTTTCTCTACCTACATACTATTTTACAGCTTTCCACGATGAGTGCAACCATGAGCAATAGTCAATCAGGCAAACAAACAAACAAATAAATATTCAAACATGTAAACAAACTTGACTTTTAGTAGTATACTAGAATACCCGTCATCCGTTGGATAACTGTGGGTTTCGGGGGTCATCCATCAAAAAACATCACGTCTGTCACTCAGAGGCATAGCGACCCTTCCCGGCGCCCGGGGACAAAGTTTTCGATTTTAACCCCCCCCCCCTCAAACTTTTGATGTTTTTTCCAAACCATTTTGGCGCCCCAACATATGCCCCCCCCCCTTCCCCCTCCCCACCCCCCGCCTCCCCTTCCCCCCCCCCCCCCCGCCTCCCCTCCCCTACCGTCCCCCCCCCTCCTCGGTACGCTACTGCAGTGTCACTTATCGTCACAAAAAACAGACCCCACATTCAAATATATGTTTTTTATCTTTTAAAAACACCGAAAACACCGATTTCGGACTATCCCTTCATAAACTGACGTCACAGGTGACCTACTCAACTCTACTTCACCTGCCCAGTGTCCTGCCAAGTCTCAGACAACATGTTTTTATCGTTTAAAAAACAATTCCAGCCGAGCATGTCTCTGACCACACTATCCTTTCATATGCTTAGGACAAAGAAACAGATGAACTCTACTTCACCTGCCCTGTATCTTGCCAAGTTCAGATAGGCAACGTTATCATTCACATCTAAAAAAAAAAATTGAAAAAAAAAATTTCATTGACATATTGGTCTAGAACCCGTGCCTCCTGCATGAGAGCTGACTACGCTACCATTTTAGCTATTTACTCGTGACGTCACAAGGGAATTTTTATACTATACTATGTGTCTCCTTATGCAACTTGATTTACGCGTATAGATTCTAGATCTAGATCTAAAAATAAGTCTAGTAGTACTAACTTTCAAATTAAATTTTATCTTAAATAAGCCAAACAAAGATTTATATAAAATAATTAAGGCCTGAAATAGATTCTAGATGTAGAATTTACATTAAGTTTAGATCTAGAATTTACATTGAATCTAGTGACCTACATCTAGGCTAGATCTAGATCTAGGCTAGATTCATAAATTTCCTTCGATAGCTGATCTTTAGATCTAGAGAAATTTATCGTAAAACTAAATGAAAAAGACAGTTGAAAATTGATATAAGTGTTGGAACGTAATAAATACAGCAAACGGACGTATTGTTTAAGTTATAGCCGGCAGAAAATTAGCTTTGTAACGCGTTAAACTTTTGAATGGGCCACAAAGTCTATGATGAAGTCCGCCATTTTTATCGTACCAAAAAGTTAACATATCAAGGGACGTCACTATCCCCACAAAGTTTATTCAAAGTATTAACATTTTTTAAAAAATACGGTTAATTTAACTATGAATAAATCAATAAATTAATTAACGTCTTTAAATAAATTTGTGATTAACAGTCTGTCTGCATTAAAAAATTATTCTCTACCTACATACTATTTTACAGCTATCCAGATTGAGTCGAACATATCACAATAGTTGATCAGGCAAACAAACAAACAAACAAACAAAAAAATAAATATTCAAACATGTAAACAAACTTGACTTTTAGTAGTATATAGATATATAGATAGATATATAGATGTGCGATCCATTGATTTGAATACAAATGACACAAATATTCTAGAGACGATATAGGCTAATAATCAGGACAGTCGTTTTGCTACATCAGGCTGGCTTAGATATACAAGAATTATTTATGACAATTTAAATATTGGTGTATAAATGATGATTTTAAGACACATCTAAAACGGTCATTTTAAGACACATCTAAAACGGTCATGTTAAGACACATCTAAAACGGTCATGTTAAGACACATCTAAAACGGTCATTTTAAGACACATCTAAAACGGTCATGTTAAGACACATCTAAAACGGTCATTTTAAGACACATCTAAAACGGTCATGTTAAGACACATCTAAAACGGCCATGGTAAGTTAAGACACTATTCTAATGAGAGTTACCTTTATGGTTTGCTGTAAGGTCAACCTTGAATGTTGCCCTTTGACCTTGTGTGTAGCTGCGGGTCACGATGCCGGTGGCGTATTTACCGCCTTCTTCATTCTCACGTTCTCCGTCATATGGGTCTCCACATACCCCACATTTGTAGCCCAACTGTACCTGGTGCTAGATATAAACACACATACCCACATTTGTAGCCCAACTGTACCTGGTGCTAGATATAAACACACATACCCACATTTGTAGCCCAACTGTACCTGGTGCTAGATATAAACACACATACCCACATTTGTAGCCCAACTGTACCTGGTGCTAGATATAAACACACATACCCACATTTGTAGCCCAACTGTACCTGGTGCTAGATATAAACACACATACCCACATTTGTAGCCCAACTGTACCTGGTGCTAGATATAAACACACATACCCACATTTGTAGCCCAACTGTACTTGGTGCTAGATATAAACACACATACCCACATTTGTAGCCCAACTGTACCTGGTGCTAGATATAAACACACATACCCACATTTGTAGCCCTACTGTACCTGGTGCTAGATATAAACACACATACCCACATTTGTAGCCCAACTGTACCTGGTGCTAGATATAAACACACATACCCACATTTGTAGCCCTACTGTACCTGGTGCTAGATATAAACACACATACCCACATTTGTAGCCCAACTGTACCTGGTGCTAGATATAAACACACATACCCACATTTGTAGCCCTACTGTACCTGGTGCTAGATATAAACACACATACCCACATTTGTAGCCCAACTGTACTTGGTGCTAGATATAAACACACATACCCACATTTGTAGCCCAACTGTACCTGGTGCTAGATATAAACACACATACCCACATTTGTAGCCCAACTGTACCTGGTGCTAGATATAAACACACATACCCACATTTGTAGCCCAACTGTACCTGGTGCTAGATATAAACACACATACCCACATTTGTAGCCCAACTGTACTTGGTGCTAGATATAAACACACATACCCACATTTGTAGCCCAACTGCACCTGGTGCTAGATATAAACACACATACCCACATTTGTAGCCCAACTGTACTTGGTGCTAGATATAAACACACATACCCACATTTGTAGCCCAACTGTACCTGGTGCTAGATATAAACACACATACCCACATTTGTAGCCCAACTGTACCTGGTGCTAGATATAAACACACATACCCACATTTGTAGCCCAACTGTACTTGGTGCTAGATATAAACACACATACCCACATTTGTAGCCCAACTGTACCTGGTGCTAGATATAAACACACATACCCACATTTGTAGCCCAACTGTACTTGGTGCTAGATATAAACACACATACCCACATTTGTAGCCCAACTGTACCTGGTGCTAGATATAAACACACATACCCACATTTGTAGCCCAACTGGACTTGGTGCTAGATATAAACACACATACCCACATTTGTAGCCCAACTGTACCTGGTGCTAGATATAAACACACATACCCACATTTGTAGCCCAACTGTACCTGGTGCTAGATATAAACACACATACCCACATTTGTAGCCCAACTGTACCTGGTGCTAGATATAAACACACATACCCACATTTGTAGCCCAACTGTACTTGGTGCTAGATATAAACACACATACCCACATTTGTAGCCCAACTGTACTTGGTGCTAGATATAAACACACATACCCACATTTGTAGCCCAACTGTACCTGGTGCTAGATATAAACACACATACCCACATTTGTAGCCCTACTGTACCTGGTGCTAGATATAAACACACATACCCACATTTGTAGCCCAACTGTACCTGGTGCTAGATATAAACACACATACACACATTTGTAGCCCAACTGTACCTGGTGCTCTATATATAAACACACATACCCACATTTGTAGCCCAACTGTACCTGATGCTAGATATAAACACACATACCCACATTTGTAGCCCAACTGTACTTGGTGCTAGATATAAACACACATACCCACATTTGTAGCCCAACTGTACCTGGTGCTAGATATAAACACACATACACACATTTGTAGCCCAACTGTACCTGGTGCTCTATATATAAACACACATACCCACATTTGTAGCCCAACTGTACCTGGTGCTAGATATAAACACACATACCCACATTTGTAGCCCTATTGTGCCTGGCACAAAATAATTTTAACAACGTAATGAATTATTCCCAGGCCTGTAACATGGGGGGGGGGGGGGGGACTGGCTCGCCGATCTACCGGTGGAACTCCGGGTGGGCCCCCATGAAAAAAACCCTTGTTGATATTTAGTATTTCTCCATTTTACAATTTCCACGCCTTCATACCATATAAAAATTCATGCCGTAAAATTGAAGCTCTGTTGTAGATAAAATGCACAAAGAAAATGTCAATATGGGGCCGTGGGCCCCTTTTAAAATTTCTAGGACACAGCTAGCACGGTCCTGCCAGTACCAACCGTTTTGGGGTTTACAACAGAGAACAAGAAGGGCTGCAACCAACATGAGAACAGCGCCATATGGAGACCGCTACACTTGTTTACAAAAGACAAGCGCAAAGAGTTATTTAAAAGGGAGACCCTTGAACGAGTAAATGACTTGTAAAAGCAACGAGATATTTAAAACAGAGACCAATAAACGACTGAATGACGTGTAAAAAGAAATGTCTCACGTTGAATCCGCCACAAAAGAGCTGGGTGTCCTGGTAGTTGACTGGGGTCTTGTACCCCCTGTCCCACATGCTGCTCCGGCCCGGGGGCTCCCAGAGTCGACCATGGCCAGTGGTCAGGTGGGCCCAGCACAGCACAAGGTATGCCAGTACAGCACCAAACTTCCTCATGCCAGACAGGTGGGCAACAGGTTAGGATGTAGCCAGGGTCAAGGTCAGCAACTGTTGAACTGTAGCCTGTGATGACAACATTGGGCCGATATCGAGAGAGGTGGAAACCTTACAGACGGCATTATAGAAAAACTCGACGTTATATACATTACTATTCTCATCAGTTATATCAAACATCAACCACGAATACACGATTGCAATTCATTTTGCTGTCATATATATATATATACAAACATATATATATATATATATATATATATATATATATATATATATATATGTATATAAATATAAATAAATATATATACAAACATATATATATATATATATATATATATATATATATATATATATATATATATATATATATATATATATATATATATATATATGTATATATATGTGTATATATATATATATATATATATATATATATATATATATATATATATATATATATATATATACAAATGAGTCGATAGATATACTTGAATTGCTCCAGCAAATGGCAGGTATGTTAAGTATGTCCAGGTCTACAAAGGGCTCAAGTCAACATTACTTGGACAAAGCTCTTGACTTTGTGATTGGATCGACGGCCTGATGTATTGATCCACCTTTCTCCAGATACAGCGTGTTGGCCAGGGGTGTAGGAATACATAGGTATCTGATGGTGACGGTTGTCAAGCTGGAGGTTCGGGGAATATTAAAGTAGTTCGCCCGTCTGATGATGAGATTAGACCTTGTATACAACCTCTTGACGTCAGTGTACACACATTTGATGGTATAATGAGATCTTGTTTACAACCTCTTGACGTCATTGTACACACATTTGATGGTATAATGAGACCTTGTATACAACCTCTTGACGTCAGTGTATAATGAGACCTTGTATACAACCTCTTGACGTCAGTGTACACACATTTGATGGTATAATGAGATCTTGTTTACAACCTCTTGACGTCATTGTACACACATTTGATGGTATAATGAGATCTTGTTTACAACCTCTTGACGTCATTGTACACACATTTGATGGTATAATGAGAACTTGTATACAACCTCTTGACGTCAGTGTATAATGAGACCTTGTATACAACCTCCTGACGTCAGTGTACACACATTTGATGGTATAATGAGACCTTGTATACAACCTCTTGACGTCAGTGTATAATGAGACCTTGTATACAACCTCTTGACGTCAGTGTACACACATTTGATGGTATAATGAGAACTTGTATACAACCTCTTGACGTCAGTGTATAATGAGACCTTGTATACAACCTCCTGACGTCAGTGTACACACATTTGATGGTATAATGAGACCTTGTATACAACCTCTTGACGTCAGTGTACACACATTTGATGGTATAATGAGAACTTGTATACAACCTCTTGACGTCAGTGTATAATGAGACCTTGTATACAACCTCCTGACGTCAGTGTACACACATTTGATGGTATAATGAGAACTTTAGTACAGACTCGATGACGTCAGTATATAATCATACCACAAAACAAAATTACCAACTTGTACAATCGAAGTAAAGATTTGATGACGTGAGAAGATTAGATGAGGTAAAAGGATACTGTGTACACATTCAATGTATTATAGAGACCTAATGTACACATTTAATGTATTATAGAGACCTAGTGTACACATTCAATGTATTATAGATACCTAATGTACACATTTAATGTATTATAGAGACCTAATGTACACATTTAATGTATTATAGAGACCTAATGTACACAGTTAATGTATTATAGAGACGTGGTATACACAGTTAATGTATTATAGAGACCTAGTATACACAGTTAATGTATTATAGAGACCTAGTGTACACAGTTAATGAATTATAGACCAAATGTACACAGTTAATGAATTATAGAGACCTAATGTACACAGCTAGTGTATTGTAGAGACCTAGTGTACATATATGTCTATCATTGAAAACGAGAGAAATAAAAATAAATGTTTCAAAGTTTTAACACAACACACGTCCATATGCGTCTTGGCTACACAAAAAAGTATAATGGTTATATAACGTGTATATTTTATCCAGTCCGCCCCCTCTACCCCCCCCCCCCACCAGAAATTAACACCGCCCAACCGAAAGTTTTAAGCTCCCCCCCCCCCCCCAGGAAATATGACTAAAAGAAACACTTCTTTTAATTTGTGTTGGTGACCGTAAGGATGGGAGCGTCGTCCCTCTATGAGAGTGGAGTGGGGGGGGGGGGGGGGGGCAGCAGCTGAATATCGAGTCAAGTAGTGCAGCGATAGCAAACAGAATGTTAGAGGCAGATAGATTTGATCAAACAGAATGTTCGAGGCCGATAGATTTGATCTGTCGGCTAATTTTATCTTCTCTCTCGGCGGCCTCTTTGATGCGAGATTAGCGTCGGCTAAACTGTCGTCTGTTCAGTCAAGTGTGACTGCGTAGGACGTCTTTATCTTGTCGCTCGTCAGGCTGTAGTTTCATGCTACATATTTAGCACACTTTTATGTTAGATATTTAGCACACTTTTATGTTAGATATTTAGCACACTTTTATGTTAGATATTTAGCACACTTTTATGTTAGATATTTAGCACACTTTTATGTTAGATATTTAGCACACTTTTATGTTAGATATTTAGCACACTTTTATGTTAGATATTTAGCACACTTTTATGTTAGATATTTAGCACACTTTTATGTTAGATATTTAGCACACTTTTATGTTAGATATTTAGCACACTTTTATGTTAGATATTTAGCACACTTTTATGTTAGATATTTAGCACACTTTTATGTTAGATATTTAGCACACTTTTATGTTAGATATTTAGCACACTTTTATGTTAGATATTTAGCACACTTTTATGTTAGATATTTAGCACACTTTTATGTTAGATATTTAGCACACTTTTATGTTAGATATTTAGCACACTTTTATGTTAGATATTTAGCACACTTTTATGTTAGATATTTAGCACACTTTTATGTTAGATATTTAGCACACTTTTATGTTAGATATTTAGCACACTTTTATGTTAGATATTTAGCACACTTTTATGTCAGATATTTAGCACACTTTTATGTTAGATATTTAGCACAATTTTATGTCAGATATTTAGCACACTTTTATGTTAGATATTTAGCACACTTTTATGTTAGATATTTAGCACACTTTTATGTTAGATATTTAGCACACTTTTATGTTACATATTTAGCACACTTTTATGTTAGATATTTAGCACACTTTTATGTCAGATATTTAGCACACTTTTATGTTAGATATTTAGCACAATTTTATGTCAGATATTTAGCACACTTTTATGTTAGATATTTAGCACACTTTTATGTTAGATATTTAGCACACTTTTATGTTAGATATTTAGCACACTTTTATGTTACATATTTAGCACACTTTTATGTTAGATATTTAGCACACTTTTATGTTAGATATTTAGCACACTTTTATGTTAGATATTTAGCACACTTTTATGTTAGATATTTAGCACACTTTTATGTTAGATATTTAGCACACTTTTATGTTAGATATTTAGCACACTTTTATGTTAGATATTTAGCACACTTTTATGTTAGATATTTAGCACACTTTTATGTTAGATATTTAGCACACTTTTATGTTAGATATTTAGCACACTTTTATGTTAGATATTTAGCACACTTTTATGTTAGATATTTAGCACACTTTTATGTTAGATATTTAGCACACTTTTATGTTAGATATTTAGCACACTTTTATGTTAGATATTTAGCACAATTTTATGTTAGATATTTAGCACACTTTTATGTTACATATTTAGCACACTTTTATGTTAGATATTTAGCACACTTTTATGTTAGATATTTAGCACACTTTTATGTTAGATATTTAGCACACTTTTATGTTAGATATTTAGCACACTTTTATGTTAGATATTTAGCACACTTTTATGTTAGATATTTAGCACACTTTTATGTCAGATATTTAGCACACTTTTATGTTAGATATTTAGCACACTTTTATGTTAGATATTTAGCACACTTTTATGTTAGATATTTAGCACAATTTTATGTCAGATATTTAGCACAATTTTATGTTAGATATTTAGCACACTTTTATGTTAGATATTTAGCACACTTTTATGTCAGATATTTAGCACAATTTTATGTTAGATATTTAGCACACTTTTATGTTAGATATTTAGCACACTTTTATGTCAGATATTTAGCACACTTTTATGTCAGATATTTAGCACACTTTTATGTCAGATATTTAGCACACTTTTATGTTAGATATTTAGCACACTTTTATGTTAGATATTTAGCACACTTTTATGTTAGATATTTAGCACACTTTTATGTCAGATATTTAGCACACTTTTATGTTAGATATTTAGCACACTTTTATGTTAGATATTTAGCACACTTTTATGTTAGATATTTAGCACACTTTTATGTCAGATATTTAGCACACTTTTATGTTAGATATTTAGCACACTTTTATGTTAGATATTTAGCACACTTTTATGTTAGATATTTAGCACACTTTTATGTTAGATATTTAGCACACTTTTATGTTAGATATTTAGCACACTTTTATGTTAGATATTTAGCACACTTTTATGTTAGATATTTAGCACACTTTTATGTTAGATATTTAGCACACTTTTATGTTAGATATTTAGCACACTTTTATGTCAGATATTTAGCACACTTTTATGTTAGATATTTAGCACACTTTTATGTTAGATATTTAGCACACTTTTATGTTAGATATTTAGCACACTTTTATGTCAGATATTTAGCACACTTTTATGTTAGATATTTAGCACACTTTTATGTTAGATATTTAGCACAATTTTATGTTAGATATTTAGCACACTTTTATGTTAGATATTTAGCACACTTTTATGTTAGATATTTAGCACACTTTTATGTTAGATATTTAGCACACTTTTATGTTAGATATTTAGCACACTTTTATGTTAGATATTTAGCACACTTTTATGTCAGATATTTAGCACACTTTTATGTTAGATATTTAGCACACTTTTATGTTAGATATTTAGCACACTTTTATGTTAGATATTTAGCACAATTTTATGTTAGATATTTCGCACACTTTTATGTTAGATATTTAGCACACTTTTATGTTAGATATTTAGCACACTTTTATGTTAGATATTTAGCACACTTTTATGTTAGATATTTAGCACACTTTTATGTTAGATATTTAGCACACTTTTATGTTAGATATTTAGCACACTTTTATGTCAGATATTTAGCACACTTTTATGTTAGATATTTAGCACACTTTTATGTTAGATATTTAGCACACTTTTATGTTAGATATTTAGCACAATTTTATGTCAGATATTTAGCACAATTTTATGTTAGATATTTAGCACACTTTTATGTTAGATATTTAGCACACTTTTATGTCAGATATTTAGCACAATTTTATGTTAGATATTTAGCACACTTTTATGTTAGATATTTAGCACACTTTTATGTCAGATATTTAGCACACTTTTATGTCAGATATTTAGCACACTTTTATGTCAGATATTTAGCACAATTTTATGTTAGATATTTAGCACACTTTTATGTTAGATATTTAGCACACTTTTATGTTAGAT